ACGCACGCTTACGCAACTCATTGCCAAACCCAAGTATCCACAATCGCCTAACGACCCATACAGTTCCACAATCAATTTCTCACACCAAATCCACACACCTTTTCCACCTAGCTCTGCTAAATAAGCACGCGCACTCCCACGTACCTTGGTATTGGGCAGCTTGACATCGCACCAGCGGCCACCAATCAAGTGCCGCTGCGAGATGGCCTTCAACTGACTCTCGAACTCACTGAAGCGGACAAAACCAAACCCCTTCGAAGTTCCAGACTTGGCATCACGTTTAACCTGCAAAGGAGAGGAATCGTTAGATGTTAAACTAAAATGAGCGTGGGGGAACTCTTGCCTTGCGTATTTTCGCTAAAACCAAACCTGTAAATGCTCCATGATCTGTGCCTTGCAAAAGGAACCTCCATATATTACGTGCTGTAATTTTGGATTTTGGGTGATAAAACAATAAACAAAAGTTTGATTTGCAATGGAATTTTTTTCAAGTAACATTCTACTTGATCAGCCTGAAGAACCTGCCAAAACATATTAATAGTTTTTTTTTGTCTGACTGAGTTTGACAGTATAGTACAGCCGTTAAATGCTTCTTGGTTTTTTCTGCCTTTCAGGATACTCATCCACCGCTAGGTCCAGTGATGCGACAATCCAGCCGACACCAACGAGCGGATTTCACCGCTTCATCTCCGCGATGTTCCCTTTCTCGGTGACCATCGTTCAAAACCACGGGCGGTGTAAAGGCTAGCGACCCGTGTCCTCAAGCTCACTTTAATTCGCAGTCAATACCTTCAACTTGCAAATGCATTCCCTAGGTTTTAGGACACATTTTGGTGAATAGAGGAAGTAAAAAAAACCAGGACCACAAATTGTACACATTTTCCGGATGTCCAATTCAACCATCTCTCTGTCCCGCGAGTGGAACGTACCTGAACCATGAGCACGTCCCCAACCTCTGTAAAGTAATCCCTCAGGTCCTGCTCATTGCACTTCCACGGCAGCCCCAGCACGATGAGGTCGGACGTCTTCTGCACGGAGCGCTTGATCTTAGCCACGTTCCACGCATCGCTCTCATCCATCTTGCGTTTGTTGTCTACGCACGCACACACAAAACCAAATGAGCGACTGCTTGAGCTACGGTGCAGTGCAAATAGTCAACATATCCATCGTTAACCGATGGTGTGTCGCATGTTTATGCCTAAATAAACTCGGTAACTTTTTTCTACCTACGTGACTTTACCGAAATAACCCAAGAGTATGGATTCCTGCAGTCACGAAAGCTTTAAATCAAGATCGCCTTTGCAACAATTACATACGAGGTAGCCCCCGCCTATACTCGCTTCAACGCCCTTGCAGATGCATTCCCCGCGAGAGGGTTTACACGTTGAAGGCTGTGGCTCGGCAACTTGTACACACACACACGGTGGATTCGGGGCGTAGGCCGTGGGGAAATCCAGAGCCACGCGCTACAACGTGAGCGGAAACACGAGGCCTATCACACGCACAAAGACGTCGCGTACAAAGACTACCGATTAAATATAAATATTATAAAATGTAATTTGGAAACTCTATTAATATTATGACGTTTGCAATGTAATATTGCACGCGTGTTGTTCGCTTCGAACCAGGCGCAACCGAATTCGATTTCCTGATGAGGGCCCACATCAGTAACGATTTTATGAACATTCTGGAACCCTCATCTCCGGAGGTCTATTCATCCTCAAACGAGAGCCTGGTGCGATGTGCGCTATAATCGTTACTGGGGAGACAAAGGCGGCCGGGCGTAATTCTGGCCACACTCCACCACCTTGTGCATTGTACCCTGCCTCGTGTACCCCCTACAGGCATTCAAAGCTGCTCGCTAACGTCACTAAACCCCAGCCTGTAAAGACAACACGAGGCATATTGTCTTTGATAGCCCCCCCGGAACACGTGTTCGAGAAACACCGCGAGGTGCTGGAGTTACCTCGTGAGTTGTATTCTGCGCAAATGCGAGGACACTGCTGTTATAATTCTCACAACTATGACAACAAAAAACGATACACGTTGCTTATTTATTAAATGTGCACAAGTCCCTCCCGTATAACATCTCCTATCCTTTGGGAACAGTGGCGAGGTACAAGTTGTCGACCTATTGTTATGTATAATTGCAGTCGTTTTCGGCAAATTGTATATACATTTTGGGTACGATACTCGGTACACATTGCAAATTTGTGTACAATTGTACACGTTTTGAAACTCTGGTCCCCCCCCCCCTTGGGGAAGGTTGACGATTTAAAGTCAAGTGAATTTGTTAAACCACGCCAGTACTCAAGAGGCAAGTCATCTCGTGATGTTGCGTTGAAAATTATGCATAAAGCACAAATAGCTAACTCACGATCTTCAAAATCGCTGTGGCCTTAAAAGGGAAAAAATAGGCTGCGTTTCGGGCAATATTCAACAGGTGGAGACTGCACATTATTCACCATGGGGCTCGATGACAAAATTTGCAAGAGACCAAGATGAGCGTAACCTGGGTCCCGCAAATTAAAAAAAATATTCCGAGCAAACCCAAGTTGCTTGCTGCGAATCGCAATACAAATGCATATCGTACTCTTAGGTATCACTCCGCATCCGTTTAACTCGACTCAAACGAGTAAGTGGCGTGCGCTGTGCAAACATCGCCACGAGGGAGACAAAGGCGGCCGGGCGTGGTGCTGCCGCCTCCCCCCCTCGTGTGCCGTGCTACATAGGTGCTCGCTAACAGCACTTACCCCAAGTCTATGAAGGCTACAAGGGAGATATTTTATTGTTTAAACCCTCTACGCCATGGCGGGAGGATGTAACGAGGCAATCCACATGGCCGACATTAACAACAAACCGCGCATCACCGAAACGTAAAAAAACCGCTCCTCTCTCATCTACCTCGCTCCATCTCTCTCTCGCTCTCTCACCCTTGGGGAAGGTGACGAGGTACACGTGGATGCCCCAGGTCGCGGGCTCTGGCGGGTGGAGCGCACCCTCTGCGAGCCGCAGGCCGCGCAGGGCGCGACCCTCTCCCGCGCGGTAGCGAAGGCCGCAAGCGCCCGGGAACTGCGCGGCGACGCTCGACAGCAGCACGGTGCCGTCCTCCTCGGCGGGGATCTCGATCGGCTCCTCGCCCTCGTCCTCCGCAACGCGCACGTACGACGCCATGGTGTTTGCTGCTGTTGTTTGCTGCTGTTGCTGCTGCTTCACGCTGTCTGTAGCGGGCCGCTGGCTGCTGCTGCTGCTGCTTGTACAATGGCGGCCTCGTGGAGGAGCTGGAGGCGGGAAACGGAACCGGAAGCTGCGACTTAGAAGGGGGCGGGGTCAGATGTGGACCGGAAGCGGAAGTTAATTGACCCCCCCCCACCACTATCCCCCCCCCCACCACTATCCCCCCCCCCACCACTATCCCCCCCCCCCACCACTATCCCCCCCCCCACCACTATCCCCCCCCCACCACTATCCCCCCCCCCACCACTATCCCCCCCCACCACTATCCCCCCCCCACCACTATCCCCCCCCCCACCACTATCCCCCCCCCACCACTATCCCCCCCACCACTATCCCCCCCCACCACTACCACCCCCCCACCACTATCCCCCCCCCCACCACTATCCCCCCCCCACCACTATCCCCCACCACTATCCCCCCCCCCACCATCCCCCCATGTCATACAGAGAGGGCCTCGCTAATAAACACTGGCAGGGCACGTGGGTCGATTCAAGCAAAACCACCGACCTCCTTTGGCAAAGCAGGTCTAATGATGTAGATGCTCACCCCGAGCCCCCATTACTGTGATGGTGCAGCGTTGTCTTTGAGCTGTGGACGCCTTTTGGCGTCCTCTGGTCGAGCACCAATTTGGTCGAGGCTCAAAAGAAAGCCGTCCCTTTGTGTGGACCAATCAATTTCAAGGACAATGCATATATATTATCATAGTGTGATTTGTTTGCATTTTGACTGCAAGTATTGTGGTTAATGCAGACATGAATCCTTGTAAAAAGGTTTAAGTTTTGTTGCCAGAAAGAAGGGGAAACCCCTATTAATGTGATGAGGTTTTGTTGTTATTTCTGCTTTTGGCACCACTACCAAATCATGCAGTATCACCAAATAATTGGTTCACCACTTATCGGCAAACCGGTCGTCTTTTTGGTTTCCCGGTAGTTTTCATTTCATTACCGTTAATCCCCCCAAAAATGACATTGTGACCCAGAACTGACATTCTCCCGGAATACATGAGATGAAACATTCCGTCTGGTATAGCCAGTCATCAACATGAGTGGAGGAATCGCAACGTGTTTAAGGCCGAGTCCACCTAAACGAGGCCCAGGTACAGATTGAAAATGCTGGATTGTTTCTCAAGGCATCCAGCCACCACGAGAGGGCGCCACTGAAAGCGAAATCTTCACCAATTTTTACTTTAAACACATTCCTCCTGCGGAGGGAGCTGGTAGGAACGTTGGGTTGCTCGGTCAATGGCCAGGGTCAACGGCGGCGTGGTGTATTCCGCAAATATGCCCGACTGTGAGGGCGGGCACAAGCCGGCGTGAGTAGGTTAAACGTTGAGTTTTATAAGGGCACCACGGGGTGACCAGCCCCTCCCCACCCAGCCCCACCCCCACCCAGCCCCTCCCTCCCCACCCAGCCCCTCCCTGCACGACGGACACAATAATCCCCTGTGGGCTGGTGTAACCAGGAGGTTCCTACCAGTACCACATGTGCTTAACTGCAGACATGATTCCCTGCAAATGGTTTCGGTTTGGTGTTTTAAAATCTTGACGCCTGTTTCATTCCCAGGAAGGATTAAACATATTCATCTTCTTCCTCTTCCACGCATTTATCCCACTCACGTGGGGTCCGCTAAAACGTGAACACTTTCGCACTTGAGAACGACCATTCTGCTCCCCATTGTTCAGGGAGGTGACGTCACTCCCCCAACACAGACAGAGGCAAAGACCACCCGTGTAGCCTGTGCAGACTGTTGTGGCAAGTGCTGTCAGCGAGTAGCACGTATGAAGGCACACGAGGGGGTGGGTGGCCAGCACCACGCCCGGCCGCCTTTGTCTCCCTCGTGGCAATGTTTTTACGCACAGCACCAGGTACTCATTTGAGGCTGAGTCGATCTAGGGGAGGCCCAGTACAGGTTCAGATAATCGTCACCGGTGTTGGCCGTGAGCGCGAATCGAACTCGGGTCGCCGGGTTCGTAGCGCTAACTACTACACTACATCGCTAACTACTACACACATCACACACATTCATACACATACCACTCACCCACCCACGCACAACACTCCCACCCACACATGACACTGACTTTGAACAAGCGAGACAGACAGAGAGAGAGCCTTGCCAAGCGGCTGGCGGTGTTCCACAGCACAGAGAGGACGATCGCCACTCGCCTACGGCACTAGCCATTCGTGTACAACGCGTGTGACACTGCATGCACGCTGTGTGTGTTGAACTTCTTTCACGCCGTACGTAGCCAACCCTGCTAATCGGAGGTGCGTGCGGGGTTGACAACAACAACAGCAAGATAATTCTCGGCCAGCAGACTGCAGGCGAACGTAGCGTGCGTTCGCGTGAACACGACACACTTATTTCTCGCAAGAGACGCGTCTCATCAGCACACGCGCGAACACAGCAGCAGAGCCATGCACGAGTTCGCTTCGCCTGCTCTCTCGGTGCCTCTGCTTCTCATCTTCGTCCTCCTCCTCCTGCTGCTGCTGCTACAGAGGAAGAACATCTTCATCACGCGGCCCTATCGCTTCCCCACGGGGCCCCCGATTCTGCCCGTGTTGGGCAACTTCATGTGGATGGGTCGCAATCCTGTCGCAGGGTTACAGCAGGTGAGAGACTGGGATGGTTTCGGGACTGGGCTATTCCGATTGTTGGAATTGCCCTTCGGGTTGGCTTTGTTTTTAACCGGGTGAGTATTCAAGAGTGACGTAGGTAAAAAATTAAAATTAATAAAAGCTTGTGTTGCCTCCGAAACGTCGTGATTTTTATTTTATTTTTATTTTACTTTTATTAATTTTAATTATTTTACCTACGTGACTTTACCGAAAAAATCCTAAGAATATGAATCCTTGCAGTCACGAAAGCTTCAAATCTAGAATATTCAGGAGTGGTCAGGATAGTCGTGTGCGCGAGATTTTTTCCATGTCAGCAAGTGTTGGTTGGTTTTGTTTGAACCGGGTGAGTATCAAAGTCTTGTGTACGAGAGTTTTCTCACCAGCAATGCTGTTTAGTTTGCTTTCACCCAGGATAGTGTTCTGGGCAAGAGTGATGGCAAAATAAATACAACATCAGAGGCAAAAAAAGAGCAATGGAGCAACATCGAGCACTGATCAGGAGCAACCATAGCGCAGTGGACAATTTGATACTAAATAGGATCAACTTGCTGTTAAACAGCAGAGCACAATTCACAAAAGTCAACGCACTTAACAACACTCTCTTGACATATATAATGTACAGTATATACCAAGTTACGTTTCAGGAAATTGACCTTCATAGCACGAAGGGCTATTACCAGAAACAATGCCGATTACTGTATATATGTGTGTGTTTTTATTTTTAAGGCAGTGTTGTTTTTTATAAATGTGAGTTTGTGTGACAAGAAGCCTAAAACAATACTTTGTTATGTGGAGGATATGTATTGCCCGCTTATGAATGTTGATGCATTTGCAGTTTGTTTTGTTCCTGTTCGAGCTGAGCTCTGCCTTGCCCCTTAGCAGTGTGCATCCTACCATCAGTGATAGGTAATGCATGCATGCCCTTTTCACTTTGATGCCTGTGTTGTTCACACACACGACGATGACAATTTGACATTCCTCTGACTCAACCCTCCCCTCCCCTCCTCTACCCTCAAGAACCAAACAGCTCTCTCCATATCTGCACGGCTCTGTGTCACCATGGCTCAGAGCCTTGACTGCGTCGTACACTTTGGATTAGCCCCGCGTGTTTGGCTCTCTGTGAGATGGCGATGGCCTGGGAAGGGAGAACAGTTGTCTCGATTAGCAAGCCTGATTCTGCTGATGAGGCCCAGACGGTCAATACCTGGCCCAGCATTCGCTTCGCCTGTTGAACCTGTGTGGAGATATTTTATAGCAAATATCTTTCTTTTAATAACATATTTTGTCGTCAATACAATTTTGTTGTAAGTAAAATGTAATTGTAAATATTTGTTATATTTGAATCACATTACTGGACATTTATATGTACTGGACATCTGTGAAAAAGAGTTTCATAGCTCATCGGATTCCTCCAGTGTAAATAAATATTATGATTCTGGACATTTCGAAATTAAATAAATGCTGTTACTTGAAACATTGACCATCATGTCAGGCAACGCGGTATAACCTGAAACCACGTAGATGTAGTCAGCACAACTGCAAAAAAAACCACACCAAGTTTTGCCAAAACAATGTTACTCAGCCCTTGTGTTTTGCACACGATCACACGCATAGCGTGGTGGATGGCGGGTTTGTCAGCTTCTAACTGAACATCACTTCTGTCGTGCAGATGGCCACAAAATATGGGAAAGTGTACAGCATATTCATTGGTTCGATGCCGCTGGTGGTGGTGAACAGCTACCAACTCGTGAAGGAGGTTCTCATGTCACACGATTTTTCCGATCGACCGTACATTCCACTTATGGAAATAATGAAACAAAACCTTGGTAAGTGGAATTTCTGCTCAAGCGATATACCGTTGTTTGCTTCATGCTGCCTTTCTAAAACTATTGCCAAGCAAACCCAAACTGTTCAGAGCCCTTTCGGTAAAGTCACGTAGAAGGAAAATAATAAAATAATATTAATATAAAAAAAAACAATAAAAATTTTCTTGCTGTGAATTTCACACCTGATGATGATTGCTGGTGTTGCAGTCGAAACGTCGTGAGAATTTTTATTATTATTATTTTATTATTTCCCTTCTACGTGACTTTACCGAAAGAACCAAGAATATGAATCCCTGCAGTCACAAAAGCTTTAAATCAAAATTTGTTCTGAGCCCATTGTAAAATGGCCCGGCATGGCTTTTATTTTGCCCGATGCTTCGGGAGCCACATGACTCCACCACAACGGCAGGGGGAAGAGATGATAATAATTTTTACCCGAGAGTTATGAACACACGTGAGCATGCAAACGTTACACAAGAATGTGCGCGTACGAAACCTTTAAAATTCCAACGTCGTGTACGACATTTGACTGTGTTTGCTCTTTTGCGCCGGTTGATTGCAGGCATCGTAGGTGCTCCGTACGGCGAAGCCTGGAAGCGACAGCGCAGATTTACTTTGTCAACCCTTCGCAATTTTGGATTCGGAAGGAAAACCATAGAAGAGAGAATCCTCACGGAGGCCAAGGTCCTCATGGAAACCTTCAAGCAGGAGGGTTGGTTGCCGTCGATTCTTCGTGCCACTTTGTTTGGAATGCACAGCCCCCTTTTTTTGTAAATTCTATGCTGGATGAGGGCCATACATCACCACAATGGTCGGTCTATGTTGGCGAAGGGTCGGGTGGCCAAGACCAGTTTTGAAATTATTCGCCACTGATGTTAGCCATGGCCATGAATCGAATTTGAATCACTGCGTTCATATTACAGCAAGCAAACCACTGTACTGCAGCTTTACCTCCACGCTGCAATAAGAATATCATTTTAAAAAACCCTTTGGACATGTATAGTCCTGCCAATACCGGCCAATTTCTCTCCTCCCTTCTTTAAGCTTCTTGAACGTCTTGTCCACTCCCGCCTTACTCACTACGTCTCATCTCATCCTCTTTACCCTCATTTACAATCTGGATTGTTCCCTTCCCATTCCACTGAAATTGCCCTCCTCACTGTACGGAATCATCTAACAAACTCTGCCCATCCGTAATACTGTTTTTTTGGGTGAGATCGCGTAAAGATATAAATGTGTCGTTAAACCGCCACCACCCGACACAGCCAATGAGAAAGGGTTGTCACGTAAACAGAACGTGGACAATTCGTCACTAGTACAGCACACCGGTGTGTTGGAGAGCCAAGCCACAACATTTGCAATCTGAGTACGACGTTTCACCAGTAATTACAACTAGCTTCATCAGGCGACAGCCAGATTTGTGGAGAATCTGGCTGTCACCTGTATTATGGATGATAATAGTCACGAAAGCCTACGTTTCGATTTAAAGCTTTCGTGACTGCAGGGATTCATCTTCTTGGTTCTTTCGGTAAAGTCACGTAGAAGGGAAACAATAACATAATTAAAATAAAACATAATAAAATACAATTCTCACGACGTTTCGGCCACAACGCAAGCAGCCATCCTCGTCGTGAGAATAGTATTTTATTATGTTTTTTATTTTTTTCCCTTCTACGTGACTTTACCGAAAGAACCAAGAAGATGAAAGCCTACGTGTTAAACAAACTGCCCATTCTGGCCTCTCCTCAATCTTCATTATTCCTCGATCTTTCCTCAGTCTTTGACACAGCCGATAACCCCACCCTCCTATACACCCACTCCAGTCTCGGTATGTCCAGCACACCCCTCTCCTGGCTGATATATAATTCTGTATAAGATGAGAGTGCCACTGCGTGTCTTCATCGACTCGCATGCAAGCGCGTGCACGTGTGTGTGTGTCTGCACTCTGAGGTTTGCCACTGCCAAAGTGAATGAATTTTATATGTTTTGCAGCCACAGCCTTTGACCCTCACTTTAATATTAACAACGCGGTCAGCAACATCATCTGTTCGCTGGTGTTCGGAAGCCGCTTTGACTACGTCGACCAGGACTTTCAGGAGCTGCTGCATCTCATAGAGGAAAACTTGGTGCTGCAAGGGGGCCTACTTGGGCAGGTTAGTCAACATTTTCTTTTGACTGATGTTCTAGTGTCGTTCACTATTGTAAGTTCCCCAACCTCGATTTAAAGCTTTCGTGACTGCAGGGATTCATCTTCTTGGTTCTTTCGGTAAAGTCCCGTAGAAGGGAAGTAATAAAATAATAAAAATAAAACATAATAAAATAATTCTCACGACGTTTCGGCCACAACGCAAGCAGCCGACGCTGTCGAAAACCAGGTCTGTCGCCTCGACTCAGACCTGGTTTTCACCTGAGAACGGCTGCTTGCGTTGTGGCCGAAACGGCGTGAGAATTATTTTATTATGTTTTATTTTTATTATTTTATTAGTTCCCTTCTACGTGACTTTACCGAAAGAACCAAAAAGATTCCCCAACCTCGTTTGCTCACAGGGCACTTTGACGGATTGGCTTGGCAAGAGGTCCTCAGTGGAGGCTTTTTCCCAGAGCCCTCGAGTCTCCGGCATGTTTCCCCTTCTGAAGTTAACAAAAGCGAGGGAGAAGCATGCATTTTCAAGTTGTGACGGCCGTTCCCATGAGTTACAGAGAGTTTATTTGTTATTTAATCCGCATTTTTCTATTACGCTGTGGAATAAATATTTTAAGAGCAAGTTAAAGAGATGGATGTTCGGAATAAAACAATAAAAATAAGAAAATCATCAGCACGAGCATCCTTCGCAAAGCGCGTGACATGCGTTTCTGAAAAACAACGCGTGAGTGGAATCGCGCTGTATGAAGTCTATTTCCCTGTAGACACACAATTGTTAAAGGGGGATGGCAATTCCGAATAAAAAAAATAATATTTAATTTACATATTTTAGCGTTGACTTTACAAAATACGTATGCATTTAATACCTAATAATAATATTAACATTACAAAAATACTTAATAAGGAGTTAAACATTTATTTTTATTTAAAAGATTACTACTTACAAAGATTACTGAATAAGGGGTAACGTCAGGGCTTGTTGAATGCTTCCGTGGGCTGCTTCTACTTGTGGATGGCTGTGGGCTGATCAGTGCAGGGGTTGTAACGTTTCTTTTGTTATTTGGAAAGAAAAGATTTCCAAGAAGAGCAACCGAATCTTGCAGCGGCACGCATGATGCAAACAAAGGCAGCAGATCTCAGATTACTATGCCCAGCGCGTGACACACGGCGCTGCCATGATGTGGTGACGCCATGAGATTTGAGTTGGTTAACCTGCTAAATATTCATATATTTTACTTTTTTAAATCTTTGAAAACTAGTTTTAGTTAGAATTTTTTTTTATGTGTTATTTCTTGTGTGCGTAACTGCGAAACGCATCGCGTAAGTGTCAAGCATGCCCCTAAAAGATGAATGTGTAACTGCGAATTCACACAAGGAGGGGGGGGGGGGGCGTTAAACGAGGGACGTCTGTATTGTGTTCACCAATGCTGTTGTTAAATCGCTAGAGAAATCATCAAAGTGGCAATGGGTAGGACACGTCGTGAGAACAACTGACGCGGAGTGATAACGAGAGCGGGCAGACATGCTAAGAAGGAAGACGGCGAAAGAGAATAGCGAGATGAAATCAAATGGTTTGGAGGCCACAACGGGACATTTAGAACTCAGGAGTGGAAGAGAACGGGGTGGGAGCGTGGGGGGGGACATGCCATTGCCCAGCAGTGGAAAATCACAGGCTGACAACAGCCGTAGTGACCACCCCATCTTGTGCACCGCACAGCGGTTCGTCATACACGTCTCAACCCATACTCTTTGGTTCTTTCGGTAAAGTCACGTAGGTGAAAAAATACAAATGAATAAATTAAATCACGACGTTTCGATTGCAACACAAGCAATCATCATCACCAGGTGTGACAACCAGAGCAAGAAATGTTTACTGAAGTGGGAGAGAAGCCGGAGTTAAGGGGTTTACATAAATTTAGATTTAAAGCTTTCGTGACTGCAGGGATTCATCTTCTTGGTTCTTTCGGTAAAGTCACGTAGAAGGGAAATAATAAAATAATAAAAATAAAACATAACAAAATTAATGTTTTATTTTGTTTTTTTTAATTCTTATTATGTTAGATTTTTATTATTTTATTATTTCCCTTCTTCGCGACTTTACCGAAAGAACCAAGAAGGGTTTACATAAATCAGAGAGGGCGGTGGGTGGTGGTGGGGGGGGAATAAGGGGAGGGGGGAGCGTTGCGTGTGCGCTAGGGACTGGGACGTGAGACTGGGCAGCGGGGGGGGGGGGAAGTGAGTGGGGCTAGAAGTAAGATGATGCGGTGCCTGTTTTGTTTTTCTTCAGATCTGCAACATATTCCCAGTGCTGTGCAAGTTGCCCGGGCCGCAGCAGAGAATGTTAACCTCGCAGGCAAAGGTCCAGGCCCTCGTGGACGCCAAGATTGCCGAGCATCGTGCAACGCTGGACCCCAGCAACCCCAGGGACCTGATCGACGCCTACTTGGCGGAGATTGAGAAGGTTTGCGGAAGAGTACAAAAAATCTGACGATAGTTACCGTGAGTCCTCCGGTTTTTCCCTCGGCATTAGAATCAACAACACGTGTTTAGAGCGTTTGGCTTCTATACGTTTCCACGTCTTGAGATACTTCGTTGAGCTTTCATTTATGGCCAGGACGCTTCTGAAAAACATCTACATATCTCAGTGGGCCTTACCTGGTGAAATATAAACAAAAAAGGCTATACGGGGGATCTTTGTCTTTGTTTCGAAACAGGAGAAGGGCGACCCGAACAGCCCCTTCAAGGACAAGAATCTGTCCATGGTGACCTTGGACCTCTTCATCGCTGGCACCGAGACGACCTCCACGACCCTGCGCTGGACCCTGCTCTACATGATGGCGTACCCAGACATACAGGGTAGGGAGTGCAGCACATTCGTGGGCTGCTTTGCTGCTTGTCGCAGAGGTTGTTCGTGGTTCGAGTTCGGTGGCTGCCCTGGTTAATACTGGGGGGGGGGCAATAACCATTAAAATAAACACGTCCTGCAAAATGATTAACACTAATCGGAGTGAAACACGTTCGAAAGGAAGCTGAATTTTGCCGAATTGTTCAGTGTGATCCAAAGGATATAGTCGTAGGTTAATGTCCTACAGTGTCTTGGATTAAGTTATTGCTATCAAGTTCCATATTTAAACACTCAACAGTAGTCCTAGTTATTTTCCACAATGCAGTATCCTTACTGATTCCGCAGTCACAACGGCCTCCTTGTTTACATATAATCATCTATCACGCACGTCCCCTATCCCTTTCGTGACGTTGCCTGTTGGGGCAGCTGCCTGCCACAAGGAGATCGACGAGGTCGTGGGCGCGGACCGCCTGCCCGCAATGGAGGACCGGCCCAAGATGCCCTTCGTAGACGCAGTCATCCACGAGAGCCAACGATTCAGCAACATCGTGCCACTCGGCCTGGTGCATTCCACATTGAAGGACGTGGAATTTGAAAACTACCTGCTGCCCAAGGTACCGCGAGTCATTTGCTGGACTTTTATTGTTCGCTCGCCGACTCTATTCATGTGGTGAGCCTTGGTGAAAGCTGTCCTGGATAAACCCATCCTTCCATGTGCTCCGGCATCGTGCCACACGTTGTTCGGAGTGAAACTTCTTCAGGAACTGAATAAGCTCCCAGCACGTGGAGCGAAACTTCTGACATGGAATGCCACGTGGTAAAAACCCGACAAGGAGCGGGAGAGCTGTGCGGCACAAACGCAGTAGCAAGGAAGCCTTCGTGCCCGAGAGTGTCTTTTAATCAGTCTGGAAAATCCTAAAATGTAATTTGCAGTAACTTTATAATGGAATTTTACTTAAAGTAGATAGATCAATCTACGTGGTTTTACCGAAAGACCCAAAGAATATTTATAATTAAGCTTTCTTCCTGTTTCTCTTTACTCAAGGTCATCTGTCTCCCCCGATCAGCCACGATGCCAGCATCTTTGTTTCATTTCAGTGTTTGAATTAAAAGTTATATTATTTTCTTCAACATTAACAGCATCTATTTTCTAGCGCCATCCTCTTCGGATTATAAGACGCACTTTTCCCGCCTGTATATTAAGCAAAAGTTAGGAGCGAGTCTCATAATCTGGTAGCTGTGTGTGCACGTGAGCAGATTTGTACTTTCTCTATTGACACTAGACACAAGTTTGTGGTGCGTCTTATTTTCCCGAATTTCCAATGCGGAGAACACGGTCGCGATTGTTGGTTAGTTTTTCCAGTGTTATCAACCGTACTCTGGGTGGTCGGCACTCATCAAATGATATATTTTGTTGCGTGTACCACAGGGAACTATGGTATTGACGAACTTTACATCGGTGCTGTTTGATGAGAGCCAGTGGGAAGCCCCACATGAGTTCAACCCTGGTCGCTTCCTGGACGGCAGCGGAAAATTCGTCAAACCCGACGCCTTCCTGGTCTTTTCTGCCGGTACGCTCACACGGTTTTAAAAAAAAAAGTAACGATAACAATACTTTCTCGATTTAAAGCTTTCGTGACTGCAGGGATTCATCTTCTTGGTTCGTTCGGTAAAGTCACGTAGAATGGAAATAATAAAATAATGAAAATAAAAAACATAATAAAATAATTCTCACGATGTTTCGGCCACAACGCAAACAGCCGTCCTCGGGTGAAGAACAGGTCTGTCGAGAAGACAGATTTGTGGCCGAAACGTCGTGAGAATTATTTAATTATGTTTTATTTTTATTATTTTATTATTTCCATTCTACGTGACTTTACCGAAAGAACCAAGAAGAACAATACTTTCATTTTATATAGCGTCAATCGTGCCAACGGCATTCCCACAACGTACAAGGATGTGAAATAACAATAGTTTATGTCTACATGTATTTATCGCCAGGTCCCCGCGTGTGCCTGGGAGAGAACCTGGCCAGGATGGAGCTCTTCCTCTTCTTCACGTCTCTGCTGCAACGCTTTCAGTTCTACTGGCCCGACCCGGCTTCAAAGCCAAACCTGGAGCCCAAATATCAGTTCACGCAGGCACCGCAACCGTACAAGATGGGAGTGCGCCCACGTAACTCGTGAATCGACAAAAAGCCGGGACACGTTCGACGTACCGGCAGGGCTTGCAGATTTCCCAGCGCTGCCGACGATCCTCCGGCAAAAATACGGGACAAGGTGGCAACTTTAGCAGAGGGCAGCCTTGCTGTTTGCTCCAGAGCAGCAAGGGTGCACATGCCAAGGAGGGTGTAGACCCGTGTTCTTCTTGGCATTCTCACTGCCCGTTATTTAAAAATTCATGTATAATTCTTAAGCAGTAATTTCCTTCGGATGTCTGTAAAACATTTTTTTTTATTAATGTGACAGCTATTGCTGTCTTCCATTAATCCATCAACAGGCACATACAACGAGTATGGCAGCAGAGCAAGTTTTCCTAATGAATCGTTGCGCAGTAGCGTCAGCTGTGCTTGTTCAACATGAGTACATATACCGACACTTTGGTGGTACACATTCTACAAAAGAGGGTGGATGTATGTGCAGTGAAAGTAACGAGTGAAGGGACCGTGAGACTAAAGACGTTATTTTAGGCAGCCAAATCAGATGTATAGCGGAAAAATGCGTTCAGCAAAACTATTTCCCATTTAATAACGTCACGGTAAAGTTTGTGCGAGTTACGATGTATCACTACGCACACGCGGTGAGAGGGTGGGACAAACAACGAAGGGTACGCCGCCGTATCGCACCGCTCGGCTGGGGGTGCATTCCGCATTGTACCGACTGCATTCCGTATTATAACGAGCGCGTTCCACATTATAACAGCCGCGTTCCGCATTATAACGGCTGCGTTACGTATTATATCGGGCGCGTTCCGCATTGTAATGGCCGTGTTCCACATTATAACAAGCGCGTTCCACATTGTAACAGCCGTGTTCCGCATTGTGACGAGCGCGTTCCACATTGTAACGGACACATTCTGCGTTTTGCAAAGTGTTCCCCGGTGGAAGAACCGCGTAATTGCGAAAACGCGTTATCGTGTGAACACACGTTAAGCGAGGACTTGCCGTACAAGTATCTTAGCCAAGTATCAAAACATCCTCTTTCTCATCTTCGACACGGAAACATTTGACATCTACTTTATGCCCATCTCAGACTATGCTGACATGACATTATTGCATGATATAATTTATGCAAAAGGGATCTGAAACTTTTTTTTCCAAAATCTAAAACTCGCCCCGAATGATATATCCATATCCAATTTATGACTTTCCGCGGTGCACTGCAAATCTCAAATAAAATTACCAAATTGTCTTAGCCCGTGTCTTCATTCACACGAGCTCATTTCGTCTTGTCATAGTTGAGCTCCGATCTCTGGTTGGGTCGTCGTTAGCTGATAGTCGTGTGCTTGTTTATCCACCCCCCTTCAGTCATCGCTGAAAAGCGACTACTCTTTTGGAACGACAAACGGCACCACCGCCACCTACCCGCAGCTCAATGCCCCCTTGCGCTGCGGTTTGCCGGCGTTGAGTCAAGGTAAAGCCTGGCTACCAATGAGACACTGAAAGGCAAAATCCGTCCCAAGAATTTTGCTCGTGCTGAATCAATGCTCCTGAAACGATGCCCTCCAAGAATACCACGTGGCCCACGGATTGTGTAAAGGATACTTTATGCTTTTTTTGTAACGCGAAGAGAGATCTTTTATGGAGAAAATGTTTGTTGATCTATTTGGACTTTTGCCACGTGGTCAAAGTCACGTGGCCCGAGCACGCCGTGCAGCTCTGCTGTCTGTCATTGCAAAACGCACGCGAGACAGGGATACATGTGCCAAGTAGTGGACATGTCGCAGCCCTTTGTGCCAATCCACTGCTGGACGAGGGCCTCCACTCTGCACAGGTTGGCAGCATTTATTTTGGCCATACTCCCCGACGCTGGTCAGTGCGAATTAAAGCCGGGGAAGCGTAGACGTTGGAACATAGAGGTTCAGTACAACAAACGGATGTTGCTGCGTCGCCCTCTGCTGTACCGTAAAGAGATTCCATATGCACACACGGACCATGTGTTCTGATTATCGACATCGGAACCCACAGATTTGACAGCAACCGACCAGCCAGCATGCCTTAGTTAAACATGCAACATCCTCAAACTATCTCGTCCTCGAACAGCTGCAAGTTACTCAGCAAAGTTACACATTCACTTAAGGGTACGAATGCTCAAATAAAATCTGTCAACCCCTTATCAATGCCTTACTTATTACCAATCAATTCAGACCTCATTGGTCACCCCGTGCCCTTATAGATCTCAACGTTCAACCTACAAAACCCGTATTTAAATGCCTGTTCGTCGCATGGACCTGAAAACTTAATTTCTCTGTAACTGTACAAGAATACGGGTAAACCGTATGGGCAGACAGGTATGGTCGCTGCTGCTGCTGCTACTACACATATCACTACCGATGATCCCTCGTCGAATCCAGTCAGATATTTAGAATACACTTGCCGTATTAATCGGGGCGGCCGTGGGAAAAATTCCGATCCGCGAAAATGCTGCAACAGAGCCTGGGCCAATCGAGCTGCCTGCCCAGCTTGTTGTTTTTTGTTGTTGCGTGGACCAAACCCGACCGCAGCCGTGCCTCTGGTGTGTCCTCGAACTAACCACACGGAGACTTCTTCGGAGGCAACGCGTTTTATTATAACAACTCTTAAACTCGGCATATACTACTGCGTACGCTGGGCTACGCTACACGCCGGCTACGCTTGCGACGGCGGAAGGCTGGACCGACCGACCCACCCAGGCAGGGTACGGGTCTCGCCCTGGCCCGCTTCAACCCCGGCTTAGCGAGAGCCGCGGGGAGGGTCCCAGGGGGTCCCAGGGGGTCCCAGCGAGCTCGACTGCTCCGCGACAACCCGTGCTGCACGAGGTCGCTTGGTCCAGTCTGCAGATCTTCAGATGCCTTAGAACCTTCTAGAAGGTCTTATCTTAAGGGATCTTAGGAAGTGGTAGGGGGGGGGCATTAGCCCCCAGCCCCTGGGAGGGTCTGGGGTGTCAACCCCCGGTCACGGAGGGGAGGGGGGTTGACCCTCGGTCACCCCCCACACACCTCGCTCTCTCTCGGCTGTCCCCTGACGGCCCGTGTGCGTGGTAGCGGGTCAGCTACCCACAGCGCCTTGGTATGGCGCACCACCTCATCGCTTCACCCTCCTCCTCGCCTCTCTCACAAACAATTTCAAAGCAGGAAAAACGAGAAAGGAGGGAGGAGGAAATGCGACCGTGCGGCCGCGGCTGAACAATGAACAACTCTCGACTCGGCACACGGAGCCACACCACTGTGGGCCAGTTCCACCCAGACTCGAAAGTCAGAGCTCGCGATGGTGCCGATCATCTCCGCTGCACGTGCGCTATGACGCTTCGTTTGATTTATTTTATACCACGTAACAATGCATTTCCCCAATCTTTGCAAAGTGATGAGATTTACAAAAGCGCAATTTGGAATTCCTATTTGCCACATTTAAGTATATTTGTTTACAGCAAGGGGAAGAAAATGTGAAGATTTTTTAGTTTTTAATTCGTAAACTTAGAGTCCTTACCAATAAACACCAAAGTAAAAGCAGCAGACGTCAGGGTCGTGATGGAACCCACGACCTCCTGCACACCAGGCAAGGTAGTTAACATCTCATAGCCACCGTGATGATGATGATGAGAGAGACACGCAGACTCCAAATATACAGCAGCAGGCGTCAGGGTCGTGATGGAACCCACGACCTCCTCCATACCAGGCGAGGTAGTTAACATCTCACCACTGCTGTATACTGTGTGGGTTTACTCCTTCTCAAGGCCGCGCTATTGATGGGTGTTGTTGCGTTTTCGTAAATGGGGTGTTGAGTTCAGGGAGTTTGGTTGTCAGCCTCTCTCCTGCTCACGACTACCACTCATCGTTTGCTACCTCGCCAGCGTCACCGCTCGGGGTGTCGTCAGTCGTTCACTGATGTTGTCGAGATAAATATTTGTCAAGTCGCCGTGGGGTACAGGACGCGAGACGTCTCCGTGCAGGGAAGGGACACGGAGTCACGGGAGGGAGAATGAGAGACGCGCTTTGCTCGTTGCGAACCAAGTTGCGTGCAAACCTCGCTGCGGAATGTTTAAGATGAAACCACCCGAAACCAGATTTGTAAAAAAATAACAAAAAACACCCGGTCACTTTTTACTCCCCCCCGCCTCCCCCCACAGAACATTCTAAACGTTGGGCGGACGTTGCGACGTCTTCTCGCCGCGTCGAGAGCGATGCAACTGCGTGACACCAACACCACCACCCCAGAGCTGCTGCTGCTGTTGTTGTTGTTGTTTAGATCCTGAGCCCTGCCCGGGTGTCAACACCCCCCAACAAGCCGCGTGTGCCCGAGTCCAGCGGCAGCAGTTGCAGGTGAACGACCCCAGCAGCGGACTTCTCTCTCCGTTCCGTGCCCGCCCGAGACTCCTCCACCAAGCAGGGAGCGAGGTGAGTGAGGGGGGCCAGGTGAGTGCAGTGTGTATTTCAATCCGGGGAAGTGTGCAGACTATTTGTTGAGCGTGTGTCGGCATGTGCTTTGTGTGGAGAGTGTGTGCTCGTACGTGTTCACGCGAATGTTCCTGTGGATGTTCATGTGCCTGCTCCCTGGAGTGTGTTCATGTGTGCACGTGAAAGAAGACTATGTGCCCTTTTCTTTCTCCACGAGGTTCAGGGTTGTTTTATTTCACGGCACGGGTCCACATCTTGATCCTCTCTCCAACTCCGCCACACGCTCCCTCCCTCTTCTAACCTCTTCCTGAATCAGCTGCTCGTCGCACTCCGTCTCCAACAATCATCGCCTCGCTTTCTCCACCCCACCCACCCACTCACCCACCCACCCTCTCTTACTCCACCCCACCCACCGACCCACCCACCCTCTCTTACTCCACCCCACCCACCCACTGACCCACCCACCCTCTCTTACTCCACCACACCCACCCACTCACCCACCCACCCTCTCTTACTCCACCCCACCCACCCACTGACCCACCCACCCACTCAGTGACCCACCCACCCACTGACCCACCCACTCAGTGACCCACCCACCCACTGACCCACCCACTGACCCACCCACCCACCGACTCACTGACCCACCCACTCACCCACCCACCCACCGACCCACCCACCTACCCACTGACCCACTCACCCACCCACCCACCGACCTACTGACCCACCCACTGACCCACCCACCGACCCACCTACCCACCGACCCACCCACTGACCCACCCACCGACCCACCCACTCACCCACCTACCCACCCACTGACCCACCCACCCACCGACCTACTGACCCACCCACTCACCGCTGCCCTCGTCCTCATTGCCAGGCTGCCATGGCGGCGTCGCTGGGCTCCTCCGCGCTGGACGCCCTCTCCTCGACCCTGATCTCGCCGTCGCTCTCCACCTGCCTCGTCTTCCTCGCCACCTTCCTGCTGCTGCTCGAGTGGCGCAAGGTCCAGCGGCCACGCGGCTTCCCGCCCGGCCCCACGGCGCTGCCCCTGCTGGGCAACCTGGGCTCCCTGCCCACGCAGGAGCCCGGCACGGCCCTGCACAAGGTGGCGAATTCTTGTTGTTCGGTGACGGTCACCGCATCGCGTGGCGCTTTCAGACGCGCTTCTGCGGCCGTCTGGAACGCTCCTCCTTACGATATTAGGGGCCGTCCATAAATGACGTCACGCGATTTTGGACGATTTTTGACCCCCCCTCCCTCGTCACACGACGTCACAAAAAGTGAGACCCCCCCTCAAATATGACGTCACAAAGCTCTATGGACAGACTGCCCCCCCCCCCAAACCATATTTCTATTTTGAAAATAAAACATGCTTCAAATCGCTTTAAACTATTGTCATTGTAGTGCGTATTTGAAGTGGCGCTGCACTCTGATGTTGTAGGAGTGTTGTTATAACAATTAGTGTTGTTATAACAATTCTATATTTATTTAAAGTTGCGCATTTTGATGTGACGTCACATTTCTCAACCCCCCCCCCCCTCGTCACACATCGTCACAAAACTGACCCCCACCCCCCTAGGTGCGTGACGTCATTTATGGACGGCCCCTTATGAAGCCGCTGTAATTATGCACTTTTAAATCATCTCGATTGAAAGCTCATTTCTTTGGGGCTGCTTTTTGTGTTTAGCCAACTGTCCTCCGATGAGCACAGTTGGCTACGTACGGTGCAGAAGAAGTTCAAACTACATATACTGTACATACATCTGCTTCCGTGGGGTGGAAGCAGATTGCGTCGCTCCGTGGGAGTTCTCATGGCGTGATAACTGCTCGCAGAATTTGAAAGAAATTGTGGGGAAAAAATTAATTTCGTAAATTATCACCACCAGAAAATCGTACAAGATTGCTTTAGAAATTCAAATTATTTTATGATGTAATCACCCCTAAGTTTAGCAATAGGGAGACTTGAAAAATGTATTTTGCACTTATCCAGGTAAAGCTTAGTATGTTCTGGCAACAATGGTAAACACAACCCTTGGGATTAAAAAAATATTCCAAATGTCTCACAAATCATTCATCCACAACAGCAATTACCCCTTGCCCCAAACTATCAGAAAATAAGAGGCGTTCAAATGAGCGCTGTTGGCTATGTACGGTGCGAAATAAGTTCAACATATATATACCCAGGGTGATCAAGGTTCTTTCGGTAAAGTCACGTAGAAGGGAAATACCGAAAGACCCAAGAATATGAATCCCTGCAATTACGAAAGCTTTAAATCAAAATTTAACCGGTGGCTGTTGTTCGATAACTGGCCACATCATCGGAATGTGCTGCCCCATCTGTATGCCAGTGGGATGGTCCAGCGGTTCAGCTATCGGCTCGTAATTAAAGAGGTTGCGAGTTCAAACTCTGGTTGGGTTTTAATTCAGCCCATCATCCCTCCGGGGTCGATAATATAGTTACCATTTTGTGGACACGTCAACAGCGGTTGGTCTATGGACAGACTCCCCCCCGCCCCGCCATAGGAATGCAGAATTCACCACCACTGACTCGGGGCTGTGAACAGGCGATGACTGTCGACTCGATGCTCACGTGAGCAGAAACCATAAATCGCTTCGCCTTCGACGTCTGTACGCAGCTCTCGAAGCGCTACGGGGACGTGTACAGCCTGCTGCTGGGCCGCGAGCTGTGCGTGGTCATCAATGGCTTCGATGCCGTGAGGGATGCGCTGGTGAACCACGCCAAGGAGTTTGCCGACCGCCCCTGGATGGCGATGATTTCCAAGATCACGGAGGGCCTCGGTGAGCCGCTCGACCCCTTCCGCTCTTTGTCCACGTGGCATTTGAAGAGCGACGGCCTCTCCACCACGTGCTTGCTCTACGTTGCTGTGAAGTAGGGCCATTACCTGAAGCATCGCCTAGTATATTTATACTTTTTTTCTTTTTTAAGGCAGTGGTATTGACGAATGCGTTGTAGTATTTGGGACAATATTAGGTTTGAAGTGAAAATTGCGTGAAACCTAATCGTCCTGCAGCCCATCTTCACTGGCGATTCCCTTCTGCAGAAACATTGTGGCACAGGAATAGGATCCGTTATGAAAAGTGCCAGTTTACGTATTTGGTGTTTATGGAAATGCCGGCATGGCATACCGTCGCATAGCGGCACTTTTCCACTGCTTATTGTAGATTGGCGCTGAGTCCTGGAAACCATTCGATGGTGTCAGGAGTTGCTTCCTGTATAGCAATCGTCGCTGCTGTGTAAGTGCCGCGGTAGCAAGATGTTAAATCCCTCACTAGGTATGCAGGAGGTCGTGGGTTTGATCACGACCTTGACGCCTGCTGCTGTATATTTGGAGTCTGCGTGTCTCTCTCCCAGTGGTCGTGTGGATTTTTCTCAGGGTCCTCCAGTTTTTCCCTCCACATTTAGAATCCAACATCACACATTTTGAATATTTGGCTGCTATAAATTTCCACGTGATGATAAGCCACTTCGTTGAGCTATCATTTGTGGCCAGGTCGCTTCTCAAAAAGAGCTAGATAGATGAGTGGGCCTTACCTGGTAAAATAAAAGTTTTAGTTCAGGACGTCCATCGTGAAAGATGGAGCGATGAAATGGGCTCGTGTGAGCGTGCCGGGCAGATCGTCGCAACGCGAGGCCGTGAGAGATGGCGAGGGCTCGGGTGGGGGGTGCTCATCCAGAAGAGGATAGATCATAGCTGACGATTAATTAATGAAATCTATTATAAAGCGATGATTGTTTACATCTCTGAATGTTTAGTATACTGGCAGCAGGGCCGTACAGAGGTTCCTAGAGGCCACTTGGGGTCGCCACCTTACTCCATCATTCACAAACCTCTTCTACCCGCTCCTCTGGGCGGCCGTGGAGGGCAGATGCTGGTTATGTGATAAACAGATTGAATTTCCACGTTCGCAATTCGGCAACTCTTAAAAATGTCCCCGCTCCTGAAGAAAATAGCCACACTCCCCCCCCCCCCCCCCCCCCGTGTGTGTTGTTCGAACACGATACACTTGAGAGGCGAACAAAAACAACAATTGCAAACCCAGACTTGCTAGGTCAGCAGCGGTACGGCTGTAGATACCCGACATCGCGCGGCCAGACTTGAACGTGCAATCTGCAACGGTCGCTTCGCTGCAGGCATCATCACGGCGGGGTACGGCCACAGCTGGAAGCAGCAGCGGCGCTTCGCCCTCTCCACGCTGCGCAACTTCGGTCTCGGCAAGAAGTCTCTGGAGGAGAAGATCAACGAGGAGGTGGCCATCCTCGTCCAGACATTCCGGGAGTCCGGTGAGCGAGCGAGCGACCGAGCGAGCGCACCAACACTTGGGAACGCGAGCCGCATCACTCTGTTGAGCCCCAAAGCATCCTCCCATCCCCAGCGCCCCCCACTATAATGATTTAATTCGTCTTCACGGGCCGTCGTAACAAAACACCAGCCGACCGGGGAACCGCGAAGTCATGCCAGCCCAGCTCCGCATTTCCACGCCCATCGCACTCACCTCCCGCAATTTTCCTCCCGTCTTGCGCCGCCTCAACCCAGTGCTCAGCACGATAGCCATCGCATACCACTCGCGTGAAGCGATGCATTCCGATTGGCACGTTTGGCTACGTACGGTGCGAGAGAAGCTCGACATGCCCGTACGTACGTACGAGCTGCCGTTGAGTTAAGTGGCAAGTCGCCCGAGTGTGCGTCGTGCACAAAAATGCGCCATTTTATTCCGTTGGCTGTTTTACTGTACCCAACCAGATGTGAACTAGACGTCTGTGGGGGGGGGGGGGGAAAGAGCTTTATAGCTCATCGGATTCCTCCAGTAAAATAAATATTCTGATCTTGACCTACTGATTGGCTCACCGTTGTGTATGCATGCTGCCTGATGTGCAGAGGCGGAGATCAAATTGAACCAGCAATCTCTGGATTGCGAGTCCAGTGTGCTTGCCACAAATGAACCACAATGCCTTGCTGATCTCGTCAAAACAATCAAGCGAACTCCGGTCATCCTCGCAGCAGCGTATTTTGGCTGACCATCGAACAAAGGCGGCGGTCACCGCACCGCGCAGTGCTTACAGAAGCCACTGGGCTATTCACTCTTAATTGAAAACTAATTTCTTTCTAACTGCTTGTTGTGTTTAGTTTGTTGTCCTTCCCACGCAACTCCGATTAGCACGGTTGGCTACGTACGGTGCGCAAGAAGTTGAACATACACGCGCACATTAGATCACTGCAGTAGCGTAGTGGAAATCGCTGTTGGCAAATGTTATCCGTCGTGTCTGGTTGCAGCTGATGCCTTCGACCCCCACTTCAGCATCAACAATGCCGTGTCAAACATCATCTGCTCAATCGTGTTTGGGAACCGCTTTGACTACGACGACAAGCGCTTCCGCGACTTTCTGCAACTCTTCGCCGATAACTTCAGGATCGAAGGCGGCTGGAGAGGGAAGGCAAGCGGAGTTGAATCTTCAACGAGCGTTCGCTTATAAGACTTTTATTTGAAGTGTTTGTCGTGCCGGGCCGGCCCGGTGCTGCTCTGAGAGGTGCCGGGTTGCTTTTTCCACTGCACAACCCGAGCCGTGATGTTGGCGTGCAGCCGACGTCAAACGCGACGAACGAGTCGAGACACGGTTAGGTGAAGCGGTGACGCTGCGTTTTTTTTAGTTGTACTCACATTGCACGCACGACGAATGAAGGTTTGTTAGTAGGCATTGTGTCAGGCGTTTCACTCCACGTGTTGGGAGCTTCTTCAGGAACTGAATGTCCACTTCAGGAACTGACTTCACTGAAGAAGATCCCAGCATGTGGAGCTAAACGTTGAACATCGTGCCACGTGGGCTGTGCTTGAAGGCGAATGCACGCAAGATGCTTTTATTCGGCGAGAACACGCTCAAGCCGGTTGGGCGGCAACGACGACACTTTGATCACGGCGTGTAATCTGTGCCGTCAGTTCAGACGACTCAGCCCCGAGGCTTGCGACGTGGCCGAGCGTTATCGCGTTTGCCGCTTCTTTGCGGCTCAAAGCCCTGGCCGCCCCAGTAAATACTGCAGGCGCGTAGCCGCCAAAAAACGTGCGCCCTCTGCGTTACGGTGGACGTTAAAGATCCCGTGACGCTATCTCAGAAGAGAGAAGTTGGCCACGTGTGCCGGGCGTCACCGTCCAAATGAGAAAAATGTACCGCACATCAATTAAAGGTAAAAAAACAATTGGCAGCATCGCCCGCCGACTGGCAGACCAGTAGCCCCTTGTGCCATGTTCACCTTGTGCCGGCACTGGAACAACTGCCGTCAGTGGGATGTTCGTAACGTCGGGGATGTTTGTAACGTTATGGGCGCAATGTAAACGCACGTTTTTGGATGGTCTAATTTCTCATGCCTCTCCGCAGATATGCATATTCATGCCATGGCTGGAAGACTGGCCCGGCCCTCACCAGATTATCTTCCAGAACGCGGACAAAGTGAAGCTGTTCTTTCAGGAGCGCATCCGTGAGCACCGGCAAACACGCGAGGCCGGCCGACCGCGGGACCTGATCGACGCCTACTTGGACGAGATGGAGAAGGCGAGACTTTCCACAGTTTTTTTTTACGTCTTTTTAATTATTTGTGTATATTCATTATAAGTTTTTATTTTATTTTTTGTAACACAACGAGGGCACGGTGTCACAATGCGCTAGAAGCAGTCCTCGGCGCAAACTGAACTGGCATCTCTCGCCCGCTCCAGAGAGAAGATCGCCTCACTCCGACAAGGCCCACACAATTCGGAGAAACCCCGCCCAGAATAAGGATGCCCCCGATTACTATAGACGTTTCGGGCAGTAGCCCTTCTTCATAGCACATCCCGTCCTATTTTGAGGTTTTATTATTTTGTTATGATTATAATTTGTGTACCACTGCCGATGGTGTATCACCAAATAGATTGTTCAATGTTAAAGGCCAGATAGAGTCATCCCACTACAGCCACAAGCCCCGCCCATCACCACAAGCCCCGCCCATCACCACAAGCCCCGCCCATCACCACAAGCCCCGCCCGTCACCACAAGCCCCGCCCATCACCACAAGCTCCGCCCATCTCCACAAGCCCCGCCCGTCACCACAAGCCCCGTCCACCACAAGCCCCGCCCACCACAAGCCCCGTCCACCACCACAAGCTCCGCCCACTACGACCACACGCTCACCAATGTCAGAAGCCCCTCCCCCCCGCTCAAGTAGAAGGTGTCCAAAATTGGGCCTGTAGCTACAGTAAATGGCAATTGGGGGCCAGGGTCTTAGCTAAATGTCTCAAGTTTTCAAGTTTATTTATTAGGTATAGCCCCCATGTAGGAATGCCCCTAAGAGTATTGCGAGGATGTCCCTCCCCATAACCACCCCTGCTCCCGATCATTACGCCGACGACGGGTAGGGCGGCGAGCCCGGACACACCCCCGGTCGGTCCCTAATTTCGAGGGTCTATCCCTCCGGGTTTGTTTCACGTTATTTGGGTTCTTAAATCACGAAAAACGTAAAACGAGGATGCTGCGTTGTGCGCGCCGTGCAGGAGAGCCAGGACCCGGGGTCCACCTTCTCCGATGGAAATCTGCTCAACGTGGTCGGAGACCTGTTCATAGCTGGCACCGAGACCAGCTCGACCACCCTGAGATGGGCCTTGCTCTACATGATGGCCTATCCCCACATCCAGGGTACGGTTTTGTGAAAGCGTCTGACGTCAGTTGTGAATATGCCTCCAGCAACAACAACAACGATTTGGATTTAAATGTGTGTGTTCTGTTATAATGGAATCTCGGTGGTGCTACGGTAAGAGCCGTTGACTGGCCGTTCGGTTCAAATCTTAGTTGGGAGTCAACTCAACTCTTTGGGGGTCGATCAAAATGAGTATCACTTTGTGGGAAGCCAACTTTGATTGTTCCATGGTCCCTACCATGGGAATGTGGAATTTCCATCATTGTCTGAGGGCCAGTAACACATACGAGTAACACCACGTGCTTCTTTGAACAGCGAAACACGAACTTTGTTTCCACGCCTCGTGTTTTGGCTCTAACGGTTTAACTCAATAATGGTCATCGCGCCAGACTTGCGATCCAGAGGTCGCCAATTCGATCCGACCGTGCGGCAGCTGAGACAACGTTGCGCCTTTCTTAAATCCCCCTGCTCCCCTCCCCCCTGTCCACCCAGCAGCATCACCGGTGTGCACCCACAGTTGGTCGATCGGCTGGTAGGTCTTGTGTGGTGGTGGGGTGCAGTGTGGGTACTCCCATCTCTTCTAAGACATCTGGCCACCACGGACGAATAGGCCTAACTGCCCTCCTTAGGAGGAGGCGTTTTCTATAGGTGCCTGGAGTTGGGGGAGGGACCCTTTTGGCCATGAGTGGTGTGAGAAATCAGTTCCGAGGGCTGCAGTTTTACCCCCCTGACAGGTGACCTTGCTGCGAGTGGCGGCTGGCTCTTGGTTTTAGGATGAGGTTTGGCCCGTTGCTCCCCGCACCTGCACTGCAGAGCGCTGTGAGGAGCGGTGGCGCAGCGGTCGGCGCGCTGCGCTTACGAACCCGGCGACACGAATTCGATTCCCGCTCACGACCAACACCGGCGACGGTTATCTGAACCGGTCCTGGGCCTCCCCTAGGTCGACTCAGCCTCAAATAAGTACCTGGTGAGGTGTGTAGTAAACATCGCCAGTGGGGAGATAAAGGCGGCCTGGGGTGGTGCTGGCCACCCACGCTCTCGTGTGCCATGCCGGACTTCATAGGTGCTGCTCGCTAACAGCACTTGCCGCAACGGCTGTTAAGCGTACACGGGGGCTCTTTGGTATGCATGTATGTTGACCTTCTTTCACACCATACGTAGCTTACCACGCTGATCGTTGCAGAGCGCTGTCAGAGAGAGATCGACGAGGTGATTGGCGGCGATCGCTCGCCAAACACGACGGACCGAGCAAACCTCCCGTACACCGACGCTGTGATCCACGAAACCCAGAGGATGGCCAACGTTGCCCCGCTGGGCGTCTTGCATTCTACCACCACCGACGTCAAGTTTCGAGGATACGATATTCCCAAGGTTAACTTGCGTAGATTTAGACACCTGTGTGGGTTTTTTTTATTTTGCGTGCCTGTAAAAGTGACGTTGCTTTTCACGCTAATGTAAAGGAAATTTACACGTTATCGAAATCTATATGATTTTTAAAAAAAATATCTAACTGCTTCTGCCACATTGCGATCTTACATTTACATGCAAATTACATCTCTAGCCCCGCCCACTTACCCTTGGGTTGCACCCATCTCAAACCTATTATATAACCTCTTGTCGCAGCAGCTCTCCCACTATATTTCTCCTGCCCCAGCAGGTCGCCTGCTGTATTTTTTCACCTGAAGATGATTGCTTGTGTTGCGATCGAAACGTCGTGATTTTTTTTCTTTTTTCTATCTCCGTGACTTTACTGAAAGACCCAAAGGGTATGAATTACTGCAGTCACGAAAGCTTTAAGTCAAGATTTGAAATTACTTTTAAGACTTTGACGTCTCTCTTTGCAATGACACCCACAAAATTACTCAATTGGGAGGTTTATCGCAAGAATCGTCCCTCTGCTGTGAAAATTTGGCAGGAGCTTACTGAAAAAGCCATCAAACTCGGGCATTCCTTGGTAAACAAGCATTAAAAATACAACTAAATAGACACGATGTTATGTTTACATACTTACGTAGGTTAACAACTTTCATTTGTCTGCAGGGAACAAAGGTGTTACTTAACCTGACGTCGGTTCTGCACGACGAGACTCAGTGGAAAACGCCGGACGAATTTAACCCCGACCACTTCCTGGATAAAACGGGCCAGTTTGTCAAGCCTGACGCCTTCCTGCCCTTCTCTGCTGGTACGTGGCAATGCCCCCGACTCGTAACACCGCCACCGACTGCCAAGCCGGCGCTCCGAACACCTTTGCACTGCACCGGGTTAGCCAAGGGCCGCCCAGATGCGGGGTGGGCCAAGGGAGGTCATTTTCCCCCGGGGCTCGCACAAAAGAGGACCCCGCGATGGGCCCGTGTTTTTGTCACACGATTGAACAAGGGGAGGCTCACGTGAGCATTCTACTCCCCCCCCACCCACCCTCGGGACAGCCCCGGTGACAGCTGCCGCAGGGGATTTCCTTGGCTAGGCTGCAGAGCATTGGCGCGCTTTGCGATCGGTCGGACGTGATGTAAGTCGGCGTGATTTGCTCAGGCATCCAAGCAAGCGTTCTATAAATACTCTAATCGCTTTTCCGTCCTGTCATACGAAAGAAGAACGCAAATCCTCATTCCCCCCACCCACCCCCAGGTCCCCGTGTGTGCCTGGGAGAGAACCTGGCCAGAATGGAGCTCTTCCTGTTCTTCACGTCTCTGCTGCAGCGCTTCAAGTTCCATTGGCCCGACGCAACTTCTCGGCCCAACTTTGTAGCTGCCGAGGGTCTCAGCCGTGCCCCGGTGTTCTACAAGCTGGGCATCCGCCCTCGCAACACGGCCAAGTGAGCTGTGGGCTCCGAATTCCCCATGAAGTCAAAGTCGATTTCACCTTTTTTTTTGCTTAAACACGTCCGGGTCAGGGGCTCCTTTCTGGCATGAATCCACCACCCAAAGCGCCATCACGTTAATATTAATGGATATAACAGACGATTGTATATGGTGAGAGTGAAAAATAAATAAATTGTACTATTCCCAAGCCTCACACAGCCCCAAGTTTATTTTACGGAATGCATTATTCAAGTAATGTTGAGTTCCTTGAAAGTGGTTATTGTTTTGTGTGTTTCTTAAATTCAAATACGGTTCTTTCCCCCCCCCAACGTTATTCCACTTGTGCTGTGAATCTAGTTTCATGATATGAATTATCCACTGAGAACCATTGCAGAGAAGTGTATCACCCCATGTTAGAGAGCACTGCCCGTGGTAGGAGATAAGAGAGAAATACTTCTGAGTTCCCATCAAGTAACCTAATCCATACACTGGAGTGCTCTTTTACACTCGCCCTTCTGTTATAGGGATGTTCGTCGCATGAAGAGTCAACTCGATTTTTTGTAATTCCCAAAGCTGCAATTTTGTGGAAAAATAAACTTATATTAAAATGTTGTTTTTGTTTGTCGGTGCAGTAAAGTTGTGAATGGGCTGAGAAAAATTAATCGCCATTAACTTGCGTACTCACCTGTTTAATCACGGGTGGCTCAAAGCCAGATTCAAACCCAGGATCTCAGCAGAGGCAAGTCAATCCTCTGAGAGCTGTTTAAATGTTGTCAAATTCCAACTTCAACCACGTCTACGTCGTGTGAATATAGACTAAAACACGTTATTGCAGTTTGTCTAATTGTATTGCAGTGAATTTTTTTGTACATTTCAGTAGTACTTTGGTGAATCACAAACTTTATTTTTACCAAGTTTTTTTCCAGCTCTTTTTTGACCGCTCATATCGTCCCTAAAATAAAATGACAATTTCTCAGCCCAAACTGAGATGATGCTTGCTACCTGCATCGATACGGGAATATCCAACTATGGCGCTTTGAGCACGTGCCTCTATTATACTGGTAGGAACCTCCTGGTTACACCAGCCCACAGGGGATTGATTATTGTGTCCGTCCGTCCTGCAGAGAGGGACTGGGTGGGGAGGGAGGGGCTGGGTGGGTGGGGACGGGCTGGGTGGGTAGGGGAGGGTGGGGAGGGGCTGGGTGGGAAGGGGAGGGTGGGGAGGGGCTGAGTGGGGAGGGTGGGGAGGGGCTGGGTGGGGAGGGTGGGAGGGTGGGGAGGGGCTGGGTGGGGGTGGTGGGGCTGGGGGAGGGGTGGGGCTGGGTGGGGAGGGGCTGGTCACCCCGTGGTGCCCTTATAAAACTCAACGTTTAACCTACTCACGCCGGCTTGTGCCCGCCCTCACAGTCGGGCATATTTGCGGAATACACCACGCCGCTGTTGACTCTGGCCATTGACCGAGCAACCCAACGTTCCTACCAGCTCCCTCCGCAAGACAATGTGTTCCACCGCCGTTTGGTTACATTTGAAGCAACCAAGAAGACGAAGAAGCAAGAGGAAGGGCCGGGTGCCAGCAGATGGTGACGATGATGAAACCGTGAGAGTGGTCCTTGCAGGATGCTTTGTAGCAAAGGGAATTGATAAAGATATAGTGATGACACAATGACCCTCGAAAGGCTTGTCGGCTGTCGTATAAAGGGGACGGTCTCAAGCCCACGTGTGGTCGTGATGAGACCATAAGAACGGGGTCCTTAAACGATGCTTTGACTCTGTAACAATGAGAAAACATCCAATGCCAAATGATGGTGGTGATGCAACTGCGAGAATGGTCCTCGAGGGAGCGTGAGCAGTGACAACAGTGAGCAGTGTGATGAGTGAGCGGTGACAGTGAGTGAGCGGAGCGACCTGACCCATGGAACAACCCACTCCTTTGCCCGGCCTCCACCCCGAGCCCCGTCTGGACGGAACCAGCTCAGACGACGAGGCCCTGGGTGTGTGACGCGTTCAGTGCTGGGCAGGGCCACGTGGCATGCCACGCGCGTGCCACGTCAGGGGCCGTCCATAAATGACGTCACGCGATTTTTGACGATTTTTGACCCCCCCCCCCCTTCGTCACACGGCGTCACAAAAAGTCAGACCCCCCCCCCTCAAATATGACGTCACAAAGCTCTGCCCCCCCCCCCCCCCAAAATAAAACATGCTTCAAATCGCTTTAAACTATTGTCATTTTAGTGCGTATTTAATGTGGCGCTGCACTCTGATGTTGTAGGAGAAAACATTTATTAAAACGTCTATTTAATTAAGTAGAACGTGTTGTATATATTTAAAGTTGCGCATTTTGATGTGACGTCACATTTCTCATCCCCCCCCCCCTCGTCACACATCGTCACAAATGTCTGACCAGTGGCGGCTCCTGCAAAATCTCTCAGGGGGGGGCAAATGTCTGGATGATTGATAAGGATAAGGTCCACCCATGCAATGGATAAATTAACAGCTTAAGCATGTAAAGGCAACTTCACTTCTTTAATATTAATGAAAAATAAAGTGACTCTTACAATACATCTTGTTTGTTTCTATCTCACTATTATTACAATCCACTCAGTTTCTTTTTATTAAAGATTCCACTAGGTGGCGACAAATAATATTGTTGACTGAAACGTGCTTACGTATGATGACGTAAGCACGTTAGTGCGAGCCCTCCCGGAAGCCATAGAGAATGCATTGGAGCGCCCGCCGTTCGAAAAAAAACATCTTTGAATGTAAGTCTATGGGAACACTCTGGGCGATTCTCAGCCAGAGTGAAATCGCCCAAAAAGAGGCGGTACTCCACAGAACGTGACATGACGCTGATTGGACTATATCCAGAGGCACAGTAACGGCTGAGATTGGTGGTGCGTCGCCCAATCGCCCTAATGAAGAAACCGCCCCTGTGTCTGACCCCCCCCCCCCCAGGTGCGTGACGTCATTTATGGACGGCCCCTGACATGCCACGCGCGTGCCACGTGCGTTGTTTTGCGATCATTGAGCAACATAGGCCGTAAGGTGAACAAGGAAAAAGTGGCTAGAAAATGATTTTCGTTCCCACACCTGGGAACTACTTTTTAAATGAATTTTTTCATAGACAAAACCATTTTCGACTTTATGTTAAAAGTTCTCCGCAAAATACCCTGCAGTTTTTTTTCAAAATCCATAAATGTATATAATTGTGAATTGGAAAAAACAAAAATCTTATGCTGCTGGTTTTGTTTGTAACTTTATTTATATACATTTTAGCAACACCAAATATCTCTCAAACTGACACTTATACATGTACCTAAACACTTGAGACAGGTTTTGGTGCATTATATACTCAAGTGTGAATGTAGACCATGAAAGATGGCAAATTTGTAGACAATATGCTTCAACTTCACGGATTGGCACTAAGCTAAATTAAACATAAACATTTAAAATTTAGCAAAACTGTGATGTTTTGTACATCAAAATTTTCAGTAGGTACTGTGTAATCACATAAAGATACAAATATAAGCACACTTTGGCCCAAGTTGGCTGAAATGACTCGAAATGCTACACTGTCCCCTTGTTTTGGAATGCTGCCAAAAAAAATTACAATTCTACCACAGATTCTTTACAGCTCAAAATCACCCTAAATTATAACACAGTGCATATTTACTCATCGTAATCATCCCTATCACTATCAGAGCCATTATCCCATGTAGGTCTTCTGTTTCCTGTGAAACATTTGCACAATTTTGGCACCGACATAAATCAGTACAAGACAGTCTTGCAGATATACAGGAACATCTTCCAGTCTCACATTTGCTATGCTTGCAACTGCAGTGGACTGCCTGCAACACACTTTCAGGGGCAGGATTTCTAGTCATCCAGGTCACTGTTAACTCACCATCCTCGAGGTGCCATCCATTGCCAACGGGTGAAGGGGCACACATTATACATTTTCAGAGAATGTCTCATTATGGCTGCTTGGTAGTTTGCCCTTTTGCAGTGTTGGTACAGGGCGTCACTTGTAAGGGGCATGGATAGTTCTGGAAAAGCTGACGATGCCATACAGAATGCTTTGATTCTTGCATCGTTCACATTTTCGGCAGATGACTGGCCATATAGGTGGCACACATATGTGCAAAGTAGCTCAAAGGTAGACTGGTCTAGGTTAAAACTGCTGCCCAGATTTGTAAAAGCAGTCAGATATTCCTCTTTCTCACAAGCAACAGAAAATGCCTTTATTTTGCCTTTGCCATAAAAGGCACTTGTAGAGTCACAACCTGAGAAGGTATGGATCCCAATAAGTGCCAAACAGACACTTGTGCCAAGAGCTGACGACACCTTAGCTAAGTCAATGAGCCTTGTTTTGTTGCCAACCCCCGTGAAAAAATACAACCTACATGGTAAATCTGGCTGCAGACTTAAAGCAATCACTGCCACATCAGTATCAGGGCTCTTGATGACTACAGTTTGATATTCCTGTGCAGCATGTTGTGCATGTAAAAACACCCTGGTGTCACATTCCTCATGATCACATGTCAGATCTTCAACAGCACTGAGAGTATGTAAATCCTCCATTACAGTCACGCAGTGACACAGGTCTCCATGTGTTATGTACAAGCTTAAGTCCTTTCCCACAGTGGTAAGATCAGCCTCTCGCCACACAACATAGAGGAATTCTGTCAGTGCTTCTTTGTTTGTTCCATCTGATATAAACTTTTTCCATTGTGTTGATGTCTTATGATCCCGTCCATAACCTTTCACCAGTTGTGTAACACCACCAGCTCTACGTGACCGTTCTAGGTTTTTAATACTCATTTTTGGATACTGGTCAATCACAAAGTCTATCCGTGTACAGTTTGTTTCAGAGCAAGTTTGACTATGTACTGCAGTATGGTCTCTGCAAGCTCTCCAAAGGTACTTGGTATTGACCGAATGGCTTGAATGACTGCCATGCCATCAAAGAGAATAGCTCCACTGATCACTCCATTGATGGATCCTGGGGCAACAACTTTGGACTCAATGAGTATGTCTTGCAGTCCTGCATCTCCAAACCTTTTTTCCTAGAATGCTCAGGTAGGATATGCATGTGTGAAACTCACCGAGTCTAATCGCTTTACGCTGAGTAAAGTCATCATCTTTCTAGCAGATTTGCTGAGCTTTGGCATATATAGCTTCGTCAAAAACTAACACTATATGGTCCAGTTCTAGCTGATTATGAATTTGGACACTTCGCTTCAGAATTGTGTTTACTGTTGACATCTCTGTCGGTGAAGCCTTAATGACTGGAAGATAATACAGTGCTGACTTTTGCAGAGTGCCATCACCTTGAATTAATGTATGTAAACCTGTCCAGCTTGGTATTGTGCATCTTTCAGCATCTATGGACTTTACAAAAACATATGCCAGTTCAGTTTGTACAGCAGACACCGTGTTCAATTTGTATGTGTCCGCCTGTAATGGAACACTTTCCTGATGAAACAAGTTCTGTGGTCCTTGTCTATTAGACTGATGGTACTATTCGACAGGGATGCTAGGGGGTACTTTCAATGAGGGTTTTCCCTTCTGTAGTGGTTGTCTGTTTGTTGTTGACACAGGTTCAACTACAGAACTTTGCAGCATAATCCCATTTGTGTGGTGGGTAGTTCTATGACCTGACAGTGTCTCCTCCCCAAAGTCAATATTGTCCCACACAAGTACTGTAGGAACCTTCTTTGAGAATCCCTTTGGTATTTTGTCTCTGCCCTCTGCTAGTTGAAGTTGGGCAAGGCTAGTATCTAGACTGACAACTGTGTCCCATGCTGCACAATGTCCTAGTCTATTTAGAAGTGACACAATTTGTGATGAACCTGTTAAATGGCGAACCGTTAGACCAAGACACAATGATTTAGGGGTCTGCCTCCGACCCTTAGATGCAAGATACACAATGTCTTGACAGATAGATATCACTTTTAGGTTCAAATCATCTGGAATATCAACATAATGGGCCAGTGTTGGTTCCTCAGTTGCATCAATAATCCAGGAAATCAGATTGTACAGTTCAATTGGAACGACAGATGTTGCCTCGCTCACATTTAAATCATCTGATGTGGGTAGCCACGGGCATTTCATACTGGGAGAGTCACACAGAAGCATCTTTAATATTAATGCCGCACTGTAAAGTGTCCTCGTGTCCTCTGCAGTATTGATGGAGGCCATTGAACTTGGTCTTTGTGGACCAGCTTTTGCACTAGCCCTGTTTTCACAGTTACTTTCGCTAGTTACCTCAGTTGACTCTGTTGTTTCTGTACCTGATGGATGAGGTAGCCTATCAGCTTATCTGCAGACAATGTCTCAACGAAAACCATCTCACTTATGTTGCGCTTCTTGGGGTAGTGAAACACCAGCTGGGGGAAATCACGGGCCAACCTCCTACTTTTAAAATGTGAAAATGTGAGGGAATTATTAATTAATATTTATTAATATAAAATATTGCTAACTCACTGTTCTTCTGAGGTCACAGTAACTGATGCACTAGACTTTGTCAAGAACCTGGTGTACTGTCTATAACAGGCCTTGTGGTATTGCACCTCCAGAGACACACAGTCTTTGTCTCGAATATGCACAAGAATGCTAGTGTCTTCCTTCATCTCAGCAGCTTTCAGAAAATTGCCTGCAAATAAATAAATACTAATTAAACTAATAAAAAACTGTGTTAAGATCTTCTTGGTTCTTTCGGTAAAGTCACGTATAAGGGAATAAAATAATAAAAACAAAACAATAAAATAATTCTCACGACGTTTCGGCCACAACGCAAGCAGCCATCCTCAGGTGAAAACCAGGTCTGTCGAGGCGACAGAGTCTGAATGAAACAGCACACGAGCTTGGAGCATTCAGACTCTGTCGCCTCGACAGACCTGGTTTTCACCTGAGGACGGCTGCTTGCGTTGTGGCCGAAACGTCGTGAGAATTATTTTATTGTTTTATTTTTATTATTTTATTACTTCCCTTCTTCTACGTGATGACTTTACCGAAAGAACCAAGAAGATGAATCCCTGCAGTCACGAAAGCTTTAAATCGAAATTTAACTGTGTTAAGAGTTAAACAATATTGAGTGTTCTGGCTGTAGCTGTATGCAAAACAATGCAAATCTGTCTCTGACTGTAAAATAAACATTACATAAATTATGTAATTGTAATTGAAAGTTAGCCATGGTACCCAGCATAAGGGAATACAAGTTCAAACGTGTGTATGTGTGTTTTGTTTTTACCTACGTGCTGACGTTTCTGCCTGTGAAAGATGGTCCTTCTGGCGTTTGCCTCCCACAGTAATGTACTTGTCCGTTTTCTTACAAATTATGCACAAGGCAGAAAGCTCAGGACCAGCACAAGCTACTGGCAGGCCGGTCCTGGACCTAAGTTTTTTTGCGGGACAATCAACTGCAGCGATACTAACGTTACTACCCGATGGCACAGACTGGCCTTGATCTTTTGCTTCAGGACGCTGTGTGGCCCGTTTCTCGGCCGCATCCAAGCGCTTTTTGTCAATGAAACGCCTGTAGCAAGTGGAGTGAAACCCAGCGTCTTCGGGAACATTGTCAAACTCGATTTCTAGACAATTTGTATGTTTCTGCTATTCTCCGATTCCCACCTTGCAAAAAAAGCCACCGTTTGACGCAGTTTCTGAATGTATCCCACCATGTCCGTGTAAAATCATTTGTTTCTTCTTTCTTTATGGATGTGAGATGCATGTAGCATTGTTTAAAATACTTTTTGCGGACTTTTGAAGGAGGTCTGGCCGTAATTTCCTCCTCTTCACTACTCGACATTGACAACAAGGGCACAGACATCTTGGAGTAATGTTTACCTTTCGTCCCAAAAAAGCAGCCACCTCATTGGTCTAGCGGGAAGCACGTGACGCAAAGCCTCATCACTGATCATCAAAATATTATTACGCGAGGAAAGAAATATTGCCGACTTTAAACAATAATAACAAATAAACTGCAGGATTAGACATGGAGAACTTTTATTTTCACGGCCAACAGCAATAGATCTTTTTATTAGAATAAAAAGAATTTAGTGGCCCATATATGGGAACGGGATTAAACGTAAAACGTCTTCACCTTACGGCCTACTGTGGAGCCGAGCGGGTTTCTTGACGCACGCATGCATCAAGACCACCCACCACCACCCCCGTGAACTTTGTATCACCGCATTCTCTCGCTTTCCCACTGTTTAAAAGTTGGGAGTGTCGCCTTATAAGCCGGTGAGTGAGTGTGTGACCAGAGTTGCATCAAGGTACAGTATTTGGTGGCGGGGAGCGATTGCGTCAGTGGTATAATTCTGTTAACTTCAACACGTGTGTGAGTGTAGTGCGCTACGCTACGAACCCAGGAACTCGAGTTCGATTATTTGAACCGGTCCTGGGCCTCCCCTAGGTCGACTCGGCCTCAAATGAGTACCTGATGTGGTGTGTAAACACCGCCACTGGGGAGACAAAGGCGGCCGGGCGTGGATGTTGGCCACCCACCCCCTCGTGTGCCGTGTCGGCCTTCATAGGTGCTACTCGCTAGCAGCACTTGCCCCTACAGTCTGTTAAAGGCTACATGGGGGACCTTTGTCTTTGTATGACTAGATTTGCATAAATGCGGTGCGACTTTCAGGAGCGTCTAATCATCAGAGGTGTGGACTCGAGTCATGTGACTTGGACTCGAGTCAGACTCGAGTCATGAATTTGATGACTTCAGACTCGACTTGGACTTGCATAACAATGACTTTGTCCCACCTCTGCTAATCATTCCTTAGAATACCGAAATATCTCTGGAGCAAGTTTTCTCCACCGAGCCCTGAACACTATCATGTCAAGTTTCAAGGGTAACTTACCCGCATTGACTGATCCGTACTGAGCACTCCACTCTCGAAGACTCGGCACCATGGGCTGATGTATACACGTGCAGTGTTTTCATTGTTTAAGTTGTGTGTTGTGTATAATGTCGTGGGAAAATATGTCACACTGGAACCAAGCGTAGAGATTTTGTTACTGGTAGGAAACCACCTGGTTCCACCAGCCCACAGGGGATTATTGTGTCCGTCCGTCCGTCGTGCATCCAAAAATGGGAGGAGTGGGGCTGGGTGGGGAGGGTGGGGCTGGGTGGAGGGTGGGAGGGGTGGGGCTGGGTGGGGAGGGGCTGGTCACCCCGTGGTGCCCTTATAAAACTCAACGTTTGACCTACTCACACCGGCTTGTGGTCGCCCTCACAGTCTGGCATATTTGCGGAATACACCACGCCGCCGTTGACCCTGGCCATTGACCGAGCAACCCAACGTTCCTACCAGCTCCCTCCGCAGGAATGTGTTTTGTCACGCTGCAGGGTGCCGGTCGCCCGGCTGGTCACGGCCTTCGGAGCGGGTTTGCCGGCGTCTCCGGATCGTACTCTTTGGTTCTTTCGGCATAGTCACGTGGGTTCGAAAAAATAAGAATAGATCACGACGTTTCGATCGCCACACAAGCAGTCGTCATCAACCCAGACGGTTTGCCCCGTATTCTTGGACAGGGAAATTGAGTTATCAGGTCCATACAGGGTACAGCCGTTTCAATGCGGGCAACATTTTTGTGTCTATTTGTTTGTGTTTCTCCCTTGTGATGGGACTTTGTAGGATAAAACTTCAGATTTCTAAGAGGCACGTGGTGACCAATAAGGTCTGAAGTTGTCTGTGGTAAGGTAGGGCACTGATAAGGGGTTGACAGGTATGGTGTACACTACACTATACACTACTATAAATACACTATACACTACACTACTATACACTATACTCTATTTTGTCAATTTGTTTGTGTTTCTCCCCTGTGATGGGACTTTGTGGGATGAACTTTGAGATTTCTAAGGGGCACGTGGTGACCAATAGGGTCTGAATTTGTAATAAGTTAGGGCACTGATAAGGGGTCACAGGTGATGCCTTCGTACGGCTGATGCAGACGCAGAGCGATAACAGCTGCGAGACGCCACTGAAATCTCGTGAATGTGAACCTGGCCAAAACCTTCAAGAGCAAAGTCTCGCGGCTCGTAACATTTGTTAAGACGTGGCACAAAATCTCAGCCTCGACGAAAGGAAACCGCCCGGGTCGGCATCGAACCTCTCTCTCCGTCGTGAATGAGAAACTGCGGGCCACCTGATCCAGACCAATCGCTTTAAACTATTGTCATCGTAGTGCGGATTTAATGTGGCGCTGCACTCTGATGTTGTAGGAGAAAACATTTATTAAAAAGTATATTTAATTAAGTAGAACGTGTTGTCTGTATTTATTTAAAGTTGCGCATTTTGATGTGACGTCACATTTCTCAAACCCCCCCCCCCCCTCGTCACACATCGTCACAAATGTCTGACCCCCCCCCCCCCATAGGTGCGTGACGTCATTTATGGACGGCCCCTAACTTCTCCGATTTGCGCGTTCGTCTTGTGCCGCCGTGCGTGGTTCTGCACTCAATGAGTGGCTCGGCAACATTTAAAAAAGAAGTTGAGCCGTGGGTTTTTTCAACGCGCGTGTTTTTTTTTTGTCTTTGATCGAAATACTTGGAAAGAAACGTGCACGCGAACACGGCAGGTATACAGCAGATGACAACGCACATTCTGACTGAAACCAAATAGTTACTCTCTAAAAATACAGTTTGCCTGGACATTTTGTCGTCACCAAGACATTCAATAGTGATCCAATTGCCCGCCATATTTAATACATCATCTTCGCGTTCAATCGTATTTCAAATTCAAGTTGTTTGGTTTGTTTCTTTATTAAACGGATGCCCACCGAGGGAGCAGCCAGAAAGATCGGCATGCGGCTCCGGTAGGGCAGGGCAGGTTTGCCGAGCCCTGTGCAAGCTCGTTCGACGTTTCGCGTCGCCTTCGTTGGACGCACCCCAACGATGCCTTGCGACAAAACACATTGGAGATGACGACGACGATGCTGATGATAATGATGTCGATGATGACGACGATGCTGATGATGATGTCGATGATGACGACGACGATGCTGATGATGATGTCGATGATGACGACGGTGATACTGATGATGATGTCGATGATGACGACGATGATGCTGATGATGATGTCGATGATGACTACGACGATGCTGATGATGATGTCGATGATGACGATGACGATGCTGATAATGACGTCGATGATGACGACGGTGATGATCGCGACAGTGTCGCTGATGTAGATTATGACGACGACGATGTGGAGGCTCATCTCCATCACCGCCGCCCTCGTCCTCATTGCCAGGCTGCCATGGCGGCGTCGCTGGGCTCCTCCGCGCTGGACGCCCTCTCCTCGACCCTGATCTCGCCGTCGCTCTCCACCTGCCTCGTCTTCCTCGCCACCTTCCTGCTGCTGCTCGAGTGGCGCAAGGTCCAGCGGCCACGCGGCTTCCCGCCCGGCCCCACGGCGCTGCCCCTGCTGGGCAACCTGGGCTCCCTGCCCACGCAGGAGCCCGGCATGGCCCTCTACAAGGTGGCGAATTCCCGTGCCTCCCTTACACCACCTGTGATGGGGGCTTCATAATCACCTCCGGCGAGGTGGCTCAGAGGGTCAGACCACAGAAGTGGCACCGCTGACAGCCTTGAGTGTCGAAAAATAGGTTTGACCCTTTCTGGCAATACAACAGGTGTTAAGATGTCCAACACCGAAGCGATGCCTTTTCCAAGGAATCAGGTCTGCATTAAGCACACGTACAAGGGTAAAACCTATTCTATATTTTTTCATACTTTGATACTGGCAAAGCAGGTCCCATGACATCCTTAGTATGGTTACGTGTGACGATATAATTCCGGAGCGAACACCTGTGCGGACCGTTAGGAGATGTTGTAAGGTCACGATCCAGCTTCAGGCACCCCACACACCCATGCAAACATTAAAAAAGCTCAATGCTTGTAGAAACTATCCAATGTGTAATTCATACTAACCAATAACGTCCCTGCTACACGAGTAAACAGACTTAGTTTTGAAGTGTATCATGGGCGGTACGCACAACAGTCGAAAACACCGATAAAAATATAATAACACTTATCAATCAATCTTTATTTTTACGTGGCAATATCGCCCTGAATAGAGTGGGCATCAGTGCCACGTCACAGCAGAACGGGGACGGTGCAGGGCCCACGGGGCAACAGGCATTAACAGAGAAACTCGCCTCGCGCTCAGCCATTATCATAATCAGAATATTTATACTGGAGGAGGAATCCGATGAGCTTTCAAGCTCTTTTTCACAGATGTCCAGTAAGGGCACGTGATAAGAACGTTAGAACAACAAACAGTACTAAAACACGGCAATAGTGCAAAGTACAAGAAAGGTGAACAAATCACACAAACAAATATAACACCAAATCATCCCCATCCTACCAGGCAAAGCCCACTGAGACATTCACTTATCAGAAGCGACCTGGGCACAGATGATAGCTCAACAAAGTGGATTATCATTTGGACATTTATAGCAGCAAAATAATCGAAATACTCTGAATGCGTGTTTCTAAATGTGGAGGGAAAACCCAGAGGACCCAGAGAAAAAACATCCACGCGACCACGGGGAGAGAGAGAGACACGCAGATTCGAAATACACAGCAGCAGGCGTCAGGGTTAGGATTGTGCCAGGAGAGGAAGACAACATCTCACCCCCGTGGCGACCACTATTACCCCTAAACTAGATTCGAAGCTTTCGTGACTGCAGGAATGACTCTTTGGTTCTTTCGGTAAAGTCACGTAGAAAGAAATTAAATAATAATAGAATACGACGTTTCGATTGCAACACAAGCAACCATCATCAGGTACAAATGAATGAGAACACAAACATAGTAAACTTGGAAATGTAATGCAATACAACACAGATAATCATTGAACACAGTCGACTCACTGTGTTGTATTGCATTATATTTCCAAGTTTACTATTACCCCTAATCATATACTTACGTGGACAAACGCATGCTGGGAAGCGTTACGTAATCCGTGCATGGTTTTTCTTCGTTGGTTTTTCTGTGGCAGTTGTCAAAAGAGTACGGGGAAGTCTTCAGCATCTACCTGGGCCACACTCCTTGGGTGGTGCTCAACGGGTACGAAGCTGTATGGGACGCACTGGTGCAGCACGCTAAGGAGTTTTCAGACCGTCCGGTGATCCCCGTCATTTCTAAAGTCACCCAGCGACTGGGTAAGCAATAAACAAACACTTACAGAACATTAACATTTCATTTCACTTTGTCTGCTCAGTCACAATGTTAAAATACTACAATACGCAGTCGCGTGACCAGTGCCGGATTAAGCTAGTGCGGGGCATGTAGCATTTGTTATTAAAGGGCCCTAAATAAAAAAAACATGCAAATATTTAAACACACATGTTTAACTTGCATAGTAAAGTGATTGTATTTTTTCACTTGCTATACAGCCAGATAATACGACAAATCGCTAACCTTAAACACCCAGTCGTCGTTCATAAAAGTTGAAGGCGGTATAGTACTATAGTAATAGAGCAAGTGCAGAATCACTGAACCGGAATTGATAGCTTGAAAGCATTTAGCGCGGGGCCCTTGAAAGTGCGTTGTCCGTAGCATGTGTAGCTACTTTGCTATTAGGATAATCCGGCACATTTAACCACCAACAGCGGCAGCAAAAAAATAATAAACCTCATCAGCGTCTTAAGCTGTAGTGGGCGCTGCGGTGGTGAGATGTTAACTACCTCACCTGGTGTAAAAGACTTAGTGGGTTCGATCCCGACCCTGACGCCTGCTGTATATTTGGAGTGTGCGTGTTTTCCCCGTGGTCGTGTCGATTTTTCTCCGGGTCCTCCGGATTTTCCCTCCACATTTAGAAAGGTGCGTTTAAAGTATTTGGCTGCGATGAGTTTCCACGCGATAAGCCACTTCGTTGAGCTCTCATTTGTGGTGAGGTCGCTTCTGAGAAAGAGCTACATAGCTCAGCGGGCCTTACCTGGCAAGATAAAATAAATAGAAAAATAATAGATATTTAACCATGACCTCGTGCAACTGTTTTGACCAATGTCAAGCTTCAGCCCTAGTAGGCCTGGAAGACACAGGTCCAAACGCATGCTGTGCATTCTGACCCACTCGGTTACACTCCGTGTGGCACAAAATGTAGGTTAGAGAGGCAGCGTAATCTGTGTGTACAGTTGTCTCAAAGGTCCTGTAATTATCAGCATTCCAATCAGTTAATAAATAACTCAATTTTAAGGCAGGGAGAGGTGGTGTAACGTTCATCACATTGCAACATGAACCTGGCGACCCGAGTTCAATTACCGGCCGGCCAACGCGAATATCATTTGGCATGGCAAGTGATATCTGAACTGAGTATTCGCAAATGCAATCTCGCAAGGGAAGACAATTATGTGATCTTGTCAATGTATGTATGTTGAACTTCTTACGCACCGTACGTAGCCAACCATCCTAATTCAACAAACACGTTTGTTGAATGAAATATGGGCAAGGTGTTTTATTTATAATTCTGCAGTTGAAATATTAATTTGACGCACAGAGATGAACACAGAAACAAGCGAAAGTTAAACAAATACGTGGAGTGCTTTCCATTCTTTCATAAACAATCACTTTTGGGTCAAACTATTTTGCCTTTCAGTATTGTATGGCTTGGCTGTAATGTTGAATGAAGGTAATGGAGGTTGTTTGACCATTCTTCTCCATGTCGGTCAGTCTGAGTTCTTGAAGATGTTGGAAATTAGAAGTATAACACTGGTCAACACACTTTTTCTGGCATAAGGTATTCCAACGGTTTTAAGGTAATTGTTGGGGTGCTGATTCCAAATCTGGCATCAGTTTTTGTCTATCACATCAAGTTTTTGAGATATCAAATATTGCATTTTCAATAAAAACTGCAGAAGAAAATATTAAATAAATATGGATATCTACATAAAATGATATTATAAACACACTATCCTAAAAATACAGCACCATATTTTAACACTAAAGCAGTCACTGACTCGCAACAACTTGCAATCATAAGTGACAGAGTTAATTCGGGTAAAATCAATGAAAATGGGGTATGCCGATAGCATAAAAACGAGATGTGATAGAGCAAATCTGAGATCAGATTTGGAATCAGCACCCTGAAATTAGTCTAAAACAGCTGCAAAATTCCAGGCCAGAATTTTTTTTTTTTGACCAGTGTAATACAACCTGTGTGGTACGGGACTGCCGGTGAATCTGCGTTCTCTTCCTTGTTGTCGGCAGGGATATTAACGGCTCCGTACGACCACAGCTGGAAGCAGCAGCGGCGTTTCGCCGTCTCTACGCTGCGCAACGGCAATACGTTTCTGAAGGAGAAGATCAGCGAGGAAGTGGCATTCCTCCTCCAGACATTCCGGGAGTCCGGTGAGGGTTTTTTTTTATGTTGGACGCCCCAACGTAGAAGAATGCTACCCTCACAAACAACACGCGCACACTCTCCTGTTTGTAGCAGAGATCGTTACTCGGTGAAGTTGATGAGTCGACTAAAATTATAATTGACTAGCTGTACTACCCGGTTTCGCCCAGGACTTGGATTCACCACACCCGGCCGCCTTTGTCTCCCCAGTGGCGATGTTTGAGGCTGAGTCGACCTAGGGGAGGCCCAGGACCGGTTCAAATAATCGTCACTGGTGGTGGCCGTGAGTGGGAATTGAACTCGGGTCGCCGGGTTTGTAGCGCGGCGCGCTACCCGCTACACTACAATGCGTTACGCTTCCACGTGCGCGGGTCACGTGACAGATGTGACGTCACAGCTCACTTGCCGTGCAAAAAATAACTGCATTATTGAGCTCCCCCCTCCCCCACAAAAAAAAGTGTATTATTATAATTTTTGCATGGTGTACAGTCTGGAAAGTACCCACATGGCAAATTTGCAGTTTGTTGCATGTCGGGAAGTACGCTAAACAATTTGAACAGGCACACATAATCACAACTTTGCCTTTTATATATACTTGAGATGAGATGACTGTGTGTTGTGGCCAATTAGTCGGGGACATTTTCAAAGTTGTCAACCGCCATCGTATCCTGCCCCCCCCCCCCGTGTCGGCTTTCCGCTCTCAGGAGGCAAGACGGTTGAAAATGAATTCATGCCCATTTGTGAAAAGTGACGTTGGTTTGCCACGGTGGCTGACTGCAGGTAGGGTGGTGGATCCTACCTTCACCATTCAAAATGCCGTGTCCAACATCGTCTGCTCCATTGTCTTTGGACACCGCTTCGACTACGACGACTCGCGCTTCCGCCACTTGCTGCACCTGTTGGCTGAGAACCTGCGGCTGTTCAGTGGCTGGATTGGACAGGTGTGTCTGGAAGTTGTTGTAGGCCCAAGTGATAGCTCAACGGGGAGTGGCTTGTCGTGTGGAAATGTTAAGCAGCCAAATAACCATAGACGCGTGATGTTGATTCTAAACGTGGAGGGAAAAACCGGAGGACCCGGAGAAAAATCCACACGAACACGGGGAGAGAGATGCGCAAACTCCAAATATACAGCAGCAGGTGTCAGGGTTGGGATCAAACCCACGACCTCCTGCATACCAGGTGAGGTAGTTAACATCTCACCTGTATGAATCCTCTTATTGCACATAATAATGTCAATTACCCAAGAAAGCCTCACTGAGTCTTTCAGAAGGGTCCTGTTCTGCCCAATGGCAGGTATGGGGGTGTTGATTACACAGGAACTTTCTGATATGGTGTTGAGTTTGGTCACGTGACCAGGAAGTTACGATTTAACATTCTCTAAGCCATGAGGCAGGGTGTCAGCCATTACACAGAGTACAAAATGGAGGCACAAATAGCGTCTCAGTGAAGACAGGTGCTTCTGTTCATTGTGGGACTTTAAGAAGTATTGTCTGTAAGTTCGTTTATGTTCTTATAATACTGAGAATGCTGTTATAATGCTAGGATTACCGTTATAATGCTGTATATGCCTTTATAATGCCGTTAAATTATTATGATAAATATGAGGCCTAGTTAACAACGAAGCCTGCCACTTGCATTATTGTGAATGTTACTTGTAATTGAATAAGTCGAGTCAGAATTGTACCCATGTAACTTTAATGCGATCTTGAGAGCAAGGATGAAGAAGTATCTCATCCACAGTTCAGTGTGATGTGCAGCGTTGTACATTTAGGCTGCAGTATGGTGATTACATGATGTGACCTTATTCAACACGGTAGCTTATTCTCTTGTGTAGCTATTCAGTGCTAATGTAGGTGCCTGGTCCATCCAGGACCTATTGTTGAGTTTCATGTTATCTAAGACAATGTTATGATGCTGAAATATTAATTGTATTGATATTCCAAGTATTAACAGATGCTGTATTTTGTGCTGTGTTTCCATCAGTTTTACCTCGTTCAATTCATTAAATACTTCGGAGTCGGATGTTCACTCTGGCTCTGAATGTTAATTGAATGCGAGGTTAACTACTCGGATAGTGGTGCAACGCAGTGCACAGCCAGGCCGAGACAGGTCCTGTCTTGGGATATTTTACTTATTTGTTTAACGAGCGGCTGGCTTCTTGCGAGAGCACCTGGATAAAACCCATCGTGCGCACAAGGTGCACGATGCCTTAACACTGCCATCCCCTCGCCACACCTCACAGTGCCCAAGCCTACATCTGGCAAGTTCCTGGTGGTCGACATTGCCCAAGATATTGTGAGCGCCTCTCCATCTGCTCCACAGCTCTGCATGGTGATGCCGTGGTTAGAAAACTGCCCGGGCCCTCACCAGCGAATCTTCCGTAACGCGGACGCGTTGAGGGACTTTTATGACGAGAGCATCCAAGTTCACCGGCAGACACGGGTGGAAGGGCAGCCCCGGGACCTCATCGACGCCTACCTGGATGAGATGGAGCAGGTGAGATGCTTGACAGTAGCCAGGGATTCATTTCTCACCAAGGTATTATTGAAGTCTCCGGTGGGCTAGAGTAGGCACGTGACTGTTAGCCGTGCTGGGAGGTATTACCGTATGTGGTGTGCTGGACTGCTCAGCGCCCCGTGGTAAGGGAAGAGAGTTAGTAACTGTAACACGCGAGGCATTCCCAATGGCATTTATTGAACAGGCCACTCAATGCTGATGAGACTCAAAAATTCTAGACAGGTCCAGCTCATAAGTTAAGCCACGTAAAAAAAAGTGATTTTATTTTAATTTGTAAGAGTGGGAGAGACATTTGTTTGCCATGAAGAAGGACCATTGCCCACAATGTCGCTGACTGGATTTGTGTTTTTCTTTCTAGGCCACAGCGTTGTTGACGAAGGCTCTGAATTCGTGTCAGTTGTGCCTTTGCACCGTGCAGCATCATCACCATGCAGCATCATCAAATAATTTGAAAACCAACAAAAACATATTAGTCGCTTATAGAGATAGATTACACTGGTCAACAAAAAAACAACATTTTTTTCTGGCCTGGACTTTTGCAGCTGTTTTAGACTAATTTCAGGGTGCTGATTCCAAATCTGATCTCAGATTTGCTCTATCACATCTCGTTTTTATGCTATCGGCATACCCCATTTTCATTGATTTTACCCAAAATTAACTCTGTCACTTATGATTGCAAGTTGTTGCGAGTCAGTGACTGCTTTAGTGTTAAAATATGGTGCTGTATATTTAGGATAGTGTGTTTATAATATCATTTTATGTAGATATCCACATTTATTTAATATTTTTCTTCTGCAGTTTTTATTGAAAATGCAATATTTGATATCTCAAAAACCTGATGTGATAGACAAAAACTGATGCCAGATTTGTAATCAGCACCCCAAAATTACCTTAAAACAGTTGGAATACCTTATGACAGAAAAAGTGTGTTGACCAGTGTTATTATTATCATCATTATAGTTTAAAGGCAGCGAATGCTTGGAGACAAGCCTCTACCGCGTGTTTTACTTCTACAGGAGAGCCAAGACCAGAGCGCCTCGTCCTTCTCAGACGGAAACCTGATCAACGTGGTATCGGACCTCTTCGTCGCCGGCACTGAGACCACTGCCACCACCCTGCGCTGGGCCCTGCTCTACATGATGGCTTACCCCAGCATCCAGGGTGCGCTGTCTACCGCCCTATGTGATACACCGCGATTAACGTCGCGATTGAGACACGGTAACTTTCAGTGACGTAACACGGCCGAGGTGCGGGGAAAACAAACCAAACCGATGATTCGTTGAAAGGTTCACGGATTATAGGGTGGAGTGCTGTCCATCTCCGCGAGATGTACGGCATCTTTGAGTGGAATGCATACGTGTGGAACTTCCTTCGCACCGTACGTAGCCAATGCATGAAGAGCCCAGTGTAATGTGTTGCTACAACGCCGCCCCCACCCTTTCACCGTCGTCGTGCGGCCGTTTGCAAGATTGTGCAGCCTTTATTCGAACTCACAACTTCCGTGACCGCCGGGACCTCCGGTGCCAGAATTGCAGCCTTGGTTATTGCCAACGGCGCGTTCTTATTATTTGGCAGTACGAGTGCGAATTACTTCAACTCGCTAACCCACGCGGTTATTGCTCGCTCTCGAAGAGAGAGAACGACTCGGAGGCACGAGGAATCACAGACGAGGAGGAAAGGCCGGGTGGTGAGCCTGTGCCAATTCCTACTCTCCAAGCTCTGCGGTCCTATATATATGTTAAAGTTTTATCAGCCAATGAGATTTTAGATGTGAGAGGAAACTGGTGCACCCGGAATAAAAACCCACGTGTTGCGAGAGGGCAACAACGATGGAACAGATGGAGTCCACATCTGCTGTACCACCTTCACCTTGAAAGCCAGGGTATGTGACCACGACACTCTTGAACTATTTTTTTAAAACTATTTTTTATTTTACCAGGCAAGGCCCACTGAGATATACAGCTTTTTTTCATAAGCGACCTGCCCACAATTGACAGATCAACCAAGTGGCTTATTGTGTGGAAATTTAGAGCCGACAAATACTCTAACCGCATGTTGATTCTAAATGTGGAAGGAAAAACTGGAGGAACCGGAGAAAAATCCACGCGACCACGGGGAGAGAGAACACGCAAACTTCAAAAACAGTATACCAAAGAAAGACCCAAAGAATATGAATTCCTGCAGTCACGAAAGATATACAGCAGGCGTCGCTGCTGTTGCTACAATTTAATAGCTCAAAGAAGTGGCTCACCATGTGGAGATTCAGAGCAGCCAAATACTCACGGCAAGGGAGTTTCTCAACGTTCGTGTAGTGGGCTGTGCGTGTGCAGGTGTCATGATCCGAATTTATCAAATTTGATCAATTACTCGTAAAGAGCCAATAGCAACGTCGCCCCCTTCCCCTACCGGCAGATTAATGTGCATTTGCAGGTTTGTGCTGTGTTCACTTCATGGCACACAGGGGCAGCTGCCGTCAGGGAGTCCCCTCGGCACTCTTTAGACATGTGTTACGTTACGGGCGCAATGCGAATGCAATATGTTTGTTGTTGTTGTTGTTGTCTTGCGTGCAGACCGTTGCCAGCGGGAGATTGATGACGTGATTGGAAGTTCCCGTGCACCAGCCATGTCTGACACGGCCTCCATGCCGTACACCGTGGCCGTGATTCACGAGGTCCAGAGGATGGCCAACGTGCTCCCAACGGGGTTCATGCACGCCACGGCCAGCGACGTCATATTCCGCGGATACCGCATTCCCAAGGTAACTCGAGCTCAAGGTACAGCCCTGCAATTCCTTGCTCACATTACTGCTGGCTAAAGAACCTCTCACTAGGACGGTGGTTCCCAACTTGTGGCCAAATTGACCACTGATTTGTGGAATTCTGGCAGTGATTTAGGTCCATTTTAATGTGGAAATGCTGTTTTTGGTCCGTTATATTTGTTTAGGCTTGACAGTGATTATTTTTATAATGTTTTATTTTTATTATTTTATTATTTCCATTCTACATGACTTTACCGAAAGAACCAAGAATGATCCAGAGGTCCAGAAAGGTTGGAACCCACTGCACTATGACTTCTTTACGCTCCCTAAATGCTGAGTGTTGTTTCCGATCCATCCCGCAGGGCACGATCGTGATACCGAACCTGACGTCAGTTCTTTACGATGAGAACCACTGGAAAACTCCGCTCGAGTTCAACCCGGGGCACTTCCTCAACGACGCTGGCCAGTTTGTCAAGCCCGACGCCTTCCTACCCTTCTCTGCTGGTATGCGGGGAAACTTTTACGCCCTCAAAAAAATACGAATTTCTGTCACAATAACAACAAATTCACGCGACTCGCTCGAGGGGATGATGATGAATTTGTAGACGTATGAATCAATAATACTCTTATATAAGCGCTATGAGACATCTCCTTTACCAGTGGCAAAATATAGTAATAGGTTTTTACCCTTTCAACTGGTACAAAACCTTTATACAAGGCATCATGTTTGCAATAACCACAACACAAGCAGTCAAAATGCAAACAAAAAGAAAAAACGACAACGTGGTTCTACACCACAACAGCGTGGTTCTACACCACGACAACGTGGTTCTACACCACAACAACGTGGTTCTACACCACAACAACGTGGTTCTACACCACCACAACGTGGTTCTACACCACCACAACGTGGTTCTACACCACAACAACGTGGTTCTACACCACAACAACGTGGTTCTACACCACAACAACGTGGTTCTACACCACAACAACGTGGTTCTACACCACCACAACGTGGTTCTACACCACAACAACGTGGTTCTACACCACCACAACGTGGTTCTACACCACCACAACGTGGTTCTACACCACAACAACGTGGTTCTACACCACAACAACGTGGTTCTACACCACAACAACGTGGTTCTACACCACAACAACGTGGTTCTACACCACGACAGCGTGGTTCTACACCACGACAACGTGGTTCTACACCACGACAGCGTGGTTCTACACCACAACAACGTGGTTCTACACCACGACAACGTGGTTCTACACCACAACAACGTGGTTCTACACCACAACAACGTGGTTCTACACCACCACAACGTGGTTCTACACCACCACAACGTGGTTCTACACCACAACAACGTGGTTCTACACCACAACAACGTGGTTCTACACCACAACAACGTGGTTCTACACCACAACAACGTGGTTCTACACCACCACAACGTGGTTCTACACCACAACAACGTGGTTCTACACCACCACAACGTGGTTCTACACCACCACAACGTGGTTCTACACCACAACAACGTGGTTCTACACCACAACAACGTGGTTCTACACCACAACAACGTGGTTTTACACCACAACAACGTGGTTCTACACCACGACAGCGTGGTTCTACACCACGACAACGTGGTTCTACACCACGACAGCGTGGTTCTACACCACGACAACGTGGTTCTACACCACGACAGCGTGGTTCTACACCACGACAACGTGGTTCTACACCACAACAGCGTGGTTCTACACCACCACAACGTGATTCTCCACAACGTGGTTCTACACCACAACAACGTGGTTCTACACCACGTGGTTCTACACAACAACATGGTTCTCCTCTGCTGCTGGTGCCCTTGTCTCTGGCTGCGTCCCGGGCTTGTGACCTCAATGAGAACCACTTTCGTTTCATTTCGCGTCATTCGTGATAATAGCGTCCTGCAAAAATGCTGCACGTTGATGATTAGAATGTGAGAACCGAATCGCACTACCAAGCAAATGAAAATGCTGCTCGCAAGCAAAATCTAAAACAAGCGTATTATAGTAATAAGTTTTTACCCTTTCAACTGGTACAAAAACCAACACCTTTATACAAGGGATCATGTTTGCAATAACCACAACACAAACAGTCAAAATACAAACAAAAAGAAACAACTCTGATGATGATAATGATATGCACTGTCCTTGAAGTTGATTGGTCCACACCCGAGACAGCTTTTCTTAGAGCCTAGTCTCCATTGGTGTTGGACCAGATGACGCCAAAAGGCGTACAACTCAAAAACAGCGCACTGTCAGAGTATTGAGAGCTCGGGGTAAGCATTTACACTATGAGACATCTCCTTTACCAGTGGAAATATATAGTAATAGGTTCTTATATAAGCGCACAACTTTATCTATCTGTGATGAACGCTGCACTTTCCGTCGTATTCATGCAGGGGGCGCTGCAAACCTACGCGCCCCCTGCATGAACGACGGAGGAGCAAGGACAGACGTTCGATCACGTTGGAATCGATCTGCAGACGGCGGTTTTCTCGCACGGCCAGCTCCGTGTCGCCTTATCTCGATCCCGCAATCCCAAACAGATGAAAGTCCGCATCGAACCGAACCCCCAACGACGAGAGATAATTCACACGAAATGTCCTTTTCAATGAAGTCTTCCAGATGTAAAATGATATAAGCTTTTAATGAAGAAATACAATTATCTAATTCAAAACACAATACAATTCAAAGATGTTTAATTTTAAAACTTCAAAACGGAGAATCGGGTGCTTGCGTGAATGCTTCGTTCGTGTGAAATTTTTTTGTGACTTTCCTGACCGAAGGCCGTAAATGGTTGTGAGGGGCGTCGCAGGCGCCTCCGAACAACCCCTAGTTATAGAAGAATTGTTTTATGTGCAGCCCTTTTGTTAATCCACCACTGGACGAGGGCCTTCACACACCGTACGAGTCTTGTGGCCATATCTTCACCACGCTTGTCCGTGCAGGAATCTTTAAGGCCGGGGACCATAAATGTGGCAGCATAGAAGTGCAGTACAGCAATGTGTGTTTCTGCACTGCCATGTACAGCCCAACACTGAACCGTGCAGCCCTATGACAACCAGTTGGTGCATGGTGGTCACCCATTCAAGCACTATCCAGGCTCAACACCGCTCAGCAAGCTAATTACTGTAATTGACATTTAACAATTTACCTACCCCCCCCTCCCCCCCCCCCATTATTTAAAAAGATGGTTACGGTTTATGTCCGTGTTGCAATTAAAAATCTAAATAAATAAATAAAAGTCACCATCTTTTTTGTAATGTTCATGTAGTTGTGTTTGCTTCATGAGCTTGAACATTACACGGGCATACCAGTTGCACATATTTATAATGGGTAACAAAAAAGACATTGATTGTTTCGCACGCAATTTGATTGCGGGCATTGTGATCCGTAGCGGTCGACATTGATTCACGTTCACGTTACACAGGGCCCCGCGTGTGTCTGGGAGAGAATTTGGCCAAGATGGAGATCTTCCTCTTCTTCACATCGCTGATGCGGCGTTTCCAGTTCTACTGGCCTGACCCGGAGTCCCAGCCCTGCCTGGCTGCCGCTATCGGAGCCTCGCGCTCCCCGCAGTCCTACCAGTTGGGCATTCGGCAGCGTCCCGACAAGTGAGCCGCCCTGGCGTGCGGTGGCCACAGGGAGAACGGAGCCTCCACGCTGTCATCAACGACAGCGACGACCCAAAACAGTCGTGGGCGTGATTGTGTAGAATGTGATCAATTAAATAAGCACCTCCTTCACATTTGTCCCTCTACTTTGAAAATATAAAATGTTTTTACAAGCCACTCCGGGCTTGGCAATCGAAGAACCGCGGGGAGTGTTCGTAACTCGGATGGTGGCGCCACGGTGGCTATGAGATGTTCACTACCTCGCCTGGTATACAGGAGGTCGTGGGTTCGATCACGACCCTGACGCCTGTTGTATAATTGGAGTTTGCGGAGTCTCTTTCTCATCATCATCACGGTGGCTATGAGATGTTAACTACCTCGCCTGGTATACAGGAAGTCGTGGGTTCGATCACGACCCTGACGCCTGCTGTTTAATTAGAGTTTCCGTGTCTCTCCCTGTGGTCGAGTGGAGTTTTTTCCGTATCCTCCGGTTTTCCCCTCCACATTTAGAATCGACATCACGCGTTTAGAGTATATTTGGCTGCTACAAATTGCCACATGACAAGCCACTTCGTTGATTTATCACTTGTGGCCAGGACGCTTCCGAAAACGAGCTACACAGCTCAGTGGGCCTTACCTGGCAAAATAAAAAGTTTAGTTTTTACATTCTCGCCACCCACGTGACATCAGCGATGGCGATGAGGTCACTGGGACGATATCAAGCGCCTACAGCTCACCAACCCCAAGAATCAGATTCATCATATGTATTTATACTGGAGAAATCCGATGAGCTATGAAGCTCTATTTGAAGGGGAAAGGCAGGAAAGGGTTCACCTCTTCAATGAAAACGCACGAAACTGTTAAACACGTGTCAGGTAACTCGCCAATAAATTAATGCGATCTGCGTTCATAGAGGCGGTTCAAGTGAAGATTGTGATCAGCGTGTGCGCGTGCCCGCGTGTTCCTCGTGTGCCCGTAATCAACCCACACGTGGCTCTATCCAAGGGGCACAGCGTAGCACGTGCTACTATCACAGTAGTAGCACGTGCTACTATCACAGTAGTAGCACGTGCTACTATCGCAGTAGTAGCAAAGAATAATGAATGTCTCCCGTGCTGTGTCGATATATATACACGACTGGACATCTGTGCATCAAGAGCTTCACAGCTCATCGGATTCCTGCAGAATAAAGATTCAGATTTTGAGAACTGGCTCTTGGTCTGCTACAGGTCGGGCACCCCTGCCCCCCAGCTATGACCAACCCTACCCGTATCACTACCCCTATCACTACCCCTAGCCTAACCCCTATCACTACCCCAACCCCTATCACTACCCCAACCCCTATCACTACCCCAACCCCTATCACTACCCCAACCCCTATCACTACCCCAACCCCTATACCTATCACGACCCTATCACTACTACTATCACTACCCCAACCCCTATCACTACCCCAACCCCTATCACTACCCCAACCCCTATCCCTATCACGACCCTATCACTACTACTATCACGACCCCTATCACTACCCCTATCACTACTATCGCGACCCTATCACGACCCCTATCATAGGGGTTAGGGTAGGGGTACCAGGCGAACCCCCTCGTACGCACAAAGCCGCGTGGTGCTGGACGACACCGCACAATCCCCCCAAGCCGCCTCCATCTGGCAAGTCCCTGCTGGGCACAATGGTGCAGGGCTCCAGAAAAGTTGGGAACCACTGCCACGGAGAAAGAGGGCGCCCAGACCCGGTTCAGTTGATCACTCGCCACTGACATTATCAGACGCCGTGCCATCTCTTAAGAGTCAATGTGGCTTTAATTTTGATGTTTTACCTACGTGACTTTACCGAAAAAACCTAAGAATATGATTCCTTGCAGTCACGAAAGCTTCAAATCTAGAATTGAGAGGTGGCATTTGTTCCCCGTGTAGGTTCGATGCAAAACACTCCCAGAATTGCATTTCATAATTCACCCGCTCAAGCCGGGTACACAATCTCACCAAGGGAGAGTTAACGGTGTTACTTCACCGAACCGCCAGTCTCTCCTCCGCAAAGGGTTGTGAGCAACACACGCTGGCAAACATCATCGGCACGCACGGTGGTCCTGGCATCGCCAGTGCGCACCACTCAGGGACGTTTAACGGTTGACTGTCCGATTCACCCAGCCTCCACTTCACATCGGGGTTGCTGCTGCTGCAGCAGAGGTAGCATCCATACAAATTTGGCGCCAAAACTCGTCCCGTTGCAGCCGATTGGCCGGTGCAGGGGAAGTGGTGACGTAATCCCTAGCAACCACTGATGTGCGCTCACGTTTGCGATTGCACTGGGACGTGGCGCAGACACCTCCACTCCGGGGGTTTTGCACCACGCGGTTTCGGAGCGTACTCGCATCGCTCCCCAGTAGGATTCATGTAGTTTTTTTTCTGTACTTAGTTCAGAATCAGAATCATAACATGAATTTATACTGGAGGAATCCGTCCGATGAACTATAAAGCTCGTTTTCACATATGTCCAGTAGGGGCGGGTAAGAGCATTGCAACACAGTACAAAAACACGATCGAAGTGCAAAGTACAAAAGTTGTAAACAAATCACCCAAAACACAAACAAATAAAACACTAAACCATCCCCATCCTACCAGGCAAAGTCCACTGAGATATCAATTTATTTTTCAAAAGCGACCTGGCCACAAAATGATAGCTCCACAAAATGTCTTGTCATTTGGACAATGCTATAGCAACAAAATAATCGAAATAGTTTAAACTCAATATAACCTGAATAGTTCCCTGGAGAGCACGGCCAAAGAGAGTGCGCCGGAGTTGTTGGTTGCGATTACTCGCTCCGTATTCCTCTTGATGGAGAGCTACAACAATTTGTCAACGAATAATACGTTTGAGCCGTAAAATAAATGTTTGTCATTCTGCTTTGAATTCGTGAACTAATATATTAAGTGTCTATGTAAACATTTCCATGCACTCGGGCTTAATTCCTCACTCGAGCAAGGATTATGGGCCTAACACACTGCCATGCCACTGTTGTACAGCACAAGGTACTCCTATCCGCAATAATAATAATTATTTGTGGAGGGAAGCAACACTGAGTCGTGTAACTCAATTATTTTACAGGAAGTTCCTGCATTAGATTAAAACATTTTAAAGAAGTTTTCAGCCAATATATATTTTTACAAATCGGAGGAAACCAGAGCGCCTGCAGAAAATCCACTCGCGCGAGGGGGCAACGCTCTATCCCCGTACAGATGGAAACGGGTGGCGGTGGGTCCACACTTGCTGCACCACCCTCTCCTGGCGGGTCACGGTATGATGTCACCTCATCCTCCACACCCTCGAGAACGGAGTTTCACAACGTATGTGCATCATCCACCAACCCTTGCCCCCACAGTGCTGGACTTAGAGGCGTGCATAGCCACCACCTATAACATCATTACGCAATAATATTAAATAGCATTACATGATTGCACCGTGTACTGGATTGTATGCCAAACTTGTTAGTGTGTTGTCCTTAAACCCCGCACCTTCGATTATTACGGTTGGCTACGTGCAGTGCGAAAGAAGTTCAACATGCATACACAACTTTTACTGCCTTGCCCAAGTTTGGGAATTGGTGTCATTATGTAATTTTAACTTTATCTATTTCGTATATTTATCTTTATTGCTTTGATTTCCTTTCCAATACTTTGCACTCCGATCGGTTTGTTTGTTTCTTTAGGCATCGTTTGTCGTTGTAGCTTTCTGACGCAATCCTGCTGGACACGGTGCAAAAGAAGAGCTTCATAGCTCATCGGATTTGTGTTGCCAGGCTAAATCAACATTCTCATTCTGGTCGTGAGGACAACGTGGCAGGCCACACAGATGAATTCATTCCGGTTGAAATGAGTTACTGCTGCTGCTTGACCTTTAACCCCAACTACTACTAACTGACCTTTAACCACAACTGCTGCTGCCTGACCTTTACCCACAACTTGCACTCGACATTCAAATTTGGCGAGGGGGGAGCACGGAGGAGTGGAGGGACGAGTGGTCGGGTCCAGCCGAGAAGGGTTGTCCCCCGCCCCCCTCGTCACGTGGGATTCTCATCCCTCCCTCCCTCCCACCGCGCGCTCGCTCATTCCCACGATGGCGCTCGATGGTGACAGCAGCAGCAGCAGCATCGACAGCAGTAGCAGCAGTAGCAGTAGCAGCTGCAGCAGCAGCAGCAGCTGCTGCTGCTGCTGCTGCTTGTGGCTGTGCGCGTCGCTCGCCGTGCTGGGCGCGTGCTGGGCGGCGCGGCGCGCGCAGCTGTGGAGGCGCGTGGTGACCCCGCGCTTCCTCGCCGCCTTCAGCAAGCGCTACAACCGCCTGATGGCGCGCACCAAACGGGAACTCTTCTCCAGCATGGACGGTCAGTGGGGGGGGGGGGGGGGGGTCAGAGGGGAGGGGCTCTTAGGGGGGCTCGTGGTGGGGGCTAGCGAGGAGAGGGGGGGGTGGTAGGGCTCGTGGTGGGGGTCAGAGGGGAGGGGTGCTTAGGGGGGCTCGTGGTGGGGGCTAGCGAGGAGGGGGTGGGGCTCGTGGTGGGGGTCAGAGGGGAGGGGCTCTTAGGGGGGCTCGTGGTGGGGGCTAGCGAGGAGAGGGGGTGGTGGGGCTCGTGGTGGGGGTCAGAGGGGAGGGGCTCTTAGGGGGGCTTGTGGTGGGGGCTAGCGAGGAGAGGGGGGGGTGGTAGGGCTCGTGGTGGGGGTCAGAGGGGAGGGGCTCTTAGGGGGGCTCGTGGTGGGGGCTAGCGAGGAGGGGGTGGGGCTCGTGGTGGGGGTCAGAGGGGAGGGGCTCTTAGGGGGGCTCGTGGTGGGGGCTAGCGAGGAGAGGGGGTGGTGGGGCTCGTGGTGGGGGTCAGAGGGGAGGGGCTCTTAGGGGGGCTTGTGGTGGGGGCTAGCGAGGAGGGGGGGGTTGGTAGGGCTCGTGGTGGGGGTCAGAGGGGAGGGGTGCTTAGGGGAGCTCGTGGTGGGGGCTAGCGAGGAGGGGGTGGGGCTCGTGTGGGGGTCAGAGGGGAGGGGCTCTTAGGGGGGCTCGTGGTGGGGCTTGCGAGGAGGGGGGGGGGCTGGTGGTGAGAGCTGGGGGGGGACTTTTGCTGGGGGTCTGGGGGGGGAGCTTGTGTTGCGTTCTGGGGGGTGGGGGGGGGGCTCTTCCTGGCGATTGGGGGCTCGTGCCGGGGGGAGGGGGGCTGGCGGGGTGGGGGGGGGGCGTGCTGCGTCACGGCAGGGGACGTCAGCCGTGTCGCGTCGCTTCCCTGGGGCAGCAGGCCACTTGGGGGGTTGAAGTTCAAGTTCACGGCGTGACGTGTCCCGCGGCGTTGCGAGGTCGCTTCTTTTATGTTTCACTGCGAGAGCAGGAAGAAGGCGCCCTGCAGTTTGCACATCGTAGAGACATCTTTGTTTATAAATCCACTGCTGGACGAGGGCCCTCCTTGTTGCGGGTCGTGGTTTGCTCTCTGACCGATTGATACTTTGGCGGTGGCAGGGAGCCATAGGAGTACGGTACTACAATAGATTTAGCTGCACACCCCCAGACCTCGCGTCGCCCATCCAGGCACAATCCAGGCTCGTGTCTGCTTAGCTTCTGAGAACACGCACACCCCCCGCACTATGGGCGATTTGGTCAAAGGAGTTAAGCAAAACGTATTTTCCACTACGTACAACCGAGCCACGCCGGAACCGTGCCGAGCTGGCCCAACCCGGGTCACGAGGCCTTCGAGTGCAGAGATCCCCAGCTGGGCGGCTGACGTCACAATGAACGGCAGACGTCATAAGGAACGGCCTACGTCATCAGCCCCAATGCCCGGCCCTGCTTGGCGCCAAGCCAGATTCGGATGTTTAGTGAAACCCGCGTGTCGCACACTTTGTAGTTTCGGCTCAGCGTGACAAATGGCCTTTGGAAAGTGCCTCTACTGTGAGGGCCCCAGAGCTCGGCTTTGCTCGAATGTGCCAATGGGGACAAGAGGGCTACACTGCTGTCAACGCAGACGGTTTACCCCTTATCCTTGTACAGGTAGATTGAGTTTGCAGGTCCGTATGGTGTACAGCCGTTTTAATATGGGCACAAAGGAAAACGTGTTTGTCTATTTGTTTGTGTTTCTCCCTTGTGGTGGGAACTTTGTAGGATGAACGTTGAGATTTTGAAGGGGTACGGGGTGACCAGTAAGGTCCGAATTGGTTTGTATTAAGTTATGGGCGTATGTCATGTCGTGTGAAGCCCCCCTCTTTCTCTCAACATTTGATTTCGCCTGGTCAACGCACGTGTTGGTGGAAATAGCATTTATAGTACTGTACTGAGACTGCCCGTCCAGGAATGAAATTAATCAAGATTTAGTTTTATTTAGTCTGCATTAACGTGTGGCTAATTAACACGTGGTTAATGCAGACTTGAGTCCTTGCAAAAGGTATCGATTTGGCGTTTGAACATCTGGACCCAACTGTTTTATTGACAGAAAAGGGTAAAAGCTATTCTTACTTTTTCACACGATAAAAAAAATTGGTAATCCACTTTAATTTGTCATCGATTACTTTAAAAATGGAAAGCCAACCCGGACACATTTCCTGCAGGCCCTCCCATCTCCCTCCCCTCGTTCATGAGGCCCCCTAGCGGTGAGAGTGGGGGGGAGACAGCAACTCCCCGTACGTATGGGGCCGTCCATAAATGACGTCACGCACCTAGGGGGGGGGGGGGTCAAACATATGTGACGATGTGTGACGATGGGGGGGGGGGGGGGTTGAGAAATGAGACGTCACATCAAAATGCGCAATTTGAAATAAATATAGACAACACGTTCCACTTAATTAAATTGACTTTTTAATGAATGTTTTCTGCTACAACATCAGAGTGCAGCGCCACATTCAATACGCACTACAATGACAATAGTTTAAGGCGATTTGAAGCATGTTTTATTTTTTTTGGGGTGGCAGAGCTTTGTGACGTCATCTTTGAGGGGGGGTTTGACTTTTTGTGACGCCGTGTGACGAAGGGGGGGGGGGGGTCAAAAATCGTCCAAAATCGCGGGACGTCATTTATGGACGGCCCCACGTATGGCTGACAGTGACACATCACAACACAACAACCACTTCCAGCGTGACGCGGACTACAGCCAGACCGAGTACGTCACCAAGCCAAACCCACTACCTCCCCACCACCGTCACCTGGAAACTAAAGGTCCGACTAATTAGTTTTGTTTAAAGAATAGGCTGTTTTACCCTTCCCGGCAATAATTTACAGGAGGTGTTAGGATGTTCGAACGCCAAATAGACACACACCTATTAATGCAAGCCATCAAAGTCTGCGTTAACCACACATGCTTCGTGGTAAAACAAATATGTTTTGATAATAATGTACCCATTGTCTTTGAAACTGATTGACCTACAGCCGAGACAGCCTTCGCTATGGCCTTGTGCCACCGGTGTTAGACCGGAGAACGCAAAAAGGCGCACTGCAAAAAGGCGATGTTAATACTCTTTGGTTCTTTCGGTAAAGTCACGTAGGTAGAAAAATAAAATAAAAAATAAATAATATATCACGACGTTTCGATCGCAACACAAGCAGTCGTCCTCAGGCGAAAAATATAACCCAGCGCTGGTTCAGTAGCTCCACTGCTGGATTAGAATGTTTTCGCCTGAGGACTACCGCTTGTGTTGCGATCGAAACGTCGTGATTTATAATTTTTTGTTTTATTTTTCTACCTACGTGACTTTACCGAAAGAACCAAAGGGTATGGATTACTGCGGTCACGCAAGCTTCAAATCAAGAGCGATGTAAATAATAAAGCATTCATTGCTCGGTTTGAGCAGTTATATCAGTTTCGATTTAAAGCTTTCGTGACTGCAGGGATTCATCTTCTTGGTTCTTTCGGTAAAGTCACGTAGAAGGGTAATAATAAAAACATAAAATAATACAAATAAAACATAATAAAAAATAATAATATAATAATATATAAAATAATTATTTTATTATGTTTTATTTTTATTATTTTATAATTTCCCTTCTACGTGACTTTACCGAAAGAACCAAGCAGACAGTTATATCAGTCTCAAAGACAATGTTTTCCAATAGGTGTGTCTATTTAGTGTTTGAACATCTTAACGCCTCCCGTATTATTTCCAGAAAGAGTCAAGCCAATTATATTTTCACCATTTTAATCCCCCAAAAAGGTTTGCGAAGATATTTCCCCCCAAACGTTTTAATCTCATCGGATTATCCAAGTTATAGTATTACTCAATCGGGACTGCATACATAGAAATCATCGCCCCGACTGGCAGACTAATACTGCAAGCAGGTCACTCTTGCAAATGAGACTATCCTGGTCTCGCAGAGTTACAACCTGGTTCAACATAACAACTTTGAACCATCTTCTTGGTTCTTTCGGTAAAGTCACGTAGAATGGAAATAATAAAATAATAAAAATAAAACATAATAAAATACAATTCTCACGACGTTTCGGCCACAACGCAAGCAGCCGTCCTCAGGTGGAGAACAGGTCTGTCGAGAAGACAGACAAACGTCGTGATACTTATTTTATTATGTTTTATTTGTATTATTTTATTATTTCCATTCTACGTGACTTTACCGAAAGAACCAAGAAAACGAACGTACATTTGCGGTATTTTCTGGCCATTTACCTGGGTTTACCACATGTGGCAGCACAAGCGGATTTCGGCCAATACGTGAATGAGTTCGTTGTGCCAGCGAGAGACATGGGGCGGATTCAAATTATAAATAAAAAAACGCCTCCTTACCCTGAGTCATCCTCATAACGTCGCACTAAACATAAGCATCTGCCTCACGTTACAGAAACCAGATCCATCTAGCCCAGTGTGTCTGCTCACTCCACACTGTTGGGGCCAAACTGTACGCTTGAGGAAGAGGGGGGCGGGGGGGCCCTGTTTGGGGTTCTAGAAAAACACAGAGAGATGGGAGAGACTTTGCAGAGGGAGAAGGGAGACGCAGGGACAGACCAGGGACAGACGTACATGCGGAGAGAGACGGACGCAGGGAGCCGGACGAAAACGTGAAGAGTTTGACACGAAGAGGGAGAGAGAAATGGAGATTCGGATAGAAATGCAGAGAGATGGAGACGCAGAAATAATTAATATCGGAGACAATAATGGGCACGGAGAGATGTGGAGTAGATACAGACACGGATACATACAGGGAGAGAGATGTGAAGAGAGAGATACACAAGGACATAAAAAACAAGACACATTTGGGAGGAGAAAGCTGTTGGAAAACTGTACGAGATGGACACTGACATGTATCTCTGTGATATCTGTCTGCTTATATGTCTGTCTATATGTCTGTGGTTCTGTGTTTTATCTCTCTCTCAAATTTAGCATTCTCAGGAAGAACGTAATCAACCAGGTAGGGTGTTGACTGTTATGTTATCCGACTCTCTGTTGTATTACATTACATTTCTAAGTATACTAGATTTGTGTTTTCTATTTCATTTATACCTGATGATGATTGCTTGTGTTGCAATCGAAACGTCGTATGCTAGTATTGAATTTATTATTTTATCTTTATACGTGACTTTACCGAAAGAACCAAAGAGTAATTCCTGCAGTCACGAAAGCTCCAAATTAAGACTGACAGAAAGAGACAAAAGTGCAGAGACCGACAACAGGATTTTATGAGCGGTTTGGGGTCATGTGTTGAGCGCAAATCGCACGTGGTTAAAAATAGCACTTGGCATAGAGAACACTTACACGATCCACCCCACGTACCACAGCATACTCTGTGTGCCAACATTCCTAGCCATAGTGTAAGGGAGGCGGGTGGCTCTCAGGAGTTTGTGGTTGCAGCAGAGTAGTGTCACAATGCCCGTAGGTGTAAAATCTAATCTTTTAATCCCCGGTGCATTATGCGTCATTCCACGCACCTTGGCACGTAGACTGAATATCGCAATTAGTGCGGTGCGAAAGAAGAATTTCAACATACGTACGTACATACGTACGGGAAATTATTTTTCATTAAAAAAAGTGGGTTAGCTTCTAAAGACAACTGCTTATAAAGGTTTGAAATGGGCGTAGCAGCCAATGCAGGTGGTGGGCAGCGACCGCTGCGATGGTGTTGGGCTTTCCACCAATCAAAGGGCTGCAGGCAAAAATTAGCATGTCAATGAACATCCTCCACGGCGAGTGCGCCAAACTTGGTCTGTAACAGAGACAGAGACACACAGATGGATATAATTGTTGTCTTTGTGTGTGTCTTCGTGTTTTTATCTGCATTCAATGCTACAGACCTGGTACTTGGCAATGAAAAGCCTCTTCGTGTGTTGGAGATTGGAGCAGGCACAGGAGCCAACTTTGAGTTTTTCCCACCGGGCACCCAAGTCACGTGTCTTGATCCCAACCCGCATTTCAAAAAATACCTGCTCAGGTGAGTGATGCGTCACACATACCGCACCGTAATATCACCGCAGTGGCTTCGGAACTCGATCCAGTGGCTTCGGAACTCGATCCAGTGGCTTAGAAACCCGATTGAGGCTTGTAGAGGGCTGTGCGGCATTGATCTTTTTCGTAGGGGAGTAACTTCGACTCAATGATCAATACATTTCGATTTAAAGCTTTCGTGACTGCAGGGATTCATCTTCTTGGTTTTTTCGGTAAAGTCACGTAGAAGGGAAGTAATAAAATAATAAAAATAAAACACAATAAAATAATTCTCACGACGTTTCGGCCACAACGCAAGCAGCCGTCCTCAGGTGAAAACCAGGTCTGTCGAGGCGACAGAGTCTGAATGAAACGTCGTGAGAATTATTTGATTGTGTTTTATTTTTATTATTTTATTACTTCCCTTCTACGTGACTTTACCGAAAGCACCAAGAAGATGATCAATACATATTCTTTGTTACTGAATATTTGTTGTCATTTCCCTCCATTTTATACTGATTGTGCAATTAGCATCGTGCTATGAGCAGGAGGAGAATAAGAAGAATCCAGTCTAATCTCTCACAGGGCGGTGCAGCCTTCTTTAGTGTTAGAGAACGGCCGACTGAAGCGGGTGTCACAGGGCGACCTCTGAGAATCCCTTCCAGGTGACCTCTGACCCACACGGTAGAGGACAGCACTTCCCAGCCTACTTTGCATATGTGAGTCAAATTAATTGCGTGACAGTCAACTCTCTATTTACATTTGAATGCTAGAATTTAGCAAATTAATTGCAGAACTAACAAACAGAAAACCTATATGTTAGATGATATTGGTCGCGAAAACAAATTCTAATCTGTACATGACGAGAAGGCGCATCACAACAGAAATGCTGCTGCAGGCTGGAAACAAATACGAGGTGTTAACACACAGATGTGTGCAGCATTACGTGTACAAGAGCTCTATCAGCCTTAGCCAGACCACCAGCTCAATGTAACTGAATGTGTGGCCATTTTGTCATTTAGACATTCTTCCGGGGCTCCCAGATGCATGTGACAGCAGTGAACATTGATTGATTGTACTGTACTAATGAGTCCTGAGGACCAAACCGATCTACAGTTGCGGATTTTCAGAGTTGGTGGTCTAAATTACAAAATTACCACACAGTCACTTCCTGTGAAGTGTCGGTCTCGACAAGGCTGAGATATCTCTTGTACATGCAATTCATGCCACGGTGCGTATGTATGTGCGCTGAACTTCTTTCGCACCGTAAGTAAACAACCGCGCTAATCGAAAGTGTGTGGGGAAGGATAATAAACCAAACACAATAAAATGTTTTAAAATACTTTTTTTTTAAACACGCTTGAATGAAATGTACCGTACTCGTAATGGCAGAACTCCACGACTCCAGGAAGTGGCCACGCAGCTTGCCATGACGCAAGGGACCGTGGTGATTTACAGCCAACGTGAGTTGAGCGTGGACAATTAGACCCGTAAAAAAGATTGTTTAAAAATATTTTTAAAATTTTTGATGATAGAGTATAGTATTGTCATCAGTATGACATACCTATACCAAGTTTGCTGTCGATGCGACATTGGGAAGACGGTTGAATTAGAGTTACAAGATTTGAGGATACGACAACAGACAGAGTGAGTTAAATAAAAGCGTGTAAAATGTTAAAAAATATTTATTTTTTATTTTTCATGATAGTGTAATGCGGGCGTAAACGGCTTGGCGGATGTGACGTCATGTGGGGAGGAGTCAGGGTCACGTGAGAGGGAGATGGTATAGCGGTGAGACAGGAAGAGATCGGGGCCAGTCGGGTAAGGGAAGAGTGGAGACCGCGTTGGGTGGTCGCTGTGCCCTCAGCCTTGTGGCTGAGGGGATCGGTGACAGCGCCAGCCAGCGGGATGGAAGAGAGTTGGTTGGAGACTGGACGAGGGTGAGGCCACGGAGGGCGAAAGCTGGGAGCAGCGAGTGCAGCAAAGAGGCTGCGTGTGGGAGACAGCAGCGAGGCTGCTAGGGGCTACAGCAGCCTGGGGCTGCAGAGCAAAAGGGCTACGGGAGCGACAGCAGCCGGAGGGGCTGCGTGAGTGGGAACAGCAGCAAGGCTGCTAGAGGCTACGGGAGCGACACGAGGAGACCAGCAAAGAGGCTATTGGTGACGACGGGTGCGGCAGCAGCGTCGGCGACGAGCGGAGGGCCTGAGAGTGAGACAGCCGTGTGGGAAGAGAACGCGAACCCAAATAAAGGACACGGAGACAGAACCAGGGTCGAGTCCTTTATTACACTGGAGTCAGAAGTGAAACGGCATCTCAAAACAACTGAGAGAAAGAAGAAAAAAAAAAAAAAAGAATATTCCTGCTACATCATCCGACGACGACGACCTTCCTCAGACGGTGGACCTGCCTGCGATGGAAGAGGAGATCCGTTCTGGAACGAGTACGGGTCCGGGTGAGCAAGGTGTCGCCGCGTCGGTGGACCTGTCAGTGCCGGAGGACGCTAAATTACGATGGAGACAGATGGCGGCGCAGATGGGGACCTTGAAAATCGTGCTGGCGCAACTGTGTGAGTTCACCACGCCGAGGACGACGTCGGGGAGGCCCGGTGGTGATCCGTAGGCCTCTGCCTTTCCTGCGCTGCCAGCGCCATCTGCCACGTGGCACGAAGACGCCATCTTGGGCGTGGCAGGGGAGAAACGGCGGGAAGCCGCCATCTTGTCTTCACCGCGGCGGGTGGACGCCGCCATCTTCAACATCGCGGCGGAGAGGCAGCCTTGCGCTGCCATCTGGAGGTGCCGCGGGGTGAGCAGCCTGCTGTGAGCTGCTGTTTTCGAGGGGGTGCTGGGAGGAGAAGACGACGATGCTGCAGCTGCTGGGGCGGGAGCTTCCCGTCCTGGCTCGGGTGCGTGACAACGGAGCAGTCAAGTCGCCGAACGAGTTCTGCGAGGCGTCTCAAGTTGCCACCCTGCCGTCCTCTTCTTGCTGCAGCCCCGGGCGAGTCGTAACGATACGCACCCGGCCTTAACACACACCTCACCCATCTTTCGAGGGCCGGGGGGCTATTTTGGTTTTCTCTTATGACTCGATTGTGCGGAGCGCGGTTCGGACTGTGTGTATGTGTGTGTAATAACGATGAACGCGCTATCTGCTTGTTGCTTGGTGTCAATATAAGTGTGTGCGTGTGTTGAGAATGGACGGAGAGTCTGCTGTGTTGCTGAGTGTCAAATGGTGTGTGTGCGCTGCTGCGTGGAGTTGTTATCTTGATGGTGAAGTTAATTATTAACTTGGGAGCGTCGGGTATCCTGGGCTGTACCATGCGCGATGGGCTTAATTGAAAAAAAAAAATTTTTGGTGTATTGTGCTGCGAGGTGCTGTGTGCGATGCGGTTGTTGCATGAGAGAGAATAATTGTGTTATTGCTGCAAAGTTACGACAGGATTAATGGTGTGTTGGTTGCCTGCAGATCTGCTTACTATTGTGCTTAAATGTACGCGTGTGATCGCGATATGCTGATTGCATGTGCTGTTATACCGTTCTGTATGGTTATGGGGTGCGATGCAGTGGTTGACTATTGGAATTGAGATTGTTATTATATTGTGCGTACTTGTTGGAAATTGGTAACAAATTCGAGGGGGACCCAAATATTTGGTTGTATGGTTGTTGTGCACACGAGATTGCGTGTATATTATAGAGGGGGACCCTAAAAATTTGGTTGTATGGGTGTTGTGCACACGAGATTGCGTGTATATTATAGAGGGGGACCCAAAAATTTGGTTGTATGGGTGTTGTGCACACGACATTGCGTGTATATTATAGGGCTAATTGAGCTTTTTGAAAATGGGGGGGCGCGATGACGCCGTTGTGGGTGGCTTAGATGTTAATGCTAATGGGATCGTAAATGGGCGCCAAGTGGCGTCGTGTATTGGTTGATTGCATGCAGCCACGAGTTGCTTTGCGAGTTGGGTTGTGTAACTAATGTGGTTGGTAAAATATTGGTTAAAAATTCCCCGATATGACTGCTGCGCGCAGCAAGCTGGGGCTGTGCGTCTATCGTTGTTGGGGTTGTTACAATTAGACGGGGGATGCATTTTGTGACCCCCAGCATAGGGAAGCTGGGGTGCACGAATGGAGAAAACTGGCCACGTGTTCGCACGTTGGGCCGCCATTTTCTGGCCACGTGTTCGCACGTTGGGCCGCCATTTTGCGCGCACGCGGGGTATGGCGACGATGCGCTTTGCGGAAAGGGCCGCCATTTTGAGTGCGCGCGAGATATTGCGCGAACGCGCTGGGCGAAGGGGGACGCCATTTTGAGCGCGCGGGAAAAACCGGGGTGGAGCAAATATTCCATCTGTTATGCCTGCCATTGTTGATTGGGTGATGCATGAGTTGTGGTCACATCGGCCTATGGCTGATGGCTGACCTGACAACCCGGAGGCGAAACCTCCGTGGTATGTCTTAAACTAATGGGCCATGTGCTCATATGGCTCGGGGAGTCATGGTTCAGTTGTGCGGTGGCAGACTGAACCTGGTGTGCCGGGGGCTCACGGGATCTGGGTTAGGGTGTTATTGTCTCTATAAGAGAACATTGCCCCGTGGGGGGAGTCCATGGGGTCTGGCATTGCCGGGGGATGAACCTTCCCTGGGCTATAAAGCATCAGACTATACGAGGCTGGTGTGTGTCCATCTCTGATGGGATAGTAAGGGAGGAGCACGGCCGAGTTGCTGCTCATCCCCGAAATGGCACTAGCCGAGAGTCTGGTAAATGGATGTTGCTGTGGGTTGACGACCACGGTGAGGGTTACGGCGAGTTAAACGTTACCGCTGGGGAGCGTGGCTCTCTCCACGCGAGGGTGTGCGATTAGGCGTTTTGTTGGTTTGTTGAGAGTGACTGTGGGTACATGCTGTGTACGTCTGAGGTCTGTGCTGGTCCTCAAGGGAGGACTGCTGGTGGGTAAGAGCAGAATTTTTTTTTTTTTGTCACGTGTAAATAATATTGTTGTTAAAATGTAAATACTGGGGCATCGATCGCGGTTAATTTGGGTAATTATTGGGTTTTTTTTTTTTTAAGCGGGCCGGATTTACATCATCTCCACTACCCTGAGGCCGGGTGGCTGTCATGTACGACATGCGGATGTGCGTTGTTGTGCTGTGCCTCAGGGGATTGGATTCTCCTTCTCGTCACAGATTCTTCAGCTCCCGTCGCACTGGGTGTTACCTGGTGTGCTAGCTGGATGAGGACTTGAAGGAGCAATTGAGCGCCGTTCGTCATTCTGCTCTACCACTTGCTCTTTGATGTTGGACTTGAGCCGAGCGGATGGAACAACAACATGGACACGCTTTGAGACACCACATTTCTGGGTTGTGCGCGTGTGCCATTTTTGCGTGTTGGTGGCCGTTGTTGTGCTTTGTGCTATTATTCTTCTTGTTGTTCTGTTCCGGTTCCTGATCCTTCCCCTTTTGTTACTTGTTGTTGTTGTTATAAGGTCTATTGTGTCTGGGGGACTCCTGGTTGTGATGCCTTCGCCCGCATTATTTTGTTCTGTTTCAGCCGAGGACGGCTGGAATTTTCTCTACGGGGGAGGGTGGTGTAATGCGGGCGTAAACGGCTTGGCGGATGTGACGTCATGTGGGGAGGAGTCAGGGTCACGTGAGAGGGAGATGGTATAGCGGTGAGACAGGAAGAGATCGGGGCCAGTCGGGTAAGGGAAGAGTGGAGACCGCGTTGGGTGGTCGCTGTGCCCTCAGCCTTGTGGCTGAGGGGATCGGTGACAGCGCCAGCCAGCGGGATGGAAGAGAGTTGGTTGGAGACTGGACGAGGGTGAGGCCACGGAGGGCGAAAGCTGGGAGCAGCGAGTGCAGCAAAGAGGCTGCGTGTGGGAGACAGCAGCGAGGCTGCTAGGGGCTACAGCAGCCTGGGGCTGCAGAGCAAAAGGGCTACGGGAGCGACAGCAGCCGGAGGGGCTGCGTGAGTGGGAACAGCAGCAAGGCTGCTAGAGGCTACGGGAGCGACACGAGGAGACCAGCAAAGAGGCTATTGGTGACGACGGGTGCGGCAGCAGCGTCGGCGACGAGCGGAGGGCCTGAGAGTGAGACAGCCGTGTGGGAAGAGAACGCGAACCCAAATAAAGGACACGGAGACAGAACCAGGGTCGAGTCCTTTATTACAATAGAATAGAGTCGTGTCATCAGTGTGACATAAGTACACCGAGTTTGCTGTCGATAGCATTTTGGGAAGTGGGTAAAAATTGAGTTACAACATTTTTTAAGGATGCGACAACAGACGGAGTGAGTTAAATAAAAGCGTGTCATAAAAATCAGTTTAAATAGAAATTCGAAATTGCTTCTCATATAAATTATAACCGTGAGCGCTCCACACTTTCGCCATCGTCATTGCCGCCCGATGCCTCCCCAGGGCGTTTGACGAGAACCGGCACGTGACTCTCGTGGACACGGTGGTGGCACACGGGGAGGACATGCGCAGCGTGCCGGACGCCAGCGTGGACGCAGTGGTGTGCACCCTCGTCATGTGCTCGGTGCGGGAGCCCGAGGGCGTCCTGCGGGAGGTCATCCGCGTGCTGCGTCCCGTAAGGCTGACTCACCCCTGTGCATGCTCGCCGCACAGTGCCCATCATCCACAACGCTCTCCCCGTGTCCTCCTGTCACACAATTTGAGTACATGTTGTGCCTTTACAATTTGAGTAAATGCTGTTGAATTTCGATTTAAAGCTTTCGTGACTGCAGGGATTCATCTTCTTGGTTCTTTCGGTAAAGTCACGTAGAAGGGAAATAATAAAATTAAAACATAATAAAATTCAATTCTCACGCTGCCAAGCTTGGTAGTGTTCATTCAGACGCTGTCTTTCCGACAGCCCTGTTCTTCACCTGAGGACGGCTGCTTGCGTTGTGGCCGAAACGTCGTGAGAATTATTTTATTATGTTTTATTTTTATAATTTTATTATTTCCCTTCTACGTGACTTTACCGAAAGAACCAAGAAGATAAATGCTGTTGATTTACTCTCCAACACTTTGGTGGGCTGAAGTAGCAACTATAATTGGCACATTTTGGTGACGTAACAAACCTTACTAATTGGCTGTGCCGGATGGTGGCGCATTAAACGACACATGAATGCCGACGCGATCTAACCCCAAAAAAAATGCACCTTTATTATGGAATCTGATTGTGTACAATTGCATTGCGTGCAGGGCGGGAAGCTGTACCTCCTGGAGCACGTGGTGGCAGCTCCCGACACGTGGGTGCGTAGCTGTCAGCAGATGCTGAACCCTCTGTGGTCCTACATGTGTGACGGGTGCAAGCTGGCTCGTGACACCGCACGCACTGTGCAGGCCGCGGGATTTTCACAAGTGGACATCAAGCACATCAACGCGCCCCTTAAGTTTCCCCTGATTAATCCACATTTAGTGGGGTGTGCAGTCAAATAGTTACACCGATCTACGTGGTTCCGTCATGTTGGTACGCGGATACAACTACACCACTACGTGCGCTGTACTCTTGCATGCCTGTCGACCCACACGGTTTTACCTGTATTCTTGTACAGGGAAATTGAGTTTTCAGGTCCATGCGGTGTACAGCCGTTTCAATATGGGCATTTTTGTGTCTATTTGTTTGTGTTTCTCCCTTGTGATGGGACTTTGTAGGATGAACGTTGAGATGTATAAGAGCACGGGGTGACCAATAAGGTCTGAATTGGTCTGTAATAAGGTAGGCCACTGATAAGGGGTTGACAAGTAATGAATGCTCTTGGTATGCAATTAATACACCGTTACATGTGGCTTTGTCCATTTACCCCTAGATTGTGAACGTGACAGTCAAACTGAATGTTTTATTCTCAAATGTGGACGGTAGCGTACTCGAATGCAAGGCCACGTTTAATAGACCGTCAAAACCCAGGACCTCGAGGGTTGCCAGCCCATCGCTCTGACATCACGAGCCACGGGGAGGAAGAAAAAAAACACCCTCTTACCTGATAATTGTTTTTTTACCCTTCTATCTGGCAACAAAACTGACAAATTTTTTTACAAGGAGTCATGTTTGCATAGACCACAATATCTGCAGCCATAATGCAAACAAAAACAATTATCATATATTGTTCTGTTTTTTGTTTGCATTATGGCTGCAGGTATTGTGGTCTATGCAAACATGACTCCTTGTAAAAAAAAAAGGTGTCAGTTTTGTTGCCAGATAGAAGGGTGAAAAAAAAAATTCTCATATTTTTGACTGGCAAATGAGGTTCCAATGGTGTAAATGCTTGACCCTCTTACCTGTGAAGCGTAAAATGACGAGGTCGATGTGAGAATTCTTTTTACGAACTTCTCCGTTGCCCTGACGGGTGCTGCTGTGGCTGTGCCCGCCGTCTCTTGGCCTGTTGGTGGTGGTGTTGGTGGTGGTGTTGGTGGTGGTGTTGGTGGTGGTGTTGGTGGTGGTGGTGTTGGTGGTGGTGTTGGTGGTGGTGGTGGTGTTGGTGGTGGTGGTGTTGGTGGTGGTGTTGGTGGTGGTGTTGGTGGTGGTGTTGGTGGTGGTGGTGGTGGTGTTGGTGGTGGTGTTGGTGGTGGTGGTGTGGTGGTGGTGTTGGTGGTGGTGTTGGTGGTGGTGTTGGTGGTGGTGTTGGTGTGGTGTTGGTGGTGGTGTTGGTGGTGGTGGTGTTGGTGGTGGTGGTGTTGGTGGTGGTGTTGGTGGTGGTGTTGGTGGTGGTGGTGTTGGTGTTGTTTTGGAGTTGGTGGTGTTAGTGGTGGTGTTGGTGGTGGTGTTGGTGGTGGTGGTGTTGGTGGTGTTGGTGGTGGTGGTGTTGGTGTTGGTGGTGTTGCTGGTGGTGTTGTTGGTGGTGGTGGTGGTGGTGTTGGTGGTGGTGTTGGTGGTGTTGGTGGTGGTGGTGTTGGTGGTGTTGGTGGTGGTGGTGGTGTTGTTGGTGTTGGTGTTGTTGGTGGTGGTGTTGGTGGTGTTGTTGGTGGTGGTGGTGTTGGTGGTGTTGGTGGTGGTGTTGTTGGTGGTGGTGCTGAGCCCCGGCTGCTTCGTCTCGGGCTGTACTGCTGCGGCATTGCAGTCCCCTCTCCTGTGTTTCCTGTCATCTAAACTTGATTTTGTTCTAAACGTGGCGGCTGTGACGGGATTAGCATGAATCTTCAGACTGCATTGATAGCCATTCATATTTTAGAGGTGGCACAAATATAAAAAAAGATTGATTTATTGGAACACTTTATAATTTTATAATTCACGTTTTAGATATTTGTTGTGTCCCCTTGCATTATTTGATCACCTGCTTTGTCCATTTACCTCTACTCCGTGGACAATGAGATTTTGTGGGGTTTTTGTCGTACGTACGTTCTTGCAAGCACACCCCCCTCAGTCGCTATTCATGCGGCCAAGGCGGCTCACGATCCTCGACTTACATCTCTGGTAATGAGGCGAGCGCCACCTCGGGCCCAGAGGTCGCAAACGGGTTTTGATTCCTTACCCGTACCCGGCCGCACCAGGGTCGCAAACGTAGCCGGGTATCGGGTAGGGTATGGGTATCGGGTACCCGGTTGCGACCTCTGCTCGGGCCCCTTGTAACCCGCAGCTGCCGCTTCTGCCGACTCTTGTGACCGGGCTGGCCGGCCACCCTCTGCTGATCTTCCTTGAGGACGACCTCCATTTAAAAGGAGCTTTCCTGAGAAATTTCCGAGTCTTCGTGAGGCATTAAAATCCCGGGGTTGTTTTTATTGTTGTTGTCGCTTGCATAATAATACACCACGTAAGACAAACGACGCATTCCGCGTAGTTTTCCTGCTGTCGCGAGTTTGGTGAAATGCCACCAAGAAGCGTTGGGTTTTACCCCCCTCACCCCCCCTGATCGTGTGACGCTGGGATATTTTAGGCTTTTTCTTTTGCTCATCTCGCGCGTAACACGAGCGGAGATTTTATAAAGGCCTTTGCCGTGTCTGCAATAGCATAGTCGTGCGAGGTGCCTTGCATGAGTGATTAGCTTGCGAGTGATAAACATAGCACTTAAGAGACTGGTGAATGATCTCTATTGAGTTGATGCTTGGAGGCGTCACTTCATTTCAGCTGGGTCTGCTCGGGTCAAAAATCCAGAAAAGATTTCAGCACCAAAGCAATCCGCATCCAATGAACATGTTTTTGTTTTTACAAAATTCATCAATAACTCTGCCTTAAAAGAAAAGTGTATAAAGTCTGGGACGTTTTGGGCAATATCCTTTCTTAGCACGTAGAGCCAGAGAGAAGGAGCCAACAATGGTGAGGGTGAAGTTTTAAAAAACACTGTCTGATAACCTTTTTTTATGGCATATACATCGTTACACTGTTTGTAGTGTTTCAGTACCAGGGAAACCCTTACATCGAAAGTATTACTAAATTATTTAAATTTAAAGGTACAATTTTTAAATCCTTGCGCCCGTTGACCATTTCAATTAAAGCAGTCTGGGACACTGAAGCAGCACAACCATGAAAATGAAACCAAATTATCTTGGAACATGGAACGTTGGTCATGTTTACTGGATCGCTTGGGGCTACCTTGCAAACTAATATAAAACAAAAATTATTTGCATTCAATAATTTCAAGGTAAAATATTCTTCTGATCTATGGTGACTTCACTTTATTGCTGCAAAAAATGTCATTGTAATAATGCTGTTGCCTTAAATAAAGCTCACGATCTTGACGCTGCCCTTTGCTTTTGAATCTTGAAGTGTGTCTAGTTTGGTTTGTCTGGGCTCCCTCGCTGACCCTCTCGCCTTTTATAAATGTCGAACCTCTTTCGCACCGTACGTAGCCAACCGTGCTAATCGGAGCTGTCGGGGGAAGAACAAAAATCTAAACACAACAACAAGCAGTTCGAAAGAAGTGGACGAGAGATGCCGTGGTAAGAGGTTATATAGGTGAGAGGGGGGAGGGGCAAGGGAGGGGGGTAGGGGGAGGGGAGGGGGTAGGGGGATGGGAAAGGGAGGGGGGTAGGAGGAGTGGTGTAGGGGGAGGGGCAAGGGAGGGGGGTAGGGGGAGGGGAGGGGGGTAGGGGGATGGGCAAGGGAGGGGGGTAGGGGGAGGGGGGTATGGGGAGGGGCAAGGGAGGGGGGTAGGAGGAGGGGTGTAGGGGGAGGGGCAAGGGAGGGGGGTAGGGGGATAGGGGGAGGGGCAAGGGAGAGGGTAGGGGGGAGCAAGAGAGGGGGGGAGGGGGTAGGGGAGGGGCAAAAGAGGGGGGTAGGGGGAGCGTTGCGTGGACGTCGAGGAGAGGGACGTGAAGCTGGAAGTGGGCGGGGCTAAGAGAGCTGGGGGGGGGGTGCGCGGGGGGGGGGGTGCAGCAACAATGCCAATGAAGCCACCAATGTCAATGCAGCAGCAAAAAAATTCTTGCTGTGGTTTTCCCACCTGATGATTGCTTGTGTTGCAATCGAAACGTCCTCCCCCCACGTGTCGCCCCACTTGGTTTGCTCCATTCTGCCACCACCTCCCCCCACGAGTCGCTCCACGTGGTTTGCTCCATTCTGCCACCACCTCCCCCCACGAGTCGCTCCACGTGGTTTGCTCCATTCTGCCACATCCTCCCCCCACGTGTCGCTCCACTTGGTTTGCTCCATTCTGCCACCACCTCCCCCCACGAGTCGCTCCACGTGGTTTGCTCCATTCTGCCACCACCTCCCCCCACGAGTCGCTCCACGTGGTTTGCTCCATTCTGCCACCACCTCCCCCCACGTGTCGCTCCACTTGGTTTGCTCCATTCTGCCACCACCTCCCCCCACGTGTCGCTCCACGTGGTTTGCTCCATTCTGCCACCACCTCCCCCCACGTGGTTTGCTCCACTTGGTTTGCTCCATTCTGCCACATCCTCCCCCCACGTGTCGCTCCACTTGGTTTGCTCCATTCTGCCACCACCTCCCCCCACGTGTCGCCCCACTTGGTTTGCTCCATTCTGCCACCACCTCACCCCACGAGTCGCCCCACTTGGTATGCCCCATTCTGCCACCACCGCCCCCCACGAGTCGCCCCACTTGGTTTGCTCCATTCTGCCACCACCTCCCCCACGAGTCGCCCCACTTGGTTTGCCCCATTCTGCCACCACCTCCCCCCCACGAGTCGCCCCACTTGGTTTGCCCCATTCTGCCATCACCTCCCCCCACGAGTCGCCCCACTTGGTTTGCCCCATTCTGCCACCACCTCCCCCCACGAGTCGCCCCACTTGGTTTGCTCCATTCTGCCACCACCTCCCCCCACGAGTCGCCCCACTTGGTTTGCTCCATTCTGCCACCACCTCCCCCCCCGAGTCGCCCCACTTGGTTTGCTCCATTCTGCCACCACCTCCCCCCACGAGTCGCCCCACTTGGTTTGCTCCATTCTGCCACCACCTCCCCCCCCGAGTCGCCCCACTTGGTTTGCTCCATTCTGCCACCACCTCCCCCCACGAGTCGCCCCACTTGGTTTGCCCCATTCTGCCACCACCTCCCCCCACGAGTCGCCCCCACTTGGTTTGCTCCATTCTGCCACCACCTCCCCCCACGAGTCGCCCCACTTGGTTTGCCCCATTCTGCCACCACCTCCCCCCACGAGTCGCCCCACTTGGTTTGCCCCATTCTGCCACCACCTCCCCCCACGAGTCGCCCCACTTGGTTTGCTCCATTCTGCCACCACCTCCCCCCACGAGTCGCCCCACTTGGTTTGCCCCATTCTGCCATCACCTCCCCCCACGAGTCGCCCCACTTGGTTTGCCCCATTCTGCCACCACCTCCCCCCACGAGTCGCCCCACTTGGTTTGCCCCATTCTGCCACCACCTCCCCCCACGAGTCGCCCCACTTGGTTTGCTCCATTCTGCCACCACCTCCCCCCACGAGTCGCCCCACTTGGTTTGCTCCATTCTGCCACCACCTCCCCCCACGTGGTTTGCTCCCTACACACGCGCCCCACGTGTGTCTGGGGCCGCCATGGCGTCCGTGCTGCGCACTCTCCGCACCCACTGGAAGAAGAGCACCGCGGGGGGCGCCCTGTGCGTGTGGGGGGCCACCTGGGCTCACAAGCGGCACAAGTGAGACACGCCCCCCCCAATCTCCTCCCCACAGCGGCAGCGCACCCCCCCCCCTCTTGCACTCCCTGAGCCGATGGATTTGCTGGGGTCAGGTAATCGATTCCAGATTCGATTAAGCCGGCAGTGGAATCGTTGCCGATTCTCGGATCGCCCGCGGCCGCATTTGCGTTGCCGGGCGAACGAATCCCGCGGGTCTGCGTCGGGCGTCTTGAGATGGCGCTGGCTGAAGGGGGCAGGCGGAGAGCCCTGCAGGTGCCACTCGGCACTCGATGGGCTGGTATCTCGTGTCCAGTCGCGCAATGCGGTTAAAGGAATCGATCCGCGAAATCGCGGGGTGCGAATCGACTGTTGGTGATTGAATGGGGGAGGGGAGCGGTGGCGCAGTGGTTAGCGCGCTGCGCTACGAACCCCGGTGACCCGAGTTCGATTCCCGCTCACGGCCACCAACAGCGGTGGCGATTGTCTGAAGCCGGTACCTCGGCCTCCCCCCTAGGTTGACTCGGCCTCAAAAACAATATCCGGTGCGGGTCGTAGTCAAACATCGCCGCTGGGGGGAGACAAAGACGGTCGGGCGTGGTGCTGGTGGTGGTGGTGGTGCTGGTGGTGGTGGTGCTGGTGGTGGTGGTGCTGGTGGTGCTGGTGGTGGCGGTGGTGGTGGCCACCCACCCCCTCGTGTGCCACAGCAACTTGCCCCAACAGTCTGTTAGAGGCTACACGGGGGATCTTTGTCTTTTTACGGTGGAGGTCATCGATTCCAGGCCGCTGTCTTTCATTCGTTATCGCATTCCCCCAGTGGTTGAAATTCCACATTCCTATGGCCGGGCGTCTGTCCGCTTGACGAATGTGGTTCTGACGTTTCATTGCGGAGACAGTCGGCCATGGGCAGTGCACAGGAGTTGCTGAAGGTCGTTGCCATCACTCTGTGGTGGGTGTTAGTGTTGATGCCATTTAACTAATACACCTGTTATTTACATTATGAGACCTCCTTTACCAGTGGTAATTTATAGTAATAGGTTTGAACCCTTTCAACTGGTACAAAAACTGACACCTTTGTACAAGGCATCATGTTTGCAATAACCACAACACAAGCAGTCAAAATGCAAACAGGGTAAAAATCTACTACTATATTTTGCCACTGGTAAAGGAGGTCTCATAGTGTAAATGCTTACCCCGAGCTCTAAATACTCTGATAGTGCGCTGTTTTTGAGTTGTACGCCTTTAACGTCATCTGGTCCAACACCAGTGGAGACTAGGCTCTAAGAAAAGCTGTCTCGGTTGTGGACCAATCAACTTCAAGGACAGTGCATATCATTATCAGAGTTGTTTCTTTTTGTTTGCATTTTGACTGCTTGTGTTGTGGTTATTGCAAACATGATCCCTTGTATAAAGGTGTCGGTTTTTGTACCAGTTGAAAGGGTAAAAACCTATTACTATAATACGCTTGTTTTAGATTTTGCTTGCGAGCAGCATTTTCATTTGCTTGGTAGTGCGATTCGGTTCTCACATTCTAATCATTATCAACGTGCAGCATTTTTGCGGGACGCTATTATCACGAATGACGCGAAATGAAACGAAAGTGGTTCTCATTGAGGTCGCAAGCCCGGGACGCAGCCAGAGACAAGGGCACCAGCAGCAGAGGAGAACCGCGTTGTTATGTACAACCACGTTGTGGTTCTACACCACGTTGTTGTGTAGAACCGCGTTGTTGTGGAGAACCACGTGGTGTAGAACCGCGTTGTTGTGGAGAACCAGGTGGTGGAGAACCGCGTTGTTGTATAGAACCGCGTTGTGGTGTCCATGTCGATGGGTTTCCACTGTTGAGCTTAGTCGCGGCTGCTGAACGCGGGACCCCAAAATGCCCCAAACGCCCAGCAGGCCAGCAACAAGCTGCACTCTTGTTATGAACTCAAACCTGTCAACCCCTCATCAGTGCCCTACCTTATTACACACAAATTGAGATCGTATTGGTCACCCCGTGCCCTTACAACTCTCAACGTTCATCCTACAAACTCACATCACAAGGGAGAAACGCAAACAAATAGACAAACACATTTTTTGACCCGCATTGAAACGGCCGTAAGCCGTATGGACCTGAAAAACTCAATCTCCCTGTACAAGAATACGGGGTAAACCGAGTGGGATGACAGCTATGGGCCCCGTATGTTACGTAGCCCTCGAGAGATGTTGATGCTCCTTGCGTTTGTGCTGCTGTCACCTGGTTTAATAACCAGCGCCGTAGCGACAACAGTGATTTAAGTTCTAATCTCCATTGTCATGTCATCTTTCGTTTCAGAGCAAGCCTTTTGCGAAGAGCTGCATGCGAGGAAGCCTTGGTAAGGTCACGTGGGTGTGTGTTCACGTGAAGAGTGTGTTCACGTGGGTGTGTGTTCACGAGGGTGTGTGTTCACGTGGGTGGGTGTTCACGTGGGTGTGTGTTCACATGTGTGTGTTCACGTGGGTGTGTGTTCACGTGAGGGTGTGTTCACGTGGGTGTGTGTTCACGTGGGTGTGTGTTCACGCGAGAGTGTTCACGTGGGTGGGTGTTCACGTGAGAGTGTGTTCACGACTGATGGATGCGACTGTCATTTTGAACATTAAAGCATTAAAAATCGCGTTCGGAGGGGAGCCTTTGCCACATCCACTGCTGCACGAAGGCCTCGGCATGTCATGTCAGTCGTTCAGAGTCCTGCGACCATACTTCACCACCCCGGTCGGTGGTGATTGAAGGGGAGCACAGAGACGAGTTCATTTTGATGATCCTGCACTTATTCAGTCTCGTCACGTAACTCCCCGATGGGCAATTGCCTCCTTACCCCTCTTGTATTGCTACTGCCATGGCCGCTGTTCCTCCCGCGGACGTCTGGTCCGCACTGCGACACCGGCCACCATTCTGCAGGTCAATTCGCTGACACAGTCGCCCCCCGCCACTCGGCCACTCACGCCACTCACGCCACTCGCGCCACTCACGCCACTCACGCCACTCGCCTTCTGCTGCTTCCTGCTCGCCGCCCCAATTTACAATTCCCTCCCGTCGTCTTTCTTTTCCCAAAACCTCAATCATGGCCTTGCTCGGTTGAAGAAATGGACTGGCCCTCGTGTTTTTGCAACACTAATTGCGCTAAGAACAGGTCTGTCGGAAAGACAGCATCTGAATGAGACGCTCTCATTCAGACGCTGTCTTTCCGACAGACCTGTTCTTCACCTGAGGACGGCTGCTTGCGTTGTGGCCGAAACGTCGTGAGAATTGTAATTTATTATGTTTTATTTTTATTATTTTGTTATTTCCCTTCTACGTGACTTTACCGTAAGAACCAAGAAGATGAATCCCTGCAGTCACGAAAGCTTTAAATCGAAACTAATCGCGCTGTTTATCGCTAGCGGCCTGACGTATTGGGCCTTTGAACCTGTGCTCATCAACCTTAATGTAACGGAAAGATATTGCTCGTCGCTAATGTTAACAACCGTGGCCGGATATCGGCGGTGGCCACCCACGCAAGCACTACCTCGGCAGGTGAATAATAATAATAATAGCGTGTGCACACCAGTGTCTGGTAAGTCGTCGTGTAGAGCGTTTGATCGTGTTGCGTTCTCTGGCCCTGTCACCAGGTGTTTGGAAATGAACGGCTGTTCCTGGCGGACGCCCCGAAGCGCATCACCGTGTTCCTGAATCCAGCAGCGAGCAACGGGTGAGCGGCACTCAAAGTGAACGCTGTTTAACCAGCTGCGAGGGTTCAATCGAGCTCATTTTGCAAGGGTGATCTGGGTCGCCGACATTATAAAATCAAAGCAAATAAAGCAAAGTACAGCACAGTTAAGCAAATAGGAATAGCAGCAGAGAGAGAGAGAGACACATGGGGAGAAGAGAGAGAGAGTAAAGTTTGTTGAACCAGAGACCAGGAGGACATTCCCATTTGCAAGACTCAACTCTCTTGCAAATAGAAGGTTACCTCTATCCCGCATGGGGTGCCCAACGACCATCACACGTCCACCGCCTATCACACATCCACCGCCTATCACACATCCACCGCCTATCACACATCCACCGCCTGCAGTCTTCACTGAGGGCTTCCATTTTCAGAGCCCTGCCCCCTTCGCCAATCGTCCATCGCTGCGCGTGGATTTATCACGTAGGAGGCTTTCGCGACCAATAACATCCATAATACAGGTTATTTGAGTTCGATCGTATAAATATATAAATGTGTCGTTGAACCCGCCACCATCCCACACAGCCAACTAGTAAGGTTTGTCACGTAAACAGAACGTGCCGATTCGTCACTAGTAAAGCACATCGGTGTGTTGGAGAGCCAAGCCACAACATTTACAATCTGAGTACGACGTTTCGCCAGTAATTACAACCAGCTTCATCAGGCGGACAGCCAGATTAGTTGAGAAATCCTCCTGTTTCGTTCCTTAAATAGAGGCGTAGATGTGCGTCGAGTTTATAAACGTGGGGACCTCGGTGCTCGTGCGGTGTGACGGTCGCACGTGCCGTTTTTCTCCCACTGTGTGTGTGCTAAGGGTTACTCTGGGTGAAATAGGTGAAAAATAAAAGGATTACTCTGGGTGAAATAGGTGAAAAATAAAAGGATTACTCTGGGTGAAATAGGTGAAAAATAAAAGTCACGGCGGGCACTTCAGAGTCGTCCGTGGAGATGATTTGCACGTTCTGCCCGTTCTCCGCGGTTGTTTCCAGGAAGGCAAAAAACTTGTTTGACCTCAACGCCGCCCCGATCCTTCACTTGGCGGGATTTGAAGTCACCGTGGTCAAGGTAACGAGCATGTGCACGTGTGCGGGTGAGAATGTCTAGACTCGTGTGGGCTCTTGAATACATTCACAGACAGGCAAGTGCCATGAAGACGTTGTCTACGTGCATAGCCCTTGGTGTCGACCCACTGCTGGATGAGTGCTTCCCCACGCCGTGTGGTTTGTCGTGGTAGGGGGGGGGCATCACTTAACCATATTTCACCACACTGCTCAGTGCGGATTCGTGAAGGTGGGGAGCACAGATGTCGGAGCTGAGAAGTCGGAAACATTTAAATTTGCTGCTTCTCACACCCACACAGGCCCCGAAAACGCCTGTTTTACGTGTTCGTGGTGGCCCATCTAGGTGCTATACAGGCTAATACCTGCTTGGCTTTCACGACCGGGCGAGATCAGGTGCAGTCCCGGCACTTTGGCCGTAGGCACGTGGACTTGTGCATACTCCGAAATCTGGTTAATTTTTTTTTGTACAATTTCTATCACAAGTCTATTCTTGGCCTGTTTTTAAAAACGATTGTAGTGCAGCCGCTGCAACCACACTTATGACTTTCATCTGTGACTTGCTGCACAATTTCTTCGTGTGCATTATAAATCGGGTAATTTTTTTACCTACGATCGTCGTCTTGTTACGGTTACGGGAATTGGGAACCTTGAGGCGGCCTCTGGCGGCGCGCAGTGCGGCAGTCCGTGGCAGGAGCTGCCGACGTCTGGCACCGGGCTCGTCGGCGTCCACGGACGTGGCTTAACGATCCATATTGCCGGTGATACGTCTGTTGTTTTTTGCCGAAACGATCCCTTAAATAATCGGATTGCCCGCGCTCGTTTCCATGCTCGGCCCGCAATTGTATCGGGGTCATCCGGGGTCGTTCTGCGTCTGGCTTGGCCGAGAGGGAAACTGGCAGAGCGGCCGTGAACCGCTGCTGTCTGCGCGGGGTGGCCACGCTGCCGGCCGAGCTCTTGAGACGACGACGACGACAACGACAACAACGAGAGTTGCCGCGTTTGATAAGCACGTCGCGACGCTGGCGCGAGCGCGGTGTAACGGGTCGGCCTGTCGCCCGCAGACCGACCACGAGGGGCAGGCGCAGGACCTGCTGGGGGTGCTGGACCGCACCGACGCCATCGTGGTGGCCGGAGGGAACGGCACTCTGCTCGAGGTGAGTCCGCGGCGAAGCACGCGGGGGGACGGCCTGCTTGTGTGACGGTCAACATCGTTGGTTCGCGCGTGTTTTATACGTACGTGTGTTGAACTTCTTTCGCACTGTACGTAGCCTACCGTGCTAATCGGAGGTGCGGGATGTACGATGAGTTCACGTTACCCTTCTGGCGGCTAGAGGTGCTTACCATTCATGGCTGTGTCAAGAAGAACGGTGCTGGAATGGATTCGCCACCCTGAATGTTGTCAGTTCAGTGGATCTCTGGGGCGTCGTTCGAAACGTCCCCAAAACCAACTTCTGCCGCCGCTACTGCCAGTGCCGGGTACTAAGTAATGCGCTGGTCGGAGCGGTGGCGCACTGAGCAGTTGGACCCGGCAAACCTAAGTTCGAATCCTGGCCAGGGCTGACATCATTGGAAAGTGATATCTGAAACGGTCCTGGGCCCCCCCCTCCCCCCCCCCGTTCACAAACCTGCAGCAGTACGGTCACGACTGACTGAGGGGTGGATTGACAAAGGGGGCTGTGAATGATTATTTCTGCGCGAACCGTTGTCTGCTGGGTCTGTGTCTCTGCATTGACGTTGGCGTGAAGCGGTTGTAACCGCGATGGACGACGTTGTCCGTGTGCGCTCAGGTTGTTACGGGAATGCTGAGAAGAGACGATGAGGTGAGTCGACCGTTTGAGAACATCGCCGTGCGGGAGCAACGTTCATCATTCACTAGCAACGTTCATCATTCACTAGCAACGTTTATCATTCCCAACGCCGAATTAGTCTGGAATTAGCATTGCCAAGAACATCGAGGCACGGAGCTGTGTTTGTTTTGAGAGCAGCGATCTGGGTGCGACTGTAACCGCACCGCCCAGAATTTGCCCGATCTCGATTGGCCTCGGAGACTAAACGGGGTTGGATTGGCGAACGCCGATACGCGCCATCCTCTCCGAGGCGGCGGTGTTGCCGCGCTACGAACCCGGTGACCCGAGTATTGATTCTCGCTCACAGCCAACACCAGTGACGATTATTTGTACCGGTCCTGGGCCTCTCCTAGGTCCACTCAGCCTCATTGTATGTATGCACGTTGAAGTTCTTTTGCACCAACCGTCGTAATCGGAGGTGCGGGGGAAGGACAACAAATTAAACACAAAAAGCAGTTCTAAAGAAATTATTTTTCAATGAAATTCGTTTTCTCAAATGTGTACCTGGTGTTGTGTGTAAACATCGCCCCTGGGGAGACAAAGGCAGCCAGGCTTGGAGCTGGCCAGTAACCACATCGTGTGCCGTGCCGACCTAACTAGGAGCTCGCTAACAGCACTTGCCCCAGCACTCTTTTAAAGTTCATAATAAAGGTTTTTTTTGGGGTTAGATTGTGCCACCCGCAGGCCAATTCGTAAGGGTGGTGGTGGGCTAACGACACATTTATATTTACGCGATCTGACCCAATTAAACATTCACTATTGACACTATTGGTCGTGAAAGCCTACTACGTGTTAAACCAGTTTGTTAAATTTAACACTTGGTACGCTTTCGCGACCAATATTATTCATAATAAATGTTTTTGGGTTAGATCGCGTTAGGATGAATCTGTCGTATCCCTCCAGCACCCGACACAACCAGGAATGTTTGTCACGTCAACAATGACGCGTTACTGGTAATTACATCCCGCATCGTTGGGCGATTTGCTGGATGTAATTACCAGCGAAACGTCACGCTGTTCAAATTGTAAATGTTGTGGATTTACTCTCCAACACACCGGTGGGCTGAAGTAGTAACTCATTGGCGCGCTGTTTACGTGACAAACCCCTTACTGGCTGTGTCGGGTGGTGGAGGGTTACGACACATTCGCACTGACACGATCTAACCCTAAAACCTTGATTATGAACGGCCTGTTGAAGGTTATACGAGGGGGGGGGTGGTCTTTGTCTTTGTCAGGCCGACTTCAGTAAGATCCCCATCGGGATCATCCCGCTGGGCAAAGTGAACACCGTCGGCGGCATCGTTAACCTGCAGGAGGAGGACCAGGTCAGGTGAGCGAGCAGCAGCACCGAGACACCGAGACACCGAGACACGGTGGCCCCCACCCCACCCCCCCCACCCCCTCCCCCCGTGTGTGTGCTGGGCCCCCGCGATGGACGCCGCCGCTGCCGCGGGACGACGACGTAGCTCTGGGTCACACCGTCGTCACCATGGTCACACCGTTGCGTGGCACACACACACTTACACACACTCACTCGCGCACTCACTCACACACTCACACACTCACTCACACACTCACTCACTCGCACACTCACTCGCACACTCACACACACTCACTCACTCACACACTCGCACTCAATGGCACACTCGCACACTCACTGGCACACTTGCACACTCGCACACTCACTCACACACTCACACTCGCACACTCACTCGCACACTCGCTCACACACTCACTCGCACACTCACTTGCACACACACACTCGCACACTCGCTCACACACTCGCACACTCACTCACACACTCACTCGCACACTCACTTGCACACACACATACTCACACACTCACACACATACTCACTCACACACTCACTCACACACATACTCACTCACACACTCACTCACACACTCACTCACACATACTCACACACTCGCGCACACACTCGCTCACACACTCGCTCACACACTCGCACACACACTCGCTCACACACTTGCACACTCACTCGCACACTCACTTGCACACACACATACTCACACACTCACACACACTCACACACATACTCACACACTCACTCACACATACTCACACACTCACACACATACTCACTCACACACTCACTCACACATACTCACACACTCGCTCACACACTCGCACACACACTCGCTCACACACTCGCACACTCGCCCCCGGTGCGCTGAACGTCACGGTGCGCTTGCCTGTCCGGGAAAGTCTCGCTGAGCTCTCGTGACCTGTTCAGGAGGGGTCCTGCCGAGTTTTCGCGGCGAGGGATGATGATTTCTACGTCGATTTAAATCGAGTCATTCGTGGGTAAATGTTCGAATTTGGCAAATTGGACCCTGACGCCGGCACGCGACGGCCTACAAACACGAATGGCTTAACGGGATTTTTAACGCCGTCCGCCCCGCTAATAATCAGGGCGGCCGCTGGATTCGAACCGCGAACGTCCGCAACAAGCGGCGGGCACACTACCACTGGGCCGAGCGACGTGTGCAGCGCGCAGGCGAGTGGTTTCTGTTGTGACTTGTGCAAAAAAATAAAACATGGACATTGCTTGAAGCGGTGCCACTCTTGTGTCAGAATACGAGCGAGCGCGTGCCGTGCGGCGTGCGTGTGCGCAGGAGAATCACCAGCGCTGCGCTCGCCATCGTCAGGGGGAGCACGGTTCCCGTCGATGTCCTTCAGGTCGTGGTAAGGGCGCCTGTTTTTTGTTCTATTTAAATTATTTCCCCCCCCTAACCTCCAGTTTGTGTTCCGATTGTATTCTTGGTGTCTTATCACGAGGCAAAGGGTCCACTTGAACTGCTCGCACCGCTGTTTGGCCCTTTGCGACGAGCATCCGTGGTTTATATTTTTCTCCGATTAAAAGCACGGGGCCCTGCGGGGGGATGTGATCCGAATGTTTACTCGGCGCGCAACTTTCCGTCGATCGAGACGTGACATGGTGCGCGCGCTCACCAACGTTGTCTCCCGTGTCCGGTTGACCGCTGTGAACGGGACGGATCTTTGATCGTCGCTCAAAAACATTTCCACGAGATCCTGCACAGTACCGATCGGTGGCCGGGCGGCAAGCGCCACGTGACCGTGTTTTTTTTTTAAACGCTTTTATTTAACTCACTCTGTCTGTTGTTGTCGTTGTCGTATCCTCAAATCTTGTAACTCAATTTTAACCCACTTCCCAATGTGGTATCGACTGCAAACTTCATATACTTATGTCATACTTGTTGACAATACTATATTTTATCATTAAAAAATATATATTTAGATTTTTAAACCATCTTTTTTATATGTTATGTTTCGCCTTGGCTCTAACTGTCCACGCTCAACTCACGTTGGCTGTAAATCACCACGGCCCCTTACGTTATGGCAAGCCTCGGGGCCACTTCCCCGAGTCGTGGAGTTCTGCCATTACTCGTACGGTACATTTAATAAAAGCGTGTTTTTTTAAAAGTATTTTTAAATATGACTTGTGAAACGCAACGTTGCGTGCGCCTTGCTCCGTGCGCAGGGCGTCGAGGGGAAGCCAGTGTATGCCCTGTCGGAGCTGCGCTGGGGCAACTACCGAGACGCCCAGGCCAGCGCCCCCAGGTACCCAGGATCCTCAGTTTGTCATCTCTTCTTCTTGGTTCTTTTGGTAAAGTCACGTAGAAGTCTTCCCGACAGACCTGTTCTTCACCTGAGGACGGCTGCTTGCGTTGTGGCCGAAACGTCGTGAGAATTATTTTATGCTGTTTTATTTTTATTATTTTATTATTTCCCTTCTACGTGACTTTACCGAAAGAACCAAGAAGATGAATCCCTGCAGTCACGAAAGCTTTAAATCGAAATTTTGTCGTCTCTTCCTCGCACCTCCGATTTAGCGGAGAAGATCCCTCGCAGTACCGCACCCACAACCGTCTGGTTTGACAGCTGTGATCTTCTAGTAACGGAGTACGCTCATACCTGTTGTTGTTGTGCAGGTACTGGTACCTTGGCCCCTTGAAGAAGGTGGCCTCCTACTTATTGAGCACCTTCCAGGTACGTACCCGGTGGTCGTCACTCAGCGACTCATTCCGTCACAATCCTTAGCGTCGTGTGGCTTGTGGCTGTTTTATGCGCGGCGTTATGAGCACAGTCACAACGCGCGGGGAGGCAAGCGGTACAAACAAGAAGAGCAACAAGAATTGCTGGAGGCCTTCTTCAGGCTGTCGCAATCCCTCGCGTTCTTGCGGTGGAACAATCCGTCCGCCTCCTGCACACGAGCAGATTTTGTCGCGAGGTGGTGAACATCTTGCCACGGTGACGAGATGTTAACTACCTCGCCTGGGATACAGGAGGTTGTCGGTTTGATCCCGACCCCCTGGAGCCTGCTGTATATTTGGAGTTTGCGTGTTCTCTCTCTCTCCCCGTGGTCGCTTGGATTTTTCTCTAGGGTGCTCCGGTTTTTCCCCTCCGCATTTAGAATCAACAACGCGCGTTCAGAGTATTTGGTTGCTGTAAATTTCCACGTCATAAGCCACTTTCATTGAGCTATCACTTGTGGCCAGGTTACTTTTGAATAAGAGCTACGTGGTAAAATAAAAAAAGTTTAGTTGGTTTCATCTCGACGGTGGACGTACGTTGCGGGCGTGCCCCCCCCCCCCGCCCCCTCTTGCTGCCACTGCCATTCGTCTCAACCACCGGCCAAGTGCGCCAAGTTTTAGTTGACGTCGGTTCGGTGTCTTTAGCCCGCGTACGTTCTCCAATCCGTGCGTTCCTCTGCGTCGGTGAGATTCCAAGCGTTGCACCTCCTCCACGCTTCTTGGTGCGCTGTTCAGTTTCCTTCCCTGTGACTCGTCAGCGTCCAACCGTCCGATCCGTGTCAAAGCAGCTGATTGAGAACGTTGTGAAAATTCGCATTCAAGTGTGCAGTTTTGTCACGAGCCTTAATTTACATAAAAAAAAAAGCTTGCTCTTTCACCACGGGTACATTCACGTGTGTTTGGTGTGCGAGGTCCTAGGTCGACTCAGCCTTAAACAGGTACCTGCTGTGGTGTGCAAGCATTTGCACTGGGAGAGACAAAAGTGATTGGACGTGGTGCTGGCAACCCCCACCCCCTAGTGCACCCTGCCGGCCTTACATCGGTGCTGCTCGACAGCGGCACTTGCCTCGGCCGTCTGTTGGGGCTACACGGGGGATCTTTGTCTTTGTACGCTTCCCTTTCAGGAGTGGCCTCCGAGCCGCCATGCCCTCCTGTCGTACGCAGAGCCAGCGGAGAGGCCCGAGTATGTGGAGGAAAGCCCCGGCCCAGTGCCACGGGCCTCCCTGTGGAGGAGAATCTACAACAGATTCCTTCGACTGCAGGAGAGTAAAGTGCCAGGTGGGCTCCCCCACACCCCCGGACACCGCCACACTCGCCACACCGCAACACTCGCTACACCGCCACACTCGCTACACTCGCTACACCGCTACACTCGCCACAGTCGCGACACTCGCGAGGCCGCGACACTTGCCACACCGTCACACTCGCTACACCGCAACACTCGTCACGCCGCTACACTCGCTACATCGCAACATTCACTACGCCGTGCATTGCTCACGTGTAGCACAGTGAGCGGTTATAACTCTGCATCCACCCCCCCCCCCCACGTCCTACCTTTTCACCAGACCACACTTAACACCAAGACTGTGGCGTAGGCCGTCGCCCTGCGGCGATTTGACCATTGTTGATAATGACGAAGCGTGGATTTACGTGTTGTCAAATGTTCCGCTTTGTCCGATTTTGGTGAAAACGACAAATTGCCAAGGCAGTGAATCGTTTCGTCAGATTCACGTTAGTTATGTCCGTGATAATGACACATTTATAAATAACGCGATCTAAACCCAAAAACGTTGATTATGATTTATATGCTTAATACAATGTACAAAGTAATATATAGTATCGTAATTGTATAGTAAACATATAGCAGTGTGATACACATTAAGGTGGGTAGAATAATACATAGTGTTATATTAAAATGTATAAGGTATAGGGTGGTTTATAGCAATACAGTATATAATTTAATGTTGGGTTTATCTATGGCAGTATATAGTACGGTGTATGCTCGTGTGATGTAAGAGAATAAAGTTTAGATGGAAGCATATTATATAATTTTTACGACGTAGAATTGTAATGTATTACTTGCTGTGAGTAACTCAGCTTATTGTAGAGTATAGTAAGTATACTGATGGTGCTATGCAGTTTATACTTTAGTTTTTTATGTAGTTTATACTTTAGTTTTCTACGTGGTTGTTTAGTAACTGCAGCTACATACTATTAACATTCCTTTCCTTTGTTAATGCTACTCCCTGCACCCTCCCTTGGTGCTTCTGATCCTGCATAATGCATGGGCATAATATGACTTTGAAACCCCCCCGCCCACCTCCTACGCATTTCCCATGAATATGCTAAATTCCTCTTCATATGCACATTCTTTTTGTTAAGGCGCTCTTCTTGCACTTCCAACTCAGCGTATATATAAGCGCCTAGCTTGATAGTGTCTCATTCTTCACCTGAAGACGGCTGCTTGCGTTGTAGCCGAAACGTCGTGAGAATTATTTTATTATGTTTTATTTTTATTATTTTATTACTTCCCTTCTACGTGACTTTACCGAAAGAACCAAGAAGATGAATCTCTAGAACCATTCAACCGGTGAACAGTGCGGTTTTAGACATCCTGACGGGGCTCTCAAGATCCTGTTGCGTCGTTGGGTGCTCGCCCAGTGTGGGTCTGCTGGGCGACGGAGCGAGTTTACGCCGCGGCTGTACGGGCGGCTGTGTCGTGTGCCCTCATTGTGCAGAGAAGCCAGTGGAGGAGACGCCACCGACCGAGATGGAGATTTCCTCGATGGAGGTGGTGATCAGCAGCCTTAACACCGTGCTCGATCTCAAGGTTTGTGGACATCCCCCCCCCCCCCTCCCGCGTCTCCCTCGTTTCTGGGTCAGCGTCTGCATTCCTGCTCCACGATTGCAACATGCAAATGACCCGGTGGCTTTATGAATGATAATTTTTGTTGTTGTTAATGTGCGAATAATGTCACTTTTAAACAAAAAAGTTGAATAAAACACAATCAAGCCAAGCATCATATGATACATCAACCGGTCAGTCAGGTGGTGGTGGGGGTTACTGGAGGTTCGGGTCGCAAGCGGAGCGTTGTGAAGAGCCCTTCGTCCAGCAGTGGCTGCCAACTATTGTTTTTAGAACAATTCACCAAAAAAATCATCAATCATCACAATAACATTGTGACCTTAAAAGTAGAAATATCTAAAAGCAGATGTTTGGGGCAATAGCACGTAAATAATATATTACAACTATTAGGAGCGTTTAAAGCGTACGTATTTTGGTGACGCTTAAACAACAAGTTGCTTTGTTCTGACATCCCAACAGAAGCCAGATGCGGTGGACATCGTTCTGATGCCTTCCGCCGTCACAAAGATGGACTTCATTCGTGCAGGGTGAGCGAGGTTGCGGCTGGTAAACGTGAAAAGGCGAAACCCCGCGGCGCGTCGCGAGGACTTGAGTTTGAGAAACCGCTGGAGTTGGGTCGTGAGCGTGCGGAGGACACGGCAGTGATGGCGTTCGTTCCCCTCGCAGGATGCAGAAGGAAAACGCAGTCTGCGAGGACTCCACGAAGCTACAGGCCAAAGAGGTTTCTCTCAAGCCGCAGGTGAGGGAGGGTTGCATGATACGTGCGACCACATTGCTGCTTAAAAGAGATTTAATTAAATCAAACTCCTCAAGACACCCGCGGCAGCAACGCGAGCGCTTGAGGAGAAACGGGCAACCCAAACCGGAAACCACGCACTTCAAAGATACGTTGTTGGCATGTAGTTAATTAATGACATTGTTCTTATCATGCATGCCATAGACAAGATGCCAGTCAGACCACAAACATAGCAGAAGTCACCTCTTCAATGAGATGGCTCCACTTGGCTACAGTGCCTAGATAATTGCAAGATTATCTTCAAACTCTTCCACTCTGTTGTTTAGTCTTCACACAAATAAACAGAGCCATAATGTTTTGAACAGAAATAATATTAGAAATAAACCTTCGTTAACTATTAACATGGAATATTTAGGAGTGAACACATATGGAATGTATGCATAGTTGACGTGTTTTCAGAATGTCACTTAACATTATAGGCGTACCAAAAACTCGTTCAACAAAACAACAATGTGCTATTGAAGCAAATGGTAATTTCGAATGATGTTATACTACAGAGTATAAGTGTATTGTACAGCGAAAGAGCCGTGCAGACTTGCAATAGCTCATGCCACTGCTGCCAGAATGGCCTCCATAGAGGGAGTTCTAGAGCCCCATGAATAGAGGGAGTTCTTTGGCCTACTCTTCTAAACTGGCCAATCGTCTCGGAGGTGGAAATACTCGCACTTTCCCCAGCAAGCGTCACCTGCCGATCGGCTGCGGTTGTGACCAGTTACACTGCTGGGAGATGGACAGAGGCGGGGAGATCTGAGAAACTTGCAGCAATTTCAAATCTAACACAAGCAACCTCTGGATTGCACGCCCAGTGCGCTCGCCGTAACACCACAGCAAGTGTGACTGTAACGTTGTAAATGAGATGGTTTGTTGCGAATGTGAAGGAGAACGCCTTTTTAAAAATCCTTTATATTAAGTTCACTTGCTTGCTTACGACCGTGCAAATCTTTCGGTCGTTTTTTAACCCACTTCCCGTGATCCAATCGAGCTGACATTTTGCACACAGACTCGTTGTGCGTGACAATTAATTTTCGTGAAAATTTTTTTCAAAAATTTTACTCTTTTTAGGAAAAAATAAATTATATTTAATTACCAATTGCTTAATGGTGGCAGCCATCTCAAGCCAGAGGACGAGAGGACTCTAGCCGCCACGCATAGAAAGGATTTATAGTGAAAAACTTTGTTTTTACGGGTTAATTTTTCGTCGATAAGCTAGTGACCTCTTCCGGTTGCCCAGCGTTTGACGTGCTGGACGGGTCTGCCCCCCCTCCAGGTGCAGGATGGCTGGTTCAGCATCGACAGCGAGGAGTACGAGGCGATGGACGTGCAGGTGCGCGTGCTGCCCTGGAAGCTGAAGCTCTTCTGCCACAGCTCCATCCGTGACAAGCTGCTGCAGTGAATTTGGTCGCAAGTCTGCCGACTTTGTAAAATTGTTCGCGTTTCTGTGTTCGTTTTACGAGTGTGAACAAAATAAAATCCGTACAATCGAGTTGTGAATTGGGAGTTGAAATAAGTAAAGCGGACGCCGTTCTGGCAAGACCAGTACTTGCAAAGTGGAGTGGACAAATTAAATGTCCAATAAACTGTGTAAATGTCATTATGCCTATTTACATCACACATGATTTGAAAATGCCCCCGTATTAGGTTGCCATGCCATTGTGGTTTACATTGTACAAGTTTTAACAATTGCAGATTGAAACATGTTATATTCACCATTCCATTTGATGTAAATGACATTGTGAAGGAATATTTTTGGAAGTGGACAGAAGCGAAATAAAGTGAGAACATGAGCAGAATGTTTCTTGCGTGGAACAGAGATGTCGGTTTTCTGGCAATCGTTCCTGATCCGTGATTTTAAGCGAAAATGGTCAACACAACACATCACTTGTTTAATTTACGCTATGAGACCTCCTTTACCAGTGGCAAAATATTTAATATATGTAACCTTGGCATTGTCACGGTTACACATATCAATACAAGTGTTCTGTAGCTGCACCTTCAAGGCTACCAATTCTACCATGGAATGACTTCAAATGAAATAACACATTTCAACTCGAGTAACAGTAGCCGAGAGAACAATGCATTTACAAAGCTCCTTGGATGGTTCAACGCACGCCTGCTACATGCCATTTAACATGTAAACATTGACAAGTTACGGGACCATTCGACTTTGCTCATGACTAATGGGCGTGGGTTGCGATGCCGTCGGGGGGGCTTCACATTTCAGCTGGGGTCTGCCTGTGGCTCGCTGACCAAGATAATATTTCGGCAGCCGCCACACCGCACCCAGTATATACCTCTTGCCATGGCTGCAGGTCGCGTGCCAGCTCCTGGTCTACCGCGATACAGAAAACATTGAGAGAAATGAAGGTCCTGGATGCAGTAGAGTGGCAACGGTGGATGAGGAGGAGGGTGACGCCAGGGAGCGATGCGAATGTCGCCCTAGTAGGTGCCGTTGGCGTGCATATCGCGAGTCATGTCATGCTTGTCACTGACGCGCGCCTGCAGCAGCATGTGCTCCACGACCCCCACGCGCACGTTCATGTGCTCCGTCTCCTGCTTGAGGCGGGTGAGGGCCTGCTTGATGCGCACCAGGGGCCCTGTCCCAACAGAAACCGCACGCGCCGCTTTGCGTTACGGGGAGCAGTTCACGTGGCTGGGAGGGGGGGGGGGGCTACCTTGGCCTACTCGGTGCACGGTTGGCACTGCATCGTTCGGTTTGTTTGGCACCATGTCCAACGTTTTGCTCCACGTGCTGGGAGCTTCTGCAGGAACAGTGCTCTCCTATCGGCAATGGTGACAACCCCATGCATCGCGTGCACACTTGGGACAGTCTTGCTCCGGGCGACTTGAGCATCTACGGGTAGCAGCTTCGGCTCATGGGTAACAGGTAATCATCCAAACCAAGGACGCTTGGATGCCCTCTCGGATGTGAGCAGCAATATATGTGGATTCCATTCCACACGACCTCACAACGCATGTGCGGCATGCTTGTTCACAGTAAGTAAATGTTCACCAGCGCAAACGCTGCATTTGTAGTGGTGGAAGCGGGTCTAACCCGATAACGTCACATCGGTCTGCTCCCTACGGGCCTTCACAACATGCCAGGAGGGGTTACCAGCCCTGCACACAAGGTCCCTGACTGGTGGGCAGAGGGGAGTTGTGAGTCCAAGACCAGGCGGGTGCACAGTCAAGCACAAACCGAGCGTCTGTGTGGTACTGCACTGGCCATCGTGAAGCTCAAGGCGGTGGACGGTGATGTCGGGGAAGAAATGGTCCACCGCTTGGCCGATTTCTTAAGTAGAGGTTGCGTATATGCATGCAACACCATGTATACATGTACACACAGCTATGCGTGCAGCAATAAACTATCCACACTCACCTCCATCAGTCATGCTGCTTCCTCTTTCCTCCATGTCTTGTTTCACCTTTTCGAGCTCTTCTGTGATCTAAATTGTGAAAACACGCACTTATTTAATGTTGTGTTTAAAGTATAAATGAGCATAGAATACAAAATGGAGGTTCTTCAATGGCACACCGAAACATTCAATATTCTTCGGCTTATTCTGATACTGTATCTAAATCTCAATCGTTTATATAAATAGATTAAACTTACCACTGGACAACACAAGACCAGCACCACTCACTCATGACTCTTACATTACTAACACTGCCCATGCTGATCACTCGTCATACACACCACTCATGCCACTTGATATCAACTCTCACCTTTCACACAAACATCTCCACTATGTCGTCACTAAGCCACCCCTCAACAGGTTCCACCCAATCACTTCCCCCCCCCCCCGCTCTTTCACCCCTCTCACCCATCTTGGCAAAATGACAATCTGATAACGTATTTCAGTTAATTTGATGGTTAGCGACGGCTATCAACGAGCAGGCGTTCTGAATTGCTGACTCTGGTTCGGAAAGGTTCAATTACGATGCTTGCCATCCATTTAGAAATTGCGTGCGGGAAGTTCTGAGCATTGCAACGCACACCTTAGCATTTGTGAGCGAGTGAGCGTGCGTGCGTGTCCGTGCGTGCGTGCGTGCGTATCCATGAGCGTGCATTTTCGTGTGAGCGAGCGAGCGTGCGTGTCCGTACGTGCGTGTCCGTGAGCGTGCGTGTTCGTGCGTGTTCGTGCGTGTTCGTGCGTGTTCGTGCGTGTTCGTGCGTGTTCGTGCGTTTTCGTGATTGAGCGTGCGTTTTCGTGTGAGCGAGCGAGCGTGCGTGCGTGTCCGTGAGCGTGCGTGTTCGCGTAAGCGTTCGCGTAAGCAAAGGTGAATGGACAATGTTTGTCTCGCAAACCTCGGCAAGCGTCTGCGCTCGTTCGGTCACCCCTCCACTGCCCTGCCGGTACTGATCCTTGACCTGAAAGCAACAGCACCGTGTCACTGCCACTGTGAAACCATCGTCATTTGCAGCAAGTTTCACTCTCGCCTCTCATATGTATATTTCCACGTGCCCTTTCAGCAATCCCGCTGCTGTATGGCGGCCTTCCCACGCCATGCGAGTCGCGGGAGTTACCTGGCCGTATTTCATCATGCTGGTTAGCGCGAGTTGGTGAAGGCGGAGAGAGCATGAGATGCGGACGCACAGTGCAGTACAACAATGGATTTGCTGCGCTGCCCTTTGCTGCCCTTTGCTGCTCAGCGTCGCCCCGCAAAAGCCGACGGCATCCGCTCGATGCACGGCAGTGGCCCCATCCAGGCTTAATTCTACTTGGGTTCTGAGATTCCTTAAAGGCTGAACAAAAAATTCAGCTTCCCGCTCGGCATGGAAGGTTTGCAGTCAATTGGAATGCACATCGCAATCATCGCCTCTTCTTCGCAATCACCGCCTCCTTCTACGAAGAACTTGGCAGGATCCTGCTGACAAGGAGTCGTGAGACGACTATCCTGGGTGAACGAGCGTACGAATTTTAATCGGCAACGTAATGCGAGTGCCCTGCTGTCATACCGCCTCCGGTTCTAACATTGTTGCTCCAAGTGCACCTTCACATTTAGTAAACACGTAAACCTTCTTAATCCCAAGTTGTATCTTCCATTCGCCGTTTGGTTAAATGTTGCATTGGATTACCTTCTGTAAGAATGAAAACAACTGTTTCGGACTGGCATCACCGTTAATCTGGAACAAGCATTGGAGCTATGCACTTTTAAATCTAGATTGAAAAAGTAATTTCTTTAGAACTGTATTTTGCGTTCAGTTTGTTGTCCTTCCCCTGCACCTTAGCTAAGTAGGGTGCGAAAGAAGTTCACACGTACATACATGAACGCTGGGTCTGGCATGAGTGCCAGGGCTGGTAGTGTAAGTTGATTAGGGGGATGGATGTCCTTGCCTGCGCCAGCTGCTGCTGCAGTGTTTGTCAAGGGGGTAGTGCCCAGGACTTTTTCAGACATTACTTTCCAATGATGTCAGCCGTGGCCAGGATTCGAACTTAAGTTTGCCGGGTCCAATTGCGCAGGGCGCCACCGCCCCGACGAGCGCATTACTCAGTACCCGGCACTGGCAGCAGCAGCAGAAGTTGGTTTTCGGGACGTTTCGAACGACTCCCCGGAGATCCACTGAACTGACAACATTCAGGGTGGCGAATCCATTCCAGCACCGTTCTTCTTGACACAGCCATGAATGGTAAGCACCTCTAGCCGCCAGAAGGGTAACGTGAACTCATCGCACATCTCACACCTCCGATTAGCACGGTTGGCTGCGTACGGTGCGAAAGAAGTCCAACAGACGTACGAACATTAACACTGGGGCTGGCATGAGTGCCGGGGCTGGTGGTGTAAGTTGATGAGGAGGAGGGGGGAGGGGCCTTCCTTGCCTGCGCCAGCTGCTGCTGCACGGTGCGGTACTGCTGGATGAGACCCTCGAGCTGTGCGTTCATGTACTTCTCACGGCTCGAGATTTTCTCCAGAGTCCGAGACATCTCCTCTTGCAGTCGCTCCAGCTGACCCTGAGATGTCGAGACAAAAAACAAAGATCCCCAGCGTAGCCTTAACATACTGTCGGGGCAAGTGCTGTTAGCGAGCAGCACCTATGAAGGCCGGCCCAGTACATGAGGTAGTCGGTGGTCAGCACCACGCCCAGCCACCTTTGTCTCCCCAGTGGTGATGTTTACACACTGCACCAGGTACTCATTTGAGGCTGAATCGACCTAGGGGAGGAGGCCCAGGACCGGTTCAGATAATTAATCGTCACTGGTGGTGACCGTGAGCGGGAATCGAACTCGGATCACCAGGTTCATAGCGCAGTGCGCTAACCACTACACTACCGATAGAGAGACACACACATGCACAGATTCACTTACAAACGCACCAGCACATGTACCAACAATTATTCCTCAACACATGTACACGGACATAAAAACCCGTGCATTTAAGCCAACAATAATATTAATTACAGCCCTTTATTAATACACTGCTCGATGTCATGTCATTCATGAGGATTGTTTGACCTTACTTCACCATGCTGGTCATATCAGCAGGTTGATCAGGGTGTGCATGCTCAGGACTGGTTCAGACATCACTTGCCACTGATGTTAACTGTGGTCAAGAATCAAACTCTGCTCTCCGAGTTATTAGCGGAGTGCACAGACCACTGCCACCACTGCTCCACGCATCTGCAAATCCATACATGTTGAGTACACAACATACAAAAGTGGGTCACTGCCTGTACACACCAATTCCCACACACATCAGTATATTGACTGCACCATTGATCGTTTTCGTAGATACAACAATGTTAGTATCAAGTCAGGTTGTGTAACTTCAGAATGTGTGTGTTGTGTGTGCGCACGCCTGTGTGTCTAGACGCAAGCGCGTACATAAACAAAACAAACCTTGCTGTCCAGAAGTGCCGAATCGATTCCCTGACGATGTTGGTGCATCTGCTCAATATGAGATCGCCAGTCCTAAGGGTGGACACGATCAGGCATAGATCACTCTCAGGGTAGCCTTGTTCCCAAGTCGACCTGCCAATTGTGTAACTGCAGAACACACGTGGTTCATTCAAAATATATGGTGATATGTAGCAACGCTCGGTGGACTTATTAGGAACCCGCTGGAGGTAGGCACGTTTAAATCTCGATTAAAAATGTATTTCTTGCTTTTTGTGTTTAGTTTGCAGCTTTTCCCCCGCACCTCCGATGAGCACGGTTGGCTACGTACGGTGCGAAAGAAGTTCAACACGCAGTCAACAATCACGTTTTTTACTCCATTAAGCCACCTGGATGTCTAAAGCCTGTGCCCTGGCCCCCAGATGCTGCCCTGGTGGTTGCTGCCCCAGCTATCCCTGGGGATTTTTAGTGAAAGCTCCCAGACACCCCCTGACACTGCCCTGTTGCTTGTCGATACAATACTGGCTGGTCCGGGTGCACCCCTTGGCTCGCTGTTATGTATATATGTTGAACTTCTTTCGCACCCAAAGTTGGCAACAGGGGGAAGCACAACAAACTAAACACAAAAATCAGTCCTCAAGAAATGAGTTTTCAATTTGGATTTAGAAGTGTACAGCTCCAGGGGCTTCCTATTGGAAGAGCGTTCCAGACGGCCGCAGAAGCGCATCTGAAAGCGCGCGATTTGTTCGACGCGTTAGACAAAAGCCGCTGCTGCGTGGATAACCGCAAACAGAAGGGTTTTGAGGGTGGGCCCCGGTCGCTTCGTCCGAGGCTGTCCTCTCTCCCGTGTTTCCCTGCCCCGATTGCCCCCCCACCCCCCCCACCGGCCTTTCTATCCCAACATGAAGCGTCTGGAGACGCGGTCGCATTCAGGCGCCGCGCGCGTCGAATTTCTCATCGTGTTGAGAGGGAGTTAAAACCTTGTGGTCGCTGCGCACGGTGACCCGCAGCTGAGGGAGGATGCGCTCCAGCTCCAGGCTCCACGCTGCTGCATCGGTCTGAGACTCCAGGACGTCGGCCCCAGGTGTCTCCTGTCCGTCGCCAAACCGCCACAACCGCCCAACGTCATTACACAGCAACAAACTTGATTTACAATTGTAATTGGTAATTTGAAAGTTTGAAAACTGCTATTCAAAGGCTTCCACCACCCGACATGGCCAAACAGTAAAAAATGTGTCACGTTTTTCAAAGGACAAAATAATTCACTTCTTTGTCCTTTGAAAAACGTGACACATTTTTTACTGTTTGGCCGTGTCGGGTGATGGAGGGTTACGACACATTTATAAATAACGCGATCTGACCCAAAAACCTATATTATGAATAATATTGGTCACAAAAGCCTACGTGTTAAATTAATCAAAGGCTATTTTTTGTATTTACTTAGGAATGTATCGTCATGTATATATGTCACGTTGACATCCTTTCGTCAATACACTGCTCGATGAAGGCTTCTGCATTGATGGTCATTGGGGTTTGTTTGACCATACTTCACCACGCTGGTCAGTATGTTTTGGTGAAGGGTGGGGCCCAGGACTGGTTTATAAATCACTCACCAATGATGTTAGCTATGGCTGGGAATCAAGCTCAGGTCACTGGGTTCATGGCGCAGTGTGTGCCACCGCGCCACCCCACGCATATTACAGACGTCATGGAAGGGCATATTTGTGGATGTTGTGACCAGAACAACACCTGTCTGCGAATTGTCTCCCCAGTGATGATATGCACAAATCACACCAGATACCTACTTAAGGCTCAGCTGCCCTCAGAGAGGCACAGGATAGATCTGTACACCACTTTCCACAGTGGACATCTGGGAAAAAGATCTTCAGAGCTCATCGGATTCCTACAGTCTAAATACAAATTCTGATTCTGGTAAAAGATATGCAGGCTGGCAAACACGCGACATTGCACAGAGTGTTGTTAGGAGAGCTGCACACACACATACCTGTTTCTTGCTCCGAATCTTGTCCAAGTCGAGCAAGTTTTCATCCTCCTCCTCATCTTCATAATCATCGACATTCCCCTGTTGTACACAGGCATTATTAACATCACTCAATTAACATGAACATGGACCGCACTTTTACAAATCCCCTGCTGGCTGAGGGCTTCTCCACGGCGTGCGGCGAACAGAATTATTCGGAAAGATACACACACACACACCCCGGCGCTTTCTTCCACTTTATCAAGAGTGAGCTCGGAGTCATCAATCACGATCGCCTCATCTTCCTGCACCTCCTCTGGATACAGCGGCCTGTGGGGGTGAGACAAGAATAAGGTGGTCCACTCTTATGATAAATAGAACTACGAACGATTTCATAGGTTTTGGCCTAAACCTGAACAAGAAAATATCGACAATTTAATTAAATCTTTCTTGTAGCCAGATAATCATCCACGGAACAACAAATCTCTTTTGCAGGAGAGAGACTCACGGACAAAAATTAAATCAAGGCATATTTTGCATTCGAATAAGCTGACCAAGCACAGGACGACTAACAACAGTTGCTTCACTAATGAGATGTTCACTTCGCAGTGAGTTTACATGGAATATGATGAAGAGATGAGCCGGAGTAGCTGAAGCTGACCGCGCCGAAACTAAATAGATTTCCCCAATTTTATCCCAATTATGGGAATCGTATCAACGTCACGTCATGGGACAGAATCAGCTCGGATCTCTCACCGAGCAGTGTAAGTTGTTGTTGTGTCAGAGTTGGGCACACAGAAGTCGATAGCACAGAGCCACCTGCGAAGCCCCTTCAAGTGACCTCTGGTCTACACAGCGGCTGATTCCACTTGGAACAGAATTTAATACAATTGTGCATTTTAAGATTGGTTTTGTGCACAGTGGTAATATGGCTGCGTGTAACATAGCAAAGCACAGTACATTTGCCATGCGAAGTTGCTGTGCGTCAGTGCGGCCTCTGCCAACCGATCCAGGGTGTAGCATACGAGCTCCCCACAGCCCGTCTTGAGCCGCGACGGAGGGAAATCCACCGCAGCTCCCTATAAACGCACACAAGAACACCGCAGCATAAATACATGATGTACGTTCACATGCAATTCTGCCACGGGAATCATGACATGAGACAAACATTTTTGGTGTTTCCATAACTTCCACATATTGTCAGAGAATGATTCCAGAAGGGTGACTGTGACCATTTTACAATGTGTGTGAATGCAACCCTTTTGTGCTGCTTATTTCTATTTATCGGTATTCAAACGTGACAGTAATATGTTGGAAAGTACAGTTAAGTGCTTATGCGTAAATAATATCATAATTTAGACATTGTTGGATGAAGGCCTCTATAATCCCGTGTCAGTAATGGGAGTTGTTAAATCATAATTCACCACATTGGTCAACGTGGGTTGGTGAAGGGTTCGAGGCCCAGCACTGGTTCAGTTAGTCGTGGCCAGCAAATCAAGCGCAGGTCACCGGTGCCGTAGTGTCGTGCAGCAACCACCGTGCATGCTACCCCTGAAACCCCATGATTAAGCGTCAATTAATGACATGTAGATTTGAAGCTTTCGTGACTGCAGGAATCCATACTCTTTGGTTCTTTCGGTAAAGTCACGTAGGTATAAGGTTTGAAAAACCTTTAAAACAGTCTGCATCAGCAGCAGGCCATGCTTTCCCACCTGATGACGGACGCTTGTGTTGCGCCCGAAACTTCGTGATTTATTTTATTTTTATACCTACGTGACTTTACCGAAAGAACCAAAGAGTATAGTAATGACATGTAATAATTAACATGCACAAATGAAATGACATGGCGCGGGGAGGCCTTCATCCGGCAATGGATCGATAAATGCCTTCTAATTATTGTTACCATCATCGTTATCCAAGGCATGCGTGTGGTTACCGTGTTCCGCAGCTCTGTGAGGATGCGCGCCAGCGTGGCGTTGGGGTCATCGTGCTCGTGTGGCGCTTCGAAGGGCCGTCCTGCCTGATTGATCAGCCAGCTGGCTAGTGATGCAAATGCATGGAACTGCTCGCCTGGATTAGTGGCCAATGCAAAGTAATGCCTGGGAAATGACAAAACAGCACAGCTTATAATTGACGTGTAAAATTAAAAACAAATTAAACCAAGGACTGAAATTGTAATGGAGAATTTATTGTGTCTGTTCTGCTTGTAAGAGAATGGCTCACTGCATACTTTTGGAGAGAAATGCACCAAGTAGTAACCAGTGGCACCCCGAAAGTGTTCCATTCCAATGTTTCACAACTCCAGTCCTCGTGACCACCCAAAGTCCACCTTTTCGTGATTTCCAGTCTTTTCTACTCATCCAAATTAAGCCACTGCACACACTGCATGCATCGGATTGTTGGTAATCATGGAAAGGTGTACAATTTGGCGTTACGAGGACTGAAGTTGGGAATCACTGTTCTATACCACATGCGCCCATCCTCTATACCCCATGCAATGCCCGTTTGTTCCTCCCTCCAACAGTCGTACGGTTTGAATATTACTGATAACGCAAGACAATTCTTCTTCCACCTCCAACCCAGCTTATAAATATGCTAAATTCCTCTTGATATGCAAATTATTTTGTCAAGGCGCTCTTCCCCCCTCCAACCCAGCTTAAAAAGACGCTCCAAGCCTGGGGTTGTCATTCAGACTCTTTCTTCTCGACAGACCTGTTCTTCACCTGAGGACGGCTGCTTGCGTTGTGGCCGAAACGTCGTGAGAATTATTTTATTATGTTTTATTTTTATTATTTTATTACTTCCCTTCTACGTGACTTTACCGAAAGAACCAAGAAGATGAATTCAGTTTTGATTTATACGGCATCTAAATAAAACCGCATTTAAGACGCTGCACAAAATAGTAGAACATGCGCAGTAGGGAGACAACTAAAATTGGGAGGTATATACAGCAAAATGACAAGTTGGACACTTAATAAATCTATCCGATTAAAACTTGACATAATGGGTGGCAGCAAGGAGTAAGACAATGTGCAACGTCACTAAATATGCTGACATGTCTGTGTGCCTTGCCTGGAGAGAGGCTTCATGTTGTGTTGTTTGAGGAAAGTCTCTTCGTATCGAAGGAGCTTCAGTTTATCGCCGAGTTCCTCCATCGTGAGGAACGCCTGATGTGCGGTCCCTGGTCCATGCTCACTCTCCGTCTCGTCCATCTGCGCGAGACACAAAGCATCTTTCCACTGGCCTCTGTGGGCTGCGCGGTCAGCTGACCAGTGCCACACATACATGTTCGGATGAGTGTTTGTTTTTGACTTGTGGATGACAAACCAGGTTTCAAAACCAGCTCTGGGATAATTTGAGATATTACCTCATCCATTCAATCGAGGGACAAAGTGTGCAGCACCTTAATTACATTTAATTAAGGCGACTCCCTCGGTCGATATACAAGCAGCTTGGTAGATTATGCAAGCAGGAAGCTGTGTACAAGAGCTCAGCAGACTGGGTCACAAGCAGGACTTGAGAGAACTTGCTGCTGCTGCTCAAGTGCAAAGGCGTGGAGGGGGGGGGGACCTGACCGTTCAATTGATTGCAAGCGACTGAATTGTTTATATGTGGACATCTGTGCAACCAGAAAAGTCAACATATAAGCAGGCAATTAAGTTGATCGTTTATACGGCGCAAGATGATCCGGCTTCTAACATGATCCGGCGGTCCCGGGCCGATCCGGCAAAACCTCTCCACCAGTCCGTCGATCGGCACCATGCAGCGTGACAAAACAAAGCAGCTATGCTTGATTTCAGTGTTAAATATTATGTACGGTACATTATACACTACATACAACTTAAACAATGAAAATACTGCACGTGTATATACATAAGCCCATGCAGAGTCGTCAAAATTGGAGTGGTAAGTACGGTAAAGTAACTTTTTAAAGGAGGATACGTGTTTATTTTTGTCCATTTATGCCAATTTAACATAGTAAACACATTGAAAAGGGGAAAAAAACCACCTAAAAACATGTCATCCAAGAATGTAAAAAATAAGCTATTTTAAACTATGATGATGTAGTGATTATCCGACGTTTTTGTTAAATTAGGCGCTTCCTCCTTCCCCCCCCAAAGCCGCTGGACAACCGATGATCTCTGTAAGTTGCCCAACTGATCGCTCTGGCGTGTATCCACCTTAAAAGGACACTGCCTGAATTTTCCGAACAAGACGACACAGCTGCTGGGAGAACAGCGTAGGGACATCACGACCTTGCATGGCTCGCAAACCGAGTGGCGGGGCTGCTTCGACATTCTCAACCGGGTGACAGCGAGGAGGAGAGCCTCGTGGGCTGTTCTACAAACAAGGCGGGTGAATGGAGGTGCTGAAGCAGCCACCAGAGAGGAGGATGGGGGGGTAATAGCAGGCCTGAACAGTCACCTTTAGCAGAGGGGATTATACTGGTAGGGACCTCCTGGTTACACCAGTCCACAGGGGATTATTGTGTCCGTCCGTCGTGCAGGGAGGGTGGAGAGGGGCTGGGTGGGGAGGGTGGGGCTGGGTGGGGGTGGGAGGGGTGGGGCTGGGTGGGGCTGGGTGAGGGAAGGGAGGGGTGGGTCTGGGTGGGGAGGGGCTGGTCACCCCGTGGTGCCCTTATAAAACTCAACGTTTAACCTACTCACGCCGGCTTGTGCCCGCCCTCACAGTCGGGCATATTTGCGGAATACACCACGCCGCCGTTGACCCTGGCCATTGACCGAGCAACCCAACGTTCCTACCAGCTCCCTCCGCAGGAATGTGTTTTGTGAGAGAGTAGCGAGCAAAACCACCCTCCTCACCACGGAGCGCCTGGTGGTAGTGGTGTGTGTAGATTAAGAGTGAGCGCGAGAGAATTCTGGCCACCGGTTGCTTGTGGTTTTATTTAAAAGAGCGATAAACCCGCAGCGAAGGGCCTTGGCTATCGCTCGGCTGCCTAAACTTCTGCAAGGGTCACAATGAGCAGGAGTCGCCCCTCGACGGCGTTCAACGTCCACGTTGAACGTTCACCGCGAGAGCCTTTCGAAGGAACGGGCGGCCAGCCCTGTCACACAATCATGGACCGCCTTGCCAACTCACGGCCACCAGCGGAGGGGAACGCAGCCCAAAGGCCCGAACCCACAATAGACTCAAATAAATAACCAAACCGCTGTCACACAACAACAACAAAAACCCCAATAACAATTCGAAGTCTTCAGATTTTTATCTCCAAATATATTAAAGGCAAAGTTGTGATTATATGTGTCTGTTAAAAATGTTTAGCGTACTTCCCGACATGCAACAAACTGGAAATTTGCCATGTGGGTACTTTCCAGACTGTACACCATGCAAACATTTTTAAAATGCACTTTTTTTTTTATTTTTGTGGGGGGGGGGGGGAGGTCAATAATGCAGTTATTTTTTGCACAGCAAGTGAGCTGTGACGTCCATTCCCGCTCACGGCCACCACCGGTGACGATTATTTCAACCGCTCCTGGGCCTCCCCTAGGTCGACTCAGCCTCAAACGAGTAACTGCTGCGGTGTGTGAACATCGCCACTGGGGAGACAAAGGCGGCCGGGCGTGCTGCTGTCACCCACCCCCTCGAGATTGGGTCACAACTACAAGAGAAAATCCGTCGTGTTTTTGGGGATGGGTTGACCATTTAAATCAGTGCTCGTTTCAGAATCAGCATCTTTGTTTAGACTGCTGGAGGAGGAATCCGATGAGCTATGAAGCTCTTTTTCACAGAAGTCCAGTGGGGGGCGGGTCAGCGAGTTACAGCAGCAAACAATAAAAAAAGGATTTGAAGTTTTCGTGACTGCAAGGATCCATACTCTTTGGTTATTTCGGTAAAGTCACGTAGGTGAAAATAATAAAAATAACTAAATTAAATCACGACGTTTGTATACTTCAGCGATAGTTTTTGCTGATGACGGACGCTTGTGTTGCGCCCGAAACGTCGTGATTTAATTTAGTTTGTTATTTTCACCGACGTGACTTTACCGAAAGAACCAAAGAGTAATAAAAAAATGAGTGCAAAATAGAGAAAAGAAGATAAGCAAGTCACTAAATATAAAGCACGGGGAAGACAACAAAAACAATAAAACCAATAAAACAATAAACCAGTGCCAGCCCACGGCAACACTCAGCCCGTCAATAGCTGCGACATTAACCCTCGTGGCCACTCCACTGCTGGATGAAGGCCTCTCCCCCACGCCGAGCCGCTCGTCGGGGCTGTTGGGCCATACTTCCCCACGCCGGTGATCAGTGCACACGGGTGGAGGTGAACGGGTGAAGGTGCCAGGGGTCGACTCCGACATCATTCAGCCACTGAAGTTAGAAGTCGTCCAGAATTCTACCCACAGGTTTCATCGCCTTCTCGAAGCAGTGCCCACCGCTGTACCACGAACAAAACGAGCCACCGAGCTATCTGTAAATTGCTTAGAACACCGCGCAACTAATAATGGATCATTTTAATCTTTGTGATCATTTAAATTGTTGTAATAATTGTAATCGTTGCACTCGCTTTCATTTGCCCACAACGATAACGCCACTGGCTAGTCGAGGCAGAGCCACCGGCGTACGCGACTCGGCAGAGAGAGAGAGAGCGATGAGGAGGGGTATGGGGGAGGAGGAACCTGTGTTTGGTTCGCGATGAACGTGTTGGCGACGTCGCGTGTGAGACCAAGAGAGAGAACGAGAGAGAAAAAGCGATTAAGCCGTGAAAACAACCAGCTCCCTACCTCTTGCCGCCTCCCGCTGCTGCTGCTAGGCCGCGTTGCCGTGGAGACGGCGGGCGCCGTAGCCACGTGACCCGAGGGCGGCTCTCACACTCACCCACGTGACTTGTCGCGACACGTGGGTGCCCATTGCATACCTGTCAACCGCTTATCAGTTGCCTACCTTATTACAGACCAATTTAAAGGACGGAGAGCATTCACTCTCCGTAGGCGGATGAAACCCGGATTCAAACAACAGCAGCATTTCAATGGTTCCAACATGAACTATCAGCTGGCCTCACGTAAAATTCTGATGCAAAATACGCCCACCCGACGCTGACGATGTATGTAAGGTACTTTTATTTCAAAACAAAACAAAATTACTTTTAAAAACACATTCAAGCGATACATTGCAAATACAAATGCTCACACATTTCATTTGAGAATGACTTATTAGCTAAAACGTTGCAGTTTTTCATCCAAATCGGCAGAAATTGGTGACGAGGCATCCATTTCCCCCTCCACATTTTGGCAGCAACTTTTTTGCCAGGACATGAATCGCTCCCAAAATATTAACTCCATTTATTGATCCAAATAACTCCCCAGTTACCTTTTAATTTCATGAATGACCGCACTCTTTCCCCAACGATTTGTTTGCGAATGTACCTCAAGTAAAAACAGAACATTGTTATACTGGTTACAACAGCTCACAGGGGATTATTGTGTCCATCCGTCCGTCGTGAAGGGAGGGTGGGGAGGGGCTGGTCACCCCGTGGTGCCCTTATAAAACTCAACGTTTAACCGACTCACGCCGGCTTGTACCCGCCCTCACAGTCGGCCATATTTGCGGAATACACCACGCCGCCGTTGACCCTGGCCATTGACCGAGCAACCCAACGTTCCTACCAGCTCCCTCCGCAGGACAATGTGTTTCGACACACCTTTAACTGGACCGTACTCTAAGCTGCCACCGCTGCTATTGTTAAAGAAATGGCTCCCGCGTCACTCAGTGGAAGGTCTCTCGTTCTCCACTACTGCCTCCAACGTCTGGAACGCCATTCCCCCAAATGTCCGTGCTGTCTACACCCTACCCGTTATTGTCCAGACTCAAGACCTTCTTTGCCTCTGCCAAACAACATCAGTTCGCTACATCCCCCCACGAATAAATATGCCCGCTGTGTCTGAAGAGCATCTTTAAGATGTGGCTGCATTTAGATGCTGTTTAAATAGAAAGTGTCCTGGAGAATTCATGGCTTTAAATAAACTATAACCACAATTGTAAATGTCAGTAACGTGTACAAACAATTAAGGAAAAATGCATGTCCTTGCCAAACAATGAAGCATAATAAAAAGAAAAAAGAAACCACAAATCAAACAAAAACACTTAAGAATTGGCATTGAAAATAAATACCATGCTGATATTTTAAAACCTCAAATGTCTATCTATCTACCCTTAAAGTATATTTAAAAACATGTCGCACTGTTTTATTGAGTTAACACGCACTCACAAGAACATGATCTAATTTTTTTTAAAGCAACACAAATCTTGTTTAAAAATGGATTGACCATTTAAGACATCTTAATCTGTTACACAGAGCAATCTAAAGGGCAGGGGGTGGAATAGACCTCAAGAGCCTTTACCCACAATTGAATCCTGAGCATGTTGTGACTGTAGTGGATGATAGCAACGCAAGACGTGTCTGCATTGACCAAGTTTACAATGTCCAATTTATTTCGTTTCATGAACTGTTAAAAAAATAAAGGGTGTCAATAATGGTATTGTCCATTGTTAATTACACAGCAGTTTAAGCTAGGTCAATAAAACTACACACCTAGTGGTAAAGAAGCTTTAATTGGATCGAGTTTCAGGCCTCGAACCTACCCACGTCAGCCATGGCATTGACAACGCACATCGTATTGGGATTTCAGAGTCCCAGGTGTTCTGCACTTTACCTTTTGCCAAACTCCAACATTCGACCACAAACAAACTGCTGTCTGATTACAATTCTTAAATAATGGACGATACCTTTTACGGACACCGTGTATATCAAGGATATAAGCTATTCAAATGCGAGAGGCTTTGGCAATGTATCTTATATATACACACATTCAATTCAACAATTAAGTTCCCAACCACTGTAACATTAAATAGGCAAGTGTTTGTATAAAGGCAAATGTGTTAAAGTGCCACAAAGAGGGGTTGGTGGACCGTTCATGGTACACTGTCAGTGAGCGCTGTGGTTTCCGAGCAAAGCTTGGTTTCATTGTGCATGACAAACGTAATGTCATCTGCCGCCTGGTACAGGTCTGGGTCGGGCAGTGAACTTAGTCCAGTAGAAGATAAATGATGCCACTCCATCAGCTCGGCCATGGATAAAGCCTTGGTGCTGCGCTGAGCCGACGAAGAAGAGTTTCTCGCCCGGCCCAGCTGACATGTACGCTCCACCAGGCTGTCTTTATTTGCTCCTGTTTGCAAGAAAATCAAGGAATAAAAAAATTAACATAGGGATTTTTTGACCACTCTCATTAACCGACGATGCATTTTAACATTTTAAGTTTTTCTTTTTTTATCATCAAGGATACGTTGGCAACATACACGCATCCAATTAGGACTTCAATGACATTCCAGGTAAATCCTTTAGGCATGAACAGTTAAACACATTCTTTATAATTACTGACAATTCTTAATGATAGCCGAAGTAATTATTATGTATTATGTCGGAAGGTTAATGCAAACCAAATCAATCAACGCAACATGTACAATACTGGATCTCGATACCAAGACAATCATGCCTGAGAATCCAAACGCTCTAAGCGTTTTTTAGGTTTTTATCCAGGGCTTAATTTTTCATTGAATATTTTCCAGGTTGCCCGTAAAATTGAGTAGGCGGTACGTGACTAAGAGGAGCCACAGCCATAGCGAGAGGTATCCTGGACGTGGAGTTCTGGGTGCAGAAATATATTTTTTTATCAGGTAAGGCCCACTGAGCTATATAGCTCTTTTTCAGAAACAACCTGGCCACAAATGATAGCTCAACGAAGTGGCTTATGTGGACATTTTATAGCAGCCTAATACTCTACATGTGGAGGGAAAGACCGGAGGACACGGAGACAAATCCACGTGACCACGGTGAGAATCTGCAAACTGAAAATATACAGCAGGCGTCAAGGTTGGGATCAAACCCACAACCTCCTGTATACCAGGCTAGGTAATTAACATCTCGCCACCGTGGCACCCCAAAGATCCATAAAGACCTGGCTGATATTGATCCCACTGAGCCCCGTGCTGGAGTCCTCACCAGACAAGATTCCGCCATCTCCTTGACAAGGGCAGCCCAGGAGGTCATGCGTGAAGCAGCAAGTCCCCTCGTGCAGCGTGAACAGGTTGCGCAGTTCCTCCAGCGAGAAGCGGATGTGCTCCGAGCGCGCCGACGACGCCGCATCCACCACGCTGCCGGACAGGCCCTGCTTGCTCACCTGGCGCTGGTAAATCTTCTCCTCGATAGTTCCTGTGGAACGGGTGACACGGCCGAGTAGCAGCAGCAGCGCGTTTGCAGCTTGTTGGGAGGCGTTCGTGGTTCAAGCCCAGCAGTCGCCCTGGTTAATAATGATGGAGTAGCCTCATTTTAAAACAAGCGCCATCTGCTTCACTTTAAACATTTAAGATCCCGTGATGTTATTTGGAAGGAAAAAAAAACTAGTTCATGTGTGCCGGTGTAATTGGCCAAATTTGATGAATGAATCGCAAATTAGTGAATTGGGAAGCCAGATAGCAACATGACCCACTACTGGCTGACTAATGCCCACTTGCTGGCCAGCGCTGTGTGCATCTTGTGCCACGAGGAATGTACTTCATGGGGGGTACGATATAAGCAAGCGATTATGAACAAACATGGTTGGAGTGTGAGACCAACAACTTGGAGCACACACGCCTGTGGTTCAAGCACTTTGGAGAAAGGATATGGTGGATTGAGCAGAGTTGTGAAAATCCCATACATGCTGGGCTGCAAGGTGACCAAGATATGGCAGTAAATAAAGTAGGTAGTGAACCTGTCTGTGCAGACCTGAGTGTTATGCCCTCTCTGTGTGTATGTTTTCTCTGGGTGCTACAGTTTTCTCCCACACGCAAAGCACCTAAAATGGACATCCTATTGAAAAACAGTCTTGAAACTGTGAGGCTCTGCTGGATAAATAAAACAAGCTTATTGACATGCAGGCACAATCAGGCAATTGCATCATGGTCTCTGCACAAAGTTAAATGTCACACCAGCGTTGCATGGCCATGTGAGTTTCACGAAGCACAAATCCATACACGTGCATGTTGTGCAGCACAGCTCCACAAGCGGACAACACACAAGTTGAGGTTCGTGCGTACGACTGCACAACGCACTATACCCAGAAACGCCGGTCTTCTTCCAGCCTGATATCGTGGACCACAGGGCGTGTGTAACACCTGCCTAATCTCTCCTGCAAGTCTGTGGTTGAGATAAGGTGAATAAAACCCTGTACATGAGAGCTTGTTTGTGATGCAACATGTTATAACAACTAAAACATGGGGACCCTTGTGTGTCAGGAAAGCTTCACTTTATTGCAATCCACAACATCACAGGCAGGATGAAGAGTTTGCTTTTCTTTCCATCTTATTTGTACTTTCTTGGGGTTTTGTAAACTGTGGTAAAGATGGTATTTGTTATTTGCGGATTGGCAGGCCCTTAGAAACAACAGGTGTTGCGGATAAGATGATCAGAGATAAGAAAAGCAGCACTCAACTGCAGTTGACTCTTTATTACATGATTTACTGAGGTTACTTTGTGCAGATAAGCATTAGCTTTTGTTGCAGAACGATAAAAAAATGCCAAGAAGATAAATTACTTGTAAGAGTGTATGGGTGTTTCCAATGGTGGAGCCAGGATTTTCAGCAATGAAAAATAATAGAGGAGTTGTTAGTAAGTAAGGACTTGTCCCTTGATTTTTATTCGACGCGTGTGCGGCGATGGCGCAGCCATCGATAGAGGGTCGACTTCGAACCACGTTGTGTGATCGGCATCGCGCTCGCTGAAGGTGAATGCCTTCAGAGAAGTCGTGTACTGTATACGCAACTGCGCACAATTCTGTGAGTCACTTATAACTGCTTTGCCGTTACTTATTGCCAATTATGGACTATTGTCCTATCTATGGACTATTGTCCTATCATCTCATAGAGTCCCTGGCATGTAATAATATGCTACACAGTGGCAGTGCGGGTCGCAAAATGCCGATTTATTACTAATAAACCCCAATGATCCGATCTAAATTAGGGATTTCGATCGGATCATTGGGGGGGGCATGTGCCACCCCCCCCACTGGCTCCGCCAGTGGGTGTTTCCATGTGTGGTTGACTAATTCCTTCCGCAGTTTCTTATGATATATAAATGTTTAATAGTCTCACCTGTGGTCAGAAACCTGTAAATATGCACGGTCTTGTGCTGTCCATCACGCCATACCCTGGCCATGGCCTGTCCACAAACATCGCAACAAGAAAATAGTCACCACTCATGTAAACATCATTATTGTTCAGAGTATGTATACACAATCGAATATAATGATATACATGAACTTGTTTCTAAACGCTTTCATTCGGATACATTTTCTGATATGTTTATCATAGCATTGGTATTTCAGACGATTCACATTCTGAACAAACCTTAAAATAAATGTAATAATCAGGCTCAATATTACGTTTAAAAAAAATTGCCTCCTGAAACTCGATTATAAGCAGTATGTGAGATATGCACGATTCACACAACATTGTAACAAAGTATTTCTGTTAGGCTGACATGTCAGGTGGTGAGAGAGCAACAATTTTGATTGACAAACAGTAACTAAAGATTGCCTTTTACACTGTGGTGCCCAGAGACAATTGCAAAAACTGAAGAAAGCTGACAGGATCTGTAAGCCACGAACAGACATTGATATCAAACACGGTCCCCCTTACATTTTTCTGTTTCGTAAATATTCAGAATGTTTAACTGGTTTTGTTTTTTGCATCAATCGAAATAATCAGGATTTTTTTTTATTGATCCAAAATAGTTGCTATTTCCGATTGATCTAAAAATGTGACGTCATAAGAAGTGACGTCACCAACATGTCCACCCCTTTTTCTGCCAAAAGTGGTGTCACGTGACATTGGGTTACGTCACTTTTGGTCGCATTCAGACTTGTTCATTTGTTACCTATTGTGCATGAACTGGAAATCTAAAAAGAAAACATCAGAAATTTTCCTTAAAAATCTGCATTCCTAAATGTTTTTCACGTGAAACTCATCCCTTGTACATATGCATCCCCTTGCCAGAATCTGATGAGTTTAAGCAAAAGGGCCACAGCACCTGGATGTCATTGGCAGGGTTCCAGTCGATGTCATAGAGGACGAGGCGGGAAGCTCCGACGAGGTTGAGGCCCACGCCTCCGGCCTTGGAGCTCAACAGGAATACGGAGTGCGTGGAGAAGCGGCTGTTGAAGTTCTCCAGAAGATGCTGTCGTTGGGACACGGGCGTTGTGCCGTCCAGTCGCGCCCAGCTGTAGCCCCAGCTTGAACAGCAGCGAGCCAGGACGTCGAGCATCTGGGTGGAGTTGCTTACCAGTACCACCCTGTGACACAAATACAGCCATTCTTAAGATCAAGTGATAGCCCTCTGAGACAATGGAGATATTGCAAGAGATGCCTGGGAAGTTATGGGTGATTTAGACACTTTGGCTCAAGGTCCAGGGATCATCGGAACCATCGTTGATGTCGTACACCTCACCACTTCCCATTCCATGATATTAAGCACCTGTGGAGATGCTCAGATAAGTAACCACCATGTAACGCAGCAAACAGAAATGCAGCAATATCCATTATTGCAAATGCACTGCTGCTGTGCTCCTACCTCTATGGTCCCTGCCTTCAGCACACACCGAGCGGTGGAGAAATGTGGTCGAAATAATCCCCTCGATTGGCACAGTGTGTGGAGGCCCTCGTCGAACAGTGGAATGAGAAAAGGTCTGTACTTGTACATTTAAATAAAGGTGGCATATTCATATCCTGGTCGAGGTTCAACTCGGCCCATAGCCCCCTCTGGGATTAAAGGTGGCATATTCATATCCTGGTCTAGGTTCAACTCGGCCCATAGCCCCCTCTGGGATCAATATGATGAGTAGCACGGCTTTGTGGGGTATCAACAGAGGTGGTGATGTGGAGGGACTTGTCCCACGATGGGAACGTGAAATTTCCACCACTGGCTTGGAGCCACCAACCGAGATGACCGCTGCCCTGTTGCTCGTGTGAGCAGGTTAACAATGAAGTTTACAAAAAAAAAATGTTGTTATTTTGTTGACAGGGTGGGGTGTCACTAACCGCTCAACGGGTGTTTTTTGATGCATGGCCTCCAGCAGCCGAGCTAGCACGCGCAGCTTCCCCGACTCTAGTTTGCTGGTGCTCTCTGGGTTGTAGATCAAAGAGAACTCCTCGTAAAGTCCGTCGTATAGAGACACATCCGACTCTTCCTCGGTGTCTTGCTTTTTCTGCCCCTTACGGAGAGCTTCTGCTTTCTGTAAACGGTTAAAAACGCAACCGACATCCACCTACATCAACGCCATTTAAATTCAGGGTCCCAAACAGCGAACAATTATTTAACGATTTTCATTGATGTATTAATAGGTTGTCACATGCTTATCAATTAAACACAAAAATATATAAACGTTAAAAAATATTAAATGAAAATCCAACTTCATACGTTATGACATTTATATTGATTTTATTTTCAGAATTATAAATCATGAACTAAACTTCCAAGGACAGACGCATTTTGGGAAAAATTACAGATGTGCTTATGCGTTATTATTCTTCCTTAACACACAAATTTTAGCTGCCATTATTAAAATGAGATTTTTTTTTTTTTGGATGAGGCCAAATTTCTGTTGCAAGGCCCTGCGCATGACCAGACACAGTCAAACAAGTTAAACTATGATGTGTACAAGTGTTGAACGTGCCAATGAGATTTGTATGGCTCACTGGTAAGTAAAAGAACAATCCTCACAAGCAAATGCATTGCCAATTATCGCAACCAAATTCAGCGACAAATCATTGCTAAATTTGTCTTGTTGTTCACTCTACAAAAGCTCCCTGTGCATGCGTGCGCACGCGTACCTGCAGCGTCTTGTACAGGAGGCAAGGATCATTGCAAAGCTTCTTGAGAGCGCTGATGCACACGAGGTGAGGGCTACGGTCGGTGGTCACGCGGTTCAGACAGCTCCGCACGGCCGGAGACGCCAGAAGCCTGCGGTAGAGCTGAATCTGCAGTGGCGTGGGTCGGCACATCACCACAAACTCCCGCTTGGGCGGCAGGTAGCGCTCGTTGATCTCTTGCGTGCGCCGCAGCACAAAGAGGCCCGTCAACCGCTGCAGCTCGGCAGCGCGCGTCTCCCCCAGCTGCTTATCCTCCTGCAGACGGCGTAGAAAGCACAGGCGAGCCGGTGTTCCACATCATCGTTGCAGGCTTAAGACTCATAACGTTGAAGATAAGTGGGACGTCAGTCGAAAGTTAGTGCAGCCCTATCAACACGTCGGACACTTCTTTGTTGATTTATGAGGTAGAAATTTGGAGTGGTGGGCCAGTAATTATCACGCTTCACTATGAAGCTAACACTAGTGGCAATTGGTAATCTGAACTGGTCCTGGGCTCACCTGTATCAACCCGCACTGACCAGGGTGTGTGTTGAAGTATGGTTAAACAACCCCCATGACTGACACAGAATGGGGAGTCCTTCATCAGTAAATTAAGGAAGGGATTTAAAGTAAATTATTATTGTAATACAGAAATATGACATTTAGGGTAATGGAGTGGTCGAGAGAGATCAAGCAAAAAAAAAATACTAGCAAGACAGAAGGAGATTAACAGTTATTGAATCAAATCAGACCCACGAATTGAGACAATCGAATCAAAGGTGAGGGAGAGCAAGTGGAGGTCAGTTGGTACATGTCAGTCTTTTGTGACACTGGCGACATTGAAGTAATTATCAATTGAATTCGATTTTAAAATATTGTACGTTAATTATTCAACTTGCAAAGAACACACCTTGAAAACATCAACATAACACTGTCGGGAACCACGGTGGAAATGCATTGTATTGTGGGTAATGGTGGTGGGTGAGTTGTTACGCGCACAGCAATGAGTGGCATGACTTTGGCATTGTCAGCTTTGCAAGTTAACCCACCAGGGAGGCAGAGGGCTGGTGTGACTGGACTATGGGTTCCTCAAACACCTTCCGGAAGGCTGCCGCGGAGCCCAGTATCCCAGGGTTCACAAACTCCACGATGGAATAAAACTCCTGCAGGTCATTCTGAATGGGCGTACCTACAAGCAGGAACGACAAGAGTAGGAGAACGGGCGTCGAGCAGTTGCAGTGAACGAAGCCGCGAGGCTCCCAAGGGGTTGCCACCCTGGCTGATGTGCGCGCGAGTTGTCACGTGACCGCCGCGCAGCGATAGGTCACCCGTGAGGAGGATGCGTCGCTTGCAGGGCAGGCTGTCGATGGCCGACGCCGTTTTGATGCTGCTGTTCTTGAGGCGGTGACCCTCGTCACAGATGACGAGGCCGAAGGGGATAACGCGCACAGCATCGATGCAGCGCAGCACCATTTCGTAGCTGATGATGAGCACCGGGTAGATGGGCGACTTCATGAACTCCTCCACCTTGTGTTCCTGTTGTATACACACACATTCAAGCCGAGAAGATCACTACGGTTGAGGAATTTTGCGCGAATGTTTTTGTTGTATTTTTCTATCTGTGCATGATTAAGCCTATAACCAAATCACCCAGAATGCCCCGAATCACGGAAGCTATGCAAGGCTGAGCCTGAGGAGTGCTTGGATGAGCGAGCACTATGCACAATGAGTTATTAGAAGCTGCAGGGGTAAATGGTGGGCAGGAGGGAACAGTGTATAGAAACAATTTTTATGTAATGTACTTCTATGGTGCCACAAGTTTGCTCCTCACCGTTACCAACCATTATTGACCAGCGTGGTGAAATATGGTCAAAGTACCCCCAAGGCTCGCACTGTGTGGGGAGGCCCTCAGCAAGTAGTGGTAAGTAAAGGGCTGTGTATGTACGTACGCTTAACCCGCCAGTGAACTAACATGCACAGTACCTATTTCTCAAGCTGGTCCGACCTTTATGCAGGTATAATGGCAATGAAGGCTCAAGTTGTTTTTAAAAACGTTGGGTGCATCGCTCAGATGGCCGCAAATTGTATCAAGAATTTGGCGACTTAATTCAGGCGGACAGCCAGAGATACAACACGATTGAGTGAACAGAACTATGTCGCGCGAATAGGAATAAGCAGTCGTGCAGCTGCCTCGGTGTAGCATCACAAAATGTGGGATGCTGCTGGATGCTTCTAGATGCTACCCAAGCGCCTCAGTCTTTGATCAGCCTGCGTACGCACCTCACGTGTTATCTCGGACTGTGCTTTACCCTATATTATTTTTTATTTATTATAACGCGATTTTTCCATAACTCGGTGTTCTTTAGGAACGCAAATACCGCGTTATAGGAGAACAGACTGTACCTGGTCAACGGTGAAGACGCGGATTCTCTCCACGCCCAGCCACTTGTTAAATTCACGGCTCCAGTTGCGCACCAGGCTTCCGGGAGTGACGATCAGCACCTTGTGTAGGGAGGGCCGATTGCCGTACGGGCCCTGCCGCAACAGCGTCCACACGAGCGCAATGCACTGCAGGGTCTTCCCCAGGCCCATCTCATCGGCCAAGATGGCTCCCTGAACAGCAGGAGACCTGGGACAGACAAACAAAAAACACAGTTACGGTACAACCATGAGAATCCGTTTTACGCTTTCTGGTAATAAAACAGGTCTTACGATGTTCAAACAACAAATAGATCGTTTTTGCAAGGATTTAAGTCTGCATTAACACTGGTGAGACTAGACCATGAAGAAGGCTGTCTCTGGTGTAGGCCAATCAGTTTAAAAGACAATGGATATATTATCAGAGGATGTATATTCACCACAAGTACGCGTGGTTAATGTAGACTTTATTCCTTGAAAAAGGTATCTATTTTGTGTTTGAAAATCTTAACACCTGTTTTATTGCTAGAAAGGGTAAAATATTTTCTTATTTTGATACTGCTAAAAGGTCACATGGTATGGTACAGCTAATTGTGCATTGACCGGTGGAATCGCACCACGCCATTTAGCTTTTGCCGAAGCCATCAATTTTATACTTCGTTTGACGTTAAAGAAGTTTCAACTCTTCAACTCAGCCACAGAATAAAGAAGTGTCACCTTGTAAAAAAAAACTACAAATGTAGATCATCACCACTTACCATAGATACATCGCACAAATGCACATTTCTTCCAATGTACTCCTTTGCTGATTTTGAGAGGCTTTGACGTGGCTTCATTCATGGGCAAACGAGGAGCTCTTCACTAGGAGGATTGTTTCATTTTGCAAGAAGTTGTTGGGCAAAGCAGTGGTTGAGAATCTTCAGCTCACACTGGAGCCACTTAATTATTACTGCAGGTGAACAACTAAACTACAAACGCAAGACGTACTTTATTTTCAATACCGAGTCAGTTTAATACAGTCAACTTCATAGACTGCCAATACGCTCACCAGCTTAAAAACCAGGCTACAGTCTACATTATAGACTGCCAGTACACTCACTCCGATTAAGAACCAGGCTACAGTCTACATTACCGGGGGGGTTTTTTCACTTCATTTATTATTATTATTATTTTTCTATCTACATGACATTACCGAAAGAACCAAATAATACCGCATTCTATTATTATATTCTTGGTTCTTTTGGTAAAGTCACGTAGAAAATATATATAATACAATAAAATTGCCTTTAAATAATACGTTGAAAATAATTGAAGCTATAAACCACCAAAAGATAGTAAAATAAAATCAAAACTGGGTTTTTTGCTTTAATTCTTTCAAAAAAATGTTTTTGTTTGTTTCTATCTACGTTACTTGACCGAAAGTACCAAGAATATGAGTTCCTGCAGTCACGAAGGTTAAGTAAAAATGTATTATTATATGATTTAATAAGAACTTCAATAATTACAAGATTTAGAAAGAATACCAGTAAAAATTTGTAAACACAATTGTTAATAAACCAGTTATAGCATTCGCATTTACGAGCAAAGTAAGCATTATTGCATTTCAATGTTTGAATGCGTACCTAAATTATGCATCGTACACATGTGTGTGTGAACAAACGTAGCCCTAAGACACGTTATGTGGCAACACAATGCGAACGCTGTCGTCCCTCTAAAGTGCCCTCACCTCATGCCCATGACGGCCTCGTAAAGAAAAACGACCCCTTCTCGCTGGTGTGGCCTTAGGTGCACGACGAGGTGGGGGTCGACCACGACGTCTCCCATGGGCAGGCCGGCCGCATTGTTCTGCCACTGATGGGCAGGACTTGGCTGGGGCATCACAAGTGCATCTGAGGACCCAAAGCAAAATCATATTTAAAAATAATTTTTAAAAAAACACGCTTTAATGAAATGTACCGTACGAGTAATGGCAGAACTCCACGACTCCAGGAAGTGGCCCCGAGGCTTGCCATAACGTAAGGGGCCGTGGTGATTTACAGCCAACGTGAGTTGAGCGTGGACAATTACACCCAAGCCGAAACATAACATATAAAAAATATTGTTTAAAAATATCTATTTTGAATTTGTAATGATAGAATATAGTATTGTCACCAGTATGACATACGTATAACAAGTTTGCAGTCGATACGACATTGGGAAGTGGGTTCAAATTGAGTTACAAGATTTGAGAATACAACAGACAGAGTTGAGGATACGACAACAGAGTGAGTTTATCAAAAGCGTGTAAAAGAATGTTTTAGAATATATGTTTTTGTTTTTTTATGAAAGAATACAGTCTTGTCATCAGTATGACATAAGTATACCAAGTTTGCAGTCGATAGCACATTGGGAAGTGGGTAAAAATTGAGTTACAAGATTGTTTGAGAATACGAAACACAGAGTGAGTTAAATAAAAGCGTGTAATAATAAAAACGCTTCTTTTGATAGGTGAACAAGGGTCTGTCTCACCGCATAAAATATAGATAGTAATTCAGTTCATCAGCCCATGGGCTAACCTGGACCAATGTTTTTTTCAGCTGCATTTGTTTTAATGGATAAATGCTGAACCGGCGTTAACTTTCTTGAATCTCATCAGCCGAGTCGTGTCAAAGGTCGCCTGACAATATAGTCAAGAGAAACTCTACGAAAACCATGGGTACCAATTCAGTGAAAAATGTTTATAAACACAAACCGCATGATGTGCTTTAGTGGTTAATTATAAGCAATAGATGTAAAAATACACATGCATCTATCTCACCACATCACATAAAACAACATTTCAGTTCCACAGCCTTTGAACCAATCATTTCCATCAGCATTTTTTGAAGCAGATAAAAACATATTCATTGCTAATGAAAACGAGTGAATGTTTTCCATGTATTATATTTTTTTACTTAATTTGGGTATGACTGGATGTGTCACTTTTCCAGTTGCTGATGAAGTCACCCTCCTTCCACCCGGTCTCCGCAGTCCACAAAGGCATCCTAATTATTGAGGAGTGGGAATGTAAATCCTATTTTGTGGTTTATCTTTGTTGTCTACAGGAGGGCGACTTAAGAAACAACTGGTGATGAAGTCACACACGCAGTATTAACTCATATGAAGTAAAATATATATATTTATTAATCAAAGCTGTGGAAACCTTGAATCTATAATGTCCACTTACACGTTAAACGCCCGTGTATGTGTATGGTCTAGTAGAGATCGTGGTGACCATACTGACCATACTTCAGCATTCTGGTTCGTGGAGATTGGTGAATGTGGAGAGTATGGATGCGGAAGCATAGAAGTACAGCATAACAATGGATTTTGTTACACTGTTTCCTCTTGCCCACCACGTAGCCCTGCAGCCTATAACACCCTTTATGCATGGTGGTCACCCATCCCAGCACTATCTAAGTGCATCCCTGATTGTAGATCTCAGGTGATTTGGTCATAAGCTAATGGGTTCTTAACTAAACCGAAAGGCACTTCAGATATCTAACCAGTGTGTCGTGTATCAAACACCTTTACCAACTGTTGTACCTTTCAGCAAGGCTACTTCATGAGAGAAACAAATATGAGCTATTTATTCTGACAGTTGCCAGTAAAGGTAGCTGAAATGTGAATGATGGCCAATAGTTATTTGTAAATAATATTGCTACATTAAAATCAAAGCACACATTTGCAATATTCCAGCAGTGCCCATCACAAAATTTTCAGACTAACGCTCAAACAATCATTGGTTAGAATGTGAGCGCACACACACACACGCACAAGGTCTTACTTGGAGCAAAGGGGTTAAAGCGAGGCTTGTAGACTTTTGTCTCGGTGACGCGGGACTTCTCTGGTGCTCCTGTGACGGCCCGGAAGGGGCTCGCATAGGGCCTAGCAGCCTTGTTCGGAGTGGCAATAGAAGCGGCCGAGTCGCAGCTGGCGCCGGAGACCTGGAAGCACCTTCCGTTTGCGTAATCTTCACACGAAATCAACCCCATCACCTCGATCTCCTTTCCGCTGATCACCAAAGTATGTCCCTCCGACAGGCTCTCCAGCTCACGCTTGTTGTAGCCTGTACCTGTGCACACACGTTACTGTGTGTGTGATTACAGTATATGCACCTGTGTACAGAGTACATTTTTCAGTCCACTGCGAGATGAGGGCCTCCACACATTGTGTGGGTCGTGGAGATTGTTTGGCCAGAATTCACAACGCTAGTCAATAGGGGTTGATAAAGGTGGATAGCATAGAAGTGCAACACCATAATGGCTCTTGCTACACTGCCTACAACGTATCCCCACAGCCTATAATATTACTACGCTGGTCAGTGCAGGTTGGCGAGGGGGGGGGGCAAGACTTGTTGAGATATCACTCCACACTGATATCAACCATGGTTAAGAATCAAAAACAGGGAATAGGGTTCATAGTGTAGTGCGATATCCACTCTACCACCGCATATAATGTGCATCATTTTAAATATCAGACTTAAAAATCCACAAATGATCCAAAATCCATTTTAATCATTCAATGATCATTGAATCATTTTAACCATTGAATAATTATGTGCCTACAAATTATAGAAATGTTCGTTATTGTAGCGATAAGACTAAATCTTAGATTGCCAAATACAAGGTGTTTCAAAAGATGGACCCGATTTGAAATCGCTATATGTTTGAAATTAGGTCAATCTTTTTTAAACACCCTGTATAATTACAGCAGATCAATACCTTTGCAGATGTCCTTGCCTTCCATGTCTTTAAGGTTCACCAATCGGCCACTTGTGATCAGAACAGCATCGCCCTCCCACTTCTTGTGCTTCTTCTTGGATGCTTTACCCCACATTACACTGTAGTACTTTGTAGCGGAACAATCCCCGTTATCTTTCATTGGATTGTTCTCTGCAGTGTGGTCATTCTGTTCCTCGGAACGCTGCACTTTCATTGCAGCAGGTGATTTTGGGGTAAGAGAATTGTAGATGTGTTTTCTTGGCACCAAGAAGGTCCTTGCTGCCTCGGGCCTTTTGATAAGATCTGCTTCGACATCTGCAGAAAACAGATACATCAGTGGAAAAACAAATTGCACTAAAGGATTTTTTTTAGGTTGGACATTACAGGAATGACTTGGAAGGTGGTGTTGCGGTTACAGCATGCAGCTTGCAATTTGGAAAGTTGTAAGTTCAACTTCCCATTGGGGGATGACTTAGCCCATCATACCTCTGTGGTTAATAAGATGAGTAACGCTTTAGGTAAGCACTGCTCCATGCTCGTTTGACACAGAAACAATGGTGATATTTCTGAACACAGCAACGTTACACAAGGCCTTGATGAAGGGAACATACTCTAGAGTACACCCACCACAGAAATGGAGTGATGAAATCAGATCGTGTGCAGGAGGCTAAATGAATTGTTACATCGGAAAACCACGAGAGATGGCAATGGTTTGGAGAAGCCTTCATCCAAGAGTGGATACATTGCAGCTGATGTCTCAATCTTACGTACAATCCCCTAGAGTTCAAAACTAACTAAACTTTTAATTTACCAGGTAAGGCCCACTGAGCTATATAGCTCTTTTTTTAGAAGTGACCTGGCCACATAAAATAGCCCAACGAAGTGGCTTATCACATGGAGATTTATATCAGCCAAATACTCTAAGTGCATGTTTCACTAATGTGCAGGGAAAAACCAGAGGACCTGCAAAGAAAGCAACACGACCACAGGGAGAACATGCAAACTTAAAATATACAGGCATCAGGGTCGGGATAGAACCCACGACCTCCTGTATAGTGTACCTACCTCCTTGCTGGTTGGAGAGCAATGTTTTGTCTGATAAATCAGGTGGGTCGGGCATGGTGGTTGCCTGGCTGTTGGGAGGTTCTGGGCTCTTCACAACCATATCTGCGGTCCCTTGAGGCATCTTGGGACACATGTCCAGCCACTTGGGCTGTACATGTGGAATAGAAAGGAGTCAGAAACCACGTGGGCAGACCAATACAATCTATGGTGTCAATGCGTAACATTTTACTTACTCAATAAAATGTAGACTTATACATGACAGCACCCACTATGCGCTACTAACACTCCAAAAGCACAAACCAGACAATACACATGGAGGTAACCATATGGGGTGAAAGAGGTAGGTTGTGTCTTTATGCTGGTAGGAACCTCCTGGTTACACCAGCCTACAGGGGATTATTGTGTCCGTCCGTCGTGCATCCAAAAATGGGAGGGGTGGGGCTGGGTGTGGAGGGGCTGGGTGGGGAGGGTGGGGAGGGGCTGGGTGGGGAGGAGAGGGTGGGGAGGGTGGGGCTGGGTGGGGGGTGGGAGGGGTGGGGCTGGGTGGGGAGGGGAGGGGAGGGGCTGGTCACCCCGTGGTGCCCTTATAAAACTCAACGTTTAACCTACTCACGCCGGCTTGTACCCGCCCTCACAGTCGGGCATATTTGCGGAATACACCACGCCGCCGTTGACCCTGGCCATTGACTGAGAAACCCAACGTTCCTACCAGCTCCCTCCGCCGGAATGTGTTAAAATACAGCACAGCATATTCGTAATCATATACACTATTTGGATGTGATAACTGTTCAAATGATTATCCCGTATTAATTCACTTCATTAACTTTCTAAATAATCTGTAACACTATAGTCTTGCCACTTCAGGTGGTAATCAGTGTGATCAGGCCAAAGGAAATAAACGGTGACATCACGGCAGCATGTGCCAGGAATAGTGGAATAAGGCCACATACCATGGCAAAAGACTGAAAGGAAGTTTGCCTGATGTATGCACATACAGGAATTTCCTCAGCATTTATTACACCTGTGAATATGTGTGTGAATTGTATCTGTTCAGCCCTTTTGTCAGATCACTGCTGGTTGAGGGCCTCCTCACACTGAGCGGGTCATAAGAGTTGTTTGACCATACGACACCACGCTGCTCAATGAGGGTTGATGGCAGGGCGTATGAATGAAGGAGAGCATATAATCTATTTGCTTGCACTACTTCTGCTGCTCATTGCTTAGCCCCACAGATTATAGCAACGTGTTCAATTCCACCTCCATAGTCCACATGACTCAATGTTGGCAGAACAGTTTGAATGATTCCAGATAATATGTTCATCAAACACTTGCATTTTCTGCAGTTGTAGACAGAGTTTTCTTCATGCGGCTTCAATATAGGCTACATGGAAAATGACAACATCTATATATAGAGCCCCAAAGATGCCTCTTTCCATCGTCTCCTACCTTTACACCCAGACATTGTGTGCAGCTCTTGGTGGGAAATTTTACTCGTGGAAAATGTGACACGTGGCATTTGGTTAACCACCCATTTCCTGAGTCGAGATTGAATGTTTTCCTCTTTATCCCAGACGAGTAATATTCACGCACAGAAAATGTCATCTCTCACCTTTTCTGTTTCTCTACGGAACTTTCCTCAACTCAAAATGCCATTACTGGGCAACAAACGTAACTACTTAAAATAAGTGTATCTACCTACAACAGTGGTACACAATTGACATTTGTTGACACTGCTCACACACCTCGTTAATAGGGCTGTCTACAGGTGACCAGAAAATAAAATTAATCAATTATTTAAATAATTAATAACTTTGCTGGCTCACTTGCACACAGGCATGGATGCACTTTGCCCTCATAATGGCTCATCAGTGAGCCATGCCCAGCTACAGCCTATGATCACCCAGACATTGTTCTGTGTAGGCAAGGAGACCCACCATTTATATTTTTTATTCCTTTTTACTATTTTATTGTTATTATTTTTTCTATCTACGTGATTTTACCCAAAGACTCAAATAATATAAGACGTAGTAGTGCATTTAGAGTGTGTGGCTGTTATACATTTCCATGTGATTCGCCACTTCGTTGCGCTATCATTTGTGATAGCCGGGACGCTTCTGAAAACGAGCTACATAGCTCAGTGGGCCTTACCTGGTAAAATAAAACAAAATGATTGGGTTTTGATTTAAAGCTTTCGTGACTGCAGGGATTCATATTCTTGGTTCTTTCAGTAAAGTCACGTAGAATGGAAATAATCAAATAATATAAATATAAAACAATAATAAACAATAAAAATTCTCACGTTTCGACCGCAACACAAGCAATCATCATCAGGTGTGAAATCCACAGCAAGAATAAATAATTTGATTATTTCCCTTCTACGTGACTTTACCGAAAGAACCAAGAATAAAAATGATGGGGTGTTTTTATTTATATTGGAACACTAAAATATATATACAGCTGCTAAAAGCTGCGTGAACAAAAACGTTTTGGACAGCAGAGGGCATTGCAGCAAAATAAATTGTTTTTACAATTCTGCTCCAACTTCTACGCTCTCCGTCTCCACCAACCCTCAAGTGACCACGAGCGTGGTGAATGAAGTAGTGTATGATCAAACAACACACAAGGTATGGGGGACGCCTTCATCCAGCAGTGGAGTGACAAAGAATAGTACACGTACATTGTGTACGTGCTTCACGAGGGTAGGTGTCGCTGAGATCACAGAGCATTCGACTCAAAATCGGATTGTCGCCTGTTCAATAAACACCCCTCCACTCCAAGGGAAACAGTGTTTGTCCTTTAGGGAGACTGGTCACCGCCATGGGAATGTGGAATTTCCACCAATGTCCCTCCGAGGCCAGCGTCACGGGAGATGAGCGCCACACTTTTTTTTCTCTCTCTCGCATAAACACCCAACCACATGTTGTTACTGTACACACAACTTAACATAACATGAACGCACTTAACAATAGATTAAAACAATGCCATTACAACTCGTACAAGCCACGCAGTTTCTCACGCAGCGTCACTACCAATTCCCACGGATCTCACTGCCGTGAAAAATCGTAACTTAGTATAGTGATAGGTTTTTACCCTTTCAACTGGTACAAAAACTAACACCTTTATACAAGGGATCATGTTTGCAATAATCACAACACAAGCAGTCAAAATGCAAACAAAAAGAAATGACTCTGATAATGAAGTTGATTGGTCCACACCCGAGACAGCTTTTATTAGAGCCTAGTCTCCACTGGTGTTGGACCAGATGACGCCAAAAGGCGTACAACTCAAAGACAGCGCACTATCAGAGTATTAAGAGCTCGGGATAAGAATTTACACCATGAGACCTTCTTTACCAGTGGCAAAATATAGTAATAGGTTTTTGCCCTTTTATCTGGTACAAAAAACTGACACATGTATACAAGGGATCAGGTTTGCAATAACCACAACATGACCCCTTGTATAAAGGTGTCAGTTTTTGTACCAGTTGAAAGGGTAAAACCCTTTTGCTATATTTTGCCACTGGTAAAGGAGGTCTCATAGTGAAAATCGTAACTTGTTGACACAAAACGAGGGACCATTTCTCCCGCACCTGGGCGGCCTCACGCCGCCACTAAAGTCATCGTCACTCTCTCACGATCACTCTCACGCTCCTACTGCCCCCCATAGGGGTTGTGTTCCTCGCACCTGAGGGGCAGCAGCAGCAGCAGGGCGATGGGCAGCAGCAGCAGGAGGCGGCATGAAGCGAGCCCTCTTGACGCTCGGGGCAGCGGAGCGACGCATGGCTCCACTTGCTCTCACCCGACCCTAGACGATGATAATCGAACGATGGATAGCCACGATTTTACCTCACGATAACGAATTGATTATTGCGGGAAAGAACGCAAATCGTTAGCGAATTAAATCGTGTTATTTAACGCACGACTCTCATGTATGCGTAAGGTAAAATTGATTGTAATGATACACGAAGCGATTCAGCGTTACACCCCCCCCCCGCCTCACTCCGCCCCCTCACTCACTCCTCCCCCCCCTCTCACCCCCCCCGACCCCCCTCTCACCCCCCGACCCCCCTCTCACCCCCCCCACCCCCCTCTCACCCCCCCGACCCCCCTCTCACCCCCCCACCCCCCTCTCACCCCCCCGACCCCCCTCTCACCCCCCCACCCCCATCTCACCCCCCCCACCCCCATCTCACCCCCCCGACCCCCCTCTCACCCCCCCGACCCCCCTCTCACCCCCCCGACCCCCTCTCACCCCCCCCTCTCACCCCCCACCCCCCTCTCACCCCCCCACCCCCCTCTCACCCCCCCCGACCCCCCTCTCACCCCCCCACCCCCCTCTCACCCCCCCACCCCCCTCTCACCCCCCACCCCCATCTCACCCCCCTCTCACCCCCCCACCCCCCTCTCACCCCCCACCCCCCTCTCACCCCCCCACCCCCCTCTCACCCCCCACCCCCCTCTCACCTCCTTCATCCCCCCTACTCACCCCCCCTCTCACCCCCCCTACTCACCCCCCCTCTCACCCCCCCCCCCCCCTCTCACCCCCCCCTCTCACCCCCCCCCCTCTCACCCCCCCCTCTCACCCCTCCCCCTCTCACCCCCCCCTCTCACCCCTCCCCCTCTCACCCCCCCCCTCACTCTCACCCCCCCCACCTCACACTCTCCCAGTCTTCTTCATGCACCCCCTGGCGAAGTCCGTAACGTCCCCCCCCCACTGTCTGCCTACTTGTTACCAGCCACGCTCACCCCCCCCCCCCCTCACCAGCCCCGCCCCCTCACCCTCACCAGCCCCACCCCTCACCCTCCCCCCCTCACCAGCCCCCCCCTCACCAGCCCCACCCCTCACCCTCTCACCCTCACCAGCCCCGCCCCGCCCCCTCACCCGCACACTTTGACACGGGGGTCTCGCGACCGCGGCTCGCGCGTTTCCCGCCTTCCCGTGCTGCCTCGCGCGCCAGCTTGAGAAGGGGTGAGGAGGGGAGGGGACGGGGTGGGAGGCGGGGGGAGGGGGCGAGTCAGGTGGAGGGGGGGGGGCTTCGCGACATCACCACCGGCGCTAACCGTGTGCGCATGCGCGAGTCTCTCTGGAGAAGGGACGAATGGAGGGAAGCAGAGGAAGGGGCGGAGTCATGGCGGGGGGGGGGGGAAGAGGCGGGGCACGTTGGGGGGTGGGGAGGGGATCCTGCGTCTTAGCCGCGTATGGGGGGGGGTGTGTAGAGAGAATGGCGCATGCGCAGTGGCGCGCTGTGACGTCACTGGGGGGGGAAGATGGAGGCGGTGGTGTCGGGGCGGCGGGAGTAGGAGTTTAGCCGGGGCGGCCTCGCTCCCTCTCCGCCTCTCTCATGGCCGGCGCGTCCAGCCACGTCGTGAGTTCGCGCGCGGTGTCGGGCGGCAACGGAGCCAAGCGGACGGCGGCGCCGGGGCTGCTGAGCGCCGCTGTTTGCGTGCGTGCGTGTTGTGTTGCGCCTCGAGGCGCCTTGAGCCGCGGCGCGGGGCCCGGGCCCAACGGGAAGCGCTGAGGGAGCGGGGGAGGGGAGCGGGATGGAGGATGGATCGTGTGGGGTACAGAGGGGGCCGAGGGAGATTAGAGCTGCGGGGGTGATTGTAGGGGGCGTGGGGAGATCACCCCGGAGGGAAGGCGCGCGATGGTGGTGGGGATGAAGGGGGTGCCGAGGGGAGCAAGGGAGAATGGAGGAGCGAGGAGGAACGGGGGGGAAGGGGGGTCGTGGATCTCGGGGTTACCTGGAGAGAGCCAGGAGGGAGGGGGGTGACATTAGTCTGGAGCATGGGGGATCAAGCGGACAAGGGAATGAGTGGTGGACAGGGGTGGTGAGGTGGATCTGCGTGAGCAAAGAGGATCTGGGAATATCACGAAAGGTGGTGGGTGGGTGGGAGGGTGTGGACATCTGGGAGGTGAATTGAACTTTGGCAGAGTAGTGTCGTGTAGAGACTCGTGAGAGAAGGATGGATCTGCTAAATCCTAGCAGAATATCAACAAGTCAAAGGGGAAAGACCCGAGGAATCTGATAATAATCCAGATTTGAAGTTTGTGATGAGGAATCTGAGAGTTTCAGGCAACCAACAAGGGTCAGGAGGGAGCATCAGTGGGGGGGGGGGGATGTTGAGAACGGAGTGGCGATCAGTGTTATGAGCAGCAATTATTGGGGGGGGGGTCAAGTAGAACTATGAGGGATGATGCAAAAGACGAGGCTATCTTGGAGATGGGGGCCACGCAATGTGAGCGAAGATTGCCCTGGAGAGGGAGGATTAGCCTGGTTAGGGGAACCAGGAGGACAGGGAAACCGGTGTGGTGGGTTATTAGCAGGAGCTCTCAAAACGGATGTTGCTGCAGCCTCAGGGGCTTCAGGAGAAACAGTGCTTTTCATTTGGATTACGAATCGAGGGTGTTTGGGTTCAATACGAACTGAGAATGTGGTGATTTAGTGGCAATACGAGGGCAAGTGGTGTATCACGGGGCCACCTTGACTGGTCCCAGTGATCCCACGCCTCTCCTCGCTCGCTCCTGTTTATATAACTCGGCCCGCAGTGAGGGGACTTGGTGGAACCACCACCACCGCATCCGCACACCAGTTTGCCTTCGTCCTCGCCACCCCCCCCCCAACACGTAGGACGGCTACATATGCGGGGGGTCCCCGTGTCTCCGGGACCAGGGGGTGGATGCTGCCGCCGTGATACCCCCACACACCCGGCTCATTGCCTAGAGAGGTGTGCGAGAGAACGCGCAAGGCGTTGTTTACTTGTGAGCCCCCCTAGTGTTGTGTGTGTGTGTCCTTGAGGTTCACCCTTGCAACGACTTGTTTAAATCCCTTGGTGTGTAAAAAAAATTGATACGAGAGGTCAGGGTTGTTTAGCCCGTGGGAGTTTTACACAGCTCAGCGGTCGTGGAATCGCGAGAAACGCGGGTTGTGAACTGCGTGTTTTAATTCGAATATCTGAGCTAATTAAAGGGACCCGTGGCATTAATTACATTCAGTTGAGTTTCAAAGCGGTGGGTGGAGCGCCGCGTGTGTTTGAAGCGCCGTCTGTCGCGCGTGTCAATATACCCGAGGCTCGGCACTGTAGTAGACATACTCTTAGTTCTTTCGGTAAAGTCACGTAGGTAAAACATGAAATTAAAATTAATAAAATAATAAAAATCACGACGTTTCGGAGGCAACACAAGTCTCCGTCATTAGGTGGGACCGTCAAAGCCAGATTTGCTGCATCAAGTGAGGCAGGGATTCCAAGATGCAAGCTCTTAAATACAAGTTAAGGGGGAGGAGAGGAGGGGGGAGCTTATCAGAATGTGGTAGCCAATATTTTTTTTATTAATTTTAATTTCATTTTTTACCCACGTGACTTTACCGAAAGAACTAAGAGTATGAATCATTGCAGTCACGAAAGCTTAAAATCTAGAACTGTAGTAGACCTCGCGTAAGAGAATCGAGGCTGAGTCTTCCCGACACAACAGGGAGTGGCCCATTGACGAGTGGCTTACAAGAATGTAATCTACTAAATTGGGCTCTTCGGAATGTGAATATTCCGACGAGACCCTGGGAAGCACAGCAGTTGTATTATTTCGTGCTTCTAACGATTCTCTGGGAGGAGAAAAAATAAACCGGTACTAGTCGTCTGCCCGGCTACAAATTACTCCCAATATGGTAATAGTTGTGTACAGTATTCCAGTAAGGTTACCATAGAAGTTGACTCAAACTTAGGCCCATCACTATTTACGCTTCCTAGTTGTGAGAATGTGATGAGAGAGTGTGAGAGGGTTACAGATAACGAGCAAGTTTACAGATAAAACGACTTTTGCCCCAGGCTATTGCTCGGAAAACCCCTGTGTTTACACGAAGCAAGGATATGCCCCGTGCTTTCTTGGTGACATGTACTTGTGATGTTGTTACCTTATGTTTTATTGATTAGAGCTTGCTGCCATTGCCTGATGGTTAGCACACGGGGCTTGCAATGAAGAGATTGACGATTTTTCTCAGTCTCGCGGCACGGAAGTTTCAACTCCGGGCACGATATAATAATCGCCGCACCTCTATCCATCCACCCAGCAGTAAAAATCGTAACACCACAGGTGACATGGTGGAATACATGTGGATACATCCACTTATCCCAAGACGTCTGGCCAGTGTTGAAGAGTAGGCCAAAATTCCCTCTGGGAGGGTCTTTCAAGGGCTCCCTCTAGTGGAGGGCCTTCCACCAGCAGTGGTGTGAGCGAGCAATTGCATGGCTGCACCTCTGTTTTTCATCTTGATTTAGGTAACTGCAGTGTAATTGTAATGTTATTTCATATGAAGTTGTTTTGGGAAACATTCGTGAAGATGCAAACTTTCCTTTCACGAACATTGCGTTCGGGGGATGGTTCAGTGTGAATTTCAGTTTTGCATCTGGCCCCTCAGCAGAGGCTCCACTCTTCTACAGAGTTACCAGTAGTCAGTAAGTGGTGGTGGTGGAGTAAAGTGTGACTGTGTGGGAGGACTAGTTTTGTGTGGAGAAGTCCGATTTGCTCTGCGGATCCCCACGCCTGGTTCACGCGCTGAGCCGCTGCATGGTCCCTGTGGACTCGGGGCGAAGGTTTTCTTTTCTAGAAAAGATTATTTACGGATAGTGTGGGATCTGCAGTCAATAGAACGAATCTCACATACCCCAGTCCCTCTAATTGCAGATTAGATAATTAAGGATAACAGGTTGTTTGAGTAGAGGTGTACTAATTCACAATCCTGATGATTCAATACATTGTTGCCATTTAGGACTGCGATTTAAGCTTGTGGTTCCTTTTCAAAAAAATTCCATCCTATCCTAAATGTAACAGCGTATAATTTGCATATAATTTGGATACATTTAAACACATAGATTTTGCAGACACGAACCAATACATGTATTACAAGCTATTAATCGATTCATCGATGCATCATTACACCCATAATTATTTATGACAAGTTGTCAAAACTCCATTAAGTTACGTGTCATTATCCCTGGCCTAAAATCAGAAGAACAGTCATCATCAAGCAGACGCATATTCTGTAGTTTATTTTTAAGACACGTTCCGTATGGTTATGCATCACCAGAGAGTTTTGCAGTGCGGAGGAGTGGGCATTCTTAATATCTGTGGTCTCGTATCTTTTGGCTGGTTGAAGCATGCACTGGAGGAGAAACTTTGTGGTTATTATTAATTTGTTGACTTGTTAAAATGTTGATCTGCCACAAGAACAACACAGCGATCACGATTTCTATCAGCTTGCTGTACTCTGGACTTTCCAATACTTTGAGTCTCACTGGTGATCAATGCTTTCATTTACTTGATTCTAATTTAAATCCCGGCTTCTAATGATTTTTTTACTGATTGCAACAATCCTATTCAAGCACGTCCGCTCTTCAATGAGCACAAGGGAGTTGGACAGTGCACAGTTTGACATAGGGAGGGAACAACACATCGATTCATTGATTGAAATTGATTTGTTTTTAGCACACGTTACATGCATCAAATCGCATGCATTACAATGTCATTTGATTTGTATACGTCTGTGACAATATCATCGGCAATGTACCTGATCTTGTCAGATCTCGGAAACTAAGGACGGTTGGCTACGTACAGCGCAAAATAAATTATCTACCTATGTCCATGGTCTCTCGATAGTGCTTGGGTTGGCGACTATCGTCATAATGTGTTTGGCGGCTGGGGGTATCGTTGTCAGCCGAGGGCACCGCATCGAAACATTTTTGTCCTTTACTTTCCAACAACCTTGCGTGCCCCCCCTTACCCAACCCACAATGACCAGGATGGTAAAGTATGTTGGAATAACCCCCAGGACCCACACAATGTGAGGACACCCTCATCCAGAAGTTGGTTGACAACAGAGCTGTACATGTACATACATTACAGAAACACTTCACTGTTGCGGTCCTTGCAGCCACCAGAGGCGCCTTACCGTAATATAAAAAAAATGATTCTTACATAAAATCACGCAATTTATTGAATCTCCGTGGGAATTCATTGTCCTTCCCCTAGTTAGATTGTTCACCTCGGCTGAAGATGTGGAAACCTATCTGGATTATGACCTTTCCTGTGGTCACCAGCTTAACCGCTGCTCATAGCCACATTTTTGAGTGAGTTTTGTGATCTACTTTCGTTTTGTAATTGTTTTTAACCGTCAGTTGGGTTTTGTGCATTTAGGGTCTGCGGTGAAGTCCACACCTTCCACAGACCCCCGAACATCCAATGTAAACAACTGCGAGGGAGACGATCTGCGGTCGAGTGATTCATCAATGGGCCGCAATGGCGTCATCTTAAATTGTTCCTCGTTTGTCTTCCAAACTATCTGCAACAACTTTGGCATTGTCAGATAAAAATGAGGAATGCGCGCTCGTCCACTGACCCCCATATTGGGAGTCGCGAAGAAGAGGACATGTGATGAGGTGGTCTGCGGACTAGAGAGAGGCCAGGGGGATTTCTGTTCTTCTGTATGTGCCCTCGTAAAATGTGACACTGAGTACTTGGCATTTGAAGCCGGAACAAGCTCCCCTCCCCCCCTGGTATACGGTGTTAAATAGTCGAGGGAATTTCAGGTACTTACATGAGCTACTTGCAAAATGTGAGGCGTTTAGGTTGATGATTTTTTTTACCAGGTAAAAGTCCTTCGCCATAGCAGTGGTGCAGTGATTCATCAGCTGCGCGATGAACCCCCCCCCCCTCCCCGTGGCGTAAGTTTCAGTTCTTGGCCACGCCTAGCAGCATTGGCGACCAGCCCCGGGCACTGCTGCCACCTTTGCCAATCCGCACTGACAAGCTTGTTCACTTGTGGTTAAACAAATCCCATGATCAGCACTGCATGGGGGGGGGCCTCCATCCAACAGTGGATTGGCAGGCGATTGACAATTAGTGCATTGTTATGAGAAACCAGTTTGAGATCTTTGTCATGGGAGCCCTTGGGAGACTAATGTGGACCTGCTTTGCATTAGCATCACTACTCCCACGTGGGAGAGGTTTCTTGTTTTTAATTGAAAGCACAGCCCAAAAGACGAACTCTTACAGGTTCACACCAAGGCTGTTTGAGCTCGCTGGACTGAGTCATCCAACACAAGTGTGATGCTCAGGGAAATGAGATGTTTACTTTTGTAGTGAAATCCAATGGTTCAAGGGTGTGGCTGATATTGTGCCGCTATAGGCCACACCCTAGTGTGACTTCACCAGGGTGTGGCAGGCCCACATGATATATGTAGACGAGAGAACATATGAGTATAAAGTAAGGAAACCGCTTTCTCCCCAACACGTTCACACATTTGTATCTTCACGTGCTCATGCACTGTGCAGCTGCACATTGAGCCACGTGTGCAACCTCGAACCCTATGCATACCTGCGGCGAAAATCCCACACCTCCATTCGCAACTACGTCACGATGCATGGTTCACTGTAGGTCACTCGGGACACGTGGGAAAATGTCTAGGTGCATCATTTGTTTTGGCAGACCATTGTTATCCATTTTTTAAATTGCTCACATCCTTTGAATCCACAGATATTAGAAAGAATTGTGGGTTTGGTGGTCTGCAAATTGTTGGTTGAGCTGAGAAGAGGATGGCAGATAGGAGTTATAATCTTTCACCTTGTGTTACAACTATATTGCTTGCTTTGTGGTTTAATGCATTTCACCATCAGTCTCAAAAGTATTGTTTTGCTTTATGCAATATGCAACAATTGTGTTACTTCGCACAGTCCTTTTGGAAGAACATAACATACAATTAAAGTAAACTAAACGAAGTAAAGGGTTGTGCTTTTATCAGGCTAACCAGTGTTGATCTCAAGTTTTTATTTGCCACCATCTTCTCACCACTGCTGCAACAATTCAGCATCATAAATCTTAGCACATGTTTTGATTTTATTTTACAAACTCACTTGTGAATCATTTTCCGGTGTAAACCACACATGGTTTCCATTCTTAAGTATCTGTCGTGAATGTTGTGCGATGCTTTTCCATCGCATCTCCTTTGCAGCCCGTACTGTGCAAAATCCAGGCCGGGGGAGCGCTTGGGCCCTGCCCTTCACCCTTGCTTGGCGTTTCTGCCATGGGAACACGTGGAGAGAATGGGGATCACGAGGAGGGCTCCGAGGGCACGCACAGGACGGAGCAGTCGCCCGCGGCCGACCACGCCTCCACTTCCACGGAGCAACCATCCACCGGCCGGCCCGGTGGCTCCCCCGGTGCCGCCTCCTCGCGGACAGCTCAGCCGCAGCCCCAGCCGACGGCAGTTCACCCTCGCAAGAAGCGTCCCGAGGATTTCAAGTTCGGCAAGATTCTTGGCGAGGGATCTTTCTCCACGGTCAGTCTCTGGGGTAGACTAGCACCGTGGACTGTGAGCGACGCAGAAAATGAAAACGCACGTGGCGGTGCCAAAGGGGTTGAATGTCCTTGATCGTTGCGAGAGGGATCCTCCTATTTAGACAAAGAATCGCAACTATGGGCGGTAAAGAAAAATACATAAAATGAAACGATACGATTGACGACATTTGTAATGTGCTGAATGTTCTGAATATTGTGTTCTCGTAAAAACAACATTTGTATGCCAGCCTTTAAATAGTAGATGACTGTTTTTGCAGTGGTAGAGATGCACAAATCCCAAAAAATGCACCTGTCGTTTAGAAGAAGGTCCATTTCCCAAAACAGCCTATGATTATATATATATCTGTTATAAGGCAGTGGTATTGACAAATGTGGTTAGTCTTCTTGTTTCTTTCGGTAAAGTCACGTAGAAGGGAAGTAATAAAATAATAAAAATAAAACATAATAAAACAATTCTCACGACGTTTCGGCTACAACGCAAGCAGCCGTCTTCAGGTGAAGAATGAGACACTACCAAACTAGGAGCTTATATATAAGCTGCATTGGGGGTTGAAGAGCGCCTTAACAAAAAGAATGTGCATGTGAAGAGGAATTTAGCATATTCATGGAAAATGCGTAGGCGTTGGGCGGGGGGGTGTCAAAGTCATATTATGCCCATGCATTATGCAGGATCAACAGCAACCAAGGGGGGTGCAGGGATTAGCAGTAACAAAGGAAAGGAATGTTAATGATATGTAGCTGCAGTTACTCAACAACCACGTAGAAAACTAAAGTATAAACTACATAAAAAACTAAAGTATAAACTGCATCGCACCATCAGTATACTTACTATACTCTATAATAAGCTGAGTTACTAACAGCAAGTAATACATTACAATTCTACCTCGTAAAAATTCTATAATATGCTTCCATCTAAACCTTATTCTCTTATATCACACGAGCATATACCGTACTATATACTGCCATAGATAAACCCAACATTAAATTATATACTGTATTGCTGTAAACCAACCTATATCTTATACATTTAATATAACACTATGTATTATTCTACACACCCTAATGTGTATCGAAATGGTTTATTACGTCCTTCCAATGATTGCTGAGCCAGAATCCATCTTCTCGGTTAAAATTGTCTCTGTGTTTGTATATGTGGATCGCCTCATGAACGAATCTCTCATGATAGCCAGATGGCTTGCAGAGAACCTCTGTCTTGGAGAAGTCGATATCATGTGAGCCCACTGAGTTGTAACAGTGATCTGCCACGGCTGAGGTGTTTGTCCTACCGTGTTTCAGGTCAGCTTTATGTTCACGGATGCGGTCCGAGACATGTCGTTTGGTTTCCCCAATGTAACTGCTACCACAGAGGCAACTTAGTTTGTAGACGCCAGGGTACTGTATGTCTGGAACCACATCTTTTACAGACGGTACCAGATCACGGATTTTATGTACTGTGTTGAATCGGACCTGGATCTTGTGTTTAATCAGGATTTTGGAGATCTTTTTTGTGACTCCAGCAATGTAGGGTAAGGTGATGGTCTTGAAAGGCTCCTCAACAGGATCCTTCTTGATGGTTGGAGTGATGGCTTTGCGGATTGTATAGTCGGAGTAACCATTTGCCTTAAGAGCTTGGCGTACGTGTTTGAGTTCACTGGAAATGTGTTCATGGTCGGAGATGCATTGGGCTCTATGATATAGAGTCTTGATGAGGGAATTCTTCTGGGATGGATGGTGGTGGGAATCCGGTTTTAGATAAGCATCCGTGTGGGTGGCTTTCCTGTAGACAGAGTGGCTCATTGAACCATCAGGTCTCCTTTTGATTAGGACATCCAAAAAGGGTAGCTTGCCATCATTTTCGACTTCCATGGTGAATCTGATGGCTGGGTGTATGGAATTGATGTGGTCGAGAAATTGGTCTAGAGCAGGCCGGCCATGTGGCCAGATGACAAAAGTGTCGTCTACGTACCTCTTCCATAAGGTCGGGCGTAGAGTGGCAGTCTGGATAGCGTCCGTCTCAAATTTCTCCATGAAGATGTTGGCTACAACCGGAGATAGGGGGGAGCCCATTGGGGTGCCCTCAATTTGCTTGTAGAAGGTTCCATTCCAGGTGAAGTATGTATTGGTTAAGCAGTGTTTCACCAGGGGGGGTACCCCAGCATTCAGTCCTTGATGAACCAAGTCTTCAATGATTGCGATGGTGTCAGGCACAGGTACCTTGGTGAACAAGGAAACCACATCAAAACTGACAAGCAGGTCGTCTGGGGACAGGGCAATCCCCTTGATTGTCGATACCAAGTCAGTAGAGTTTAGTACTGCAGAGGTGGTTTTTCCAGTGAAAGGCCGTAGGATTTCGGACAAAAAACGAGCCAGTTTGTAAGTGGGGGAGTTGATAGTAGAGACAATGGGACGAAGAGGTGTATCTTCTTTATGTATCTTTGGCAAGCCGTACAATCTTGGTGGTCTGGCTGCAGAAGGTTTCAACGAGAACTGTTTGGTCTGATCAATTAATGCGGTTGAAGCAGAAATGATGTTGTTGGTTTTGGAGACGAGGCTGTTGGTGGGGTCTCTTTTTATTTTTGTATAGCTGCCATCGTTTAATAGTTCTTGAATTTTGTTGTTGTATTCTATTTTGTCCATGATGACAGTGGCATTGCCTTTGTCGGCTGAGAGGATGACAATGTCATCCCTCTTTTTTAATTGAGCTAATTCAAAACGCTCCTGTGGTTCCAGACATACAGTACCCTGGCGTCTACAAACTAAGTTGCCTCTGTGGTAGCAGTTACATTGGGGAAACCAAACGACATGTCTCGGACCGCATCCGTGAACATAAAGCTGACCTGAAACACGGTAGGACAAACACCTCAGCCGTGGCAGATCACTGTTACAACTCAGTGGGCTCACATGATATCGACTTCTCCAAGACAGAGGTTCTCTGCAAGCCATCTGGCTATCATGAGAGATTCGTTCATGAGGCGATCCACATATACAAACACAGAGACAATTTTAACCGAGAAGATGGATTCTGGCTCAGCAATCATTGGAAGGACGTAATAAACCATTTCGATACACATTAGGGTGTGTAGAATAATACATAGTGTTATATTAAATGTATAAGATATAGGTTGGTTTACAGCAATACAGTATATAATTTAATGTTGGGTTTATCTATGGCAGTATATAGTACGGTATATGCTCGTGTGATATAAGAGAATAAGGTTTAGATGGAAGCATATTATAGAATTTTTACGAGGTAGAATTGTAATGTATTACTTGCTGTTAGTAACTCAGCTTATTATAGAGTATAGTAAGTATACTGATGGTGCGATGCAGTTTATACTTTAGTTTTTTATGTAGTTTATACTTTAGTTTTCTACGTGGTTGTTGAGTAACTGCAGCTACATATCATTAACATTCCTTTCCTTTGTTACTGCTAATCCCTGCACCCCCCTTGGTTGCTGTTGATCCTGCATAATGCATGGGCATAATATGACTTTGACACCCCCCCGCCCAACGCCTACGCATTTTCCATGAATATGCTAAATTCCTCTTCACATGCACATTCTTTTTGTTAAGGCGCTCTTCAACCCCCAATGCAGCTTATATATAAGCTCCTAGTTTGGTAGTGTCTCATTCTTCACCTGAAGACGGCTGCTTGCGTTGTAGCCGAAACGTCGTGAGAATTGTTTTATTATGTTTTATTTTTATTATTTTATTACTTCCCTTCTACGTGACTTTACCGAAAGAAACAAGAAGATGAATCCCTGCAGTCACGAAAGCTTTAAATCGAAATTTAAATGTGGTTAGCTTTTATTTGTTCTGGTGCGCATTACACTTCTCGCTTGGAAAATAGCTGTCTGTGAATGGATTCTAATATAAATTAAATAATCAAGGTTATTCCCAGTGTATGCCTAAAGCCATTGACTACAGCTCTGCTCGCCTTTTGTTCTCTTGCAGGTGGTGCTTGCTAAGGAGGTGGCAACTGGAAAAGATTATGCCAGTAAGCAAAGACACGCATGCCAATTATCATGAAAAAAATCCCTTAATGTGCAGTTGGTTAAAATATTACGTAAGCCATGCATACACACTTTTAATTTTAGTTGTGCATTGGGAAAGGGAGACTTTTTTTCCATGGAATATTTACATGGATACTTCTCATCCACATAATCTTCTGCATCTTAGTGTTTAGCACTCTATTGGTGACTTGGAAAGGCCTTCAACTAGCAATGGATTCATCATAGCCGACTATGATGAAGAGAGCTGCATTACACCCACGATATATGCTGTCTGCTGTCGTATGATATGTTGCTGGTCCAGTGACTTGTCACGAAAGCTTATTTTACAAAATGTATCGTTTTTTTTTTACTCAATTTGCATTAAATCCCTTCCTGGATTTTCCCTCTTACCAATTAGGAAGTCGTGGGTTCTATTCCATCCCTGACAACTGTAGGTTTGCAGTCTGCATGTTCTCCATGTGGTCACGTCTATTTTTCTCTAGGTCCTCCGGTTTTTCAAACCACATTTAGAAACACGCGTTTTAGAGTCTTTGGCCGCTCTATATTTGCGTGTGATGAACCGCTACGTTCAGCTTGCCGTTTGTGGCCAGCTCGCTTCTGAAAAAGAGCTACATAACTTCATGGGCCTTCCCTGGTCAAATGAAATTGTTGCATTTTAAAAGTTTTTTTAGACGTTATAAGGTTACCCTTATTAACAACTTTAATTTATGTTTTCGCAGTTAAAATCTTGGAGAAGCGACACATTATAAAGGAGAAGAAGGTGCCCTACGTGAATCGAGAGAAAGAGGTGCTTTCCCGGCTGAACCACCCATTCTTCGTCAAGCTCTTCTTCACCTTCCAGGACGAGGAGAAGCTCTGTATCCCCTCTGCGCCTGCCTGTTTGTTAATGTGACGCCGACCTCTGATGTCGATAATTGGGATAGTTCATGACTTGAAAAATCAGGTTGCAGTGGTGGCGTGGTAGTATAAACACGCCGCACCATGAACCCAGCCAACTTCGTTCGATTCCCAGCCATGGTTAGCGTTGATATGAACCAATTCTGGCCCCATCCTTCAGCAGTCTGTGTTGACAAGCGTCGTGAAGTTTTGTCAAACAACCCTCCAAGACTAACGCTGTTTGGGGAACCCTTCATCCAGCAGTAGATTGGCAAAAGTGTGTAAATGAATACAACTACCACCATACCACCTTTTAGTCTTTGCATTCAAATGTGGACTTCTCAATGTGTGTCTTATCCAGAGACTGGTTATTTGGGGTTTTCCGTGTCAAAGAAAGCCTTACATAGTTGCTCTAAAAATAATTGAAGAGGGCATGAGAGACTCCACCCACTGAATAACTCGTTAGTTGCACAATCAAACGCTATTTATTGCAATTGTGCATCGTGATTGCAATCGCCCATATATGATGCAGAAAACTTTATATCCGTTGGATACATTGCAAGTAGTCTAGTAGGTCACATGCAAACGGTGCGCAGTACATTACACCCATGGCCACTGAGGTTTTCACGGAGCTGAGATTGCGGGCTGAAGGAAGCGTGGCTGCCATCCTCTCAGCCGCATATCTCTATGGGAAAACGTATTTCTGAGTCTCTGACACAGCAACATTCCCTGACCATAATCAGTCAGCCCGTGCCTGTTTTTAGTATTTTTAGTACATGGATGCCTTTCACGGCGACATATCTTGCCTGTGACGTAATGCTCATGTCTCAGAAGGAACTTAAAAATACTTAAACTAGGGGGTGGAGACTTTTTTTCTTCTGTTAATATTAAGACAATTAGTGGCACCCAATTGTAATCTTCTCATTTGTTTGCACTGGTTGTAGAGTGCACAATGTTACATCTTTTAAATGGGACTATAACTTGGCGAACTGAGGCAGGCAAGAATGTATTCCTTGAATGGAGTTACAAAACCGAGACGGTCAATTTGCAGGGAGAGGTGTTAATCCTTACATGCCTAATAATAACGGAGACCCTTAAGAATCTCCACCGTAGACTAAGTAGTTATTATGAAATTGCCATCATGCGTGACTAACCGTGACCACGAAAAAGGTGCCACTCTTAAGGTTTTCGCTCAGGACAGCCTGATGGTAAAGTGGACCCCTCGGTATTTTGCCTCGTGCAGTGAACTTAACTTGAGCTTCGCAGACTTTGGGTTGAGCTACTGCCAAGAATGGAGAGATGCTGAAATACATCCGCAAGCACCGTTCTTTTGACGAGAACTGCACTCGATTCTACTCGGCCCAAATTGTGTCATCCCTGGAACATTTACACAGCCTCGGCATCATACACAGGTGAGAGCCCTTACCTCAGCATGGTCAGCAGGTGTGCATGGGACACGGCTGCTGTTTCCTCGTGTGTAGCTAGGGACATTAGCTAAACATCACAATCCGGGATATGTAACCAACTCAGTCCTGTCAATCACCATATTGTGTTTGCACAATCCTGTAAAATGACTTCATAATCACAGTCTTGTGGTGGCGATTGTTGTGTTGGTGATGGATACGAAAGTTTGGTGGCGCGCACAGGCTCTGTGCTAGTGGTATAATAACATCGATTAATATTGATTCTTGTAATACGTGTTACGTGCATCGATTTGTTTGTAAGAATCGATGTTTGACGATACAGTTTGTTCTTATGTTAGCGTCTTAATGTGATCACATCACAACTATGTCTCGACACAGTTTGTAAATATATTTCATTGGTTCACCTGACCCCCCACCCCTGGCCACCAAACATTCACTACTACAATGTAAAAAAAAATTTTGTTCTAGAATCGTTAACCTGAATTGCAACAATCCGTTGAATCCTGAGGGTGTGAATTGTGAGAATACTAATGGGTTGCCTTTTGTAACATTTTTATTTATTATGCACGGTGTTAGCTTCAGTCTTGTTTGACTTTATAAATCGTGAAGAAGAGAAGCTCCAAACAATTACGAATTATGTAAATAACTAATTAACAAGCTGCATATTACCCTGGTCATAGATCATTTGCTGAGCGTTTAAAATAATTATTGTTGCATATGTTTACTTGTATCATTAAATACGTTTTATTTGTGTGTGTGTGTGTTTTAGGGATTTAAAACCAGAAAATATCCTTCTGAATGAAGACATGCATATCCAGATCACTGATTTTGGCACCGCTAAAATCCTATCTGATAACAGCAAGCATGGTGAGAAATGTGACTAAATCTTGGGTTTTGGAAAGTAAACTAGTTAGAAACATTTGATATTTTGTTCACGAGACATTTTGTTAAACACCTCGCCTCTAAGTTTACGTAAATTAGTGGACACACTGAGTTGCCTCCAAAGAATCTATACCATGTCAAAGAACGGAACAATTAGCAAGGTTGTCTACGTACAGTGTGAAAGAAGTTCAACAAACATATATATATATAACTCTGGGTTTCAGCCGCCCTTTCATAAGTCAGGTTCTAGAATGTAGTGAGTTTATGGTTTTAGGCCTGTCACCAATGACTGCACAATAAACATAAGACTTTGGTTTGGTTGGCGTGTAGCAAACGCTTTTTACAGGGCGTTAAAAAAGCTGCGACCCTCGTGGGTAAAGAGGCCTACTCAAATTAATGACTTTACAAGTCTGTGACACATTTTGGGGCCATTCTCTTAAACAAGGTGGTGCACTGCCTACTTAGATTTTATGAATGAAATATATTTGTCTCTTGGTGTGTCGTCGATAGCACAATTGTATTGTAATTGGGGGGGAAATAAACCAAAAATCACAAACCGCGAGTACAAAACTTAACTCCAGTTTTGTTCACCGTATGATCAACCGCAAGTGCCAGCTCTGAAAAGCACAGTCTGTTGTACAATTCATTGGTTCTATAGGTGCGATCATCCACAATTTTGAACTTAAAAATAAAAAGATTAAAATATAAACCAATGTTTACCTTGTACTTGGGCAGTTAGTGAATCTGACTTTCGCACTGATTTAGTTTGCTGTACGGGCAACTGACCGTTGCAGAATTCGTCGTTTAAACACTCGCGGAATGGTTTTGCATTGTACGTTGCCCGTTGTAAACCGTGTTGTACTTTTGCCCGTCCCCGCCCTGCAGCCCGGGCAAACTCGTTTGTGGGTACGGCTCAGTACGTGTCCCCAGAGCTGCTCACCGAGAAGTCCGCCTGCAAGAGGTGAGCCCACCACAGTGGCTTAGCAATGCCTTGCGGTCACTGGAGGAGAGGCATAATGAGAGCGGCTTGAGTAATCCTTAGAGATAATCTCTCGATGCCATCCAAGTGGTTCGTCGTGTTTTATTACTGCGTTTCTAGATGTATTGAATGCCTAACATGTTTGCTCGATAAAGTTCGTGTTTTTTTGTGTCGAATGCAATGTACACTTATGTATTCGTTGAGATATATTTCTCTTTGTCTCTTAGATTAAGATGAGACATGGCTCATTATATTTAGACAGACATAGCAGTTCAGTTTCATTTATTTGGAAATAACCCTGTGAGCCATTCGGCTCTTGATTCGGGTGCAACCGCAACAAACAATAAAATTACAAGATACATAAAAAATTGACTGTACGCATATTGAAACATCCCTTACAAAACCAATAAAATCTTCCAGAAAAAGCACCATTTGTTTATGCTGCGTACAAAAATGTGCAAAAAAAAAAATCGCATTTTGATGTTAGATCACTATAACAATACAATCTAGATTAAAATTTAAGTATAACTCTATGCTACATTAAAAAAATCTGGCTAAACTAAACCTTTCACCTCTGTCCACCCAGCAGTAATAAATGTGCACGCCTACGTGAAGTTGCTCGCATATTTTACTCCCTATTCACCAACTCAGTCACCAGCGTGGTGATGTATGCACAAATGTCCCCCACAACTGACACGATGAGGAGAGGTCTCATTCGGCAGTGGGGGTTTACAAAATGCTTTTAAACTATTACCGTGTTTTTCCAGTCAACTCTTGATAATTATCGGGGGGTGGGGGGTTGGGCATGGCCCGAATATAAAAAAAGAATCCACAGGATAATGCAAAACACATGTAAATTAGGCTTCGCAAACGTTTACTGTGTAACTACGTAGAATGGGGGTTAAGATGTCTTCGTAGGGCATGCCACCTGTTTTTCTTGCTTCCGAAAGCAATCGACTGGCCAACTTGTTTTGTGGTCACATGTGCCACTAAGTCACTGACCCTCTATGAATGAGGAGCAACCCCAGTAAAGATTGTATGCAATTATTTTTTCACAAGCACGGTTAATCAGCAACCCATATAATCTGCCCGCGGATAATTGAGAGCTAACTGTTAATTATTTTTCAGTGCAAGAATCGAGTTTTTTTTTGCCCCTGTGCTGCACGTTGAATGGATAGCGCCCACAAGGCAGTGTTTCTATGAATTCATCACAAACGATATCAGAAATAATCGATCATTGTACACGCTATTCGATGCTTGTAGTCCTGAACATTTGGTTTGATTTTAATGTGTGAATACGTTTATGCCAAATTACGACATTTGCCTTTCAATTGGCTTGATAAACGTTCGTGTTGATCCCAATCCTATAGTTCAACGGCATTCATAGTAGCCTTTGCCAATCCTGATTGCGTCGCTTTTTACGGAATGCTTTAGTGGTGGGGGGCAGGAAGTGTGATGTGGAAGAAGGTTGTGAGATTTAAAAAAACCTAAATTTAGACTTCAATTGCTTTTTTAAGATGCTTGTGGAAAATAGTCCCGAGAGCCATGGGAAATATGCGTGGGCAAATAGACCTATTATTTGGAGAGAAAGAAACCCATTCAAGTGTGATAAGGGTCTATCCTTGACGGGCAAATAATCTACCTTGTGTCTTTATGCTGCTTAATTTGGTTTATGCATGTTGCCCGGGACTGAACAGCCCAGGCTGATTGATGTACTTTGCTGAGTAATCTTTGCTCTCTCACTTTGCTTGCAGTTCTGACCTCTGGGCACTTGGTTGTATCATCTACCAGCTGGTAGCTGGTCTGCCTCCCTTTCGTGCCCCGTAAGTTGCCACCCCCACCGGGTGTCTGCACTTCTGACTTTTAACAGTGAATTAGATTTAGACCAATTCACTCTGCTGTTTTTATCAGCCGATAACCTATTCATACCGAACAATTTCAGTGGAGATCGAAATGCACCCCCCTCCCTTTAGTATCAGTTATAGAGCATTACCGATGTATGTTGTTATCGTAAAATGTGAAATGCTAGATTGATATTTGTTATCCCCTGGCGTGTGGATGAAATTGGACAAACATCTCAATACAAAACTCATGAAAAAGAGTGAGGCTTGGTGAAGCTTTACTGGATACATATGTTACTTTATTAGTATTTATTATAGAGTGCACCAAATATATTGTGTGTCTCCATGATGTAAATAAGCATTGCCTTCCCCATCTCTGAGATCATGAGTTAATTAGACAGCTTCCTATCTCCTGTGTAAATGGATTAAACACATTGGTTGCAGTGCACTGTCCTATCTTGGGTGAGATTTCATCATTAATTTGGAACGTGTGTCTTGGTTGTTTTGTTCTCAGCAATGAATATTTAATCTTCCAGAAGATCATCAAGTTGGAGTATGAGTTTCCAGAGAAATTTTTCCCAAAAGCAAAGGATCTAGTGGAGAAGCTGCTGGTACGGACGGCCATGCCAGACTATTTTGTTATATACATTGACGCTATTCTACAGATAAAATACTTTCCTAGTAGACCTACCCCATTACATTGCCATATGAATGAGAAATACAAATGTAATGATATATGTGGTATGTTATCTGTTTTACACAGGACTAGGATGGTAGCTGTGTTTGTCTGGTTTCCCCACAGTGAATGTGTGTACATGTTGGTTTCTCTTTGTGCAAATAGGGTTATATAATTACTTGTGTAAATCTGCATAGTTATTGGTGTTTATCAGCGCCAGTGTGCTTTAGTACTTGCACATCTGGGCATGTGTAGCAGTGTATTTGTAGTCTTGTTATTGTATGCGTGTTGTAACGTTTGTGTGTAGTTTCCACGAGCACGTTCGAGTGCGTGTAAGCTGACTTGGCCTTAATCTGTGCTCAGGTCAATACTGCAAACAGCCGAGCTAGGCTGACGCAGGGATATTTGTGTTGTTTTGCACCCGGGCTTTTTCCTGTGTGCTACTGATTTACCTGTTTTTGACACAGCCTTCTGACTAGGCTTCCCATCATATGACAATACTACGATGTTTTTGTATGACATAAGAGCCACAATAATTGTTATTCCTATTGAGAAATATTGTCACATGATTAGCGTTTCTCACTTTGTTAATGTTTTCAAATATTTAACAAGACAGTATTAAATTACTACACTTGAAGTTGATAATAATAATTACATTTCTAAACAACATTTTTCACACATAAAATGAGTGCTTTATAAAAAATAATTCCAGATAAATTGTTGTTGGTTATAACGTCATTATATTCTGACAACATTGCATTTCACATAAGGGTTATAGATTGCAAAGTTACTCAAACTTATCGCAGGCTTATTTTGAGTCCAGTGGAATAACTTTAAAAGCAATATGTTTTTTTAACTTGAAGTACATCACAGCACGTAGACAGGACTACGTGGCAACAAAGTAACGGGAAATTTACATCGCTATAGTTTGATATTTTACATCGTATGTCGTCCGTGACGACGTCGTGGCAATACCCAACCTCTTAACGCCGCTGCGGCGCGTGCTTTAGGTGAGTGACCCAATGCAGCGACTGGGCTGCGACGAGTGCGGAGGGTACCCGCCTCTCAAGAGCCACCCCTTCTTCTCGGAGATCAGCTGGGACGACCTCCACCTGCAGACCCCGCCCAAGCTCACCGCCTACCTGCCCGCCATGACGGAGGACGATGAGGATTGTTACGGCAATGTACGCCGTTTGTTAGGACTTTGCAACTGGTTGCTACTGCTGCTGCCCGTTGTTTGTTGTTGTTGTTGTTCTTGTTTCTGCAATTTTATAGCAAAGCTGCAATCCTGGTGCTTTATGTGTTGTCATAGGAAAGGCAATAGTTGAGTGATTTCTACTTTGCAGTTCTTGACGCAGTTTTGTTTTGAATCTTTACACGGTGGGCAGCAGAGGGCAGTGCGGCAACATCCATTGGTGCAGTGTACTTCGGTGCGTCCACGTCAATCCAACCTACTTTCACCAATTTGAACCACTTGTGGTGAAGTTTGGTCAAATAATACCCTTACGGAGGGGAAGTGTGACTGGGGGCTTAGAAATCCTTCGTTGGTAGAGCAAAGAGTGTGCAGAGCGGAGTAAAGTAAGATGAAAGGCGGGATGGGGGAGGGTAGGTTGAGACGAGTCCATTGAGAATCTCTCGTTTATTCCACTCCGTCTTATTGAATCCTGCAGTGACTAATTTTGATAATCTAAACTAGCCTTGCCAGCCTATTTGGTCATTTCACTTGACCTCTTCATTCAGCCGGTCTCTCTCCTGCCTCCCTAATCTACCTCGTTCAGTACGACGACCTGCTCAGCGGTTTCGGCAACATGCAAGTGGAGGAGACTCAACCCATCCCCATCCCCTCTGTGGCACGGGTGCCTTCGAGCGGCGGCAGCAGCGGCGGCGGCAGCTACCGGGATGTGGGCGTGTCGCCCGGAGCAGGCGGGCGCGCAGAGAGGGAGGCCGGCTCGCTGGGTGTGTCGCCACGCGACGGAGAGAGGGTGCGCACCGGCGGCGTGGAGCAGTACATCCTGGAGAACGAGGATGAGCACTCGCTGGAGCTCGACTTCAACCTGGCACTCTCGCAGGACGACCGCAAGCTGCTGCTGAACAAGCAGGCCCGCGCCAACCCATGGTACCGTTTGTTCCGATGTAGACACCACGGTGGAGAGTGAGGCTTAGATTACGGCGAGTTTGGGGACTAACACGATTTGGATTTCCATATTTTTAAACACAATTTTGGATGGGAATTTTCTTCACATTTTTGGATCGTTTACATTTTATCATTATTTAATATGTCTTAATGCTAATGAAAGGGATCTCCACCCGATGCCGCTGTTGGTGGGGAAACGCATGTGACAACCATGCATGTGTGACACCTTTGGATCCGTCTGAAACAAAAAAATCTGAAATTTCGTATATTGGCCCTATTTTAATATTGCCGACTGCTGATGCATGTAGCTGTCGCCACACTGCCAAGGTTAGTGTGTGTCCTAGCAAGTCATTTGGGCACGTAACACCTCACCTACCTGGCGATTGTTTCTCCCCATTTGATCATCTAATTTTTGCAGATTTGATTGCTACATTAGCCTAAATGTAATCTTATCCGAAAAATGTTTCTCACGTGTACGGTTTGATGAGTGTTTTGTGAGTGTAAGCATTGATTTTAATCTGGATCGATGCATTGTTGCGTGCCTAAAGTAAATTAGAAATTGACAACTCAACTTTTAGTTGGCTATATGGCACATCGCAGTGGTGTGCACTTTCTGGAATTATTTGAATTTTCCCATGGATATGGAGAAAGTACGTTTATTCTGCATTCTACTTAGACCTTGCTGATTTCTACTGTCCCCGTTGTGTCCGTATCTAGTGGGTTCAACTCAGTCGCAGACGTAGACTTTGGAGGCAGCGCATTTATTTAGTTCCAACACGGGGTTAACTTCCCCTTAACACAACAACAACAATCTAGGCTGGTGACTACCCGGTTAACTACACTAGTTACCACATAACTGTTACTCTGGACCCGGGACCAACAGCATCTGCCCGGGTCCACGTGCTGGAAGGCTCGTAGAACTGAGATCGGAGACGAAGGGTCCCTCTCGGGACTCTGCTTAGATTCTCTGCGGCGTGGCCGGTTCCGCCCTTGGCCACACCCCCCTTCCAGAACCATCGGGAATGACCCGGGTCCCAATCACATGACCCAGCCCCCTCTTGGGGGGCCCCCCTGCCATCTTAACTGGTCACGTGTCCTCCATGGTCAACCAGAGTGCCATGGCCTCACACGACCCCTTCTCCTTGGGTCGGCACCCACACACACCGTGTCCTGTAGGGCCGGTACTGCACTTCCAGCATGGTGCCATCCAGCGATGTCACTACACATACATGCAAGAAGCCTGCACTCGGAAGGAATGAGCACCTGTGGTTAACGCAATTGACCAACAGGAGATGTAGTTCAATAAAGTATGTGGTGTGTGACTGGAAAATGAGTGATCCAGGCGAAAACTAAGAAGCAGTCAATTAAATAAGCCTCGTACATTATACAGTTTCTCTCGATCAGCCGTTTATGACCCTTAAGTGGTGTTTACGGGCAATTTTTTTTACCTGTGACACCCAGGGAAGGAGAGTAAAATGAAGGCGATAACGTACGGGTGAAAAAAACGGGAAAGGAAAGAGAAGAGCGAGAATCAGAAATATAAAAATGGGGAGCAAAGGGTCAGGAAAGATGAGGATAGGGAGGGCCGCATCGCTGCACAGAGCAGCGTCTGTTTCCACAGGGGGCGATGTGGGGAGGGGAAGGATTCAGATTGGGGTTGTCCACGTGATTTAGGGGAGGCTTGAGTTATGATGACATATCTTGATTTGTGTTATGTATTTCACACAGGCACCCATTTGTGGAGAATAACCTCATCTTCAAAATGGGCCCAGTGGACAAAAGAAAAGTAAGTGATCTTAGAAGCACCACTGGTGTACTGTGCTTGTTTCAATCGGCTCTCTTAGTTCCATTGGATATTTTGTTTGCAGTGTTATGCCACTGCAGATGATCCCCACTCACCCACTGATCTGGGCTGGCCCTCGCTGCTGTAAACTGTGACGTTTCATGCCAGCCACCTGTAAGGTGTGAACTGTAGCTGTTATAATAGTTTTATTGGCCTTTTTAATTTCAAATTCAGTTAACTTTTAATGGTTTGTATATTTAATTATGCTTGTTAAAACAATTGTTATTTTTACTGAGGACCTTTATGTGCAATGAAGTAGGGCCATTCCCTAAAACGTTGTCGATTGAACAACGTTTCTATGAAAGCAGTGTTATTGACGAATGTTGACTTGTTTGTTTGTTAATTTTACTTGTGCAACACTGCCAACGCAGCATCACGACGTAATTTATCCAGGAAGGACTTGCCGAGTCTAAACATTTCTTACGCAGGCTGTTGCATCGGGTGATTTGTCCACTTCCACCTTACGAGTGTTATCCTTGTTGGAGCAAACAAATTTCATCATCTTACAATGCACCCCAATTTCTGATCTCAAGTTCAAGTTCATTTATTAGGTATAACCCTGTGAGCCATTCGGCTCTTGAATCGGGTGCAACCGCAACAAACAAAAACATGAGCAAAAACATCTTAAAGTGAAGATGTAACTGAGTGCAAACAGAAAATCCAAAAAAAGACAGCAAAATATTGTAGAAAAAGCACCGTACACCAACACTGTGTGCAAAAATCCCAGTGGGATGCAAGTCAAACAACAACAACCACAAGACAACTTAGATTAAGGCCATTAGTCTCTGTACTACAACAAAGAATAGGATAGCAGGAGTGGAGTATGCATTTTTACGCACACCTTTAAATTGACTATCTGAATGCAAAGCGAGTCGTTTGGTATACCCCGCGTAAACATCTGTTCCAAGCAATGGCATTCGTGTGCACGTCTGTTGAGTGTGCCGCTGTGTCTGTGCCGCCCAGGGCCTGTTTGCCCGCCGGAGGCAGCTGCTGCTCACGGAAGGGCCTCACCTCTACTACGTGGACCCTGTGAACAAGGTCCTGAAGGGCGAGATCCCCTGGTCCCGCGAGCTGCGACCCGAAGCCAAGAACTTTAAGACTTTCTTCGTACACACAGTACGTCCTTGAGCATCACCCGAGCATGACCGGCTTATAATGGCTTAAAATGTTCAGAACAAGTTCAAACCGAGTTTAAATTAATTTTCTGATGCAGTTGACTAGCAAGAGCATACAAAACTCCCAGTCGTATATATGTATGTCGAACTTATTCCGTGCTGTACGTAGCCAAGCACGCTTATCGGAGGTACATTTATGCTTTACGCCGTGTATGTGCGTTTGCACACAGTCCACGGTGTTCACTGCGTTATTGTGTGTGTGCACGTGGCCACAGCATGCCTCGGGTACGTACGCTGTACACACGCACACACGTGCGTGTACACACCGTTAGGTCTGCGCGCAATACACATCTACAGTCGCCTCCCAGCAATTCCACACATCTGCGCTGCGTCACAATTCTAAGGTCTTAAATATATATCCTGGTTTTGGGGTTAACTTGACCCATTATTTATCCCACTAGGGTGAATAAAATGAGTATCTGTTTGTGGAATGCTATCAGTGGTTGTGGCTTCTGCCACGTGGATGTGAAATGTGCACCACTGGCTCTCACAGCCAGCGGGTGAAGGGGAATGCTGCTCCAATGCTTGTTTGAGCAGGGAGATTTTTTGTCGAACAATCATCGTCAGCAGCCATAATCAATCCACTGCTTAATTGGCCATATTCACAACTTTACCCAATGTGTTAGCGAATGTGGGTTATCAAATTGCGTGAAAACGAATGGCTCAAGGAACTAATGCTCTGCATTGGAGCACAGTTGGTATCGCACAGATTATGCTGCTGATTATTGGCCCTCCCACGTAACCATAAACCAAACGGTTACACTACACTAACAAGCACCACAATACCAATTGTTACACTTTCTCACTCGGATGACAGATGGCAAAGTTCGATAAAGCACATATGATTGAGGAACTAATCTGCATGATTATATTTGCTGGCGTAACAATATAAATGGAAGATGCACAAATATATGTCCGCACAATGCAGCTCATTATTGCAGGCTGAGATTCAATGCAAATACATAAATAAGCAATGCTTTTTAAAATAATTTAAACAACATTTCTACCTATTTGAATAAAAAGATCCCCCGTATAGCCTTAACAGACTGTCGGGGCAAGTGCTGTTAGCGAGCACCTATAAAGGCCGGCACAGCACACGAGGGGGAGGGTGGCCAACACCACGCCCGGCCGCCTTTGTCTCCCTAGTGGCGATGTTTACACACTGCACCAGGTACTCATTTAAGGCCGAGTCGACCTAGGGGAGGCCCAGGACCGGTTCAGATAATCGTCACTGGTGTTTGCCGTGAGCGGGAATCGAACCCGGGTCGCCGGGTTCGTAGTGCAGCGTGCCAACCGCTATTGCAGGCTGAGATTCAATGCAAATACATAATAAGCAATGCTTTTTCAAATAATTTAAACAACATCTCTACCTATTTGAATAAAGACATGCAGACACCCACATTGTTCGTCTTTAGACAGTGTTGCACAAAATCAAGGACGGTTTACTGGCCCTTCAGGCAAATTAACCATCAAAGGAAGCCGCAATGTTTAGCCTAATCCAACTCCTCACCTCTTTCCAGGGAAGCCATTAGCTAGCCTCGTTGGGTTTATGACCCAGAGTGCTCCGGTTTAATCAATATACATGTACTTTTAGCACTGTAACGAGAGCCATCTTAGTGTTCCTGTTACTGCCTTTGTAAATAAAAGCTGTGCGTGTGTGTGTACCTTTCAGCCGAACCGAACCTACTACCTGATGGACCCACGTTGCAATGCCCACACCTGGTGCAAGAAGATTGAAGAGGTTTGGAAAAGAACCTACAAAAACCACCAAAAGCAGAGCAGCAAATGAAGGGCAAATGTGCTTGTGGATGGCCGTGTGTATGTCTAAGTGGCTGCCACACACGTACGTGCACGCTCCCTCTGGGAGGGCCATTAGGACACGGAGTTGAAGATTTTGACCTCAGACTTTCTGCAATCACTGTCCATTACCTCCAAACAGGAGCATGGAGCATACGTGTAATGTACACCGTGGGCTTTGAGCTTACTCTGTCCTGTGGTGCGAGCTTGTATGACTAATATCTGTAAAACACTTAACAGTTTGAGACTGCCTGTTGTGGCCAGACATTGATAGCGACTGTCTCTTGTTTCACTGTGCACACCAGACCCTTGCTGTGCACCCACACACTCAGCTGCACCGGGGAGGGGGGGGGGGGTGGGGGGCGTTTGCGTGCTGCCGCGTTTTTGCTGTGCTGTGATGCTGTACGAATTCACGTGGATCCTGCAACTTGGGGGGAATTTGTAAAGGAAGCTGGGGAAGCCGTTCATGAATCACTGACGTCATGGACGCTTAGAATGATATATTTGGCAAAGTATTGATTTGTTTTAGTTGATATATCTGATTTTAATATGACAATGTAGGCCTTATTTTTTTTTTATTCCCCCCCCCCTCCCCCCCACTTTTATGTAACCGTGACTGTGTGACTTCAAGATCAGCGTTCCATATTAGAGTTATAGAGAAAGTAGATTGTTTTATTTCACACACATGTTGGGAGACTCAAGTTAATTTTCTGACTTTGTCATGAAACCAAATGTAAACAACACAAGCTTTGCGTTTTGCATACAACATGCAAACTTCGTGTAGGAGAACTTATGAAATTCAATACAAAAAAACAATGTGTAGCTCCCAATATGCCATGCAGTACACTAATATAACTACAAATCCACACAATATTAACACGAGATAAGCTACAGGCATATTGCAGGGCATAGATGGCACACAGTACCAATGAACATTTTAATTGTGAATAATACATATCAAAAATTTACAATCAACCCTTTACAGTAATTAAGCAATTCTAAAGTGATACAATATATAGGCATAGACGTATGTATGACTGCACATCAAATGTTTCTTTTGTATTGTAGTATACATCAATTATAATTAACAAATCATAGTCCTGGAAACACTAAATTTTAAAGCCAGTCTCCTTATTCAAATGCTTTTGTAAACTTATACGATGAATGTTTAACATACTTTCATTTTAATAACATAAAAGACCTTCACATTGGCCTAAGGAAAAATGCTTATTTATCGTTGCACATGTAACAGGTCTGCCATCATTGCTAGGTATTTCTAAGAGAGAAGTCATTGTCATGCACATAAAATACTTGTCTTCCATTCTTTGTAAAAATGTAGGCGGTGGGTGGCACAGCAAAACATTACTAAACACAACCAGTTCCCTGGGATGAAATTTGCTTCAAATTGTAAAATCCTACAATGTGTAATGGTACTCCTCTAAACCTATGCTTGTGTTTGGCTTGGATGCTAGCGAGTGGTGACGTGTTGAATTAGAAGGTGTAATGATGTCGTGTTCGGGAGCGTCTGCTGAGAACCAAACTGTCCATGATGAGTTGGTGACCATCCCACTGCAGCCGTTGCTCCAGCTTCCACTATATATTCCAGTCTGCAGAACACAGGGCCGATCCATGCATTTCGATGCACTCGCGTTCACAGGAGGCTTCCAGGTTTGCCACCAATTCCGCGTCTACGCAAGTTTCCTTGTCAATTTGAAGTGCTTATAAACGATATACCGTTAAGTTAAAATGTAGAAAGTGTTCCGTGTAGGCAGTTGAGTGGCAATTTAAATTGACGGGGGGGGGGGGGTGGGTGGGACTTTTAGGCTAACATGAACCTGTACAGGCATGGCAGTTCCATTGGTAATGAAAGCAGCTCTTGCAGTAATACATTGTTGGACCATTGCTGTTTAAGGCAAATGGGACATACAGATAAACAACAGGTTTCATGATGCTAGCTACTGACGGTCATATGGTCAAATCTGCCAATGAAAGTACACGTGCAAGTTGCTGATCTTAACGCAGCATGTCTTCATCGCGCCGATTGGCTGGGTTCTAAAGTCAACCATCAAGTGCGTGCACATTCATGGCACACCCGCTGCATTTGACGTGCGCCTGTGAGCAGTGACTAGATCTGATTCGTTAACTTGCGGAGTGCTCTGGACATTGTATGTTTAGTGGAGCAGTGAAGCATTGTTGATGAGAATTTTAGAGTTTGCAATTGTTAACATGTAGAGAACACTTCATATTTTTGACTAAAGTTATTTACTGGCTAATGTTTATTTAGCCATCAGTTTGTGTTCTTGTTTTATTTAAATCTAATATATAAATTCTGTACGGATTCATTTCATGTTCAAGGGCAATGTTGTGTAAGTATTTCAGATGTATAGCCTTTGAATGTGGGTTATTGTAAAATGTCAACATTTTAACCAAGCGCTGTTATGCTTTGTGTGTTTGATTTGTGGTAATATAATTGCGGTGGGATTGTGTTGGTTTTTAGCACTTTGCTTTAAATTTCCCAACACTTGCAGGTTCTCTGTATGATATGCATGTGTTTAGGCTTCATAGTGTGTAATAGCGATATTCAATCTAAATAAATTGTTTTGTTGCTTGTCAATTGGATGGTCTCATGCAGACGAGCTTTTGTAAAGGTAGCCTCGTGCGTTGACCCAGATGGTGGGGAATGTGGGATGATGGGAGTTGGTTTGTCCAGCTCTGACGTGCACAAAATGACACGTGCGAAGAATATATCACGATAATAGAAGACCAGAGAATCATTCTCGATTATTTTGGTAATGTCACGTCGAAGGGAAAGAATAAAATAATAAAAATTAAACAATACAATTCTCTCTACGTCTCGACTGCAACACATGCAACACAATGAATCATCACCTGATGATGATTGCAGTCAAGAAAGCTTTAAATCGAAATTTAAGACCGGAGAACTCATTGTAATTACATCGTGTGTATGGTTATTGCATGCATCATCAGGCAACCCGTCTTGGCTGTTGATGAGACTTCAATGTGAAACCAATTCAGGGTTATGGTTCGTGAAGACGGACGAAGGCATTATTTTCAAGTCTGAAAATAATTTTCCCATATAATGAATTATTAAACGCCAAATCTATGTAACACCGTTGAAGGCATCCCACTGCGTTCAGGAAAATAGCTGACCTTTATGACCAGGTGTGAGCCAATAGATCTTATTACAAGAAGGCCGAGAAATATGGAGACACGTTTAAATAAATAATAATTTAATGGACCATGTAACAGTCCTGTAATTATATACGGCTAGTTATTTTATTAACAATGCCTGTTCGATGGATATTGAAATACAGTATTATCAAGTGGTGCCATATGATGCACATCAAGTCCGTTAACCACGTGCAGAAGAAGTGGTGTGCCGATCAGGAATATACCAACCAAATCCGACGGGGTTTGCTAACCGCATGTTCTAGATATATCTTAATACTGGTAGGAATCTCCTGGTTGCACCAGCCCACAGGGGATTATTGTGTCCGTCCGTCGTGCATCCAAAAATGGGAGGGGTGGGGGAAAAAAAGATGGAAATATGGTTTTCGGGGGGGGGGGGGGCAGAGCTTTGTGACGTCATATTTGAGAGGGGGTCTGACTTTGTGACGCCGTGTGACGAAGGGGGGGGGGGTCAAAAATCGTACAAAATCGCGTGACGTCATTTATGGGCGGCCCCTTACCCGCAAATTCAACGATGACATAAAAATGCAACGTACCGGGCGCAGCATTATCCAGCATTTTATTTCTATTAGAAGCCACGGTTCACTATCATTGACAAGCCACTAGGGGCGCTAGTGAATAACTGCCGCGGATTACGTAACGCAACTGTGGTGACGTCACAACACGTTGACGTCACGTGCCGCGGTGCCCGCGGTCGTCACGAGTCGCGGTGACGTCACGCCAATGAGATCGTCGGCACGCCTGTAGGCGGTGACGTCATTTCTTGTCCCGCTGAAATCAAATTGGAGCATCTTCTTGTTTCTTTCGGTAAAGTCACGTAGAAGGGAAGTAATAATTTTTATTATTTTATTACTTCCCTTCTACGTGACTTTACCGAAAGAAACAAGAAGATGAATCCCTGCAGTCACGAAAGCTTTAAATCGAAACAAATTGGAGCAGTTGTGCTCAATAAGCAAACTCCTTAAAAGAAAAAACACAATACATATAATAATAGGCGACGTTTTAGACAACGACCCTTATAGCACAAAGAGACAGGCCAGAGAAAAAGGACAATTCGAGTTTTAAATTGCAATTTTACACCATGGTGATAACAATTGACAATGTCTTCTGATCAGTTTTTAAACACGCGTATGAATAGTTAATCGAATTGTGACTGAGTAACAGACACCAACCTTCAATAACAAATAAAAACACGAATATTACTCAATAAACTCAACCGAACTAAAAGTTAAATGCAGAGACATTTTCTGGCATAGGGACCGTCCATAAATGACGTCACGTGATTTTGGACGATTTTTGACCCCCCCTCGTCACGCGGCGTCACAAAGTCAGACCCCCCCCCCTCAAATATGACGTCACAAAGCTCTGCCCCCCCCCCCCAAATGAAACATGCTTCAAATCTCTTTAAACTATTATCATTGTAGCGCGTATTTAATGTGGCGCTGCACTCTGATGTTGTAGGAGAAAATATTTATTACAAAGTTTATTTAATTAAGTAGAACGTGTTGTCTATATTTATTTAAAGTTGCGCATTTTGATGTGACGTCACAAATCGTCACAAATGTCTGACCCCCCCCCCAGGTGCGTGACGTCATTTATATTTGAGGGGGGGGGGCTGACTTTTTGTGACGCCATGTGACGGAGGAGGGGATGGGTCAAAAATCGTCCAAAATCGCGTGACGTCATTTATGGACGGCCCCTGAACAAGTACTTATACTTATTCATATTCTTAGGTTTTTTTCGGTAAAGTCACGTAGGTAAGTACTTATACATCTATGACGGCAAAGGTCACCGTAGATATAAATAAGTTACTGCCCAACCCGAGCCATCGCTTGATGTTGTTGTTCATCGTTCCGAGTCTCCCCCTCTCGTCTCGCCCCTCGTTGACCAAAACCGCTCCCCGCCATTCGCCATCACGGCGCGCCTGTGCCAGGCAACGTGCACGTCCACTAAGTTGCGACTAGTTGGGGTGACGTCATAACCCCCTTCTCCCCCGCCGCCCGTCGGATGACGTCGCGAGACCCCCCTCCCCCGCCAGCGAGCATGACGTCATCCGCGCAGTGGCGGATGACGTAATTTCCGGCAAGTGCGTGCTCGCGGCGCGGTGACGTCATCCCTGCTGGTGGTCGACGAGGAGGCGGCGGCGGCGGCGAGCGGCAGCAGCAGCAGCGGCGGCGGAGGCGGCGGCGGCAGCGGCATGGCCGACACCGGAGCGCAGCGTTTATTGTTCACCGAGGACCTCGTCTCCGCGAGCTCGGCCTCGGGCGAGCCCAGATACGGAGTCGTGGGCCTCATCCACGGCGACATGAGCAGCGGCGAGAGCTCGGAGACGGACGACGAGGAGAACAAGGCCAAGCCGCTCAAGCGCGGGTTCGTGCGCGTCCAATGGTACCCGCTCGGCAGCCGGCAGGACGCGAAGGAGTGCAAGGTGAGGGGGGGGGGCACGGGCCTGGAGGGGGGGCACGGGCCTGGGGGGGGCACGGGCCTGGGGGGGGGCACGGGCCTGGGGGGGGCGCGGGGGGGGCACGGGCCTGGGCGGGGGTGGGAGACGTGGGGGGGGGGAGACGTGGGGACACGGGGGAGACGTGGGTGGGGAGACGGGGGGGGGGGGGAGACGTGGGGCGAGAGACGTGGGGACATGGGGGAGACGTGGGGCGAGAGACGGGGGAGACGTGGGTGGGGAGACACGGGGGGGGGGAGACGTGGGGCGAGAGACGGGGGAGACGTGGGGTGGGAGGACACGGGGGCAGCAGCAGCAGGAGACGATGTGGGTTTCGGGGACACGGGGGAGAGGAACGTGGAGGCGCGCGGCGAGAGGCGCGATTCTGTTGGCGGTGTGGCAGGGCCATGCCGAGGGGCATGGGGGACTTGGGGGGGCATTACGGGGGGGGGGGGGGCATTGGGGGCCTGGGATGAGAGCGATGCGGGGAGACACACGGGGTGTGTGTGTGGTGTGTGGGGGGGCAGACGGCGAGGCACGGGGAAGCGCGGGGGGGCGGGGGAGCCGCGGGTAGGCCCAGGAGCCTGCGGGGAGTCCAGGCCGAGGCGCCGGGCTGGTGTGGGCACCGTGGCGCCGGGGCCGGGCGGCGGCTCAGCGCTGTTGGCTCGGGGAGCCCGCGGGGAATCTCCGCGCTTGGGAGACGGGAGCCCCGGGGGGGGAGGGGGGGGTCGTTGAGGTCGGCACAGAAGCCGCGGAGGGGTCCAGGGTGGCGGCCTAGGCCCTGAAGGCCCGGCCTGCCCCCCGTGCTGTGCCGGGCGAGACGCCGGACAACGCAACGCCCGCTGCTGTTGATGTTGATGGATTGTCGGTGATCATTCATCTTCTTCACAAAGGTGGTCATTCCATTGCGTTGTTTTGTTTCTCGCTTCGTCAGGCACCACCACAATAATTGTAATGGCCGTTGACGTCTGTCTGGTCGAGGACCCTCCCCTCCCCCTCTCCACGTACTCGATGACAGGGGAGTGAGGCTGCGTCTACCCCACCCCCGACCATTCTCCATCCACTGCTGGATGTCGACAACGGCCAGCACATCGTGTAGTAGTAGTAGTAGTCGTATACTGCATGGACACACACACGTTGACAGCGGCCGGCCCCCACGTGGGGATTGTTTGACCATACTTCACCACGCTGGTCCCCCGTCTGTGTGGACGATATCCAGGGGGGTGGTTCTGGTATCGCTCGCCGTGGCCTGGGATTGGAACTGGGGTGGGTTAGGTTCGGAGTTGAGTGCGGCCACCACTGCAACACCGCTACTGTCAACTCGTGTCGTGTGCGTTTTAAAGGTGACCTGGATCACACAGTGGGAGATCGAATACGTGAAATAAACTCAATACAAACGTATAAATGCAGAAGAATAGGTTGGACCTTTATTGGAAATGAAACAGAAGTTCATCTTCTTGGTTCTTTCGGTAAAGTCACGTAGAATGGAAATAATAAAATAATAAAAATAAAACATAAAATAATTCTCACGACATTTCAGCCACAATGCAAGCAGCCGTCCTCAGGTGGAGAGCAGGTCTGTCGAGGAGACAGTCTGAAACAGAAGTTGTGTTAAGATGTTCAAACACCAAATAGAAACCTTTTGCAAGGAATCAAATACTTGCATTAAGCATATTTACTTGGTGGTGAACATGCTAACAAACATGATAAGATAATACATGGGGCATTGTCTTCGAAACTGCTCGGCCTACACCAAGTCTCACCAGTGTCACACCAGAGAACGCCAAAGGCGAATAGTGTAGCAATACACGTACACTACAACACAACAAAAGTTAGCCATACAACACGTGCACAAATTACATTCAAGTTTAAATCAAAATAAGCTACTCTTCTGTAGACGTTAAAATATTGGTGCATGTTTATGCACTTTAGTTTCTAATTCATGATTCAAACGCCCGGCTAATGGAATTTCCTTAAACCTCCCCAATGTTGGGTCACTCTGAACCGAGTCCCGGCTTCTCATTGAAGCTCAATCATTGTCATTATAACGTCATTATTCTGCCTCAGTTGTGAATTCATGCAGGGCTTTGTGCGGACAAGGATGACGCCTAACCCAGGCCTTTCAAACGGCCTGGGTTAGGCGACACCTAATCAATATTCTTGTCTTTGGGTCTTGAGGTTGCGGCGATTCCTCAGAAGTCAGAGTGAGTTTTGGCCCCTCCTGAGATTCTGGAATTGAATCGAGGCAGCAGTGATTGTTACATCACCCTCATGGGAAAGTCGGTGGACCCCCCCCCCCCCTTCTTTGTGGACCGTAGCTCACTGAAACGTATCTCAGTGGTAGGTCTGTGATGTCCTCTTCCACGGGCAGTTCTGCTCTGCGAATAGATTCACCGTGGCTTGCCTCGGAGAGCACAATCAGAATACAATCTCGGGGCTGGAAATAAAGGCAACGTTAAATATTCATTTCTAAAGTCGCACAACACCGAGTCTCCACACGCCACATCTCGCTGGTAGGTAGGGATGAGTGTTAACTGAGAGATGTTGTTAGAAGAAAGGTGTTGGGGCATGATAGGTGGTGTGATTGGAGAGGTGGTGTGGTTAGACACGTGGTTATAGAGGTGTTGTGGTTAGGTAAGTGTTGGGGCCAATTAGGTCTTGTGATTTGAGAGGTATTATGATTAGAGAGGTCTTGAGGCTAGAGAGGTGTTGTGGTTAGACAGATGTGGTGAGAGAGTTGTTGGGGCTAGATGATTGGTGGTGTGGTTAGAGAGGTGTTGTGGTTAGAGTGGTGTTGTGGTTAGAGTATGTGTTGTGGTTAGAGTGGTGTTGTGGTTAGAGTGGTGTTGTGGTTAGAGTGGTGTTGTGGTTAGAGTGGTGTTGTGGTTAGAGTGGTGTTGTGGTTAGTGGTGTTGTGGTTAGAGTGGTGTTGTGGTTAGAGTGGTGTTGTGGTTAGAGTGCTGTTGTGGTTAGAGTGCTGTTGTGGTTAGAGTGGTGTTGTGGTTAGAGTGGTCTTGTGGTTAGAGTGGTCTGTGTGAGAGTGGTGTGTGGTTAGAGTGGTGTGGTTAGAGTGGGTTTTGGTTAGAGTGGTGTTGTGGTTAGAGTGGTGTTGTGGTTAGAGTGGTGTTGTGGTTAGAGTGGTGTTGTGGTTAGAGTGGTGTTGTGGTTAGAGTGGTCTTGTGGTGAGAGTGGTGTTGTGGTTAGAGAGGTGTTGTGGTTAGAGAGGTGTTGTGGTTAGAGTGGTGTTGTGGTTAGAGTGGTCTTGTGGTGAGAGTGGTGTTGTGGTTAGAGAGGTGTGTGGTTAGAGAGGTGTTGTGGTTAGAGTGGTGTTGTGGTTAGAGTGGTGTTGTGGTTAGTGCTGTTGTGGTTAGAGTGGTGTTGTGGTTAGAGTGGTGTTGTGGTTAGAGTGGTGTTGTGGTTAGAGTGGTGTTGTGGTTAGAGTGGTGTTGTGGTTAGAGTGCTGTTGTGGTTAGAGTGGTGTTGTGGTTAGAGTGGTGTTGTGGTTAGAGTTGTCTTGTGGTTAGAGTGGTCTTGTGGTGAGAGTGGTGTTGTGGTTAGAGAGGTGTTGTGGTTAGAGAGGTGTTGTGGTTAGAGTGGTGTTGTGGTTAGAGTGGTGTTGTGGTTAGTGCTGTTGTGGTTAGAGTGGTGTTGTGGTTAGAGTGGTGTTGTGGTTAGAGTGGTCTTGTGGTTAGAGTGGTCTTGTGGTGAGAGTGGTGTTGTGGTGAGGTAGTGTTGTGGTTAGAGTGGTGTTGTGGTAAGGTGGTGTTGTGGTTAGAGTTGTGGTGAGAGTGGTGTTGTGGTGAGTGGTGTTGTGGTTAGACGTGGTGTTGTGGTTAGAGTGGTGTTGTGGTGAGGCGGTGTTTGTGCCGAGCTGCTCGTTGTGGTTTGTTCTCGTGAACCGGCGGCTGGCAATGGATGTCTCCAACCATCTTCCTACCCACGGCACCTTCACTCACGCACTGCCATGCCTTCACGCCGATTATGTAATCACAGTGGCTGTCGATACCAAATTGCACGTGTCGTTTTTGCAAATCGACAGCAGCGTAATTTGAATCGTCTACTTCTTAATGACACCAGGCACTGCACCATCTCTCGCAGCCCTGGTGGAGGGTGAAGTTAAATGTGTTGTACGAGAGTATTGTGTTTACGCAATGCTTGCTCGCGCAAACAGCAGTCACAGTAATATGCAACGCGTTTTTTTTCTCTCTCTCTCTCTCTCTCCCATTTTGCTGCTTTGCAGCAAGTTGATGCCAGCGAACGTAAACACCGCTGTTTTACACTCATTGTTTTCAAATTGCTATACAGTGTTAAAAAGACAGGTTGGTTTACCCCCCCCCCTCTCTCGTACATGTGTACCAGCCCTTTGGCAGTCCCACTGCGGGGTGTGTGTACGTGCGTTGAACTTCTTTCACACCCTACGTGGCCAACGGCGCCGATCGGAGGTGGATGCCTTTCCACGCGGTGGCGTAGTCGTCGGAGTGATTTGACCACGTTTTACCAAAACTGCTCTGGTGGTTTGGTGTCCATGAGGGAGAGATGCCTCGGACGGCTTCCTGCACCGCCGATATAGCCCGGTTGTCTACGTACTGTGCAGAAGAAGTTCAGCATGCGGAACATATCACGCTCGCCACTGATGTGATGTAAGCTCGTCAGATAGTCGTCTTCTCCCTGTCTCACCCCCTGCCCCACAAATTGATTAATGATTAGTATCTGCATCAATTCGAGTTGATGTAGTTAGGGACGTCTAGGTTTTTGTGGTTGAATATTTTTGCCGTGTCCCTCACCAATGAGCCAAAATATTTTTTTGCATGCTGCTTGCATGCCGTTTGTGTGTAATCGATTCTTGCATCATTTGACTGCGTGCATCGTGAGGGTAATAATCAATGTTCATGGATGCATTGTTGCATGACTGATGCGTGATGGTATAATTAGTAATCTGTGCTCGTGTCAAAACCATAATATACTGCGCCAGCATTGAACCATTGCGGCATTTGTTCAGTAAATGTTATTGTCAAGTACTTATATGTAGCAGCAATGTATGGTTTTAAGGTTTTCTTATCTAATGACCAGCCATTCTGAACCATTATTAGCTACTGCTAGATGAAGGCTTCCCCTAACCGTCGTCATTCCTCAGGGCCTTACAATGCAGAACTCAGCGTAGCCACTGCATATAAACGAATATCATTGCTCAGTCTGTGTGCTCGACAATCCTTTTTTCCGTGTTTACTCCTTCGGCTGCCTCCATATTTATGACCACCACGAGCCACCGTCCCCTTCTCACCGTAACGTGTCCTGCCGAAAGGCCACTTCCGTTTCGTGGCATGTATGCGTCTCTCCGTGCCTCCTTTCGGCACTTGTGAAAGCTGGATCGGTGAAATAAAGGCATACACTTTCAATGGAGACAACATCAACCGCATCTTGAGTGTCCTTGCTGGAAAGGTCATCATAATTTACATCTTTGGAAGATACATTTACACTTATATTGGCCATTTAAATCTCCCACATCCTAAAATGTTTTCTCAATATTTCACTGCACCTTCTATTTCTCCTGTGAAGAAGGCGTGCTTTCAGACACATTCGCATATGTGTTTTTGTTTCAGCCATAAGCAAAGTGTTTTCTAACGATGTTTTATTTAGCAAATTGACTGGTGATCTTACGGTGCGCGAACACCGACTTGTCTTTCAGCTGAAGCTCGTAGACCGATCTTTGATGCCGAGAGACATCGTCAGACGTGGCGGGAATCAGTTGGTAAGTGCCTCGCGCGGCTCCACGCAACACTGCAGATGATGCATTGAATGTACAACAACATACCACTTGTGCGGTTGGGTGAATTGTTACATCGGTGATTATGGTCTGAACAGAAGATGATCTGGGAAACCTAGTACAGGTGGCAACTGTTAATTCACACATTCACTACACATGCATAGAAATGTGTGTATACGCCAGATTCGATTACACTGCAGGAAATGGTTATCACGAAACACTCTCCTCTCTGTTGTCACCCGCTGAATTTGTTGAAGCAAATTATTCGATTGTACTGCATTTGACAGCAGTGAAGAAGCAACAAATATCAGAAAGCTCAACACAATTGTCAATACCACTCTGGCCATAAAAGAAACGTGTGATGGGTGATGCTTTGGCAAGGGGGCTCTTCTTCATAGCACACATAAATAGGGCGAGAGAGTGAATACGATTTGGATGCTGCACGATACACCATGAAAGCATGATATGAAATAAAATGTGAAAATGTTTTCTGATGAACAGTTTTAAATTGGCATATGAACTGTTACGCTCTTAGTAGATATTTAGCAACAGGTGCACACCCTTGGATAATAAAAAATGTACTACAAGATGTTGCTGGCACATTTTTGGTAACCCTGTTGCAGTGTGGTCTCTTGTTTATCAACTTGAACGCAAAATCATTAAGCATTATCTGCTTAGAGACTCATCATTCCTGGGCTCGGTTATCATTTCGGTCGGATTAACGACGCTGTCGAGAAACCTACCGATCCGCCAACCCTCTGGATATACCAGTTAATGCTCACCGATGGGAGGGACAGAGCAGTGCAAGCGAGATAGACAAATCTAGATTTGAAGTTTAATCAAGATTTGAAGATCGACAAAACCTGAGAAACATTGCAAAACGATGAAAATAGAGAAACGATTATCGAGTTAAATTGTAACCACAAGCAATTATAACTCATCAAGTTTATTTGGTCATGCCCTTGAGCTGTTGTCACGATTTTTTTTTATAAAAATGCATCGTCACTCTCACTACAAGTCCCCAGGGCAGAGCTTGATGGGTGGTTTGTCATCGCTGCTCAGTGGAGTCTCATTCACGTGAAGAGCGCCAGCAGCACTGGGGCACGCGGACGCCTTTCATGTTTGAACCAAAAGAAACTGGCCAACCCACTGCCCGAGACCCTGTTGCGTGGAACAGGAAAGGAATTCACCGACTTGAACCTTTTAATGAGCGGCAGAGACCGAGACCTTGACGTGAAACTCAGCTTCAGCCTTTGCCCAGCTGTGTTGATCTTCGATTTAAAGCTTTCGTGACTGCAGGGATTCATCTTCTTGGTTCTTTCGGTAAAGTCACGTAGAAGGGAAGTAATAAAATAATAAAAATAAAACATTATATTATTTTATTATGTTTTATTTTTATTATTTTATTGCTTCCCTTCTACGTGACAGTTACCGAAAGAAGCCAAGAAGATGTGTTGATCTTGTCGCCACTCGTGGTGTTTCTGCGTGCACGGGGGAGCTGTGGCGCGCAATTGCGAACCAGGCCACCTGAGTTTTGAGTCCCTGGCCAGACCTAGTGACAGCGGCGAGAAGAAATATCTCAAGCAGGTCTGGGAAAACTCGCCTGTAAATAAGCAGCTAACAGAGGTGGACAGTATCTAACCTATACGTTATTTAATCATGTAATTTTGTGACACGAGTAATTGGCACCTTAATTACACAGCTCAAAGTAATTGGTAATATGTATCTTAATTACATTAGACATACAATTTTGATTTAAAGCTTTCGTGACTGCAGGGATTCATATTCTTGGTTCTTTCGGTAAAGTCACGTAGAAGGGAAATAATAAAACAATATTCATATATTATATTTAATAATATAACCAAGAATACATTAGACATGGTTATTTGTATTTTAACTACATTCCTCCAGCAGTTTGTAATTTTAATCTCTTATGTCGATCTTCAGCGGCGTACTGCCTGGTGCAGAGTGTACCAGAATCAGAATCTTTATTTAGATTTCAGGAGGAATCTCATGAGCTATAAAGCTCTTGTTTTACAGAAGGCCATGAGGGGTGGGTCAGAACGTTACAACATCAAACAAAAAAAACACGATAGGAGCACGAAGTTAAAGTATAGCAAGATAAGCGAATCACGAGAAATATATATATATATAAATCTATGTTTATTTTACGAGGTGAAGCCCACTGAGCTATTAGATTCTTCTTCAGAAGCGATCTGGCCCACAAGCGTTAGCTCAACGAAGTGGTTTATCGCGTGCAAATCTATCGCAGCCATAAAATCTAAAGGCATGTTTCTACATCAGCACTGGGAAGATAAAGGCGTCGTGGTGGTTTGTGCCGGCCACGTCACCCACCAATGGGTTGCTTTGGCTCTAAATAGGCGCTTGCGAACGCCACTTGGCCCAACCCTTCTGTGTCGGCTATACGGTTGATGCGTGCCATTTGTGCGTGCTGCAGGAGGCTCAGTCTGGAACCGTGCTTGATGTCAAGGTCTACTGCACCGTTGTGCTGCTCGGATCTGGAGAAATGATCTACCCCGTGAACACCAGAGACCTTAGCTACTTCACGGTGAGTGCGGCAACACCCAACGTGAACTTTGTCGCTTGGTCAACGGAATGCGTTCTCGTCATCCAGCGGAAGTGTGCCAGAATGAGTGACTCCTGTACATATCCGTCGAGTTAACTCACTCGCCTGGGAATACCGGAGGTCGTGCGTTCGACACCGACCCTCTGTCGTCTGTAGATTTGGAGTTTCCATGTTCTCCATGGTCACGTGGATTTTTCTCCGGGTCTTCTGGTTTTTCCCCTCCACATCTAGAAATATGCATTTAGAGTATTTGGCTGCTATACATGTCCACATTATAAGCCACTTCGTTGAGCTATCATTTGTGGCCAGGTCGCTTGTGGAAAAAAGCTACGTAGCCCTTTGACCTTGCCCGGTAAAATAAAAATAGTGAAATTAACTGTAAAGGCATTGCGACATAACCATACCTGTACGTGGGACCCATATTTTAAATGCTGCTTGAAGCGCGATGAATGTTTCCTGTTGTGATAGCTGTACACCCCGTGTTTGCCGCTTCTCACGAGCTTCATCGGTATTCCTCAGCCGTATGCGTATGGGGACTACGTGCAGATGGATTGCTGGCTGGGACGTGTGCTTGACGTCAAGTCGCAGTTGATCATCACACTGTCGAATGGCGCCAGGTGAGACTCAACTCAACGTCAACACTGGACACCTCAATCTAGATTTGAAGTTTTCGTGACTTCAGGGATCCATGCTCTTTGTTCTTTCGGTAAAGTCACGTAGGTAGATAAAATTAATTAAATCACGACGTTTCGATTGCAACACAAGCAATCATCAGGTGGGAAAAACACAGCGAGATTTTTTTTTTTCCTCCCACTTCAGCAAAAAAATTCTTGCTGTAGTTTTCCCACCTAATGATGATTGCTTGTGTTGCAATCGAAACGTCGTGATTTGATTTATTTTACTTTTTTCCTACGTGACTTTACCGAAAGAACCGAGAGTACTGTACACCTCACCCCCTGGATCAACTTCGTGACCTGCACGCATGTCAAAACAATTTACCCCCCACCCCGCCTGCCCCCTCAGAATTTTCAATGAATTGTAACGATTGTGAAGTTTTGATGTCGTTGAAGAATGAATCATTCTTGTGCTCTCCTTTCTAGTCTCGATTGATTTGCCTGCCTTGTTTGTACTGTCTGTGGCGCCCATCTGTACTGTGTGTCATTCGTCTTTGATATATATTTCTGGGTCAGATCCCGTAAGTAAAATTGCGTGTCGTAAACCCTCCGCCCGATCCTGGCTCACTGCCTGACGATGCCAGTTGTAACTCTCAGCGGAACGTCGTACCCATTTAAATGTTGAGGTTTGACCCACGAAATGGATTACAATTCATAATATTGTTTGCAAAAGCCTACCCGTCGGTACTGTTCGCCTCGTCTGAAATCTGTCTTTAATGTACCATCTTGTTGCCCCCGGTGAAGCTTGGGGTTTTTTCCGGCAATTCCAATTTGCTTCCACATAGAGCCAAACGCTTACTAATGGAATTGGCCAAACATTTTCATCCAGCACCCTCCTGAAAAAAAGCTTGCAGACTCAGTCTTGTTCTCCTGGATATATAAATAAATAAAACATGTGACAAGCGACTGTGTGACTAGCTGCCGGCACACGTGTGTGTGTGTATAACAAGTTACCGACGTGTATTGTTCCATGAGGCGAGTCCACCTCTTTCAGATTGTTTTAAACAATCACTCACAGCGCATGTACGTATGTACGCTGACGTAGCCAAACCGTGATAATCGGCGGTGCGGGCTGTGCACTGACATTACCTTTCCCTCACCTCTGGCCACCCAGCAGTGTGTATGGGTAACCACAGTCGATTGGGCAGTTCTCGTGCAGTGGGGTAAAGTGTGGGTACTCCCCCCTCCTTGAAGACGTTTGACCAGCATGGAAGAATTGGCCAAATACTGCAGCAGTGTCATGAGCAAGTAATGGCGGGGCTGCACATCTTAATGTTCGTTAGTTCAACCAAGTTGGTTGTTAATGCCTCATGGTCATGTTTCGGTTTATTTATAATCCTCATCTATGAATAAGTCGCCTACATTCAGGGGGCTGGTGTCATCCGTGCAGGTGCCGGTGTGAACCCAATCTCCTCATTACAGTCCCCTTACTACGATCTGTCATACCTTGACCGTAGCCGTGACAGGCCTCCCGCGTAGAGCAGAGTTCCGTGATGCCTCGTGTGGCACGGAGACCTGGGAGCCCATTGCGCTGATAAGCGTGCAAATCCTTGAATGCATTGCTCACACACTGTAATCGTGTATTTGCTATTGTAGCCGCCTTCACCTACCCACTGTGACCAGCGCGGTGAAGTATTGTCCACGACCCACACGGCATGGGGGAGGCCCCGCTTCCAGCAGTGGATTGACAGAGGCTGTCCATGTACGATGTTTGTTAACAGTGGTATTGTAGTTTTAATTTCCCCTTCCCCCCCCCCCCCCCGCTGCCCCTCGTGGTCTGGTGGCAGCGATTGGGCATGGAGTTGCCATTCACTGGTCGGGCTGCCTGTAGCTACACATCAACTGCAGTGGCGGGCACGGTTACATTGGGAGTCTGGGAGAAGCCTGTAGACAGTGGTGGTGGTGGTGGCAGCAGAGGGAATGTACTGGCTGGCGCCTCGTGATGTATTGTATGGGAGGAGCATTTATAAATAATAAACGATGATTATGATGATGAGTGTGTACTTAAGCCTAGGCAGGTAGCCCCCTCTGCCAAACCCGACCCTAACCTACCAGCCAGACCACTGCCCCTCCACCCCACTAAAACGAAAAGGACTGCGTTCTAAACAATTGTGAGGTTCGAGGAATGGCAAAGACTGGAGAGGAGTTAACGGATAGTTTAATTGGAAGAGATTTGTCAAATTTTTGTTACGGCATTCTGCATACGAGCCTGCAGAAAGACCTCGGCAAAGATACGCGCAACTACACCACAAAAGGGTGGCAACTGACAGCCAATGGTTTGATAACCTCACGGAGGAGCAGAGTGGTCTCAAGGTAAAACAAATGCATCATCAGGGCAGAGGACAACAAAAGCGGGGATCCTAGGCGGCCACCCAAGCTCTTCGCAAAGAGATCGCACGATTGATTAATTTATTTGAAAGGGTTTCAGGAGAATCACTTTGTCAAGTCCTCCTGTGCAAGGCCTTCTGCGCCGAGGTGGCCTGGTGGCTCCGAGGAAAGCGCTGGAGCTCTGAGCTTAAATCCTGAATCTGAATCGGAGTTTTCGGCCACCGGTGATTACACTGGGCCGTCAAGTTTCATGAGATGATGCTCTCAGGCCTGGTTACCAATGATTTCACAACATCTGTCACAAAGTGTTTTTCACTGAATTGTATTTCTTTACACTTTTACGATTAACTTTGATACGGGGGGTGGGGAAATATTTACAGAATGTCAAAGTGTGTTTGCTGCACCTTCCTCATACTGGATTTGACGTAATTTGTTAACTTTTAAATGTTGAAATTTACTTTTCATTCGATTACCAAGTTACTCATGGTCCATAGGCAGGAGTAGCATGTGCTCAGCATGCCGGACAGTGTGTTGATGTTTTGGTGTTCTATTGGTGTGGGTGTGATGATGTGTTTGGTGTTAGTGGGTGTGATGATGTGATTGGGGTTCTGCTGGTGTGGGTGTATTGATGTGATTGGTGTTGGTGAGTGTGATGATGTGATTGGGGTTCTACTGGTGTGGGTGTGATGATGTGATTGGTGTTAGTGGGTGTGATGATGTGATTAGTGTTAGTGGGTGTGATGATGTGATTTGTCTTCTGCTGGTGTGGGTGTGTTGATGTGTTTGGTGTTAGTGGGTGTGATGATGTGATTGATGTTAGTGGGTGTGATGATGTGATTTGTATTCTACCGTTGTAGGTGTGCCATGAGCGTGGACGACGCCTGCAAACTTCAAGACGTGAATCCTCACCCAAGTGACTCGGTAAAGCTCTACCAATGTGCACACGTGATCTTTGTTTTTAAAATGTATTGCCATTGCACCACAAGTTAATGTATGACCTTGTTTTTTATCTAAAAGTTAAACGTTAAATGCTTACATTTCCGCCCGGCAAATCATCCTCTATGTCGCAGATCTTGTCAGGATTTAAGAATCCAAGCAGTTTTAAGCCTCAATAACACTTGGATGGATGACTGCATGGGAATGCCAGGTATTGTAGGGTTTATCCTGTGAGGCAGCCAGGTACAATGGATTATTTTACCCGTCTGTGGCCGAGATTTGACTATTACCCGCTTTCTCTCGGTGTACCCTGCGTACCTCACACGTGTCAAGCACTCGCAAATGGAATTGGTCAAATGCGTAACCCTTCTGAAAAGTAGTCTGTAAAAGACTAAGACTCTTCTGGGTAAGCGTAGACCATTTTGATGATTGTTATTATTTGATCAACACCCTCAAATGTCACTTCACTTGTATAATAATTACGTACACCCCTTTTGGCAATCCACTGCTCGGTGAAAACCTCCCTGCTCTGTTTGGCAAGGAGGGTTTGTTTAGCCATACTTCACCGCACAGGTCTATGGGTTGGTGAAGGGGAACGGTGGACCAAGGACCATCTTGGATATCACTTGCCGTCGATGTTAGCCATGGCTGGCAATTGAACCCAGGTCGCTGGGTTTATAGCACAGTGCGCTAACTGCTGCATCGCCACTCTCCTCGCTTAAATTCATCATCCTGAGCCCTTTATCAATCTTCTACTGAATGAAGGCCTCCCCAAGTCGTCGCCGTTCTCATGATCCTGCCACGCAAAAGCCACCCAATACCTGCGCACGAGCACATTTAAAATATATATATTACATAAATGTAGCGCTGCAAATTTTTTGGCAGCATTATATTGACTGGTTCCTAAATCCTCATTGTTTCCCGAGCGCACGGCGTGAACCGGCGTAAACCACTCACTCTGCTCTTTTGTTGCCACTGCGTGCCGTTTCGTTGTGTGCGCGTTGTTCAGGGAGTGTTTTTCAGCGAGCACTCGGGGTTCTACCCCAGCCAGTTGCTCATTGGGCCATCCAAGTCCTTTGCGAACGTGCAATGGTTGTCTGGTGTGAAGCCAGTTATCCGAAAGAAAAGCAACTTTAAAGCTCTGGTGGAGAAGGTAAGAGCTGACCTAACATCCTTCACTAATTATCGCGTCGTTCAACATGCCGGCAGCCTTGATTTGAAGCTTTCGTGACTGCAGGAATCCATACTCTTTGGTTCTTTCGGTAAAGTCACGTAGTTAGGAATAAAATAAAACAAATCACGACGTTTCGATCGCAACACAAGCGGTCGTCATCAGGCAAAGGAGTCAGCCTCTAAAGGCAAACTGTTCATAAAGGTTTGGGGATGGGTATAGCCCAAGTGCATCAACAACACCGAAGCACGGGTGGTGCACGAGTGCCAATGCAGCAGCAATGCCAATGCAGCAACAATGCCAATGCAGCAACAATGCCAATGCAGCAGCAATGCCAATGCAGCAGCAATGCCAATGCAGCAACAATGCCAATGCAGCAACAATGCCAATGCAGCAACAATGCCAATGCAGCAACAATGCCAATGCAGCAACAATGCCAATGCAGCAACAATGCCAATGTAGCAACAATACCAAACGCTGGAGATGCAGAGGGAAATTAACTAGGAAAAATAGACGAGTACCCGGCAGATATGATGGAACAACCATGAACAGTTAAGGTTTTACCTGGTTAATAACATCCTTCCAATGATTACTCAATTTTTATCCATCTTCTCGGTTGAAGTTATGTCTGTTTATGAAACCATCCGGATATATAAACTACGTGACTTTACCGAAAGAACAAAGAGTATGCCGGCAGCCGCATACAGTTATCTCTCGACTTATCCGTGGGTGGATTATCCGGGTTGCGAGTGAATTAACCCAGGGACCGGTTATGATGTCACCAACGATGCCTCGAAATGGGGTCGCTGGAATCTTAGCGCAGCGTGCGAACAACCGCATGACGATGGTCCAACTTAGGTTATACTGTACACTGTTGGCAGGATTCAACGAAGTCTGTTGATTTTTTTTTACGGTGGAACATATTTCTGTAAAAATTCAAGCGTGAATGTACATCGTTGTCGTCTCCCCTTGCAGGTGGAAGTGGCCACGATGGAAGTGCGGTGGATCACCATGGGTTACTCTTCTGGGAAAGCAGTCTCTTCCATAGACCCGCCGAGTTCAATCGTTACGCAAGAGCTCCTACCAAGGTACCATCGGCATTATGCATATTGATACACGTATCCAAGTGTGAGGCTGGTTAATGCCTTTCATTTTTGTCCTCGGTCAACTATCATCGACACACAAACCTAATAATATTTAAGAAGGAAAGGAGACCCTGCCAGTTTCTTTATTTTGGTATTCATATTCAACACAGCGACGATGATGATGCTGATGATTCTTTTTAGTTCTGCATTGTATAAATTTGCATCAGACTAGGACTCTATGTCGAAGAGAGGGTCCTTGCCTGTAAGATGGGCAGTTCAGTTGCATTGCTTTAAGAAATCTGGACTGCTGATGAGACACTGCATATCTTTGCAGGAATTCATATTCTTTGGGTCTTTCGGTAAAGCCACGTAGATATAAAAATAATATTATTTTGTATGTGTAAGAATGTTTTTTATCTGGGAGAGATGGATATGTGAAGGAGATGCTCGCTTGTTTATTTTGTGAGTAATATTTAATAGGAGTACCATATTCTCCAGATTAGGAGAGGCACATTTCCCACGTGTATATTTGATAAAAAGTTTGGCGGCGCACGTTATAATCCTGCAGGTGTATGTATGTGCGAGACCAGATTAGCGTCGCTTTGTTGACACGTGGTACAAGTTCTGGATGCATCTTACTTTTCAGAATATGTTAATGTATTTTATATATTTTTTTTATCAAAGAAAGCTTCACTGCGTCTAGACATTTTTTGTAAGGTCTTTGATTTGTTATGAAGATGACAATTTTATTTTGATACGTGTTTGATTTATTACTTAAGTATTACTCACAATCCACCCAAGTTGAGCATCATGCAATTTGTACAGTTTTGCTGTACTGCTTTTAGCAGAATGCAATGTCGCAGTTTTTATTTCGGTGGCGAGACTGCCGATTGGCCTCGCAGAGTCTACACTGGTCATAGAGCTTACCTGATTCGTAAAGGAACAAGATGCAAAACATTGGTCCAGAAATCTCACAAACAGACGGACATGAATGTCTTTCATTATTTTGTGGGAGCGATTCGTACCCTTGTCTGTTTCCTCTGACCATCTTCGGATGACTACGGGGTGTCCCACTTATCCTTCGCCGCAAATGCTTCGTTTCTCCAGAATTCAGAGATTAAACTTCTACGACCACGCACGAATGATGATGGGGGAGCGCGTCATGTACAACATCAGCTCCAGCGCCAAAATCTTGCACGGCAAACCAGACAAGGACTTCTTTGATTGGAACCCGCCGTTGAATGAAAATGTTGACGATGACAAGGTAGGTGTCGCGATGGAACGTCGTGAACACGCAAATAGCGCGCATTATGATCGTCGGAGGGTGCGTGAAACGTTACAGTTGCTTGGCGTGCTTTTGTGCTTTTCTCACTCTCGATCGTGCTAGCCAGACTCAACTTGCTTAGCTTCCGAGATACGCGACCACATTGTGAAGGCATTTCTTGTCGTTTGGTTGTAACGCGAGTGTGGAGCACGGCGTACGTTGCTGCGGTTGCACGTGGCAATCACTGTGTAGTTTACAGGAGCGGGCAGTTGTGAATTTATATTGTCGTGTGTTGTTGCAGAGCGAAGAGCTGCATGTGGTGTGCATGTCTCCCAGCAACTCGGCGAGCCGGCTGGCTGGAGACTTGGCTGCCGCGGACGATGTAAACGGTGAAGGGAAAGAGTCTACGGTGAAAAAAAACGATGAAAATTGCGAAGATATTGCAGACAAACAGCGAGGGGCCTTTGGGGAACTTGAGGTGGCGCTTGGCGACAGGAGTCTAGTTTGGGAGAACCACACCCTGAGCATCGCCAATGACTTGGTGACGATTAGCTACACGCCTTTCTGCCACAGTTTCTCCGTTGACCACTTCACGGAGCAGCCAGGCGGGCGGGCGTTGCTCGCCTACCTGCACGGGAAGAAGGAGGAAGACGACCAGCTGCCGGTGTTGCTCCAGAGCTTCGTCAAGGAATTCTTAAAAAGCAGAGTGGCGGGCAACGAGAATCACGTCGTCGCGCGCGAAGCCGCGCGCAGCGACGGAGCGGTGGTGAACGACGACGGTAAGAGGCAGGGAGAGAGCGACGGCATGTTCAAACCCGTCTCCGGCTCCAAGAGGGCCAAGGTGTCCCCGACCGGACGCACGTCGGAGCCGGAGGACGGCGAAGCGGATTGGACGGACGAAAGCGACGAGACCAGTTCCGTCTCCTCCTTGAGTTCCACGGCATCCTCCCAGGGCTGGCCGCCCGGCAGAAGGAAGCAGCCGCTTCCGCTCAACGTGAAGAAGCTCAAGAAGAAGATGAAACAGAAGCGCAAGCCCAAGGTCACCCGTGAAATCCGTTGTGGTGACAGGTGAGCACGCGCCGTCCGTCCGGCGGAAGTGTGTGGCGCTTGAGCCAGGGGAGGTGCCCGCATCCCGTGTAAATGACTTGCTTGGCGAGGTCGCAGCTTGAACACCGTGAAGAAATCGATTCCTTTTTAAAGGGCTGCCCAGGGCAATGCGTTGTCTGCTCATCGTTTTTTAAAGTTCCCATCAGTAAATCCATTTTACGGAGCTTTATGGGCTGTCTTTTCGTGACCCTCACATGGCATGTAACTATCGTGTAGTGGCAACACATGGACTACACCTGCCTGCCGCCCCCCATCGTTGACTCGCCCCCTCTCGTGGCTGAACACGACAGGCCCAGACACAATAGCCCAGTGTTAAGGCAGTTGGTGGTGGCAGTCGTTGGCATCGATAGTTGCCCGGACCATTTTAAACGTCAGTTTCTCACTGGTCCTGCAATGTCATAATGCATGGGCGCCTGCAGTGGTGAGATGTTATCTGCTTGGCATGGTACGCAGGAGGTTGTGTTTTCGATCCCGTCCCTGACTCCTGCTGTATATTTGGAGTTTGCATGTTCTCCCTGTGGTCGCGTGGATTTTTGTCCGGGTCCTCTGTTTTTTTCCTTCACAATTAGAAACAACATCGCCCGTTTAGGAGTATTTGGCTGCAAAAAATTTGCACGTGATAAGCCACTTTTGTTGAGCTATCACTTGTGATTGCCAGGTCGCTTCTGAAAAAGAGCTGCGTGGCTCAGTGGGCCTTACCTGCCAAAATAAAATTAGTTGATCGTTTTTTTTATTGTTTCCATCACACTCCCGCACACGAGCCAATGCTATCGCTCCATCTCTGTGGCGGTCATCCCCTTGGACGTGCTCTCTCCTTTCCTTTGGCTGCCACCACTCCATCACGGTGCTTCACTCTCTCCGCCATCGTACCTCCCCGTTCACAAGCACGCGTTCTATTCTCGCCACGTCAATGTGGGGATGCTTCTGATTTGTGTTTGTTCCCTGACTATCTCGGTGTAATTCACAATGTGAATAACCTATCTACGTGACTGTACCGAAAGACCCAAAGAATATGATACTGCTCTTGTACTAATACCACCCACGTATATTTTTACTTGGACATTAGCCGACAACAGTCAACTCACGATTATCTGGAGTGGAAATACAAATCACGGGTTATGCACACATGTAAATATGTATTGTTTTATTACGTAGAATGGTGGTGATGATGATGATCTAGACCGGCAGTGTTGTTTTCATTGTTTCTTAAAGTGATTGGTCACTTGCCGGTGTGTTTGTGGTCACTTGAGTACCGAGTCACAGATGCGCACAGAGCGAGGAGCAGCTTGTATAACTAGAGACCGGATTACATACCTTTATTCCGCATCCCCGGAAAATCCATCCACGGATCATTGGGAGTTGGCTGCTTAAGTGAGTTTTTTTTCTTCTTCTATTGCTGCTGTAAGTAGCGTCTCCCTCTTGCATGTTCCAGGCTGGCAGTGGAGGTGGTTCACACCAAGACGTACGCAGACGTGATGTGGCAGAACGGCCAAGTGGAGGTGAATATCCGATCCAATGACTTGATTCCTGTGCAACACATGGATGAAAATGAGTTCTGGCCTGGGACATTTGTTATGGACAAACGAGGTGAGCAATCGATCATAGACGGACATCCGATGTCGCGTTCGCAGCTCGTACGTCGAATATAGTGGGACGGCGGTGGGTGTGCGCGCCCGAATTGCAGCGCTGTGGAAATGATGGTTGGTGGATCGCACAAATGTTGCGAAACTCCCTCCCTTGTAGGGGGCGTCGAGGTGCCATACCCCTGGCATGCCAGAAGTGTGTGGTACATGAAAGTGTGTGGACTAATCTTTCCATCGGTCCCTTCCCTATGGAATCGAGTGTTGCCCCCTCGCACTTGTGAGTATTTTCCGGGTGCTCCGGATTCCTCCCACCTATATATTAACATGCTTTTATTGGCTGAAAACATCTTTATATGTATAGGACCACACAGCTTGGGCAATTGTTACCGGCTCACCGCCTTGACTGTCTACCCGCTGGTCTGTGATTACTCGGCAATTGTGAGATGCAATTTGTATGAACGCCACTTTTTCATTCTTGTTTGTAAAAAATCGATTATTTAAAATGGTTGCAAATTATTTGTAATGTTACATACATCGGTTTGTGCATCGATTGTTGATTGCCAAGAATCGTTTCTGCGTCTATGAAACTTCTTTTGCCAGTATAAAAAAAAATGTTAAAAATAAGAATATATTTGACCCTTTCTGACAAGAAACCAGGTGTTAAGATGTTGTCCTTTTGGCGTGTTATGGTCTAACACTGGTGATGAGACAAGGCCATGAAGCAGGCTGTCTCTGGTATAGGCCAATCCGTTTCAAAGAAAATGCGTATATTATCAGAACATGTTTGTGTGCATGATTTGCCAAAGGTATGTGTAGTTAATGCAGACTTGATGCTTTGACAAAGGTATCTATTTGGTGTATGAATCGTTTATACAATCAATTATAGATTCCAAAAGTCACGTAATCAATAATCGAATGCACTTCACATGCTGTAATGGTTGAACTGATAGGCGCCCGAGAGTGTTCAAACCGCACGGTGCATTCCCATGCTGTTGATCACGTGACAATTCATGACGTCCAATATATTTAAAAAATCAGTTCCACCGGTAGATCACGGCCTCCCCACACACCGTATTGGTCGTGAGATCTTGCTCGGCTGTACTTCTCTGTGCTGGTCAGTGCGAGTCGGTGAAGACGCGAGGCCTATGACCGTTTTGAATATCAGTCGCCGCTGACGAAAACCATGACCGGGAATTTAACTCAAATCCGTCCGGTTCTCAGCGCAGCACGCTAATCGCCATGCCACGTTTCTACCCAGCCACCACTGTCTACGCAGTTTTTCGGTTTGTTTACAGAGCTGTCAAAGTCCCTGTCGTAAATGTTTCGCAGAGTCATCGGTCTATAACGAGCCCAAGGAAGTGTACGGCGTGGTCAAGTCTGCCGACCACAGGGGTCGAACCTGCTGCATCGCATGGTACACCTTGGATACGGACCGCTTTGGCATGAAGGTGAGAGCCCAGCGTTGACGTGTATGGTACCGGCATGCCCCTCCCAGTTTTTGCCAGAGAGCTCTTCACGTGTTGCTGCCTATACATTCAACACATTTGTGAAAAGTTGTCTTAGACGTAATGTGATTGTACCGACGTGGGAACAGATGCTGTTCACGTCCAAGTGTGTTTCTTCGTCATCACTATCATCGTTATCGTCATCATGTTAAATCTGCTACCGGACGAAGAAATGAAGCGAATAGATAATTCTTTACAATCGTGCCCCACCGATTCCATGTTGTTTGTCAGAGGATGCAATGTACAAGTGGATCCGATCTAAACTCGTTGGGCCTCACTGCAAAACGAGTTGTGGAGCACGTGTGAGGCATTGTGCTTTAGTGGCAGGAATACTATAAACCTTCCCTATATGGAGTTGTCAGAGTGGGTAAGGCAAAAAAGATTGTAAATGTTGTGGGTTACTAGTTCAGCACACCGGTGTGTTGGAGAGTAAAACCCAATTGTAAATGTTGTGGATTTACTCGCCAACACATCCGTGTGCTGAACTAGTAACGAATTGGTACGTTTTGCTTGCGTGACAAACCTCACTAATTGCCTGTGTGTGTGTTCGGGTCGTGGCGGGTTTAACGACACATTTATATTTACGCGATCTAACCAAAAAAAACCCCTCTATGGACAGTAATTGGTTGTCGTTGAAACTGTCTCTCTTGGAATCTGTTCACAGGCCCCGGTACTGCTTCATCAAGAAGAGGATGTCAGCGTTTACGATATCTCTGACCACGTAGACTTTCAGTTCCAGATCTCCGACACCGTTATCCGTTTGAGCAAAACCGAGATGATAATCCCAACCACCGAGGAGGTAATTGTGCAGCCGCATGTGCGTATATATGTATCTATGTATGTGTGTTGTATATATGTATATATGTATGTGTGTCGTATATATGTATATATGTATGTGTGTCGTATATATGTATATATGTATGTGTGTCGTACATTAGACACGGATGCTGTTTTCAAATTGTTTTTTCTTCGTACAAGTGTTACTTAACATGACTGAGGAGATGGCTTGTGATTTAATAAAGCAATGAAGTATTGGAAATATAAATGCCTTTGTTACTACAGAGGAACGTATTTAAATTGTGATGAAGGGAGAGACCAAACCCACAAATTTTCAAAAATTGTGGACTAATGTTTTGAAATATTAGGAAGCGGAGTCCACTTCCTACCATTTCCAAAAATTACTCCTGTGATCCGTGAGAAAGGTCATGAATAAATACAGACTTGTATAATTTCGGCTTGCGGTCGACTACCGTGCCTGTGGTCTGTGATAATCACGGATAACAGGAAGAGACTGGAAGGTCGGCAAGTAACTTGCCGACCTTCCCCTACTGGACATGTGTGGAAAAAATGAGCTTCATAGCTCATCAGATTCCTCCAGGATAAATGAAACATTCCGATTCTGACACGCTCAACGTGTTTCAACCATAACTTGTTTTCTTTTACATTTGCCGGCACTTACATCGACAGCCTTGGTTAAGCTGGCTCAGGGGGAGTTGCAAGGGACGGCCTTTATTCGTAATTTCACGGTCGTTTGTCAAGCCTCCGCTTGAATGGAGGTCTTCTCCCCATGCCTTGTGGGTCGTGGGGGTTGCTTGTTGGACCTGCTTCACCATGCTGGTCCTTGTGGGTCGTGGGGTTGCTTATTGGACCTGCTTCACCATGCTGGTCCTTGTGGGTCGTGGGGTTGCTTATTGGACCTGCTTCACCATGCTGGTCCTTGTGGGTCGTGGGGTTGCTTGTTGGACCTGCTTCACCATGCTGGTCCTTGTGGGTCGTGGGGTTGCTTATTGGACCTGCTTCACCATGCTGGTCCTTGTGGGTCGTGGGGTTGCTTGTTGGACCTGCTTCATCATGCTGGTCCTTGTGGGTCGTGGGGTTGCTTGTTGGACCTGCTTCACCATGCTGGTCCTTGTGGGTCGTAGGGTTGCTTGTTGGACCTGCTTCACCATGCTGGTCCTTGTGGGTCGTGGGGGTTGCTTGTTGGACCTGCTTCACCATGCTGGTCCTTGTGGGTCGTGGGGGTTGCTTGTTGGACCTGCTTCACCATGCTGGTCCTTGTGGGTCTTGGGGGTTGCTTGTTGGACCTGCTTCACCATGCTGGTCCTTGTGGGTCGTGGGGTTGCTTATTGGACCTGCTTCACCATGCTGGTCCTTGTGGGTCGTGGGGTTGCTTGTTGGACCTGCTTCACCATGCTGGTCCTTGTGGGTCGTGGGGGTTGCTTGTTGGACCTGCTTCACCATGCTGGTCCTTGTGGGTCGTGGGGGTTGCTTGTTGGACCTGCTTCACCATGCTGGTCCTTGTGGGTCGGTGAGGCAGGCCGGAGCTACTTCAGATGTCGCCCATGTTGCCTGCGGCCGTGAATTTAATTTTAAGTGACCAGGTTCCCTAACCCCATTGCACCGTCGGTCCGTGGTATTTATATATATATATACCATGGGGAACTGTAGACCTGGTAAAAATCTTAAAACATGTATTGATGACGATGGCAGGATGCATGTCTGCTGTCCTCCAATTAAGACGTTTTACATGTTATATTTTTAATTGTTAATAGGCAGAGGAGCGTAATTCCGTATGTGTTCTTTGTTAACCTCTTTCAGCCATGCATTGGACAAGTTGTGAACATGGACGAGTCTGGGAAAGTGAAGGTGCGGTGGATTAACAACAGTATCTCCAGCTTGTATCCACAGGTGAGGTACATGCAGCACTCTCCCTCAATGGCAATTCTTAATTTGCTACGAAATTCCTGAAGTTCGTAAGCATCTTAACGTTGCATTTGTTCACTGTATTGGTCCACTGAAAATGACACCTCTTGAATTAATACGTCCGTGGCCAAATGTAACTATTAAGCGTGAAGAGTAAATAACGAACCACAGTTTTTATATCAGTTTAATGGAATCGTATGTTCCTAAATACGTGTAGCCATTTATGCTAGTGCAGCAGTTTATGTGAATATAACACGTGGGTTTCTGCATTCAAGAAAGTGTAAATCGTACAATGAACATAATCTATTAGGAACTAAACTTTCATTTAAAGTTCTGTTGCTTTTAGGGACTTGTTATACACTGTTGAAATTGATCAAAGGGGTTGTCCAAAACTTTTGAGATAGAACCAGAGCAAAAATCAACCATTGACAAATACACAAACGCATTCCGCAACCGCTATTTTATTTATTTGGCTATTTATTGACTTATTTTGCACCCCCGCCTATCAGGAGCTCTTTAAGGTAAACTCGGATTTCGAGGACTCCGACCTGGACTCGTTGGAGGAGGAGTGCGAGGATGATTGGAGCGACGACTTGGACAGCTGGGAGACGGACGACGATGTCACCGAGACGGAAAACCAAGCGTCGGCTGCCGCCGTCGAGGACAAGCCCGGCGAGGGCCCCGCCGACGCGGTGCCCCCTTCTCCCGCTGCCGACAAGCGCTCCAAACCCCAGCAGCACCTCTCCGAGGCGGAGGCCGACGGCTCGAAGGGCGCGTCCGGTGGTCGTGCGGGAGCCAAGAACCCCGAAGCGAGCGCCAGGGAACCAGCCGGAGCCGAATCTGGAGCCACGGCGTCCGTGTTGAATCGGGCCAGCATGGATCTACCAGAAATTAAAGGTGAGGGCTTTGCCTGTTCGATCTAATAAGGATGAGAGATTTGTATTCGTACGGCACTTAAACGTGGCAACTCGGAGCGTCCTTGCATCGTGGCGTCTCCTCTCCACCAATTCCAGTGGCCTGCTGTAGTCTCGCCAAGGGGACTTTTGCGGTGGTAGCTGTCGCTGAGTGGCGCAGGGTGATCGCAGCAGCAGCAGCATCCTGCAATGGGCATTAGTCTGCCAGTAGGAGGACAAAATTGCTCTGTTTAGTGCTTTTTCACGCGTCCGTCATCAGAACTGGTACAGGGTTAACATCTCCCCACCGCGGGCGCCCAACTTAACTTGCGCCCCATGTCACCTCGCCTGCAGAGGCGACGGTGCGTCTGCTGGAGAGCCTCAAGAACATGACGGTGGAGCAGGTGCTCGTGGGCTCGCCAACCACCGCGGCGCAGCCCTGCCCCGAGAGGCCGAGCCGCGACCACAAGTTCCTCAACGACATCAAGAAGCTGCAGGAGCTGCTCCGGAAGACCATGGACAGCATGACGTCCGCAGAGGACGACGAGGAGGCGGAGAAGCCTTCCAATGAGGCGCGATTGCATGTTCTACGACACTAGACACACTACGCTGTACGCGAGACACCATGCTATACACTCCACACCACCATTATACACTACAATACACTATCTATATATATAAAATCGTGAATCTGTCTGTCTGTCTGTCTGTGTGTCGCCGGACCATACGCACTTTCATTGGACGAAATGTCAGGGATTTGCGACACACGATTGGTCCGGCGGTTGCCCCTGCATTGCGACACACGATTGGTCTGCCGGTTGCCCCTGCATTGCGACACACGATTGGTCCGGCGGTTGCCCCTGGCAACGGCTAGCGACGCATTCGCCATTTTTAATTCCCGTTAAAAATAGGCGCACGCATTAACACGCGACTCTGACGTTAATTCATCACAGTTTCACGTCCTCTTCAGTCCCCTCCCACCCCAATGTGTTCTATTACTGTTATAGGCTCCCTAGATATTTAAATAATAGCGATTAGACACTATTATTGTAGCGCGGGGGGGGGGAACGCCACCCGTACCCTGCCTCTGCCGGGTGGGAAATTTAGGCGAGGCCGGAGGCTCTGCACGCTACTAGGCCTCGACACCCACCACGCGAGTCTGAGGTAAATTCATCAAACTTTCACGTACTCTTCACTCCCCCCCCAACACAATGTGTGCAATTTATATTACTTTCAAACCCTACGCGCCATTAATCTATTCTTTAAATGGTGACTGTACAAATAGTCATTAAGCTGGGTGAGCGTACTGACAGTCTATAATGTCTACTGTAGCCTGCTTATTAAATTGCCTGAGTCTACTGGCAGTCTATTATGTAGACTGTAGCCTGCTTATTAAGCTCCGTGAGCGTACTGCCACTCTATCATGTAGACTCTAGCCTGCTTATGAAGCTGAGTGGGTGTACTGGCAGTCTATAATGTACACTGTAGCCTGGTTATGAAGTAAAGTTAGTCAATTTGTAACACGTACGCCGATTCCCACTCACGACCACCACCGGTGACGATTATTTCAACCTGACCTGGGCCTCCCCTAGGTCGACTCAGCCTCACACGAGTAACTGGTGTGGCGTATTAACATCGCCACTGGGGAGACAAAGGCGGCCGGGCGTGGTGCTTCCAAGTCCCGGGCGAAGCCGGGTCATGTGTATGTGTGTATGTGTTTATGTGTATGTCTGTGTGTCTGTATGTATGTGTGTATGTATGTGTGTGTATGTGTTTGTGTGTATGTATGTGTGTGTGTATGTATGTGTGGTTTTTTTTAAGTGTTTATGTGTATGTCTGTGTGTCTGTATGTATGTGTGTATGTGTTTGTGTGTATGTATGTGTGTGTGTATGTATGTGTGTGTATGTGTTTCTGTGTATGTATGTGTGTGTATGTATGTGTGTTATGTGTGTGTCTGTGTGTCTGCATGTATGTGTGTGTGTATTGTGTATGTGTTTGTGTGTATGTGTGTGTGTATGTATGTGTGTGTATGTGTTTGTATGTGTTTGTGTGTTTACGCTCGCATTACACAAATGTGTTGCAGGTCTAACGCGTTCCTCGCGCAGCATTGCCGCTTTATTATTTCAGTCGTTTACTGCCGTACGCACCCTGAAAGTCGTGTGTGTCTGCAGCAAGCGCGTGTATGTGTACCTATGGACGCGCGCGCGTGTGTTGTGTAGGGGGAACGGTAGTGTAGTGGTTAGCGTGCTGTCTGTCTGTGTGTGTGTCTGTGTGTGTGTGTGTCTGTGTGTGTGTCTGTGTGTGTGCGTGTGTGGTGTGTGGGGAGCGGTAGTGTAGTGGTTAGCGTGCTGTCTGTGTGTCTGTGTGTGTGTGTGTCTGTCTGTGTGTGTCTGCGTGTGTCTGTGTGTCTGTCTGTGTGTGTGTCTGTGCGTGTGTGGTGTGTGAAGAGCGGTGGGTGTAGTGGTTAACGCTACGCTGCGCTACGAACCCGGCGAACCGAGTTCGATTCCCGCTCACTGGCCACCACCGGTGACGATTATTTGAACCTCCCCTAGATCGACTCAGCCTCAAACGAGTAACTGGTGTGCCGTATTAACATCGCCACTGGGGAGACAAAGGCGGCCGGCCGTGAGTGGTGAGGGAGGGAGAGTGGTGAGGGAGGGAGAGTGGTGAGGGAGGGAGAGTGGTGAGGGAGGGAGAGTGGTGAGGGAGGGAGAGTGGTGAGGGAGGGAGAGTGGTGAGGGAGGGAGAGTGGTGAGGGAGGGACTCTGCCTCAAAACGAGTAACTGGTGTGGCGTATTAACATCGCCACTGGGGAGACAAAGGCGGCCGGGCGTGGTGGATACAAGTCCCGGGCGAAGCCGGGTAGTACAGCTAGTTATATACTAAAATACACCATATTCTTGGTTCTTTCGGTAAAGTCACGTAGAAGGGAAATAATGAAATAATATAGATATAAAACAATTAAAATTCTCACGACGTTTCGACTGCAACACAAGCAACACAAGCAGTCGAAACGTCGTGAGAATTTTTATATTTATATTATTTTATTATTTCCCTTCTACGTGACTTTACCGAAAGAACCAAGAATATGAATCGCTGCAGTCACGAAAGCTTTAAATTAAAATACACCACTCTACTAAATTGAAAACTCATTTTTTTAGAACTGTTTTTTGTGTTTATTTTGTATGTCCTTCCCCCGCACATCCGATGGCCACATAAGATAGCTCAATGAAGTGGCTTATCACGTGGAAATGTATTGCAGCCAAATACTCTTAAGCACATGTTTCTAAATGTGGAGGGAAAAACCGGAGGACCCGGAGAAAAATCCACGTGACCACGGGGAGAGAGACATGCAAACTCCAAATATACAGCAGGCGTCAGGGTCGGGATCGAACCCACGACCTGTATACCAGGCGAGGGAGTTAACATCTCCTAGCCACTGTAGCAGCGTAAACCACTGGGCCCTCATTTACATTCATCATCATCACCAACATCACGTTGGTCAACAATGCAGGCTGGTGAGGTTTCTGACGGTCGTGTAAACTAAAGCTACCCCTCCGCGTCTTCTTGAACGGACCCCCTAAACGCCGACTGCGTTTGCCTTGCAGAAGGAGGAAGCGGCGGTGTTCAATGCCAGCAAAACGGCCAGCGACGCGCCCGTGCTGTGCGAGTGTAGCGGTGCCCAGCCCGGAGTGATCCTCACCAGTGCACAGGGAGAAGTCTTCTCGGTGCTCGAGACCGCCCCAGGTAAAAGCGGCGGCGGAGCGTCTTGAAGAGACGCGGAGAGAGAAACATGCGGGATCGGGCGAACGACGTCATTTTTTCAAATGAACCGCGATTCCTCGCTGATGCCTCGTCAAGGAATGTAAACAGTCACGCGAACGCCGGTCATCATCGCAGCAGCAGCGGCCTTTGGCTGGCCATCGAACAGAGATGGTGGTCACCGCATCGCGGCGCTTTCGGATGCGCTTCTGCGCCATCTGGAACGCTCTTTCTGCCGATATTAAGGAAGCCACTGGAGCCATGTACTTGTAAATCATTTGGATTGAAACTCATTTCTTTAGAACTGCTTTTTGCGTTTAGTTTGTTGTCCTTCCCCCACACCTCTGATTAGCGTGGCTGGCCACGTGCGGTGCGAAAAAAGTTGAACTTACACATGCGTTCTCAGTGGCTGGTCTGCTTTTAAGAAAGGCACGCGGGCTTGGGCAGGACACGTCTACGCAAGGGACGGTGGCCGACGGTCAAGGAATATGGCAGCCTAGGATTGTAAACTCAAAACGCGGCGGGGGACGTCCGCCGGTTAGATGGAGCGGTTTAAATCGCCTCTCGAGCGGGTGCCGGGCGGATTGTTGAATTGTGGGATCCTGAGAGATGGGGGGGGGGCGGCCCTTTGGGGGACGGTGTTCCTCCAGCAGCTGGATTGACCGTCGCCGATGATGATAGCAACTGAATGCTTGAAGCATCTCCAGACAACTGTGTTTAGGGAAGTAGTACAAATAATAATTACCCTCCCTATACTCTTTGGTTCTTTCGGTAAAATAAAATAAATCACGACGTTTTGGGCGCAACACAGGTGGGAAAGCATGGTCTGCTGCTTAGGCAGACTGTTTTAAAAGGTTTGAAATGGGTGTAGCCCATGGGTCCTAAAGAAGTGACCGGGGCCAATTATGTTAATGTGAGAGATTAGCATGTAACTGTAAGATAGGAGAGCGGCCTCCTCGACGAGGGCACGGAAGTGGCTATGTTAATGTGAGAGATTAGCATGTTAATGTGAGAAATTAGCATGATGTTAATGTGAGAGATTAGCATGATGTTAATGTGAGGGATTAGCATGATGTTAATGTGAGAGATTAGCATGATGTTAATGTGTGGGATTAGCATGATGTTAATGTGTGGGATTAGCATGATGTTAATGTGAGAGATTAGCATGATGTTAATGTGAGAGATTAGCATGATGTTAATGTGAGGGATTAGCATGATGTAAATGTGAGAGATTAGCATGATGTTAATGTGTGGGATTAGCATGATGTTAATGTGTGGGATTAGCATGATGTAAATGTGAGAGATTAGCATGATGTTAATGTGAGGGATTAGCATGATGTAAATGTGAGAGATTAGCATGATGTTAATGTGAGAGATTAGCATGATGTTAATGTGAGGGATTAGCATGATGTAAATGTGAGAGATTAGCATGATGTTAATGTGAAGGATTAGCATGATGTTAATGTGAGAGATTAGCATGATGTTAATGTGAGAGATTAGCATGATGTTAATGTGAGGGATTAGCATGATGTTAATGTGAGGGATTAGCATGATGTAAATGTGAGAGATTAGCATGATGTTAATGTGAAGGATTAGCATGTAAATGTAAGCTAGGAGAGCGGCCTCCCCTATGTTTGATGGCAACTTGGAGGACGGCATTAATCATGGATTAGAATTTAGTTTTAGAGTGGAGAAATCCAATGAGCTATGAAGCTTTTTTTTACGCATGTCCAGTAGGCTCACTGATGCCACGGAGGTTTAGCGTCCCAGCATGCTGGAGCCAAGGCCGCACTTTGAGAAATACCCCCGCGTGTTGTTGAATCCTCCGTTTGATTGTCGTCGCCGCGAATGTTTTAATCGGCGCACGTTTCCGCTCTCGCCGTAGACTCGCACATGTTCAAGAAGACCGAATTTCAACCATCGGATTCCAAAAAGTTTTTCGGCTCCGTCAGAAAGGAGATGGCGCTGCTGGCAACGTCGCTGCCAGAGGGCATCGTCGTGAAGACTTTTGAGGACCGCATGGTGCGTCCTCCCATTCCACGCTTTCTCGTTAGCGCATTTGACCGAGGGTGAAAGGGGTTCATCCGTGAGCTCTTACTGCCTCTCCATCCGTGCATCGTTACCTCCGTCTGTCCATCCTGTCTGCAGATGACCCATTATGAACGAAACTTTAATAAAGATGCGTTACTATTGGGGACATAAGATATACAATAAATATGTTTCAGAAATTCTCAATACACCAGTGGATGAATGACATCCACACTGCATGTTGGTCATGGAGAGGTTGTTTTTTTTGTTATACCATACTTGTACATGCCGGTCAGTGTGGTTTTATGAAGGGGAAGAGGGCTGCACCGGTTCTGACGTGACGCGAACTCGGGTCTCCGAGTTCACAGTGCAGACACTAACCAAGCTACCACCATTCAATTTGACCGGTTTTAATTGGACACATCGTGCACTTCGCTCAATACTTTTGGTCACGGGAATGTGGTGGTACCCCTACGATTCGATGAATAGTGCTAATTATAAAGTGGGGAGGAAGGGAAGGTGGAGGTGGTGGGGGGAGGAGATGGGGGGCCGGGGGGGGATAAAAGGAGGGGGGGGAGAAGGGGAGGTGGGGGGGGGAGAAGGGGAGGTGGGGGGGGGGAGAAGGGGAGGTGGGGGGGAGAAGGGGAGGTGGGGGGGAGAAGGGGAGGTGGGGGGGGAGAAGGGGAGGTGGGGGGGATAAAAGGAGGGGGGAGAAGGGGAGGTGGAGGGGGGAGAAGGGAAGCTGGGGGGGAATTGATGTAAACTAATAATCCCATGCCCGGCCGTTGACACGTTTTGTGTGTTGTTTCACAGGACCTGTTCTCGGCGCTGATCCACGGCCCAGCGAGGACTCCGTACGAGGACGGCCTTTTTGTCTTCGACATTCAGCTCCCCGCCATTTACCCGTCCTGCCCCCCTTCCTTCCAATATCTCTCCCAGTGCAGCGGCCGCCTCAACCCCAACCTCTACGAGAACGGGAAAGTGTGCGTCAGCCTGCTGGGCACCTGGGTCGGAAAGGTATGACGCTGCTGCACGTGTGCACGGGCTCCAGCTTAAGGGCTTTGTGGAGTTCGTTTGCGTCCACGGCAGTTCGGCTCGGATTGCAGGTTCGGGTACGGCGGCCGCCCTGGTTAGTAACGGTGGAGGGGGGGTGCGTTTAAGCACCAAAAATGCACGCCGTCCGTTTCACGTTGGACGTCAGATCCCCCGCGATGTTATTTAGTAGCATCGCCTCCTTGCTGGTAGAATATCCCCCCGGCTCTCCACCCCGCTTATGCAGGCCATCGCTGCGTTTCAACTTCTGCTGAGTGGAGGCAGCTGTCACCAGTGTCCCATGGGCAAGACTGGAATGGTTGAGATGAGATGTGATGATGCAAGGTGCTTTTGAGCAGTGGTCCTGTGCATGCAAAATCTCTCCAACCCACCACCATCTACAAGTGGACGTGGAAGCCCTCGCTAGAGAATATTTAAACGACCTCATCCACGTGGAATTTTATTTCTTGCATGTCTTAACATTAGTTACTTTGTGGTTTGAAAAGGTGTTTTTTATTTATGTTTGTGGATTTTCTTCAAGTGTGTGCCGTTAAGAGGGTTTAAAGTAAAACCTCTTGTTGTTCGTTTAACACATAGGCTTTCGTGACCAATATAATTTTTTGGGTTAGAGATTTTTTTGGGGTTGGATTTGCGTAAATTTACACGTAAAACTACGCAATCTAACCCAAAAAATCTCATAGCTTGTTGTTTTTTGCACGATGTTTCAGGGAACAGAGAAGTGGACTAACAAGTCAAGTCTTCTTCAAGTGCTGATTTCTATCCAAGGTAGGACCTCCCCCCATCTCGTGAGATTGTCAACTCAGCCGTACCGTTGTTGCAAGAAGGACTCAAATGTCCATTTGTAGACCACATGCTGTTGTCATTTAAAGTTCATAGCTTTGGCCTTTATTTAAATTTTATATCATTTAAAAAAAGACCACATTTGAAAAGCGGTTATACTTTATGTTACAGGGTAATCCATTAAAGAATCGCCCATTATAAAAATATATGTAATGGCAGGGTAGTTTAAACTAGGTCAATATAACAAGCTGGGTGGTGTGACAATGTCGTTCATACGAGTCGCATCCCTCTAAGCCTCAGCACGTCCGCCACTGGCGATGGCGAGACGCGCCTGGCATGGAGATTCGTGACCGTTTTGAACCTCCGCGTGTATCATGTTCGTAGTTCACTTCGTGGGGGTCATTTAGTGGACAGTGCTATGGAGAATACCCAGTCTTGCAATCATTTGTACGGTGCCCTTCAAAACTAAACATCGAAATGCCCCTCGCTTGAACTTCAGGGCTCATCTTGGTGAACGAGCCGTACTACAACGAGGCGGGCTTCGAGAGTGACCGAGGCCTGCAGGAAGGCTACGAGAACAGCCGCTGCTACAACGAGATGGCGCTCATCAAGCTCGTGCAGTCCATGACGCTGCTGCTCAACCACCCGCCCGCCGTCTTTCAGCACGAGATCCGAGAGCACTTCCAGACGCGCGGCTGGCGCATGCTGCACCGCCTGCAGGCCTGGCTCGACCTGCACCAGCTGCTGCAGCAGCAGCAGGAGTGCCTCGCGGCGTCGCCGCTGTCCGCCGAGGACCGCGCGTCTCCGCCCGCGCTCCAGCGGGGAGCGTCCCCGCACGGCGGCTCTCGAAGCAGCAACTCCGAAGCCGCCGAAGCCCAAGTTGCGGAGGACGACTGCGCCATGGAGTGCGACTCCTCGGCCGGCGGAGGAGCCGTCGGCGGTGCCGTCGGTGGTGCCGTCGGTGGTGCCGTCGGCGGTGCCGTTGGTGGAGCCGTTGGCGGTGCCGTCGGAGGAGCTGTCGGCGGTGCCGTCGGAGGAGCTGTCGGCGGTGCCGTCGGCGGTGCCGTCGGCGGAGCCGTCGGCGGAGCAGTTGGCGGTGCCGCGCAAGCCGGCGCCGCGTCCGCGCAGGAAGAGGGGGATGCCGACGAGGGTGCCGGAGCGGTCTTCGGTGGCGAGCCGACGGGGGAGAGGGCGCGCGCCGAGGGCAAGGCGCTCGACAAGTCGGGCGAAGAGGCGGAGAGCGCCGTGAAACCCAAGAAGCGCAAGAAGAGCTACCGCACCTTCCTGCAGGGGAAGAGCGGCTACCCCGACGTGGGCTTCCCTCTCTTTCCCCTTTCCAAGGGTTTTAGCAAAAGCCTCAAGACTTGTCTCCAGCAATATCAGTCCATTCTGGTGTCCTTGGGCATCCCCGACAACATCGTGGGCAAGCCAGAGAGCAGCGCGGCACGCACAGACGCGCAGATGGAGACGGAGCCGGTACCAGAACATGAGCAACGTGACAGCGGCAGGCATTAACCGTGTCCTCCAGGCAGCTTTATCGGTCCGCTATCAGATTTACCAGGAACGCAAGACACAAACTAAAATATCAATGCATGTTTTGAAAGGTCACTAAAGGACGGTGCATCGTTAACAAAAAAAAAAATCCGAACGTGGTTTGTGGGATACCTCAAGCAGAGCTCTTGTTATTAAATTCCCAGTTCGATCGCCAATGTTTGTACGTGCGCAAATGTACAAATTCTCAGTAATATTTTTACTGTTGAGGAAAATTAATGGGAATGTGTTGATAAACCGCATTAAAGATTAAACGTGAAAAACATGGTAAACCGCTTGTGATGCCTGTTATCTGAATGTCACTTTCTGATTATAATATTTTTTTTCTATTGCCACAAGCGTGTGTGAAATACTTATTGAAATGTGTTGCCGATTGTCATATGGAGCGCACAAAGCTTTGCGTGCTTAGACGGCACAGTTGAGCCGACGTCCGTGACCAGGGTTCATCCTCACAATAGTGAAGGGGCGGTGGGCGTGTGGGTCACCAGCCTTGAGCGCTGAGCCAGCCACCGCTGAGAACCTGGTATCAAACTCGGTTCTCAGGCGTCTCGAGCTGCGATGGCATCTGCCCTGGTCACAAGCGCTTTATTGTGGCGAAATTCTCGCTCTTGGAATGACAAATGTCACTTTGACGATCACGCAAAACAAATATTCCCATTGCAGGGAGCGTGAGAGAGTGGATGACCCCTCCCGTATAAAGAATGGAAACGCGACAGAATTTTTCTGGAGCAACGAAAGATCTCTTCCGTCGTCAATCCTGTGACACGGCCAAGCGCCGCATTGCAATGTTTGCGATTTAATTAATCTCGACACACAGATGCCGAGAGCACACATTAAGAATACATTTTTGGGGAGGGGGGTGGGGAAGTAAAAAACATTGGAGCCTTGAGTCACTTTTCTGGAGGCGCGAGGTCCCGAGTATAATGACTGGTGGTCACCCAAGCTGCTGATACATTTTATCTTGCGCTTGCGTCACAGTCATCGATCCAACCGTGACATTTACACGATCCCAATTTAGCGTGTCAGAAATCACGGCGGTGGCGGCGCCGTCGTATGCCTGACATTCAGCACCGGAGGCGGCGAGGGTTTGGAGGGTCGAACAAATGTCGTGAAACTCCCTGGCACGTGGTTGTCCGGAGTGCCCCCCGTGCCCTCCAACCTGTTCCATCTGCACGAGATCGATTATTATTGGACCCATCGCACGCGCGGCTTTTTCGCTGGGTGCTCCAGTTTCCTCCCAACTGTAAATACTCATAAATTGGCCGATAACACCTTCAAATGAATCTAGATATAGGATCGCAGAGCTTGTGGAATTGGGCACCAGCGCACGCCGTGGCTGCCGTTGCCTCTGGACCTGCGCTCCCTCGCGCCTCCCGAATTGTTCTCGCGTCGGAAGCGAGCGGATGCCGCGCGGAGCGTTACACGTTGGAAGTTATTACAATAAAGAGACTGAAAAATATATATGCATTTCTTTTTGAGGTTTACAAGTCGATGATAACTTTGGGACAAAAAAAAATCCCATCTCCGTGATGATTTTGTAATCGCTCCCATGTCGCTGTCGTTTCAGGTTGCAGTGCGGTGTCCGTTCATAAACAGTGATGCGCCATGAGCACGCCTCGTTTCGCGTGTTTGTTTTCCACATGCGCACTGCGACTCGTCACCCCGCCCCCCCCTGGAAGCGAGCGCACCGCTGAGTGACGAACCGTCCGTTGCCCCTCCGCACCGCGGAGTTGATGGGTGTCCCTTGACCGAGTGCGCGTGGAATGATGGGGGAGGGGGTGCGTGCGTTGTGTTGGGGCTACCACCGAGTAAGGGTCAAGGTTCAAGGTTCATATTCACGCCCGAACGAAAAGGGGACAATATCGTGGTCGGCCTTTGCGATCAGAACTTCTGGCAGCGAATTCGCCGCGGTGCCTTTAAACCAAACCTCGGACCGAGCGCGATCGTCGCCAATTCGGTAGAGGTGACCTGCGTGGTGGAGCCCCTTGGATGCGAGTTTAGACCACGTGTTGATTGTGATGTGTGAGGGGTTGCCACCTTCGGGGGCACAGCTGCTGTGCATCTGCCAATCATCTCAGCCAACCCATGGCACCACCTGGGTCTGTCCCATGACGTCCCATGACCTCTCGTTGAGCCTTCGACACTCCACGTGGCCTCAATGTGCACCTGGCCTGGCACAAGCTACGTGGTGACATCACCGCCACTTTTGCTGTTGTGAGACGTTGACTCCATATAAAACTAAAGGTTAAGAAAATGGCATGCATGCTTTGGGAGAATGAATGAAAGACACCGCTCGGGGCAGCTGATGAATTCGCACCGCAGCAAACGCAAACATCGCCCCCTTGGGGTGCACAGAAGGCTGTACAAGATTCGGGAACTGAATGTGCGCCATTCCCAACGGAAATTGTAGATTTGAAAGTTTGTCCGCGAGAGGAATACAATATTGGAATGAAATCGCAGTGTTTTAGAAGTACCACGGCACTTTATTCGATAGCTTAATAGGCGTTCCATATGCATGAGAAATCCATTTTAAATAATGTTATGCAAAATGGGACCTTTTTTGCCAGTATCAAAAGTATGAAAAAATAAGAATAGGTTTTACCCTTTCTGACAATTTAACAGGAGTTGTGTTAAGATGTTCAAACACCAAGCAGAAACATTTTGCAAGGCATCAAGTTATTATATTCGCCGCACATGCAGGACGTGTGGTGAACATGCGAACACACACGTGGCACTGATCATATTTGGCACTGTCTTTGAAACTGATGGACCGTGTCAGAGCGTGTTCGTCTGCGTGTTCACCACAAGTACTGCATGTGTGGTGAATGCAGTCCTCGGTTCCTTGCGAAAGGTTTCTATTTGGTGTTTGAACATCTTAACACAACTCCTGTTTTATTGGCAGAATTTTATTGTATTTTCTACCCACGTGACTTTACCGAAAGAACCAAATAGTATGGATTCCAGCAGTCACGAAAGCTTCAAATCAAGATTGGTAAAACCGATGTTTAATGTTTTATACAGTATTTTTTTCCCAACTTGGATTATACAAAGGTTACCCATAAATGCCTCCTTTATCTCCCAGTCACTTTTGATACGAACTGCTACACAATGTAACATTCATCCTTGAGAATGTCACAAACTTTGGCTGTTTTTTTTACGAGTCTACATTTTTGTTTTATTGTTTTACACAATTGCATCGGCGTGTGGAAGCATGGGACCAGAATTCCGTAACAACGAAATAATTTCGTCTGCGTCACGTAACCATTCACAACATCCGCGACATCCGTGTAGTTTTGTTTTGATGTTGCCGAACTAATATTCCGGTTTGCCGAACGAATAACATTGAGGTCGCGCTCATTACACACAAGGTGCTTGCCACAAATGAACCACAATACCTTGCCGATCTCATCGAGTAGCATGAACCATGGCTTGAACTCCGGTCGTCATGCTCGCAACAGCAGCAGCGGCTATTGGGTAGCCATCAAACAAAGGCGGTCACCGCATCGCGCGCTTTCAAATGCGTTTCTGCGGCCGTCTGGAACGCTCTTCCGATATTAGGAAGCCGCTAGAACTATGCACTTTTAAATCATCTAGTTTGAAAACTCATTTCTTTAGAGCTGCTTTTCGTGTTTGGTTTGTCCTTCCCTCACACCTCCCATTAGCACGGTTGGCTACGTATGGTGCAAAAGAAGTCCGAGGAATATGATTGACGAGTGAAATTTAATTGGGTCCTGAGACTCCACCCTTAACCGACTCGCACTGGTCACAGTGGTGAAATGTGGTCAACACCACCCCATAACCATGACGAACGCACACAAGGTGGAGAGGGCTTTCATCCAGCAGTGGATTGACAAAGAAGTCCAGCATACATGCATGCTACATGGGCAACTGCGTGCTATGTGAAGGACCTCTTAAGTATTTATACAGTGGATGTGGCAGCGGTGTCTATTGCAATGGGCTCAGGAGAAATGTCCTTTAATGTGGTTTGGCATTTATCATTTTGGAGCGGGGCTTGTAAGCCATCTCGCATTTTAATCAGATGGCTTTCACGTGAATGGCGAAACGTTTGCATCAGTTCACGCAAAAAAAAGTATTGGATGAAAAGAGAGGACATTTCTGTTGCCGTATTGTGCAAGCCACTGACCCGTGTTGGAGACAGTTTTACGATGGCAGTCCGAAAAACGATGTTGCGTTCTCCGTGAAAACTTCAAACCACTAAATTTAAACCACATGGTTGGTTGACTTTTCAACTTATTGCTGTTAAAATATGGCGCCTATTCCGGTTTGGTTATTTATGTATTCTTAAGCTCGTGTTATTGACCAACCCAGAGCACACAAGACCGTGTGACGGAACACGAGAGAAGGTGATTTAAAGGCAGCTCAAGGCACAATTGTGAGCATAAGCTCGCTCCTCCCGTCGTGCCTTGCACGCACACGTGACATCACCACACTGTTAGGTTTTTTCGGTAAAGTCACGTAGGTAAAAAATTATAATAGAAAAAATGAAAATAAATCAATTAAATCACGACGTTTCGGATGCAAATTATTTTTATTTATAATTGTTTTCTATTATTTTTTTCCTACGTGACTTTACCGAAAAAACCTAAGAGTATGAATCCTTGCAGTCACGAAAGCTTCACATCTAGAATCACCACACTGCTTGGATGATGATGATGATGCACGCAGCACTGCGTTAGACCAACTCCAACGATTCCAAAACGAAGACGCGACTCGTACTGTACCCTGCGCTGCTCTGCAATGCGTCGTGGTGGTGATGATGGTGGTGTCAACTGGAGGAAGAACACCCCCCACCACCACCAATCTCAAGGGCATAAGTTGCCATCCCGGTCAGGGCTTGAGTAGGATCACTCGGTCCTTCATTGCAGTCACCGCATCGCGCGCTTTCTGATGCGCTTCTGCGGCCGTCTGGAACGCTCTTCGCTCCGATATTACGAAGCGACTGGAGCTACGCACTTTTAAATTATTGAGATTGAAGACTCATTTCTTTAGAACTGTTTTTTGTGTTTAGTTTGTTGCCCGCATCTCCGATTAGCACGGTTGGCTACGTCAGGGCTATATTATAATCCAATAAATAATCACAGTAACAAGCACTGTACCTAGGGCCTATGAAAATTACATTTGAGCATGTTTTTGTATGATACAAATGTTTATCAAGATATATTCTTGAATACATAGATTTATATAGCAAGGATAAGCACAGTGTATAGACAAATAGGCAGAGTGGTGTCACTCGTTTTTTTATTTATAAGGTGAAAGGTAAATTAACACCGGAGATTAACTTTTCCAGATTTTTTTCATTGCAAACTTATCAACATCTTCAAATGGTGATTATTCGCACACTGTCATTCTCAATAGAGAGTGGAGCATAAAAACCATGACCACTTTGTGGAAGGTCACTGGTGGTTTGTACTTTGCGTGCAAATGGAATTCCCGCAACTTGGCTTGGGGCTTCGAGCATGAGGATGAACTTCACCCGGGATTGTTTTGAGCGGAGACTTTGAGTCTCGTTTTTGTTTTGCCGGCGCCGTTCTCTCTCGCGGCGGCAGTGGAACCCTGAACCCTGAACGGCGCTCGCACGCAGCACGGGGATGAACGGCGTCGTTCCTCCATCGGTGGGGGAAAATAAATCAACGAATCGCCAAACTGCGACTGTGGTAAAGCCGTGGACTTAAAGCTTTCGTGACTGCAGGAATTCATATTCTTGGGTCTTTCGGTAAAGTCACGGAGATAGGTTCAAAGAAAATAATAAAAAATAACAGAAAAAAAATGATAGCTTTATTTTTCATCTACGTGACTTTACCGAAAGAACCGAAGAGTATGGATCCTTGCAGTCACGAAAACTTCAAATCTAGAAATAACAGAAAACGACGACGTTTCGATCGCAACGCAGGAAAAGGAGGGTAAGCTTCCAAGGGAAACTGTTTCTAAGGGTTTGAAATGGGCGTAGCTTGGAAGCGAACCCCCCTTCTTCTGAAGACGACCGCTTGTGTCGCGATCGAAACATCGTAGTTTTCTGTTATTATTTATTATTTTCTTTTAACCTATCTACGTGACTTTACCGAAAGACCCAAGAATATTTGGTAAAGCCCAAACCATCAAACTCATCACCGACCAGTGGCGCCATCATCCAAACAATCCGCACAGCGTCTCCTGCCGCATTGCATTGGTTCAAGGACCTTAACATCCAAGTAGTGACATCATCTGTACAAACTGTTGCTTAGAGGCCATACGAAAGAGGAATTCTCGTTTTCTCTCTCTCCAACTTACCGTGCGTTCCATTTGTGCTCTAGCTATCTTGTCGCGTGATGATTATCTGACTATTCGGATATCCTCGCAGAGATCAAAATGTAGCTTCTCTCCGTTTTTAGAGAGCGGCCCTCTGGAAGTGGACCACCCTGAACTAGTTCCGAGGCCTCTGTCATTGTCTCTCGTCGACACTAGGGGGCAGTGCGCCTTCTAAAATAAACTTTGTATTTTATTTGACCAGGTAAGGCCCACTAAGCTATGCGGTATAGCTCTTTTTTTCAGAAGCGAATTGGCCACGGCAATGTATAACATCCATATGCTCTAAACGCGTGGTGTTGATTC